CCCTGAAGGTACGAGAGGGCAGCTGAGATCCACTTCTTGTCATCTCCTTTGAGTTCGGACTCGGCGGAGGCCCAGTTGGTGAAATAGCGGAGGAATCGCTGGGTATCACCAGAGTCACCCTTGAAGGGCTCAGGCGCTTTGACGGGGCTTCTAGTGGAAGCGGTCTTAGCAGCCGTGAGCTTATCCAGGGATTGCTGGATACGCCTGGTAGTCTCTTGTTGCTCGGCAAGCAACTTGAGAAGAGTGGTGTCGGACATACTGAGATCGGGGATAGGCTTTGCGGGTTTGGTAACGGGGTCTTGTTGGACGAGCGGCAGAGAAGTGGGTGGGGATAATAAAGATGGTGATAAGGTGGAAGTGGGAGGTTCGTTATCTGAGCGTTGGGCAACAGACGTGTCCTCCGACTCCCTGGGGATGGGAAGTGGTGTGAGGGCGCGGCGAGGAGTGAGGGTAAGGGCTGTGGTGGGGGTGGAGTGTCCGGAGCGGCGGAGACTTGTTACTGCGGGAAGGGCTTCTGCTAACGCGGCGTAGGTAACGTGAAAGGGGACGGGTGTTTCGGAGTCTTCTTCTTCGGATTCGTCTTCCTTGTCGTTGTCGTCCTCTTCCTCACTGTCTTCTTCAAATGATGTTGACGGAGGGCGAAAGGACTTCGGTGCGGTACTGGTGGTTGCTGTTACTGGGGCAGGGGTAGAGTCGGCGGAATGGAAAGACTGGGGAGAATCTTCTGGTAAGAGCTGTGTGACCCGGTTGGCGGCGGAGTTACTGGTGGGGATTTCTTCTTCGATTCTTCTTTCCTGGATTCGGCAAATTCGCGGGCTTTTACGGCGTTGTCGGAGGTGCAAACAGCAGCGTAGAAGCTGGCTGTCTGGAGGCGTCGTAACTGGTGAAAGGTGGGCCGGAGACTGAGGCGGTAGGGGCAGGGGGAACTGTCACACTCTACAACCTCTTCCTTGCTATCGAGGTGGCAGTCGATGCCAAACCACTTGTCAGGGTTGAGGTCTTTACTAGAGGCGAAGAAGTGTGGGTATCCTGCGCAGCTAATCTTGACGGTGTCGGAAAACCAGAGTTGCCAGAGTAAGACCTGATCGGCAGGTCAACCAGAGTGCCAGGGGGTCCGGAATGCAGGGACAACGATCGGCGTTGCCAGTGCACGGGGGTAGCTTGACCTAATGTCGCGAAGAGCGAACACTAAACCAAACCAAAGACCAGTAATGCGGAGCAGATAAGAGCGGCGAGTAAGATAAGAGCGATGAGCGACGAATGCAGATGAAGGCGGAAGCGATGTATTGACGAAGAGGTCAAGCTGAGGAAATACAGAGCAGACTACCTAGCTTATATACCTATTCTACAGTCTACATAGCCGCGATGAGTCAAAATGACAAACAAATGGCGAAACGTCGAAGAACAATAAGAAAGGTCATGAGGCTGCGCGAAGGCTGCGCGAAGAACAAGGATGAAACAATAATGGAACAAGAGAGTGTCAGAATGAGTCAAGAGGCAGTGCGTAACAATAAGAACAATGGAAGTGGGGCGAAGGGTAATACGAGGCAGTGTTCCATGAGTGAAAGAGTCCATAGAGGGAATAAAGGAGCGAAGGAATAGGGGCAAGCGAAACGATAAGATGCGAGACAGATCAGATAAGATAAAGTGAAAAATAGGGGCTGTACCGGCTGTTCACGACAGGCGGATGCTGGTGACAGGGACGACACTGGAGAGGTGGCCATCACGATTTCGGGTGGTTTTGACTTTGTAGAGGCCGCTATTCACGTCAGGGCGGTCAGCGAATGCGGAGAACCATTCGATGTATGCGAGGTGGCTTGGGACGACGACACCAGGGCGGAACATCAGTCTATGCACCCTCTCAGGGAGGGTGAAGACTGCACGAACACGGCCAACGCGATATCCTGACAGTCGAACAAAACGATCATTAGACTCGATACGAGCAAGCAACTGAGACGAAGGGACATACCGTCAAGCCCTGTATCCTTTCCGTCCCCAAGGTTGATGAGAGCCGTGTCAAACCTGCTGGGGACCGGGTGGCCGCGCTTGTCTGCGGTTGCTGGACGACAGTGGATACTGTCGACAGTCGTCTCAGCACCTGTGTAGTTGTCAATACGCCGAAACTTGATGCGGTGCCACACATGGAATTTTTGTAGAGGGATACGGATGTCCCATAGTGACTCTTCGAGCTGTGCGGACGTTTGGTTTGGATTGTTCAGGCGAGATACAAAGCGCGATAGAGCAGTTTTGAAATGGATAGCACCATAGTCGATGGTGAGGTCTCGAAGGGTGATCTTCCGGGCTGATGGGTGCTTTGAGAGTTGACGAACACGGTCGAGGTCGAGTCCCGGGGGATACCATGGTGGTTTGCTGGGAATGCGTTGACCATCAAGCCGCCACTGGATATATTGTTCATGTTTGAGTATTTTCTCGCGACGCTCGAGCCATGTGGTCATCTGAGGCAATTCGTCCTTGTGATTTGTTGCCGCGTAGGCATCTTTGGCCATGTCGATGTGCAAGCGCTCGGTGTATTGAGTGTCGGTGTTGTCGGTCGTGCCAAATAACTTGATTTTTTCAACGTAGTGCGTAGCAAAATGGAGTTTAGGAATATTGAAGTGCTCACGAACCCCAAGGTCAACGAAGACTTGCTTGTTGTCGTGGAACATTTGGAGTGCGTCGTCCATGATCTTGAGTGTTTCGTCCGTGTGGACCGGGTACTGGGCGAGGTAGACAAAGTCTAGAATGCCACGGACAGCTTTGATGAGGCGATTAGGGGAATAGCCACCGGGAATGCGAATGTCGAGGATGAGACCGAGGAGGATTCGTGATATTTGATTGTGCTCCTGGCCGGTGATACGATTGAGCTTGGAGATCCCCTTCATGAACAGGCGAATGTTGTGGTTTGGCGGAAGTCTTCGGCATCGCGCATCGATTTCCAGCGGGCCATAGACACTGAGAACCCATGCGACCAAGTGTTTGAAGATACCCTGGTGGAGTTGATGAAGAATGTCGGGTGTGATAGCTTGGAAGATGTGCGTGTAAGGGAGGTTCTTCCAGAATGGAGATGCAAGGGGCTTGATACCTGCCTTGCTGCAGGTCTTGAGGAATTCAGCGGGGTTGTGGTCAAAGGAATCGAGGATGTCAAGGATGCGCGATAGATCTCGGAGCGGTTTGGGTTGGCCACACGCTTCCAGGGCGTCGTGCTCACATTCGCACGTCGGACATTCACCGGACTTGGAACCAGTCGCCAATATCTGCTCAGGATAGTCCCCATTGAAGGTCGCAACGATTGGATGGTTTCGATGAATAGTCCCTGCCCCTGTTGACATATGTACCCCATCGACACCGGCGGCTTCTAAGGGTTGAAGAACAAACGACATGCAGGCATGGTAGAGGTTGTTGAGTTGCCGTCGCCGTGATGCGTTGTTTGTGACTCCCTCAAGCTTTGTGATTGGCAAATAAGCGAGAAGGACGTAGGCCCGAGAAGAGACTTTACGGCGAATTTCCTTTGGTATATTTCCAATTGTCATATAGAGTGGGTATGCCTGTTTATCGCGAAACAGAGTGAGGAGGGTTTTGTCGGTTGAGAGATTGATGGGAATGATGGTCGCTCCTGGCTTCTCGCGTTCTATTGCTTCCTAGAGGTGAGAATGTCAGCCACGTCACTTGTCTTTTTTACACCACCAACACCAACGACGTACCTGTGTTGCCCACCACCAACGCCCGGTATGCATGTCATGATAGACACGGCATTCACGCTCCTGGTTCGTGTACTGTTTCTCTGGCGAGAAGACAAGGTAAGGTTCAAAGTCTGGGTCCCCAAACAGCGCCTTTACACATGCGATAACGTCCCGATAGTAGAACTCGCAAACCTCGCCACCAATAATGACCTCTTTGCGTGTAAATCCTGGCCGACCGGTGAGGTGATCGTCGATAATCTTATTCAACTGGTTGGTGGTGCGGAAGGATAGTCCAAGACGGTCTGCGACCTAGTTTATCGGTGAGTACTTTACATTCGTAAAGATAAACAGCACACTTACTCCCTCAATTGCCATCAGTTCTGTGAAGGCGGTTGAGCTAGGTCCCCGTAGTTTTGCCCATCGAGCAACCTCCCATTCGAGCTTGGACTGAAATGGTGCGTATGGGTTTGTTTGGTTTCCGGAATTCTTGGAGTGCTGATCATAATGAAAATTTACACCAGGCTGGGTGCAGGTCCAACGATCTTGAGCGTCCTTCTGGTACCGTACGACAAAAGGCTCCAGCTTAAGTCCTTCTTCAGCACCACCGCGCAGGCGCAAAGGCAGAGGGTCATTCTCGGGGTCGCGCATATCTTCAGCTTGGACAGTCTCTGGCCCTGTGTCTCCTCCGTCGCAACGGTCTGGCTCCAGACTATCTTCAGCTTCGGCATTCATTCGTTCCCATTCTAGAATCTCCTCCTCCTCCTCCTCTTCCACATCCACCTCTCCTTCATCCGTCTCTTCTTCACTCTCTTCCCCTTCCCCATCATCTACATCCCGATCCTCGTCACTGCTGCCACCCATAAACACATCATCCAATGATATTCCATAGTCTCCGAAGATATCACCTTCGCTGTCAAACATTGATGGCCCACTCCCAAGAACGTCCAATGGCGGCGAGTGTGTTTGTTGGGTCGAGGATAAGGGCGGGTTTTCTGGTGACTCCGGAGGCAGCGTAGACGTCGTACAGTAAACCATGCGAGGTACGTCGTCGGACATGTCTTTGTCGATGCCAAAATTGTTGTCTGTCTCACTGTCACTGATGACAGCATCATCTGCAGCTCGACATCGTGGGTCGCTGCTCTTCAAGATGTGATTTCGCAGGCCACGTCGAACAACTGGTACCCGGCACCCAGGACATCTGGTGGACATCCTGTCCAATGGTCACCTACACCTCTGCACTTGACGCGACACAGTCAAAGGACTTGACTTTGCGGGGGATGGCTCCAGAATGTGCACGTGACTGGACTGTCCGAGACGAGAATGCCCGCACCTTGCGCGTCAATTTTCCTTCCTCGCACTACCCGTGTTTCTGCATCTAACCACCTCATGGCCAATCCATCCAAGAAGAAGACTACAGCTGCTCCAGGTACAGTTTACATGCCATCAATGTCCAGTCACAGCAGTCTAACAATGATTCTTTTAGGCCAATCTGGTAAAAAGCGTGCTTTGGAGCCTGAGGCCGAACACCGACGCACCCGTGTTCGTACGAACTTGGACCCCAGCAATGCACCCGCCAAAGCAAGCACACGGAAGACACGATCAAGCGTCGGTACAGCAGCTGCAAAGTCGGGCACACATTTGGTCAAGCCTACAGCCAAATCGTCGTCGGCCACATCATCTTCCAAGCCTACCAATGCATCCCAGAAGTCAACGGCCCCGTCCGCAACTTCCAAATTCGCAAAAGCACAAGGTAAGCTGTCCTCAATCCTACATGTTCTTCTAGCTTTGACAAAGTATTCACATCACAGCCAAACCGACACGGCGCTACAACGCTGTCGTTCCCACCAGCGATGAGGAGGATACTGGTGCAGGACATGAAGTCCTGGGTAACCTCTATGGAGAAGACGATGAAGACGACGAGGGCTGGAATGGCGAGGAGGAAGAGCAAGCTGAGGAAGTAGATGAGTACGATGGTTTAGATGAGGACACCCTTGCCGCTGAGGTGCGTGGTTTTCATCCTTGTTGGCACCTACTGAGACTGACACCAGATGTATACCCACAACAGTCTGTCTCGTTCGCTGAGGACCACACCCGTCCTGGCAGTGCTGGGATCAATGAAGAAGAATTGCTTGTCGATGACGATGGAGACTTGGAGGAGGGGCGCCAGGATGACCATCAAGCAAACAAGGTTTGACCTCGACTGTTTTTGTACCTCTCTCCTAACTTACAGATGTTCCCACATTAGGCTTCCACCAAGCGTGCAAAGGACCGTCGTGAAGAGGTTCCGGTTTTCTCAACCCCTACTCGCCGCCGTAATGGTGAAGTAGTGGAGCACTTGGGCGTCGTGAGTTGGACCCCACACTTACAGTATGGCTGCAGCTTACACTGTTGATACAGGCTTCCCCGGTGTATCCCTCTGATGACGAAGAGGCAGAGGAAGAGGATGATCTCCCTGCTGGGGAGGATGAAGATGTTGACGCTCTCCCTGCCCCTGGCTCACGCTCGCTGATTCCGACGTCGATGTCCCTTCAAGATAAACAGTGGCCTGTCGCAATCCGTCTGGTCTTACCAGACTCTGGCAAGCGTTGCCTCAAGCTTTTGGCCCAGCGACCCATTGTCAAGTCGGTCCTCACTGCTGGCATCACCGCTATTGTAGAGCTATGCTATTTTAGCAGGGGCCCTTTCATCTCTATCGCATATGGTTACCGCGTTCCTCGCAAGCTTCTCATGAAGGTTGCCGGGGACCTTGCCAAGGACCATCCGAACATTGGCTACGAAGATTTCGCCCAACGTGTTAGCAAGGATTCTGAGTATGGAATCCTTGTTGCTCGTCTTGTAAGTCTCACATTGGTGTCTGCTCTGGACTCATTCTAAAAATTGTTTCATGCAGCTCATGCAGCGTGTTGCCAACCTTCGTGGAAATTGGAAGAAGGTTGCTGCTCAAAAAGTCGAAGCCGTGTTTGGTCTTCATGTCACCGGCCGGGGTCAAGCGAAAAGGATTTCCAGCCTTGTCAAGAAGGAGATTAAAGGTCTCACTTTTGTCTACCCCCGTAATGCGGTACGTCGTCTCTCTTTGTTTTGTTGAAAGAAGACTGAGGTATGTGATAGTCCGGTGGCATTGTTGCCACCGAGCCGTTCATGCATCAATGTGTACTTCAGGTCATCCACGAGTGCATTTTCAGGAAGACTGGGAAACAATCTACAGCTCAGAAATACGACGATAAGTTTCGCAAGGTCGACTTCGTCAAGGACGACAACACCTTGACTCGCAAAGTGGTTACCGACGCGATGGTTTGTTTTGCAGCTACTGTAGTGAGTTCTCCCATGTTTGTCGTTGTCCGAGTCTCATTTTGATAACACCTCCCAGGTGCACGCCGCGCTGGATGACTGGGCACACGGCCACCGGATTTCCACCAACTTCAATGCCGACACCTATGAAGATGTGTTCCACACTATGATGGAAGTTGTTGATACTGTCCGCAAGGTTCGCAACGGTGCAGCATATAACACCTTGATGGCCCGGATCTACACCGAGTGCAGGTACGTCACCGCATGTCTTCCCGTTCTTCCGTTTATTGTACTTATCCTTCCATTCCCTCTAGCAAAGGAACTCCTTCTGCCAGTGCTGCTTCTGTCGAAGAAGCTGTAGCGAGGATCGACCTTGACAACATGCCTACCGACATCACCTTATTTGAATGCAACGACGACGAGGGCGAGGATGAAGATGTCGGAGAGCAGGCTGAGACTTCATCGGCTACGGCTTAGATACTAGTAGTAGTTACTTGACCCTCAATCCTTTTCCCTTTTGTCCGTACATCTGAGTATGAATTTGCGTATAACTTTTTTTTCTTTCCTCATCATTCATACGATATTCAGTGAGCATGAACCGGTATACACCCAGCAAAAGGCTGAGGGAATACTGACCGAATAAGGCAGGAATAGTCCCCGATACAGCTATTGGTGACTATTCCGCGCGCGCGAAAGGGTCAACATATAAATTTGGCTATTCTGGCCTACCATCCGTATTGGCATTCAAATAGTCCTACTGGGGTATGTATATGCTGATATAGTCTCAAATACATTTCTGGGATTTTCCTGATGAAGTTGATTTGAAATGACGCTTCCGAATAAATCGTTGCCCTGAACTCTTTTCATGCACTGAAGCATTACGTCGTGGACTCCAGCCCCGATGACTGCTTCGAGTCCTGACCACGGGCTTGCATGAGCCTGGTACGACATCCGAAGCGTGTTGGCTACCAGTAACATTCCAACTTGAAAAGTCAGAGCACCAGGCTGGTCCAAACACGGTACTAGAACCTTCACCCATGATTGGAGAAACCCAGCCCGACGGAGCGCCCGATATACTGACTGATTGCGGCTGAGACGGTTCACTATGACGGTCAGAACCTTCAGCGCACGCTGCAACGGCCCAAACGTCTCGTCAGTCGGTTTCACACCCTCTAACATCTCCCGGACTTTGTCCAAGTGCGCAACAACGCCTTTTGCAAGCCTGGGGAGGCGTTTCTCATCGGAGAGGAGGTAGGTGATAAAGGCGTCCTTTTCGAACCTTTCCTGGGTTGCGTCCATGTGTTCTCTTAGAATGAGAGCGAAGATATTCGAAGGAGGGGGTGTCAGTATATCGCAAGCTGGCCAGCATTTGATGATGACCTCGAATGTCTTCTCCGATTCGGTCACCACTTGGTCAATCCGAGTGTCGATGCGAAGTAACCTAGCCAGGAGCAGACAAGCAAATTCCCCGACCAACTCTTTCCTTTGGAGAGGATCCTTGGACTTTGGGGCGAGGACGTGGTCCACGAGAAGTAGCGTCCAGCTAAGGATGCCCTCGATGCAGTCATGGACCCTGTCGGCGGTGGTCTGGAGAAGAGACCTTGTCTTGTAACAGTTGTCGAGACAAATGCAGAGGCAGGCCATAATTGCAAGCATCGGCTTAGCTATGAACAAGGTATCCAATGCAGCGTACGACCTGGCTTTGGGAAGCTTCTCCATCTGGAAGTGTGTCAGAAGAGACTCGAGGAGTGGAATTGAATAGGTTTCGAGAGAGATGAGATCCATGAGGCTTTCGAAAACTGACAGGTCGTACGACCTTGCCTGGGCAATAAGCGGAAGAATGGTCAGCACAGGTATCAACACATGACGGATTGATGATTCACTTACTTTGGGTGGGATGGCAGACATAACGATAACGATTTAAATGCAACTATAGCTTGAATTTAAGGGGCGTGGAACGTTACGACGATGAAAAACCCGTCGCTTTTATATATGCTGGAGGTGTTTCTTTGTGGCACAGGTCCATTGTCCGGCGATCAATCTGCCGCCCGTTAGCCCATTGTCAACTCTGGCACTTTGGCGCAACTGGACACAATGAAGTTACCGTGACTCGGACTTGTGGTCGGACCGTTGCATGGTTACTCGTATGTTGAACGCTCGAGTAGTAAGTACGACCAAGCGTGGGCACCCAATTGACAAAGTATCTCCGCTTTGGAACTAGATCCCATTGTCCAAAAAAATCTGTATCTGTAGCCCCGCTGCCCCTCGTCGAGGCGCCGCTCGACTTGGTCCTTTATTTGTCTATGCCTTCCCTCTATTTACCTACGCCCTTAGATGCTGACATTTCGTTTTTCTTCTCCTCCGTACCAGGATAGCTGTACGTAGCTAGTCATTTTCAGCACGGCGTATTATAATTCAATCAAGGTCCCATGTAATTTTCAAGGCTTTCGTGTGCGGCAATGCCACTCTTTGGGGGGCAATTTTGGCCCTCGGGTGATTCTGAATCCGGTTCGTTCGGTCGTGCAATGCTTGAACCTGAGCTTGAGCCTTGAATACCCATAGAGGGTATGTTATCGATCATTCCACGTAACGACCTGTCTTCTCCCGCACGTACAAGGGAAGGTGTCGAAAACTAGGGCGATTCACGGTCGGTTACCTACCTGATTCATTATACTCGCTTTCCAAAGACAAAGTTCAGTCGCTCGCCGAGCCCTGCCCCGGCTCTCTCCGAAGTTGAAGAACCACTTGGAACAGGTGATAAATGAATAGCTATATTGTCCTTGAATTAAATGAGCGAAAGGTAACGAAGTATACCGCTACTAATTGTCCGATCTAAACGAGAGTGTGCAGGTAACTAATTAGTCAGTTCACGAAGTAAGTTGAGTATCAGATGTTAGTCCATTCCCTGTCCCTTCCTGTGGTTTTAACCTTCCGGGTTGATCCAAAGCAACGTTCACCCTCGGATGCTTTGAACGCGTGATGCTGGTGATGATGTTGGTGTAAGGATCTAACACGTCCAGCTCGACTGTTCACGTTTAATCCCACCAAGAGTCGGGTTCTCGTCAGAAGAATTGGAATTGCATAAAGAAAGGAAGCACGTACATCGCGAACTCCAGGAGCTCCGACCCACTGGTAAGGAGGAAGTCCACCCAGGCATTCGGCGACACTAACGAAGCGGTAGCCGGCAGCCCTGAGCGTCTGGATCGCGTACGGAAGGGTTTCGTAACTATCAAAAGGTCCGATTTAGCCAATCACCTTTCGCGAAAAGGGATCGTTAGGTATGTAACTTACACGCTTGTCGCTGTTGGTGTGAAAAGTCGTAGAGAATAAGATCAGCTCGGATCACAGAAGTGGGGGCAGCATACGAAAGAAATCGTACGCACCATGAACTTCGTGCTGCAGAGAAAGAATCGAATCAGGTCGAGCAGCTGCAGCTTCATCATAGAGTTGCTTCTGGCGTTCAACGGAAGCCGATCGGCCATCTTCAGAGCTACGAGAACCTGATTAGCACACAATTTCTATTCGGAAGTCCCGGGATTAAAGGCATGACGTATCGCCCCCTTGACATGGGAGTGGAACGGGGGACAAAGGGAGGCGGCATACGAGGGAAAGTACGTACTCAAAGTCCCAGATCACAATTGACTGGCCACGAATAGCAGATGCTTCCAACACGAGGTCGTTGAACTCTCCATAGGCTGTTTCCAGGCAAGCAAGCTTTAAAATAACGCGTCGATTCGATGTTGAAAGACGTACGAGGTCGCATGAATGCCGGATAAGCACCCGTAATTCTAGACAGTGCCACTGCGGGCCAAAAGAGTCAAAGTTAGCCTCAATAACTCTAACAGTAAGGATCATCTTTTCGGTGAGGAAAGTGAACTTACACTCTACACGCCACATCTCATCGTGAACTAGCGGAGGTGCGAAGTTGAGAATCAGACTAAACCCATCGATGAGGCATGCGTATGAACGTACTTTCGTCCCAGCTCAACTCTGTCATGCGCCTGTGCGCCCAGGTGTGCGAGGCAACCTGGTGGCCGCTGTCATACGCGAACTTGAGGGCGTCAGACAGGGGAGGGTCGTAGATGCATCCCCAGTTCATGCCGTCTATGGCCCAAGGAAAGTGGGTCAAAGGAGAAATCGAGAAAGGATGAACGGTGTACGCACTAACGAAGAACGTCGCTGTAACATTCTGTTGGTTTAACATCGTGACCAGATCATTCCTACCGATACCCGATATGTTAGGCCGACGCATTTTTCATCCTTTGCAGACGACAGCACTCACAGGTAATAGAATGGCCCATCATCCTAGCTCGAAACTGTGATGAGCTGAAAAGCTGCGAGAGGGTGACTTGTACGGGTGGCGACTCACAAAGGTTAAAGCGACTGTGTTCGAGACCGTGCATTTTCGGAAAACTTGAGCGGGTGCGCGCTTTGCAATGGTCGCAGCGTGAGCATTTCCAACCGAAAGCGAGAGTACGGCTGCCAGGGAAGAGTAAAGGAGAGGAAGGAACCGCATTGCTCACGATCGTTGGGGGCGAAAGGCGAGCTGGGAGTACAGGAAGGGAAAGAGAAAGGAGGGAATAGGAGGGGTGGCGGCCGGAGAGGGACGCGCGGGCCCTTAAAAGGCTTAAATTCACCTTCGTGCTGATATCCATCAAGGCGTCAAGCCTTCAGGTGCCGCACGACGATTGCTGAATAAAGCAATCTTTACCGATTGGGCAGCTCATGGATGACGGGCCGAGAGAATTTAAGGAAAGCCTCCACCATGTGGATGGCTGTTTCTGGAATGCCAATAATCTCTGAAACGTCCAGTTGTTAGTAGTAGCATAAAGGGTAGAGCTAGACAGGATAGACTTACAAGGAGCGAGTAGCAGATGCTCAGAATCCACTGGCTTCGATGTAACGCAGTCGAATGAACATTGAAGTCGATCACCGGACATCAAACAAGGGGGGAAGGATTGTTCGGCTGCATAGGCCCATGTGTTTCGCCCTTGGAAGTTGGACATCCTACATACATAGATAGATCGAAATGGGTGCCGTTATTGGCAGCGATATCCTGGGCGCGGGTGATAATCCCGACGGTACAGGTCCAGATGGGCAGAATCTGGACAAAATGTCGACGGGGACTGCCAGGGGCTGCCTTGGGAACATCATGGGACGAAGGCTGCTTCCCACCCTGATAAGTACCGGCCCTCACATGGATGATGGATGTACGTTCGGATCAAAGCGTGACGCGTGATTCCGCGCCGTAACAAGCGGGGGAACACTGAGATTCAAAGTTGAATCGGAGCTTTGGATTCAGCGCCTAATAGTTCGAATTTTTATTTTTAGTCCGGCATGAGACGCTACCGGACTTCAGACGTGGCCGCTGCTTCGACTCCATACGGTGGGCGCATGGGGTCTGAAGCCGCTATCAGCCCGAGTCAATGCCGTGACGGCGGTCACGCTAGGCTTTCACCCTCTCCCAAGTCCCTGCCCTGTCGGTTTGCGCCCAACTCAACCACCTCCCCCGCCTCGGATGTCTCCCAACGTAGAGCTACCTGTTTCAGACTCGACGACAGTTTGATCTGTCACTGAGTGACATTCCCCCACGATCATCCAGCATCAGTGGATCAGGCAGCAGGCTGTGCGAGCCTTCGATTACAGTTCCGAGGGCGACGATGACTTCTGGACGATCGTTATCATCTCGCATCACGAAACATATACGGCGCCGTCCCGTTCTATAAACCGTTCTAACTCTTTTCTTACCCTGCCATTCCCTCTCGCTTCCGACACTGCGATAGATGTCGACACTTCATGGCCCTGACATAGCTGCCCTAATTCAAAGCGCCCAAAGCCAAAGGTGAGCTGGATAACCAAACTGTTGCGACGGTGAACTAAAAGAACTGACCTTTGCGCAGGCGTACATACAGTGTTCAGTTTTGCAGCTTAGGTGAGTCGATCCCTCCTTAAAATGCGCCCGTAACTTACCCCTTAAATCGAGCCCTGCTTTATTACGACTACAGTTTAACGTTCAGAGACGAAGTGAATTACATCTGGAAGAATCCCTGGCGGCTATCCACGCTTCTCTATATATTTTGTCGATACGCTCTCGCCGCCAACTTAATCTATGTGCTCGCAATATCGAGTGAGATAACGGGACTTGAGGTGAGTCCCACAATACCTTAGTCAATCGTATCGCTTACTGACGGATGTCTTCAAGTGAGTGAGGTAGTTCTCGGCCAATTGAATTGCCTCTAATCCACGAGTGTGGTGCCTCAAGCTGCAATACTGGGTACATCATATGCGGCGTACTCAGCATCCTTGGTCACGCCGGCGTCATTGGTGGGTTTATGTGAATGAATCCAAATACATGTCCTCACATCTTCGTCGCCACAGCTGTTTGGGGCCTCAGAACATGCGCGATATTCGAAAAGAACAAGATTGTCATGGCAGTGTTGGGTCTCCTAGGCTCTACAGTGATTATTCTTTTGATTGTGCGCCTCTTTCACACCTACATCGACCAGAAACAAGTCACTGACTCCACACCCTTGCCTTAGATACGATCTCCCTTCAACAAATGCAGCGGAAAGCTGATGTTCCCGGGGTAAGCTCCCATCTTTCCGTCCTACATGGCGCGTCCTAAGGGTAGCCTCCTTCCCATTGATATAGTAGTAAGCTCTGAAATCGGTCTAATGCAATCCCCGGAATGCACTAACGGATATCCCCAGTTCGCGGTGCAATATCAGCGATCATGGTCACGTTCGACGTCCTCGCCTTTCTCTTGGCAAGTCTCCGAGCATGGAGGACGATACGACACGACGCCAAGTTCTGGTCGAATCCGAGAGCATCCATCAACTACGCAATCTTCTCACAAGGTGACCTCCGCGATGTTTGTACGGCTTTACTTTGACTGACGGATGCCTTTAGGACTGATCTACATACTGTGAGCTATGTTTGGACACCTGTGTTACCCATCCCGCTGAAACGTTGGTAACGAAGACCTGTCTTCCTGTTATCTGTGACGACTTTATCACTGAATTGGGTATGTCAAAAAGTCTAATTGCGATTTCCCTTGATGATTGAACGCCCATCACAGAAACTCCCCGTCCTCTTCGTTAGAACATTCAACGCATTGAAGCTACCGTAAGTGGCACTCTAGGTTTGATCAAGGTGAAACTGACAGTTGTCATAGCCTCGCTGGACTGTTAACCGCGCGCTTCCTAATAAAGCTACGGATATGGGAGGACCATCGACGCCAACACGAAACCAGGAGCCTCGAGGTGGACACGTATAACGCTTCCACATTCGAGGATGGGATGTCAGCCAGTCTCCCTGTCTGGAACGTTCCCGGACAGGCCACACACTCGTCGCAAGGCTCTGTCCTCGACGAACTTGGGGCTGACATTGGACCGGGACCTGATGAGATCGCCGACATCGCCCTTCGCGAGCGCGATAGACATGATGAGCCTGAGGAAGTTCCCACGCCGACGAAAAGCCCTCACACCCCCGATGAAGAGATGGGCGAAGTATCGAAAAGAAGACTATCCATATGGAAAGGGAAGCAGAGAGCGGTACCGAACGATCGAGAGGTAGCCGTTGTAGCGCAGTGAGTTCGTATCTATTGAAACTTCTGTCATAATTTCATCTTATACGTCTCCTCCGTCTAGGTCTGCACGGCTGGAAGGGCTTCCAGTGCTAAATGCAACAGATCCTTACTCGTCGCTGGAGAGCCCGTCGACGATACGCAATAGAGCGAAGACGGCTATATTCCCCAGCTCATCATCATCAACCGCCAGGGTAGCCACTAGTCAGACAGCCTCTACATCGCATTGACCTAACCGAGACGATCTTCAAGTTCGTGCACAAGGGCGGATAACTTGTACAATAGTATTTATAGTAGATGCAATTCTAATTTGTACCACTATAGCTTCCCCTCACGATTAAGCTCCAGGGAAACTACTAGAATACACGGGTCGGATCTCAACAACTGTCCAATTTGGATTGAAGCGCCCAACAGTACCCTGGGCGCTTAAGACTCAGTGACAGGCATTTTGATGGCAGGCTGTACCACGACAACGGTTGCGGAGTATCATCCTGTCTATCTGATTGAACGTCCATCCGTCACATCGCCATTGATCACCGTCAGCAGAAGAACAAACCCGTCCGGGTCCAAATGATTGACAGGAAGTGTTAATATCTCACTCAAGGGAGTCAACGCCTTGATGCTGGGCGTCTCAGTCCAACCTGTGCAGCTCCTGTCCAGACTATAAAGGCTTGTGTCATGCTGGGGTACGCGGTCGTCATTACCTCGAAATGGCTAGCCGCGCTATTTTAGACGACAGGAATCCAGCCATCCAATATCTCGGTGCATGGGAGAGAGGTGGAGAACCAGAAGAGCACGCGGGGACCTCAACATACACCAAGTCTGCCAACAGCACTGTCGAGCTGTCGTTCCATGGTAAGATGAAAGCGGCTACAACCTCTACTTCTAACCTTTTTATCACCTCAGCCTCCGGGATCAGAATCATCGGTACGGTGGATTACGCCCAAGACAGTCATCCAAACCCTATTTCGAGCTACACCTTGGACGAAACGTCCGAGTTTCGCTTTGCACCACAGTTGCAGGCGAACAAGACGTTCAATGTGACATTTTTCGAGGCGTCGGGACTTCAGATCAGGGAACACCAACTTGTCATACGAAATGAAGTTCAAGGTGCAATGTTGGCACTAGACCAGGTGATACTTATAAACCCAGGTATAGTGCCAAATTCGTGAACACGGCGAAGATCTAAGTGACATCGATTCCTCAGACTTCTCATCGCTGCCTAGAACAACTCTGATTGTTTCTCAGAGTGCTCCTACAGCTTTAACTACACAAAGCATACCGCCACCACCCGTAACCAGACCGTCGACTCAGGAGCTCCACTTCGGGGTAAAACTACTTCACCAATACCTGCCATCGTGGGCGGGACGCTGGGCTGTCTTATCTTCGTCTCGGTGCTCGGAGTTCTCCTGTTCGTCTTCAGACGAAGGATTCGGTCGACGAGGAGACTTGCTGTTCCCAAAGAAAATCATAGATACGACGTCAATCCGCTCACGCTTCCAGGCAAATCAACGCGCAGAGCCTATCCACCGCCCCCAAGCATCTGGGATCCCCCTAGCAGCTACTACCCAGAATCCTCCAATCACTCTTCTCACTACAGTAAGTGAATATTGGTGTTAGATCAGTGTCACTTCCCTAGCTAACGTTAGAGTCGCTTGTTACGCCAGCTTCTTCAGAAAGGCCTGCTACAAGGCACGAGGCGTGACCATGGCCTTTCAACACGTTGAGCAGTTGTCTACAACTTCCCCTGCCTGACTTACGGTTTAGGTGCATGGTTCTATATATAACCTTTTCACTTGACCGAAAACGTTGAGCTGCGTGGAAGGTGTGGGTTCCTCACACTTTATAGGCCCTATATCTGTGGCTGATACACCCCGAGGTACCCGTCTAGTCGCGATGAGAGCGGGGGAGTGGCGCTGAGCATTTGGTTCGCGAGTAACCTTTATCAACTTTCCCTTCATCACCGTCCTCCTAACACACCGAAATGTAAACGACCGCCAGCGCTGTTTTTCGTTCCCCGGTCATGCGTCACCCCGGCATGGTATTCCAGACCCCCACCTGACTTTATGGATCTCGATCACTAATCTGATAAACTCATTGATCTGGTATACAAATGGTCCACGGATTCCTAAGCCGGCGCCTTTTCTGACTCGTTACAGTCTCGGGTAAATACCTCATACATCCGGCAAAGTGCCTAAACAGTCCTTTCGTCATCTGGTTATATACATAGACGCTTTGAGGGACCGATGAGCACGCCAACCCTCTTCCTTTCCGCTGCTCATCCCCTCCCCGTTTGAGGACCCTTCCGGGGCTTGCGCCCAATGTCGACCTTATCAGCGATGGAAAGTGGCTCGACGGCGTCTAGCTCCCCTTCCAACTCACGGCCAAGTTCGATACACTTCTTTGACAAATCAAGCCGGGGAACACAAGCTCGCAAGACATATCTCAAGGTATTCATCTCAGGGACAGTCTTGGTAACCTTGATGATCTTCGGTATTCTGTCGATATACTGGGGTGCACTATGGAAGGTGCCTGCTAGGAATTTGGAAGGATGGGTCGTAGTGAGCGGTGTACACATGCTGGCTTAAACAGAGACTCAATCCAATCCGCGGTTTAGGACTTCGACGGTGGCTTCATAGGCGAGGCCACGGTACACGCGCTCACCACGACAGCGTCACAGCAAGGTCGAATAACGTGGATACGTCAACCTGCTAGCTCGTTTCCGGGAGGCCTCGAGGACCTAGCGCATAGTCTAAGGGAGGAGCACACATGGGCTGCAATTGCCAGTGAGCAAGCATTTGAAATAACGTCCAATGCATGTCCAATTCACGTTTCCTCTGAAGTCCCTCCAGATTCGAGCTCTCGACTTCAGGCAGCGCTCGAGGCCCCTACCCAGACGTACGATGGATCAAGAGCAATAATCGCATACGGTGTAGAAGCGCGAAACGAGAACGCATTGTAGGTCTACTGCGTTCGGCTGTCAAGTTAACGCGAAGCTTACTGGAGAGGTCCAGTCGAACCCTAATCCGACCCTCCATTGAATCAGCTCTGCACTCCCTCTCTCGTCAACTCGCTCAAGAGGTTAGCTCGCAGGCTGCGGTCAACCTTTCATCTACCGCCTTACAGAACCTGCTACGAAATACACCTCAAACCCTCGTAGCCCCAGTAGGATTTACTATCGAGAACCTCATTCCATTCGACCAACCTGTGTAAGCCGATCTTTCATTTCGCTCCTGACAGCGTAAAGTTTTAATCCTCTGCCAGTGCGACAGCTGCTACGTTCGTCGGAATGCTCTTACAACTCGTATTAAGCTTCTTCATCGTGGTATGCCTCTAGTTTCAATTTTAACGGATGCGCTCTCCACGTGTGGGGTCTAACTTTAGTACATGGGCAGATGACAGCTCTGGGAGCAAGAGAGGCGTCCCAGTACCAACACACTCTGTCAACGCCTCGACTCATTCTTCTCCGACTTGCATCAGCTTTCGGCGCATTCTTCTTCGTTTCGGTACACTCCCTCCTATTCGCCTCGAAGACGTTGCATCAGTCCTAACTCTGGCCCTTAGCTCATGTATTGCCTCCTCAACCTTGCTTTCCAGATCGACCTGAACCGAAAGTAAGTCCGAGCACTAGTGTACTAACCACCCCCTCGTCGAGCGCTGATACGATCTGAAACGCACGTCAGATACGGACATGGTGGATTCATGGTATTCTGGATGGTCAACTTTGTCGGCATGCTGTCAACGTGGGTCTAATATCACAGTCTAACCATTTCCAAACTATCATGCTGATGACGTCTCTTCGCTTCGCTCTCCAGGGGATTAGCCATCGAATCCATGATCACGCTGCTCACGCCCAAGGGGATCCCGTTCTTCTTGTTACTCTGGGTCATCGGTGCGTCAATATTAATTCCAAATATAACAACCCCACTTTCCGTTGCATCCGCTTCCTGTTCTGACGCTTCGAATTCTAGTTAACCTTTCGGTGTCCATCTTCCCTATCGAAGTCCTTCCCGTGGTCTACAGATACGGCTACGCAGTTCCTTTCTACAATATGTCTAAAGCTCTCCGAACGATTGTGTTTGGGACTAAAAATCATAGTGAGTGGCCCCGTCAATCGAGTGCTTCGAACTCGAACTCTAACCCTCCATAGTTGACAAGACATTCGGCATCCTCATCGCATGGATTGTCATTTCCTGCATCACCCTCCCTCTTTTCCAGTGGTTCGTCCGTAGGAAGCCAACGAGCGAACCCAAGATCACCACTCGTTCCAACGAGGATGAACTTGAAGATCGCCCGTTTCGCGAAGAGAAGAAGCACAACGTATTGAATGATGTCCAAGCCGACTTTCAGGAGTCCAGGGAATCCGAAGACAAAGGAAGACCAAGAATAACTTCAACTCCCCACTAATACGCAAACAGCCCAAAGATACTAGACCGCGTGATCATGCTCGGTAATTCAATCCTCACCGAAGTGCTCTATTTATTCCACCAGATTTACAATGGTAATTAGCCTACGGAAGAGATATATCCGTAGTGATACTCATAAAACATGGTCGTCTCCACTTATGTCGAGCCTGGACTTTGCGCCACAGGCCCCTGCTCCTGACCAATGACCTCTCTAGAACCTCTTCGGCAGACCTATAAATATCGAATACAATCCCCTTTCTCCTCTTCTTATCCTCTTCCTGCTACACCATTTCATTTTTCAACGATGTCCGAGAAATCAACCCCAATGGGCAACCCTGAATGTCCGAGTGGCGCGAATCACACGAACGGGCACCTCTGTTTCTTCGACAAGTCTCCTGAAGGGATTACCGCTCGAAGGACTTACCTGAAGGTCTTCATCTGTGGAACACTCTTCGTCGCCGTGATGATATTCACCATCCTCCCCATCTACTGGGGAGCACTATACAAAGTCCCAGTGCGAAATCTTGAAGGGTGGGTCGTGGTAAGCACATCCGATTCAACTCACTTCACCTTCCTCTCCGCTATATCCACCCGAGTGGTGGGTGGAGACTTACACTGTGCAAGGATTTCGATGGTGATATGCTAGGCCAAACCATTTCCCAAGCCCTCGTCCAAATCGCTGCACAACGAGGACGCATAACATGGATTCCGAAACCTGCGTCAGACTTTTCCAGAGGCCTCGAAAACCTCGCCCAAGACGTGCGCGACGAACGTATCTGGGCTGCGATTGCCAGTACGCCGCCTCTGATTGCTATCTCGTCCTGTAGCATACTCATCCGAAATCACATTTCAAAGTTTCGCCTAGCTCTACAACGACCCTCTTTTCTTCAATCCAAATTCCCAACCCAGCCTACAATGGTTCGAATGTGATCACCGCCTACGCTGTGGAAGCACGGAATGAACAAGCCTAGTAAGCGCCCAGCCCTTATCGACTTGACAGGACATCGTCTCATTCAACCTCTTCTCAAACTCGACTCAACCAATAATCTTCCTTCATGAAGCCGAGGCCTCATCCGTCCCTCAATCGACCTGGCACTCACGACCATCTCGCACCAACTCGCGCTCGAAACGACAAAACGCGCATCAAGGATGCTTTCCCCAACCGCTCTCCAGGTGCTATCCCAAGAATCGCCTCAGACTTTGGTAGCACCTGTGGGATACACGATTCACAACCTCATTCCTTTCGACCAACCTGTGTAAGGAGTCATTGGTAGTCACCCCTCCCTCGATGGAATATCTGACGCTGGTCGTGACGTTCGTCTGCAGTGCAAGTGCTGCAACATTCGTAGGGATGCTGTTGCAATTGGCGTTGAGTGCTTTCGTTGTGGTACGTCTCCACATCTCCAGCGCAGAAAGGCTAGCCGATAATCTGAACCTACTAATACATAGATGGTCGCCTTCGGAGCTCGAACACTTTCAGGATACGAACACTCCCTTTCAACGACTCGACTCCTAATCCTCCGCTTCGTCTCCATCTTTGCTGGTTTCTTCTTTATCTCCGTAAGCCCTTTGCACATTTCCTCTCCTTCCTCGCCCACCGAGAAGCTGATGTATGTGATACGGGGAAGCTCATGTACTGCCTCCTCAACCTCGCCTTCCAACTGGACGTCACACGCAAGTATGGACATGCAGGCTTCGTCGTATTCTGGATGGTCAACTTCCTCGGGACACTTGCTACGTACATCCTCCGACTCTCTCGATTTTCGTGGAGTGAATTGTAACCCGTGCCCTTCTAGCGGTCTAGCCATCGAGTCCATACTCATCCTCTTCGGACCAAAGGGTGTTCCTTTCTTCTTGCTTCTATGGATCATTGGTCAGTACAGCTTCTTCCACACTTACTACTTCGCTATGCTGAACGCTTTGGACAGTGAACCTCTCAGCGACGTTATTCCCCATTGAAGTCCTCCCAGCCTTTTACCGATATGGATACGGAGTCCCGTTTTATAGTCTTACCAAGGCGTTGAGGACCATCGTCTTCGGGACCAAGGATCGCAGTACGTTTCCCCTTGAAATGCCGTAATGGAAATCATCCTGACCAAGGTCAATGGTAGTGGGACGAACCTGTGGTATCCTGATCGCATGGATAAGTATCTCATGTATCACGATCCCCGTTTTCCAGTGGTTGGTACGAAGGCGCCTAAGGGTTCCCAAAGAAACACCCGGCGAAGAAAAACCAAATCACGATGGTCATTAACTAATATTCGATCTGTTAGCTACAAACGCGCTATCAATACAAGTGTTCTGTCGTCCAACCGATAGATTACAATGTACGAGAATAAGCCACGAATTATGAAGCAGAGTACAGTACCGGAAAGCAACTCGAATCACAAAACTGACCCTATTCAAAAGTCGTGTCCCTGCTCAAAACCACTCGTCAAATCTTCCCAATCCCAGCCAACACCTTAAACACATGATCCTGGCGATCCCTAAACGCCCTCAACTTGGTCAGCTCCAACGCCAGCGCATTAATCCTATTCGCAAACGCCACGGCCCTCCCCTCCACACTCGAGCGCGAGTTCGCAGTCTCCCTCTCCACACCAATCCCACACTCCAACATGCGCTTCACTCTCTCCAGCCGCGTAGCTGGCGGGGCCTTGTCCTGCGCAACGAGCTTTATCGCCAAGTTGTTGTCTTCCTCTTCGAGTTCCTGGGCTTCACGTCCGATCCCGATTAGCTCGAGCATGAAGGGTCGAAGAGGGGGTGGGCATTCTTCGAGGGTGAGGCGTTTACCGAGGACGCCTACTACCTCTCCTTCAGATGTGATAGCGCGTGTCGAAACGTCGAGGATAGCGAACGCGACGGAACCGTAGTACGCTCGTGATGGATCAGTGGTGAGGAGCTGCCGCAGCGAGGGTGTTCGTTCAAGCTGGTCTGCGAGCGAGGCGTACAGCGTTTCTCGGATGAATTCGATAGCTGGGGAGTCAAAGGTGAGGAGCGAGGGTGATGTTGGCGACCGTGGAAGAGATGATGTCGATCCAGCGGAGCTGGGTGGCGTGAGGTACGGGTTGATATTCGGAGGGCGATTCCGCGGAGGCAGGGGCGGACCATCCAGCGAGGTTCGAGGGGACGAGGGCACAGATGACGACGTGGAGGCTGTAGACGATGTCGAGGCCGTGTCGTACATGGGCGGAGGCACGAACGAGGCGCGTTTCGACGACCGACTAGGTCCACCCGCGTCCAGTGCAGCCTGCAGCGCGGCAGCATACCGGTCCTGGAACGACCTCCTCTGGCTGATCTCGATAGCAACCCCTCTCAAATCCGCAGCAATCCCGTTTATTGTGATATTAATAGGCTGGCAGAGGGGCGGTAGGCCGCAGATGACTCGAGCGAGGTCGTGCTGGTACTCCGGTGCGAGGTCTTGGATCAGGGGGACGTTCTTCGCCCATACTTTGAGGAAAGAAATAAACGTCGGCGGGCAATTTTCATAGGACAGGTCGGTAGGCTGCTTGGTTGACCCTTTGGCTCTGGGTAGCGGAACGGAAGGAGGGTTGGTCGTCGAACGCAGAGCTGCAAAGTAGAGACATAGCGCTGGGCCTGTCGTCGTCAAGATTTAAGTCGCATGTTTCAGCATCATCAAAAGCAACGACGTACCTGTGATCATCAAATCAGCCTCAGCGCTGCTCAGCAAATCCTCGTCCAACAATCGTTCCGCCTTCGCCTGCGTCAAGGACGATTTCAAATAGCTGTGAAAGCTGTCTTGGATCAGCTCTTCCGACAACCGCTCTACACCATTCGTCTGCGCGCTCGAGGAAGAGGAGGAGGCGGATACCATCTCTGGCTGGGAAGTTCAGAGTGGGGAGAGAAGAGGAAGAGGAAATTGAATGCTGGACGAGATCACCTTGGGAAAACCATATGAGCGTTTGGGAAAGATTGGACAATTGTGGCTGTGTCCCACTGCCCTGAATATTTCGTCATAGAAAGCACTGCCACTTGGGTCGTTTTGGCAATGGGCGGTGCATTTGAGGTCGTAAAGATAGGCGGAACTTGGGAGAGTCGCACCAGACGAACTGAATTATAGGAGGATGAGGTCAGAGCTGCTGCACGTTCGAGTTCGGTCGTCCGGATCTTCTTTACGATGGAATTCGCTCTTGAGGAGTAGGCGCTTACTCGCACCGGTTTTGCTTCCAAAGAAACGAGAATTCAATTCCGTCGACAATACATTCCGTTTTCGTCCCTCCTCAAATACAGCGGAGAGAAGCCCGTGACACTGTCATACAACCGGTCCCTCGTTAACAATGCCAGGAATCCTGGGTCGAGTAGTTATTCAAGTGACGAGGATCGGATAGATATTTCATCGCACTTACATCTCTCGTGATAGGTGCATTGTACTTCTGGTACGGTTCCACACCAAGGCATTCAGCGACAGTAACCAAGCGGTACCCGGCCGCTTGGAGCTTCTGAATAGCGAAGGGTAGTAACTGGTGCCTACATGTCGATCGAATATTAGCACAAGTACCACCGCTTTGGCGTTGGGAGTAGGAACTCACGCAGTCCAATCTGCAAAGAAACGGCGAGTTTAGTTCGTCCGTCGGACATCTATGCGAAAGGGAGGGCCTCACCGTTGGTTTCATGGTTCAGCGTCAAGATACTATCCGGACGTCTAGCGGCTATGTTCGCGTACAAATCCTGGGAATGCTGAAGAGACGCGCCCGAAATCGCGTCCTCCGAGCTAGGAATCATGTCGGTCAGTCCAGCTGAGTGACAAGGAGAAAGATGGACGTGCTCAAAGTCCCACATGACGATAGCCTGGCCCCGACCATTTGCAACTCCAGTGACCAGGTCGTTATAAGCACCATAGGCTAAGAGTTGAACTGTATTAGGAGGGATTCGAGGGGATGCAAGCAGACATCGGGCTCACGGGGGCGCACAAACGCGGGTGTTACACCAATAATCCTCTGAATCGCGTCTGTTTGGAGGACGAATTAGCACTAAGGGGAACCACAAAGGATCTCACGAACGCACCATCAATTCTCTCCAGCTCGTTGTTGACTATAGTAGAAGACCTCAGTTAAAGCACCCTTTGAATACCAAGGCTGATGACAAGCGCTTACTCTGATCCCATCCCAACTGTGCAAGATTCGCATGAGACCAAGTATGTGAAGCAATCTGGTGACCTTTTTCGAATGCGTACTTGACAGCGTCGGCTCTATCCTGGTCGTAGATACAGCCGCCAACTGCGTCCGCGACGAAAGCCAGTTAGTAGGGGTGGGGAGTGCGAGCGACGAGAAGGCGCGTACAGTTTTTCCCATCTAAGAATAACTTAATATGGAATGGTTGATTGGATGGAGGGAAAAGGCGCACTGAAGAAAAAAGTCCCCTTCGCGTTCGAGTTACTCAAAGTCGTAACGATATCTTTCCTGAAGACATCCATCGTCAGAAGAACGTAATCGTCCATCGAGATCAAGGACTCACGTGTAGAGATACGGTCCATCATCCTACCAAAATATTCGATTAGCCAGCAACTCCTCTGAGAGAACTAATACTCACAAACGTCAAAGCAACAGTATCCTTCACCGTGCACTTGGTCACGACCTGGAACTGGGGCGGGCCAGGCTTTCCCTGACTGGACGGCTTGCCAGCATCCCAATCCCCCTTCCCTCCTCCATAGCGATCACCACCCTTACCCCCACCATCCTGACCATACCCACCATCCCGAGCACCAATAATCCGGGATCGAGGCTCGACGACAGGGATAGGGTCAGCTACCGTCGGGGTAGAACCACTACCAAGAGATTTAAGGTCGACTGTGGCCAATCCAATAGCGAAGATGTTGACTAGAGCTGAGAGTGCAAACATTGCAAGTTGTCTGAATCGTGTGCGGAGTGTTGGTCCTGGGAGTTCTGGGGTAAAAGCGAATGAAGAGACGAGGGTAGAATTGAATTGATCGTTTCTTGGAATTGTAAAGTGAAAGTGGTGACAAAATAAGCCCAGCACGACCAGCGTGATATAAAGAATAAAGAATTGAAGGAAGCGGAAACAGGAAGGATCGAGGGCAATGCGCGGAATCCCCAATTTAATTGCTGGGAGCGATTGCGCTGCAGGCCGCCCCTCTGCTGAGAGCGCGTCATGGAGCTGAGAGCGGTGCAATTTCACTTTGTCCAGTCCTGATCATTATGGAGAAGGGCGTGTTTTGAGATATAGTACAGCGGATAAGGTCGAACCAGATAGTTTGAACAAGACGTTTACACAGAGCTGGTGGTACGAGGGAAAGAAGCGAAGACTCGCTGGCGACACCCGCGGTGTCATTGCTACGATCTCCGCTCGAATCGGCATTGCTCTGCCGCCTCGCCATGAGCGCTTAACTCGGATGTTTGAAAGTGAGGTCATCGATGGCGACTGAAACAACGCCATTGGGGTTCAAGCTTTTCCAGTCCAATCTCGTCCCTTCAACGCCAAAGCGACCAAATCTCCTCTTTACTGGTCACAACCACTGCACAAGCGAATCAGAAATCTTGAACAGTATCAGCAATGCGCGTCCGAATCGACCGCCCCCTCCCCGCCATCCGCAAACTGAAATACTGGTCGACGACGCAGATGTCAGGTGAGATCATCCTCCTCCTTTCCCAATTTCCTATACTGAGGACCCTGATCCCCAATCCACCTCAGCGGCGAACTCGTTCCCCACCTACCGAGCTCAATTCCAGATGCCCCGCTCCGCTCGGTTCCCCGATCCATACGCAGGTCCAGTCGGAGGCCCCGAGCTGTTCAAGTCCGGAGACGCCTCGCGATACGGGTATCATACACCCGAGTACGAGCATGTCGATGAAGACCCCAGGAATTGGCCTTATAGTCTCCCAGGTGGGTGTCTTCGAATCTTGAAGGTCTTCCACTCGCTTAGGCTCATCAATTCCCGTGTCTTCCACACCTTTGAATATTGGATATTTGCTCATTTAGGTGAACGGCCTAACCCTCGATACGGCAACAAGGGAAACCCACCTATCAAGGATGGGATGGAAGCGCTCAGTCCTTGGAGTACCGCTGATCAAGGTCCGGATGGGACGGAGAAATGGGGGAGGTGGCCTGAGCCGGCCAAACCGTAGGTCAAGGTGTGGATGTGACGTCGAATTGATACGTTCCCATTTTCTCCGTACCCATTTCCTCCGTATTAACATGTACATTAGTCCGAATTGACGCGAATTCATTGTCCAGTCGCCATTCTAAGTAAAGGATAGCGATCTACCCTTGATGGAACTGATCGCAAATACTTATTCACTTTGAGCGCCCGCATGCCATAACATTCCCAAAAGGCTGTGCATCCATACCTTCTTCCCGTCGGACCAGTCCACCACGTACAGTTTGATACGGCATCAACCCAGTAACCACGAATCAACACAAAAGAGATGCATAAAGACCGGCGCCGTCAACGCCGTGTGCGTCGCTGAGCTGGCCTCATCCCACATCGTGCACCTGGCGTGCCCTACCCAAATAGCCGTCGTCTCATCCAAGCGAATGAAGTTCCTTCCTCGGCAGTGTTGTTCTGGCATTTTCATCCTTCTTTCAACCCTCGTCTTCCAGCACGTCGCACTCGGAGCGCCGCTCTCAATATCTCAGGAGCATGAATTGAGGTACGCCCCACTTCCACCCTATCGTCCCAAATGGTCTGAACCTGGACGATGTCGTAGCGCACGATGGTCCAACGTCGACGTCGCCCCACTCAAGCGCAAACCGCCCACCTGGATGTCAACTGTGAGTCCAAAAACACGCCTCATCTCCCACCAGTCCTTCCCATTTCACTGACGACGGCCATCCTAATCTCCAAACAGGCGCTAGAAACAGCCCGAAAGGACAGGGATCTCACCATCCAGGAGCTCGCTGATATCATTGGAATCGCACCAGAAGAGATTGAGAGATATGAAGCAGCGATTGAGTACCCAGCCTCGCATATTCTTTCCAAGCTTCAGCGTATTTTGGGCGTGCACTCGTTCGCATAGCCTCCTCGACTCGGCATAGGGGTTGGAATACCCAGTTGGGAAGGTCTTGGCAGGAGTGAGGTTGAAATTGCATTGGGATAGTCAGGACTTTACGAGGATAGAACTAGGGTAGGCGGTTGTTCTGAACAATTGAATCTAACATGCTTCCATTAGTGACAATAATTGGAGTGCCGAGCTGCACGTACAGTGAGCCATCGAGAACGGATCAAGCGTTTTGTAAGCAAATCGGTACTCGGAGGCTTGCTTGAACTTCGGAAGCGCGCGCGAACAGACTCATACCATCGATTACTACCACTTGCTCCACATTTACGAGGGCTCTCCTCGACGCTTCAGCTTCGCAAGAGCTTCGCTACTTCCACTTCACCCAAAGCGACACGACGCTCTCGAGATGGCCACCTCACAATCCTTCGACCTCAACACCCCTGAAGGTGTACAAAGCTATCTCCGTTCTCCCGAGTCTTTCTTGGCGAGTCTCCCAGACTTCGAAGGGAGACTAGATAGCCTAGTTGTGACTAGGGTGTCCGGAGGACTCGCTAATCACACTTATCGCGTTTCCTTGGACCCAGGATCTTCGATGGATGGGAATGTGCCTTCCCTCATCTTGAAGTACTCGCCTCCTACCATCGCTCTCAACCCTGACCATCCACTGACGACAAAACGCGGGGTAAGTTTATGATCTCTGTGTACAAGTACGAATAGAAGCTGACGACTTATTCTCAAGTTCTTTGAATACTCTGCGCTCGCCAACGTCCCAAACATCCAAACATCCTCCCCTTGCCGCGTCCACACCCCATCAACCATCCACTACGACGAAGCCGCTCACCTCCTCGCAATATCAGACGCAGGACCACATTCCCAAACTCTAAAGCAGCACCTCCTCGACAATGCAGACCTCAACTACTCCCAAATCGGACAAAGCCTTGGAGAATGGCTCGCGGAACTCCACCAATGGGGCCAAACCGACGCAGCGGCTCCCCTCCGCTCCATCCTCTCCCAAAACCTCGAAATGGCTGACGTAGGACTTCAGTACACCTTCGCTGGCCTCGTACCGGAGGACGACCCCCTCTGGAGCGCCGTCCGCTCTCACGTCGAATCACTCCGCAAGTCTGACGATAATACAGGTGGATTCGTCGTCCACGGTGATTTCTGGACTGGGAACGTCCTCGTCTCCACCGAGAACGACTCTGCCGAGGGAGACGTCGATCTCAAATTAACTGTGTTGGACTGGGAAGCGTCCAATTGTCGAAACCTCCCATGGAACGACATCGGGCAGATGTGTTCCGAGATGTACGAACCGACGTTCTTCGGACACGCAGGGGAGAAAGGAACGCAACTGGTATCGGTATTCGTGAAGGGGTATTTGTCCAAGCGAAAGCTCTCGAAGGAGGAGGCGAGGCTCGCGATTGTGCGGTTTGGAGTACACCTGTTCGTTTGGCCAGCGTGGTCGGGATGGGGAAATGAGGAGAGCGTGGCAAGGTGCAAGGAACTGGGGAGGGAGTACGTTGAGAGGGCGTGGAATTACGATTGGAAGTGGTTGAAGGGTAGCGTTTTGGGAGATTTGGTGGATGAATCGTTTGATTAGATATGGCATTGGGATGTGACACGCGTATGGAACGAAGAAACTGGCGAATAGGAAACCATGTCCAAGAGATGTCCTCGATGCCCGCACAGAATCCAGAAATCAAGAGAGAAGGGTGAAGCAGGGAGCGGCGCCTGTAGGATTCAAGGCTTGACGCGAATAAGCCAGTGGAAGACTGTTGGAGCGCAACCAACGAAAGGCCCATGGACAAGACGCCCCAGTTTAGGTGAGGGTGAGCGCGGTACGAGGCAAAGAGAAGTGTACCTATGTATAAACTTTGAGACAAGTCTGTGGCGGCGCGACGGTGCAGAGGAACGTGGGGAGAAGCAAACGACGCATCGGCACGTCCGACGCGTTGAAGCAGAAAATCCGTTGATGAAGCCCTTGACCAACAACACCAAACAGCAGCCTCGCCCTTGCGTGTTTTCAGACGTCACCGCATCTAAGGTTGAATTCGAACAGGGCGATCCCAACGAAATAGCGCTCCTCCACTACATATTGAGATTCATATACCATGTCCAAAATCTCGCCCCAGGTTCGCCGTTATACATAACGCCCCAAAATCCTTTAACAAAACGAGCTTTGTCGCTAGGTTATCGCGGACGCTAAGGACGGTGCCAGAAGCGCGCTCAGAGCCCTCGCGAATACCCTCACGAAGGACAACTATGTTCTCTCAGCCTTAGACGCAACGCTTGTCCATCTCCGTCCAGAATCTCTCCCCACAGACTCTCGAACCGAGTTCTACACCATGGTCACGTTTCCAATGGAGGACGTCTTTGCCAGCCTCACCGCCTGTGTGAACAGCTCCCGCTTTGTGGCCCCATCGAACAAGGAAGGGACAGTGTCGCGGCTACTTGCACATCTCCAAGGAATCTTGAGTTGGATTGTGACCTGGCTCCGCCTCACCTTAAAGACCGCTCGACCGTCGGAATTGGGCGAGGTGGTCCACCCTCTGTGTTACACAGTCGTCCTGATGATCCAGCTCGACGACAAACTGCGCAGGGCGATATTACTCTCTCGAACATCGGCGGAACTTCTACGCATGGCGTGGTTGGTTCCGCTCGTTGACAACCACGGGAGACCGCTCTTGGCTCCTGCAGGCGACACCGATCTCTCCAAACCGGATGCCATCGTCACGCTCTTGAACGAATACGTACTCTCGCATCCAGAAATCGGGGGTTGGAAAATGTTCCTGGAGCAGGTGATGGAATCCGACTTGACCATGGACGGCTTCTGCAAGAACTTTGTCGCGAGGGTCGAGCTACTGCCCAAGGAGAGGCATAAGTTTGGAATCGCGATGGAGACGATCCAGGAGCAACTAGTGACGCTTGGCTTTACCATTGCCCTTCTCGTCGACATCAAACCACTCCACCAGCGCCTAGTAAAGATGGGAATCCTCCGCAAATGGGCCAGTGCTATCGTCTCCCTTCAGCGCGAGTTGATCCCTCGACGGCGGTTCCTCTGTGCAACCCAGGGTCTTCGCGCCGCCTCACAGCCGCACCAGGATCCTATCAGAGGCGCAGCCGATGTTATTAACACAGGGATACTCCCACTCATCACGGAGGGACTCATCAACGCCAGCAAAGACGACTATCTCGAAGAGTACTCCTCTGTTCGCACCGTCTATATCTTGAAGGCCATCTCCTATCACCCTCGCACACTCCGCGCCCTTGTCAAAGCCATCCGAGCTATGCCTCCAGGTGCCACCTGGTCTTCAGTCGGAGCGAAGTCGAAACTCATCGCCGATACTACCTGGAAGGCCTTCACTGATGGTATTAACGACCGCTTTAACATCTTGACTGATCGCTCAAGGCCAACACTGAACCTTTGTGACAACGAACTCGTGAGTTGACCTGCCTTACTCTAGCGTCCACATTGTCCTTAAGTGGCGCCTCCAGCATGTTCACGCCGATGGGATGGACCGAAAGCGTTCCAAGAAATGCGGCAGATGTCACTCGGTTGTATACTGTTCCTCCGCATGCCAACATGAGGATTGGGAACGAAGGCATCAACGGGAGTGTAAGGGTATGGCACGAGCTTACCGCAGTGCGTCTCTCTCATCTACTCTTGACTTTAACATTTTACTTTCCCAATTCTAGTTCACGAGGCCAGCCATCTTCACTACGGACAGAACTCTCGAACTTTCCATGTTCAACTCGCACGTATGGCCTTCCTCGGTATCGTTGATGAACTCGATGCTACGGTCCGATCGAAGTACCCCACTCGTTCACGCCACGAGTGTATTGTTTTGGTGGATATGAACGGTTGCCTTTCCGCCTTGGACACGAAAGTGGATCTCCTTCCCATCTCCGACTACTTGGCAGAGAGGAAAAAGTTTCTGGTGCCAGGATGCACTGCCATTGACGGCAGGGCGGACGCCATCTACCATCGCTTCCTCGCAGGTAATCCACCGGAGAATCGAGTCCTGGTCTTGGGTACTCTGGGATACAACCCGCAATTTCGCATAACGACGCTTTTGGAATTGGAGAATCGAGAAGGGGATTGGGTGACTATCAATAATGTGGCTCGCTTTGAGTAAGTCGGGTGTAATTTCTTGGCTTCGCTTCCATGTTACTCAATTAAGTATCTGTGGTAGGAAAAGGGCCGAAGGAATACAGTCTGCACCGAAGCATCTGTCGAGCGTGTATGGATTCCTGGCACCAATGTAGATCACACTGAGCATGTCTGTTTGTGAGTCACGTATCGTAGAGATTTGGTATACAGTAATTACATGGCATTTCCAAAGCATTTCCAGGAAATTTTCGGACTTGAATAGTACATTGAAGTTGAAAAGTAATTCTCAGTGCTCTGGACATGTAGCTCAGAGGTAGACCTGCTCCCCTCTTTGGTCAACTGTAATTTCGTACGACGCCGTGTCCATAACATCAGGCTCAATAGGGCTCTGTGTGAGCACACCATTGCCAAAGGGTGAGTGCAACCGATCCCTATATTTCAGAGGTTAGAAAAAATGATGGACAGTAAAGGGGAGAAAAACTCACCGGATGCTAGCGACATGTTGAAGACAGACATACTTCCCCGATTTGACGTCTTTTTCCACTTCCATTATCAGGACAAACTGGTACTGAGGAACAGCTGTGAGGATGGAAGCAACCAGCTTCGATTGGCTACCTTTCTTGCGCTTCTGAACGACTGCTGTAGCCATCTCCCGGACGCGTTCTGCGGCGACAGGACCTATCTTCGCCGCGGAGTGAGTGTCGACAAAATGGTCCATGGTCACAAGAATAGCAGCTGGCTCATGACACATGATACTTATGAGCTCCACAGCCATGATGTCGGTCCCGGATGAGGGAACGTTCAACCAGTCCGGAAATTCGCTTGCTAGATTCGGTATGGGAAATGGTGTGACGCTACCATCCTCGATTCCGTCGAGAGTTGATAGACTCAACTGAATCGAGAAGAGGCGATATTGATAAGAGACCAGGGCCTTGCTAGACTCGTTTTCTGGATAGACCGTGTCAATCAGTGAGAATTCCAATGGAAAACATAGAAAGATCGATTCAACGACGTACCGATGTAGCGTGATCTCAGTGCTGAGCATTGCGCCTTGTGTCGCCGCGTCCAGTCCTCCTTCTGGCAAATGGGATCGCAGTAAAAGGCCGAGTGGCAGTTGGAGCAAGTCGCCACCCCTTCAGGCCCCTTACCTTTGACGACAAGTGCCTTTTCGTCCTTGACCATACTCCCATGTGATTCGTTGTCGCAGAGCGTGAAGAGGTGAGGAGATTCATCCATCCTCTGCAGCAGATCAACCCGGGTGCGGAAAGCATCGACCGAGATCTCGACACAATCCTCTGGAATCTCCAAGGACATGATGATAGGTTCAAGGAGCTTGATTCCGCGAGGGTGGTTGGCATAGTGGCTATACACCTTGAGAAAGTAGATGTAAAGCTCATTTGAAGTGCCACTTGCATCGTTTTTCATGCACTGAAGCAGTACGTCGTGGATTCCAGCCTCGATTACTGCTTCCAGTCCTGACCATGGGCTTGCATGAGCCTGGTACGACATCCGAAGCGTGTTGGCTGCCAGTAACATTGTAAAATCCAGATCGACAGGTTGGTCCAAACACGCTACTAAGGTCTTCACCCATGATTGGAGAAACCCAGCCCGACGCAGTGCGCGATATACTGACTGGTTGTGGCTGAGACGGTTCTGTATGACGGTCAGCATTCTCAGCGCTCGTACGAACGGCACAACCGTCTCGTCAGTCAATTGCACACTGCTCTCAAGTATCTCGCGGACTCGGTCCAAGTGCGCAACAACGCCTTTTGCAAGCCGGACGAGGCGTTTTTCATCGGAGAGGAGGTAGGCGATAAAGGAGGTCTTTTCAAATCTTTCCAGAGTTTCGTCCATGTGTTCCCTGAGAATAAGGGCGAAGAGAGCCGAAGAAGAGAGCGTAATGATATCACAAGTTATCCAGCTTGTGAGCATGACCTCAAATGTCTTCTCCGATTCGGCCACCACTTGGTCAATGCGAGTGTCAAGGCGCAGTAGCCGGGACAGAAGCAGACACGCCCTATGGCCCACCCTGTTCTTCATCTCGAGACCATGTTTGGACTTTGGGGAGAAGATGTGGTTCACGAAAAGTAGAGTCCAGCTAAGGATGCCCTCAATGCAATCGTGGACCTTGTCGGTAGTGGACTGGAGTTGAGTCTCGGTATAGTAGCAGTTGTCGAGGCATCGACTGAGGCAGGACATAATTGAGAGCATTGGCTTTGCTTTGAACAGGCTCTCTATCGCAGAGTGGGACGTGGCCTTGGGAAGCTTATCCATCTGGAAGTGAGTCAAGAGAGACTCGAGGAGCGGGATTGAATAGTTCCTTGGAACGATTCTGTCATAGATTAATTTAAAGACTGAAGCATCGTAAGATTTCGCTTGAGCGATGATCTATAAAACTGTCAGCACCGAGAGACATTTGTCGGATTTTGCTATGCACTTACCTTCGGGGGAATGGCAGACATGGTGATAGTACAACGACAGTTCGAATTCGGAAGGCGTGGAAGGTGAGGACGAGAAAGCGCCCCGCTTATATACCTGGCGACGATGTCCGTGAGTGGCATTTCTCCCATTGTAGGTCGCCCACCGGAACACAGATAAAGGCCTAGGCCGATCACACCGAAAGGAAGGCTGGCCATTGTCAAGTCTGGCGCTTGGACCCAGCTGGACAATGGTCGCGTGCCTACTGGTTGTCCGTCGCATGGTAACCCGAATCTCCCAACAGCACCGAGATTATTAAACTAATGGACGACGATAGCCGATGGGATAATGGGAAAGAAATGAAAAAGAAAAGGTAATTTTGAATAGCCCACCGCGAGGGTCGAACTCGCAGCCTTCAGATTTCGAATATCCAAACAAGGAAGGTCGGTACCCTATCCTAGACGGTTTGTAAGAGTCTGACGCTCTATCCGATTGAGCTAGGCGGGCTTGGCGGATGTCATCTGAGTGGCGAGGAGGAGCACCGCAACATTGGTACCCACGCGTACATCGGTGAACACGCAATGACGCTGCAATTGACAACACATTCACATAACGTGTTTAACCAAATTCGAAGAGAAGAAAAGCACGACGATCTTGCAGCGTCACTCGTATATTGGTAGCCGTTCTCTAAACCCAAAATGACACCAATTGTATAAACGAACGGGAGGAGGTCAAAGGCGGATACTATCACCCATCAAAGTCCTCCATTGCCAAGAATGACGCCACGTCCACCTGCGGTAAACGACGCATTGTCGAAATGATGCTTGATCTCTGAGTTAAAAGTACGAATGTATCGATCGCGATAGGAACTGGTTAGGCTGACTGGGAGTGAAGCGCCCGGTCGACCTATACGTTATCGAAGGTATAAGGCAATCTCTCGTTGGTCAAACGTCTTCCTGTATATACAACAAGTAATACCCAAACTGTGAAGTTACAACCGCACAAACGAAACGACAGGGGGGCCGAACGTGATTCAAAGGCGGATAGTATCGCCCAACAAGCTCTTCGCGTCGCGCAACCCATTCTCAGCTTCATATTGCCAAGAATAACGCCACGTCCACCTGCGGTAAAACGAGTCGAGCCACCACATTGGCTCTAGTCCTCCATACGGCTCCGACTTACCCTCCGCTTTGGTCCCAATCCCAAAGAACTCACGGAGCGTGTCGATGTGCTCCTGCTTGGGCTTGCGATTCCCGTTCCGCAAGCTGTCAGTGAGGATGATGATGGTGCAGTCCTCGCCCTCTGGTCCAACGACTGTGCCAGTACGGATGCCTGGCACCTCCTTGGCGATTTCCGGGAACTTGTCGGATAGGACGCCCCGGAGGAGCTGGTTGGCAGCGGGCCAGTTGAGGATGGGTCCGTGGTCGGACGACTCGATCGAGTCGGGAAAGAATGCGGGGAATCCGCCCCTGTGCGCGATTTCGCGTGTGGTGTCATTGTCCATGGCCCAACCAAAGTTGAAGCGGGGAGGTTGGAGGTGGTAACCTTTGCGCAGTTTCAGTCCGCGGGGGATGTGTGGCGCCGGTAACCACTGCTGGGTGAGCGCTATACGCCATTCTTTCGCAGTTTGAGTGTTCTGATGGACGTTATTGAGTAGTCTTGTTCAATTTGGATGATTCACGAACCTTGGGATCCATGCGCCACGGCAGGAATTCTTTAGGCAGATGGCCGTATCGCGCCATAAATTCTTTTGTCATGGATGGGGGAAAGGATTCGGACATGATGGAAACGACGTACTTAACCCCTGCACATCAATCCACTGTGGTTCTTAAGGCAACAGGCACGTGATGATAGGGGCAATTTCAAGCTCCGACGCCCATTGTTCAGAGCCAACGATTCTTGAGAACAATGGACAAGCTCTTTCACCAATAGGAAGCATCAATATTGACAGGTATTCGTCGGAATAACTGGAATGTATGATGGAGTATAAAATATGTATAGCAGATGCAGAAATCGAGTCTGGATCCCCGCTCCCGCCCCCCCTGTGCATCCCCACTGCGGCCATGGCACTGTACACCGTGACAGAGCAGGATCTTTATAGTGACCTGGAGGACATCGTCGCTGATGTCGTGGTTCACTGCAGAGAAGAGCACATGTATTATCACCTTTTCTCCAAGATCTTTAACTTTCTCAACCATGCATCACCCGGTCGACTTTCCACGGCGCCGCAAAGACGATGGGGAGAGTACAAGAAGAAACCTAGTCCAGGTGTCGTCCAGTTAACATATTTGCTTTGCCAACCCCTTAATGGCTTTATCTAGATGCCCATTCTCAAGACACTTCTTCCGATTCCAGGCGCGTAACCAGATCGGTTGCCGCTTCTGCTGCTGAAGGTGAAAGTGATGATCTATTTTTAGCTACCACCATCGCTGACTCCATACAACGCTGCCCAGGCAGCGCCCAGAGGATGATCTTGGATGAGATGGACCTGGATGATGAAGAGGAAGAAGATGCTGCCAACACTAGCTACAGTACCTCCAGTAACGCACGCGAACCCACCGACGACGAGGGGTCCTTGGTCAGATACAGGACTCCGGATTTCTCTGTCTTCCGACACAGAAACGGCTTTATCGGCCCTGTCTGTGCGTGCGAAGTCAAGCCGGCTCTCTATAAAGGTGCAGAGGACTCCAACATGCTTGAAGGGTTACCCCGCGACCACGTCGATCCCGGTTATCAGAAACAAGCGATGTTGACAATCAACGGCACCAGGACCCAAGCCAACGCTCAGCTTCAGTGTATCTTTAGCGAATGCACGGAACTACAGACGCTCAAGTTCATTTTCACGTGCGGGTTCTACTTTATGGTGGTTGACGTCACCCGTCCAACCGACAACAACGAGGCGATACCAGGTGAATTCACAGATATCAACCAGGTCCATTTCCTCTTCGCCAAAGGTCCGCTGCTCAAGCGTCGACTCGTCCTCAACCCCGTGCTGGTAGACCTGTGGCGTAATTTCCCTTAAGCGAGGCCTTCGAGGTGCGACGGTGAGGAGTGGATAGTTCACCGTTATGATACACTTTGTGAATGATCTCGCAGAAGGCGTAAACCGCTACCACTCACGTCAATTTGGCTCGGTACTGCGTCGTGTATTATATATAGTGTGTTGTGTGTGTGCCATCCGGTCACTAGGTCTCAACTTTTCCCAATGCCACTGTCCTTGGTCTCTCGAAATCTTACAGGAGCAGCGCGTTAAATCGAAAAAAGGAAAGGAGAGGAAAAAAGCAAATATCGAATAGCCCACCGCGAGGGTCGAACTCGCAGCCTTCAGATTTCGGATTCCAAACAAGGAAGGTCGGTACCCTATCCTAGACGGTTTGTAAGAGTCTGACGCTCTATCCGATTGAGCTGGCGGATGGGAGTCGGGGAGAGCGACACGCCGAGACCCTCAGAGATCTTGAATTCCAATGAATAGATGGGTACGATAATAAATAAAGAAATCTAATGCGCAGAACAGACGTCAGTAGTATGTACTTGCCAATAGGTCGTTTATCCCTCGATTTTTCTTCTTCCTTCGTAAGCGATGATGGTGAAGCTTCCTTGGATGTGAGCAATCTCACAGCCATCACGCCTCAACTCGCAGCGCAGACTTCCCCCAAGTCCTTAGCTGTTAGATTCTGAGGCACCAGAAATATTTGACGTATCTCCCGAATACGCGTGCGTATAGCCTCGACGAGCTGCATTGCCTGGAAATGTACTCGCCGTCTTTTCTGCCAGTCATCTCCACAGCCCGTGTCCGAGGTGCTGTCTGACTTTTCCTCCGACTCGTCGCGGACATCCCCTGCGCTCCCCAAATCACACTGTTCACTGCCGGCGCCAGCCTGAATCTCCACTTGAAGCACGTCCCGGTTCTCGTGGCTGGTGAAACTGATGGTGCCAGCCCGAGAGATGGCAGTAATATTGAGCTCTAGCACGCCTTTCTCCCCCACCACTCTGAAAGTCTCCGACGCCGTCCCGTTGTCAGTTTGATAAAGGGCAACGCTCGCTTTGACGCCACCGGCGAGACAAAAGTCCACTTTGACTCGAACATCCCTATGGGCGTTGTCTTTTGGCTCATGGATCATCGGGATCCTTATCACTGAGGGCGACACAGGACTGTCCACACCAAATAGCGAGACGAGCTGGTGCAAGAGGGGGTATCCCATCTTGAGGGGGAGGTCTGTTGCAGGCCCGTCGATGGCGAATCCGTGTTCGTTGACGATACAAGGCTCGGGGTCTGACTCGGCGATACACTTCAGCGAAGCGTGGACGGACTGTACACGCCCTACCATCCCCAACATCATTCGTAGTCGGCGGTAGAGAGACTCGGAGGAGTACGCCTCAACTACGAACGTGGTGTTCGTAGCTCTGGTATGGTTGGCGAGCTGTTGGGTTTTTTCATAGGCTAAGACGAGCTGGGACTGTCGGGCGTGTGGGTGGTGGTTACTAGCCAGGTCGTCGGCTCTGAGTCCGAGGTTCCCAGCGCACCCACCGGTCGCACTTGGGCAAGAGCGATGGATGGCAGAGCTTTTCATTTCAGGGTCTTGCGCTGACTCTTCGTTCGCGATGTCGGCTGTGGGCGATGCTGGTGGTTTCTCCTCCTCATGACGGACGATAGCCTGCGTCGAGGGAGAACTCGAATCTATTTCCACCGGATCGACTGATGTCGCGGTGCTACCATGAATATACATGCGAATTTCCATGATCGATAAAGGGGAATCCTGGGAGATAATAATGCGCTGGTTTCTGAGGGTAACAGTTAAACTTGGAACTGAAGTGGAATGGAGGACGAGGCGTGTCGGTGGCTTGCGTACCTTAATGTTCGCGGTAGGGGACTCATATTTATACGCAGAACGGACTTAGCTGGGCATCTGTTCGAAGAATACCTGAGCATTTGCGTAGTGAGGGGTGGACGTTAACACCTGTGGGCGAATCGCCTCGTACTGTACACACTGTACACAGCCCCTGCGCGCAGTTGGCCTTGATAAATTACCAACGTCTCTAAGCAACACGTCGACAGCTCGTCGGACTCCGCAGTCTCTCAACCCAAACTTGACCTCCCAGAAGCGCGACGAGCAAAGTGTGGTGGGTATGTAGTTCGTGTTAGGCGTTCGAGTCAGTGTAGCGACGGGCAAAGCAAGCAGCCGCCAAGACATCGCGGGAAGCCTACTTCTCTCCTCTGGACGACCACAGTGGCTGTGGGCAAAAGGCGTTTGTATAGACATGGAGAAAATGGAGAGGAGCTGTAGGCTGTTGTCTAGTACAATAGCAGGTTCAAATTGACACCTTCCAGACAGAGAGAGGGCGTGAACAGGAGAGTTGGGCATTTACGAAGGGACCAACACGGATGCATCAAGTGTTATCCCGAAATGCGGACCTATAGGAGGCTGGACGTATACTGTAGGAAGTATAAGATTGAATACGATACCAATAATCACAGCTATAGAATAAACAGATAATTGCTCAAAGGGGACGCTAGACTAAATGAACTTGAATCGACAGTCATCCTTGAGGTCGTCATAGGGGGAAGTCAACCGGCCAATCCACCCACGTCGAATACCCGGTGTCGAATGCCGAAAAACTCGCAGGGATCAGGCTATCCGAGAGGCCAATAGATCAACCCCCACCTGGGACCAAAGTCCTCCAGTCGCGCAACCCATTCTCAACTTCATACTCCCAAGAACGTTTCCACCTCCACGTGCAGTACCTGCTGTCGAGCCACCACATCGGCTCCGGTCCCCCATACACCTGGAACTTTCCCTCCTCTTCCTCCGCTCCGATGCCGAAAAACTCGCGCAGGGTATCGATGTGCTCCTGCTTCGGTTTCCTGTTCCCGCTCCTGAGACTATCCGCGAGGACGATGCACGACGCAAACGAGATGCCGTTCCGGCCCTCGACGGCTTCGATGCGGATGGGGGCTGCGAGGTCTTTGGCGATGTCGGGGAACTTGGAGGCGACAACGTCTTGGAGGAGACCGGTCGCGCTGTCCCAGTCGATAGTCGGCTCCGGTAGGCTATCGTCGTCGACGACGTCTTCGTCGCCTGAGAAGTCGAGGAACGCGGGGAACCCGCACCGATATGCAATGTCGCGCATCGTGAGGTGGTCCATGGCCCACCCAAAGTTGAAGCGGGGAGGCTGGAGGTGGTAGCCGCGCTGTAGTTTGAGTCCGCGGGGAAGCTGGGGAGAGGGAAAATGCTGGGAAAGCGCAGTAATCCATTCTCTGGTGCTTTGCGTGTCCTAGTATAGCATATCAACCTCCGTTTGGCTTAGATGAAGCAGATAGGGCGACGGACGAACCGTGGGATCCGTACGCCATGGCAGAAATTCATTGGGAAGATGGCCATAGCGCTCTTGGAGTTCCTCCCTCAAAGAAGCTAGGGATGTGTGGGACATGGAGAAATGCGGCGCCTGCAGACAGAAGTAAGTTTGAGTCAAGTTCTGAATGTTAGACTTGACGGGAGCGGATCAGATTCAAAGTCCGACGCGGACCCCTATATCAAGGTCAACGGGCTCCGACGCAACCACGACGCCCTTCCCCCGCACTTGTGAGGCCTGAAGTTCTCAACGAAACCCGCTCCTTGTCCCTCCTCAGTCCCCTGCCGTTAACTTGTGTCCTCGCAGTCGCCTCCAGACTATACGTGGTCCCTCGCCTCGCATCACCTCGAGCCCAAGGCCTACATCACCTCATCGAAACGCATACTTATGGATTACGATTACGGCGAGTGGGGTAGGTAGTATATTCACATCTGCTCTTTACGCAACAAGAAACAAAAGAAAAAGCAAACGACGAAATATCAATGCTAGAAACCAAATGCTATACTATAGTTTATGATGATAAAAAAAAAAAAGAAAAGCGAATGAATGTGCGTAGTAGTTATCGTCTCTATCTCTTCTCTAACTGCACTCAATTTCTGGGCGCGCGTAGACTATCCCAGTGGTTCGAGGCCATCCTAGTTCTTAGGTGCAACCTCAGCACCAACCACCGCACCACTCTCCGAACTCACACTCTCCTTCACCTCATTAACCTGCTCCCGTCCCAACCCCTCTCCTTCCTCACCAAGCGAAATCCCAAACACCTCATCAAGGACTTCCTCAACGTTCTCAACATACACAATGTCGATGCCCTCTTTCACGCTCTGCGGGACGTTCTCCTCTGGAATGGTCGTTAGTAAAGCACGTTCTCGTCGCAGCGAAAGGAGATAATGTAGAGGGAACGGAGATAAAGCAGAGCGATGATGGATAAAAAGCGATGATGGATCGACGGATGGATCGAAAGAACCATGCACGAAACGACGGTTAGGAAGGGAAGAACTCACCAATATCAGCACGATTAGCCTCAGGAACAAGAAGCTTCTTAATCTCCGCCCGATGCGCAGCAAGAATCTTTTCCTTGAGCCCACCAACAGGTAAGACTTGTCCAGAAAGTGAGATCTCGCCCGTCAAAGCTGTAGCCAAAAAGAAAAAGAACACATCAGCACTCGTTACTCAAAAGCCCACTGAGGACTCGAACGTACCGGTATCACTATCAACCCTAACACCCTTGAACAAACTCACAAACGCGACCAAGAGCGCGGTACCAGCACTCGGCCCTTCCTTGCCAACCGCACCTTCAGGCATGTGCACGTGCAAATCACGATCTAAAACCAAAGATACGGGAACGGGTTAGTTAACAGTCGGAACCAAAAAAACCGGAAACAAAAAAACAAGAACACGCACCCTGCCCAAAAACATCCCCCTCATCCTTCGTCAACCCCAACCGATACGCATGCGCCTTAACCCACGAAAGCGCAATCTGCGCAGACTCGCGGATCACCTCGCCAAGTTTACCCGTCAGCTGGAGGTTGCCTTTGCCCGGCATCGACTGTTCATGGTCAATACGTTGGACGATGGAGCGATGGTGTCGAGGTAGTAAGTAGCGTCGAAGGAGCGATGGTGTCGAACGATTCACGGCGTCGGGGCGAAACCGATAGACGAAAGACCACAGTCAAAGATAACCGAGAAAAAAAAAAGCAAACAAAACCGATCAGCAACCTATCCCCACCCCCTCCCAACCAAAAAAAAGAACTCACGATAGCTTCAATAGGCATCAACGCACCACTCCCATTGCCAAGATACCCAAGACCGGTACTAACACCAGGTGGGGGGAGACGATTCCGTTTCCTCTCTTTCTCTCCCTTCTCCTTCTCGCCCTTCTCCTTCTCCCCCTCTTTGTTCACCTCCTCCCTAACACCCCCCTTGTCATTCTTAGCCCCCCCACTCCGCCTCTCACTCCCCCCAAACATCCGATCCCGCTGATACACAGGCGGTCCCACATACTCCCTCAAATTCTCCGGCGTAATCTTCAAATGCACATCCTTCGGAACTTTAAGCGGCTGACTATCCTTCGTCGTCGTCGGCGTGTGCGAGGTCAGTTCCGAAGTTAGCACGTCCGAGGTCGAAGGGTTCGGCGAGTCCTCGTTCGCTGAAGTCGTAGACTCAACCGAGGGAGAAGAGGGCGCGGTGGTGGAAGCAGAGGTAGAGGCGGAGGTAGACTCGGAGGGTTCAGTCATCTGGACGATCTTGAGCGCAGCCTTGCGGTAGATCTGGTCACGATTTGCTGTTAGTTCCACGCTACGACAACACAGACGACCGAGCAAAATAATACTATATATAAAAAAGGGAAAAAACGCACCTTCTCAATATACTTCTTCAAATTCCGAACCCCACTCTCCCTCGCATACCACTTGATAAGAACATCAATAGCCTCAGGCGTAACCTCCACATCGACATCCTTCAATCCGCACTGCTCTTTAGCCTACAAACGAAAGCGGAAGAAACGTTCGTTAGTATCACGTTACATCTTCATCACCCAAAAGCACCGCTTCCTCGTCCACCGTCGTTCGTCTCGATCGACCAAACGACAGAGGCCGAATCTCCAGAACACCCCAAAGGCCATCATTCCTCCCCCTCGCCAAAAAACGACGTCCAACACCCGAACGACAACAACAACAACCACCCCTCCAAAAAGCGAAACCCCCAAAAATACAAAACTCAAAAACTGATAAAACTCACCTGCGGCCCCAAATACCGCTGCGCAATCACACTCTTCTCCTCACTCACATACCCACTAACCTCCAACACCTCCATCCTGTCAAGGAGCGGCGCAGGGATCGTATCAAGCGTGTTGGCAGTACACACGAACAGGACTTTTGAGAGGTCCACCGGGAGGTCGAGACTATATCGAGAGACGGAGAAGGGTGAGGCGAGAGAGGAAGGGAAGAGGGACAGTCAGCTTTCAACATTCTGTTCCTTTTCTTCATGACAAACGCCCATTCTCGTTTATCGTGTCACGCGTCTGTTCCCCACGAGAGCGCTCGCGGGGGCCCGACGCCCTCCCAGAGCCAAACTCTTTTGCATCTCGAGAGACGAACAAACGGGCAGCACAAAAAAGCCCAACCAAAACCGAAACAAAAAAACCCAACCAAAAGAACGAGCACTCACTAATGATCCAAAAACGCCCCATTCTGCTCCGGATCCAACATCTCCAACAAAGCACTGGCAGGATCCCCATTAACACCCCTCCCAATCTTATCAATCTCATCAATCAAAATAAGCGGATTCTCAGTAGAGAGTCGTTTAAGCGTTTGGATGATCTTGCCGGGGAGGGCTCTGTACGACGGCGAACGAACGAGCGAGCGAGCGACGAACGAACGAACGAACGAACGAGCGACGAACGAACGAACGACGAACGAACGAACGACGATGCGGAAGGCGGAAAAGGAGGGAAGAGGAGGAAGGGTGTGGTTAGCGCTTTGTTGCCGGAGAGGGTACGACCAAGACCAGAACTAAAAAAAGAAAAACAACTACGCACCCAACATACGTCCGCCTATGCCCCTTAACCTCCGCAACATCCGTCAACCCACCAACACTAACCCTTCCAAACCGCCTCCCCACACACCGCGCCACTGAACGCCCAACAGAGGTCTTGCCCACACCAGGAGGTCCAACAAGACAGATAATCTTGCCGTCGCCGGTACCAGGTTTGGTTTCCGTGTGTTCGGGTTCACCGTCCTCCGAGGAGGAGGTGGATTCCTTGTCGGTTGAAGAAGTCGAAGTCTTATCGCTCGTCGAAGTCGATTCCTTCTTGTCGCCCTCCTCGGTGGTGGTGGTGTTGGTAGTCGTGGCCGCCGAAATACCCCTCAACTTGCCCACCGCCAAAAACTCCAAAATCCTCTCCTTAACCTGCTCAAGCCCATAATGATCAACATCCAAAATCCTCCTACTCTCCACCAAGCTAACACTCGGCAACGGCGTATGCACACCCCACGGCAAACTCGTAATCCAATCCAAATAATTCCTCGTCACATTCGCCTCACTCGACGCACTCTCCAACATCGACAACTTGGTCATCTCCTCTTCGAAAACCTTTTTCACTTGCGGCGGCATCTTCAACTTGGAAGCACGTTCACGGAACTTTTCGAGTAGCCGGTCTTTTCCATCACTCTCCATCCCCAACTCCTTCTTGATATTCTTCAGTTGTTCCATCAGGTAGTACTCCCGCTGCCTCTTAGCGATCTTCGAATCCACCTCCCGGCTCAACTTGGACTGCAACTGCGCGTTGATAAGCTCCTTTTTGAGGACGGAGAGCGCGAGGCGGAGACGGGTCTCGATCGAGGTTGCTTCGAGGACTGATTGGAGCTCGATGGGCTCACCCGAGGAGACGGCGGCTGCAAAGTCAGCGAGTTTGTCGGGTTCTTCAAAGACGTTGGCGGAGGTGACCTGTATGCGTGCGGATGGCGGTGACGAGAGGAAAGGCGAAGGAGGTGGGATGATGGACGATGGAACGAGGTGATACGTGCGAGGTACGATGGCGCCGACCAACAAAAGACGCGCGAAGGAAGGAAAGCCAGTTAGCCTCGCCTCTCCCTCAAACACAACCCGACACTTACCTGATTAATACTAAAATTCGTAATCTGATCCCTAAACAACGGATTCAACTGCGCAATATCCTTGAACACCGAGACAATCTCCGACGTGAACGCCCGGATGTGCTGGTTGTCCTTCGCATAAGGTTCAGTGGCGAGGTTGACGATGCGGACGAGGGAGATGGGGTAGTTGGCGAGGAAGGACGTGGGGGTTTGAGGTGGCGTGGCTGAAATGGGGAGAACGTCGTCAGGTTGGTATGAGTTTGGGTGGGGAGGACACGCACCTTCACCACTCGACGAAGCAGAAGCACCAGCTTCACCCTCCTGAGCCTTCTCCTGAACATCCTGCTGCATCGCCTCCGCTCCTTCAGCCACAGCCGCTTCCTCAGCACTAGCCGTCGTCGTCGATTCCACCTCAGAAGCGGGCTCTTCAGTCGCAGCAGCCGGCGATGAGTCCTTGTGCGATTGCTCAACAGCCTCCTGAACCTCCTTGGACGCTTCCTCGACGACATGGACGACGGGTTTGTGACCAGCCGGGGGCCAAGGTGCGCCCGGCGCCGGAGCAGCCTGTACGAGCTCGGTGATCTTGATGCGGCGGTGTGGGTACAGTACAGCTGTCAGCGCTTCGTCTTGGGGTTTACCGGCCGCGTCCGGGTTGGGTGGCTGGCCTGCACGCATTTTACGTCGTTAGCAAATCAACGGACAAGGAAAAAGGGTTGAGTTGGGACGCACCATCTTTACCAGGACTAGGCGGCGCAGCAGCAGCAAACACACTCGTAACCTGGCAGAACACGCCAACATCGTGCACATCGTCCAAACTCTCAATCACATCCTTGTCCTCCTCCTCCCTCGACAGCGAGGTGCGTATGGATTCCAAGTCCGAGGGGCCGTCCGAGTCTGAAGTTTCCGATGTCGATGTAGCCGAGGAGTCTGATTCCGATACCGATGACGATGACGAGGATTTCTCCTTGAGAAGGAAAGCACCGAGGTAAGGCTGGCCGCGCCGCATCATCTCCTTGATAGCCTGCACGACGTCGGGGTTGCGGATGACCACTGCCTTGTAGAAACCGGGGAAGAGCGGGCGGCGCGCGATGGGCAGCGCGAGGAGCGGGTACGGGTACGACGACGGGATACTCGGTTTCGTTAGCTGGTTCCCACTCGAACTCGAGTTGGATGATGGCGGCGGTGTCGAAGAGGCGGAGGACGGCGGCGTCGAACCCTCCGAGGACGACGAGGATGACGTCGACGACGCGGAGGACGAAGATGATGAGGATGAGGATGGGGAAGACGACTCCCCTCCCTCCTCGACTACCTCCTCACTCTCACTCCTTCTATTCCCCGGATTCACTTTACCACCATCCTTCCCACCACCACCCCCCTCCTCCCCGCCTTCACCTTCACCCTCCCCATCCTCCCCCGTCTTCGAGTTAACCCATCTCGGCTGCGACCGCACTTGCGTAGCAGCAAACGCTCCCCCGGAAAGGTACCGTCGTGGTGTAGACGTAGATGTAGAAGATGCTGTGAGCTGCGTTCTGCGTGCGGATGCTGTGGTACGTCGAGCCGCAATCGTCGAGGTGGCCGTTGATGACGACCAGATACTCCGACAGCACAACGGCGTCGGGGTGGAGAATAGCCTGCTCGTGCTGGCTAGCAGCGACATGGCGTCTGCGAATCCCTCAGAAGGGTCGGTCTACTCCAGGCCAGTAACTAACTAACCCTTCTGCCTAGCAAGAGAGAAAGAGAAGAGAGAGAAGAGAAGAGAGTCGCTGTGTACTCGAGTCTCGCTGGAGTTGTGGACAAGACAGACGCGCGTGTGGAGGAAGACACGGAAACAGTGACACCTGAAAAATCGACCCTCGCTGGCGTGTGATGTAAGCTCGCCCCCCGCGCTCGGCCGACTCGCGTCATTTTTCTTGGCTCCGAGCTGTGCTGACAGATCCGTCGAGAAGCCCCTATCTGATGCTTACCTTCGTAAGGGCGCGTTACTCGTCATTCTGACGCTCTCTCTCGAGAGTGGACGTAAAACTTGTCGCAATTATGGGTAGTAGGCGCTAGTAGGCCTTGACAACAACACAGAACACTGTGATACGTAAACCACTCAATCAATCTACAAAGAAAAAGAAAACGGATACAACAAGGAAGAAAGAAAGAAAAGAGAATTTACCAAGGCAAAAGAAAAGAAAACAGGGAACGAAAAAAGACGTAGCGTTAGAATGAACCGAAAAGAAAAATGAAATATCGAATAGCCCACCGCGAGGGTCGAACTCGCAGCCTTCAGATTTCCTTATCCAAACAAGGAAGGTATTTACCCTCTCCTAGTCGACGGTTAAGAGTCTGACGCTCTATCCGATTGAGCTAGGCGGGCTTGGCGGGGAACGTCTGAATGGCTGGGAGGAGCACACGGTCGCCGCAACGCAGGTTCAAGCTCAAGGACCAATGTCGCTGTCTTCGCTATAACCATCGCCTATGCGCTAATATTGCTACATACGTCTCTAAAATATATATCAAACTACTGTACACGAGCTGAAGAAGCGTCATTACTTAGTACTTACTTATCCCTCGCTGGAGTCACACAGCTCACATTCGCAGTTGCCAGCCTAAGGCCTCAAATTGGCCACGGTCGATGTATATGATACTTAGGGAGGTTGGAACGCCTGTACCGAAGCCCTTCACAATCATTTGTTGCGCAAGGCAAAAATCAATAAAAGGCCTGGCGTAGTGCCAATGGTACCGGTTAGCTCGCTGAATCCGAGTCATGATCATCGTCGCGATGGCAAAAAAGCAAGTAGGCCCAAGGACCTATTTGTGATCTCCCCTCCTCTCAGATTCTTTCTTGACGACCTGCCCTGCCCACAGCCACTGCCACTGCCACTGTAACTGTGGGTACAAACTGTTACTGTCTGTAGATGGGGGAATAGAGAGGAGGCGTTGGAATAACTTGCGGTGTTGACTGTAAGTAGTAGCGCATGCAAAGGAAGGTAACGGGAGGCGAGTCGCGACGACAACGACGTATGGGGGACTAGAGCCGATGTGGTGGCTCGACTCGTTTTACCGCAGGTGGACGTGGTATCATTCTTGGCAATATATGAAGCTGAGATTGGGTTGCGCGACGCGAAGAGCTTGTTGGGTGATACTATCCGCCTTTGATTCATCGTCGGACCCCCTCGTCGTCTCGTTTGTACAGTTGTCACTTCACACTTTTGGGATTACTTGTTGTATATACAGAAATATATTTACGAGTGACACTGAAAAGATAGTCGCGGGTTGTGCTCCTCTTCCAACTTAGACATAGGGTCGGTGATTTGACCAACGAGAGATTGGTTTACAGCTGCATCGATAATTTATAGGCCGACCGTGCGCTTCACGCGCACGTCCCTATCGCGATCGATACATTCAACGTATGGCTCAGAGCGAGTCAAGCATCATTGAAACAATGGGCGGCAGGGCGTCGGACTTTGAAGTTGAAGTTCCCTTGCGTGGCAGTCAGCTTAACAGCGAATTATAACGGCTTGTCAATTACAGAATTAGTTACTGCTCAGCGTGTCTACGAAAGCTATATCATGGAGGAGAGATTTCCTCCTGCTATAACAAAGGATTTCATGGCGCGATACGGGCATTTGCCCAAAGAGCTCTTGCCGTGGCGCATGAACCCCAAGGTTCGTCGAAAAAGGTAGAACAGTCCGCTGAGGTCCAGACTACTCATTACCATCGTATCAGGACCCTCAAACCGCGAAAGAATGGCGCATAGCGCTCACAAAGCTTCTACCTTCGCCGAACATCCCGCACGGGCTCAGATTGCGCCCTGGTCACCAATTCCAGCCTCCCCGCTTCAATTTCGGGTGGGCCGTGGACGACCTCACCATACGCGATATCGCGTACCGTTGCGGGTTCCCCAGGTTCTTCAACGACTCCTCCCAATCACCCAACTCCGAGTCAACACCTGTGCTCTACTGGCAAGCCGCCTCCAAGCTCCTCCAGGGCGTCCTCTCCGAGAAGTTCCCAGATGTCCTGAAGGAGGTGCCAGGTCCCATCCGGATCGAGAAAGTCATTGGACCCAAGGGAGACGATCGGACGATGTGTATCGTCCTCGCGGATAGTCTGAGGACCGGAAATCGCAAGCCCAAGCAGGAGCATATCGATACTCTCCGTGAGTTTTTTGGGATTGGGACGAAGGAGGAGGGCAAGTACGAGCCGTATGGAGGCCCGGAGCCGATGTGGTGGCTCGACTCGTTTTACCGCACATGGAAGTGGTGTTATTCTTGGGAGTATGAAGCTGAGAACGATTTGCGCGATTGGAGGACTTTGATGCCAGGTGGCAGACACCGCCGTTAAAAAGAGGTGACGTGTCCTTGTACTTGACCTCTAGAGAAAGGTATTACTCAACAGAACACACATGTTCACCGTTGTAGATAGTTGGAAAATATAGGAGTGACGCTGAAAGATTATCTCGGGTTTTCCCCTCTTCAACTCTGTAAACAGGGTAGGGGACTGCATTGTGACTTGTGAGTTTCAGTAGTATTGCGTGTTCATCGACGCACGCGTCTACCTTTCCTGAAGCGCCAACTTTCCAGTTGTGATTGGGTACTAATGTTGCGGGGTGCTCCTCCTCGCCACTCAGATGGCATCCCGCCAAGCCCGCCTAGCTCAATCGGATAGAGCGTCAGACTCTTACAAACCGTCTAGGATAGGGTACAGACCTTCCTTGTTTGGATATACGGAAATCTGAAGGCTGCGAGTTCGACCCTCGCGGTGGGCTATTCGGCATCATCTTTTCTTTTTCCTTTCTTTCACATTGTCCCAGCCTTTATCATTGTTCATTAGTTAGATAATGTTGGTTGTGTTTGGAGATCCCAGTAACCATGACGGACACCAGTAGTCACGCGATAATGATTGCCCAGTTGGTCTAAGCGCCAGACTTGACAATGGGCAGCTGGTGTAATCGATCCAAGCCTTTATCTATGTCCCGGTGGTCGAACTACAATGGGATGCATGCCACTGATGGACATTGCCGGTAGGTATAAAAGCGGGGTGTTTTCTCGTTGTCACTTTCCACCTCTTCCGAATTTGAACTATCGTTGTATTGTATCACCATGTCTGCCATTTCCCCGAAGGTGTGTGCATAGTGAATTCCGTCACATGTCCCTCTGTGCTGACGATGTTAATAGATCATTGCTCAAGCAAGGTCTTACGACCCTTCAGTCTTTTCAACCCTCGTTGAAAGCATTGCTCCAAGGACCTATTCCATTTCGCTGCTCGAGTCTCTCCTGACCCACTTCCAGATGGAGAAGCTTCCAAAGGCCACGTCCTACTCTGCGATACACAGCCTGTTCGAAGCTAAGCCAATGGTTCAAATCATGGCCTGCCTCGTTATAAGCCTCGACAGCTGCTACTATACCGAGACTCTGCTCCAGTCCACTGCCGACAAGATCCATGACTGCATTGAGGGCATACTTAGCTGGACTCTACTTTTCGTGAACCATATCTTCTCTCCAAAGTCGAAGCATTGCTTTGAGAGGAGAAAGATTGTGGGGGATATGGCGTGTCTACTCATGATCAGGCTACTTCGCTTTGATATTCGCATTGACCAGCTGGTGACCGAGTCGCAGAAGACATTCGAGATCGCGCTCAAACCTTGGCCGATTTGTGATGTGGTCACGGAAAAGTTTCCATCGGTCCTCCTCGGGTTAATCCTCAAGGATCACATGAACAAAGCGGAAACGGCTTTCGAAAAGCATCACTTTGTCACGTACCTCGTTTCGGATGAAGCACGTCTCGGTGGATTTGTAAGAGGCTTTGTTTCACACCTGACCAGAGCCCGAGAGAGATTGGAGAACGCGGAGGCTGGAGACCAAGCCGTGCTTCACAAGGTACAGGATGCACTAAACCTTCTGGCAGGGATACAGAACCGTCTTAGCTCCGTGAGATTGGTGTATCGGGCGTTGCGTCAGGTTGGAGTTCTCCAATCATGGGTCAAGACGTTAGCGGCATGTTTGGCGCGTCCAGGGAACAACACAGATACCGTGCATCTGGTCGCAAACACTCTGCGTATGTCGTACCAGCCTCACGCGAGTCCGTTGTGTGGACTGCAGACAGTCATCGAGGCTGGCATCCACGACTTGATGTTACAATGCATCAAAACGGTCCAGAAGTACAATATACCCGCAACTGCACAGTTGCTTTCATCCGAACTTTACGGTTACTTCCTTAGGGTGTACAGTCACTTTTCCAACCACCCTCGCGGAGTTAAGCTCCTGGAACCTATCGTCATGTCCCTGGGCCTTGTGAAGGATCGTTCCGAATTCTCAATCGATGCTTTCCGCACCAGGGTTGATCTGCTGCAGAGGATGGATGAAGCTCCTCACCTCTTTACTCTCTGCGACAACGAATCACACGGGAGTATGATCAAAGACGAAAAGGCCCTTGTCGTCAAAGGTAAGGGGCCTGAAGGTGTCGCATCTTGCTCCAACTGCCACTCGGTCTTCTACTGCGATCCCATTTGCCAGAAAGAAGACTGGACACGACGACACAAGTCCCAATGTTCAGCAATGCGATCGCGCTACATTGGTACGTCCCCGATTTACTTTCTATGCTTTTCACTGGAATAGAGACTGATGGACTATCCAGTGAACGATTCACACAACATCGAATTCTCATATCGATATCGCGTCTTCTCTGCTCATTTGGTTCTCGCGGCTCTCAACAACATCGGCAACTCGAAGACAGCTTTCACACAAGTCGCGTTGCAAGGTCGCGACCCGTCCTCATACCTGGAGAAACTCGCCTCATGCGACACTGTGACTACAGTCCTAAGCAACATGTGCCTCAAGCCAACCATCGCTTTTACTCCCAGGGAAACCTTCACGAGTAATTTCTGCGCTTCCGAGCCGTGCCCCGTCACTGCGAAACGCATCCGGGATATGTCTGAAACTGTGGCTGAGAAGGGAAAGAACGGCGGGAAATCGACTCTTGTCGCTGCGACTGTCACGGGTGTTCCTCGGTACCATTTTGCTCTGATAATGGAAGTGGAAAAGGACGTGGCATCGGGGAATTTTGTCTGTCTTCAGCATGTCGCTAGCATCCAGTGAGTTCAACTTTTCCCCTTTACCGTCCATCGTCTCTTCTCTGGTTACTGACTGCTTCCTTCCCATCCTCTGAAATACAGGGACATGTCTGAATCTCGCATTCAATTCGGTGTACTTACAAGCAGTGCTCTTGAGATGGCTACGAAGGATACGGCGGCCTACGGATGCGCTATAAGACAAAGGGGGGAGGAGGTCCGCATCTGAGCTCTGAGCTACCAATACGCGTGTTTGTTCAGTTATACTACTAAAGTGTCAAAAGTCCCCAATAGATGAATAGAAATGAGTATAATCAACAAGACAAGTCTGAGCAATTCTTTGGTCATTGAGATTGGCTGTGCGATTCCCGATACTTAAGCGCCCAAAACTGTCATATCACTCGATCGTTATTCTCGACAGCATCATTCGGGCAGCGAGGTTCTTTGTGCTCTGCATCACGATGGATCTCGTACATGGTAATCAGATGGAGATATGATGCAGATGGAAGCCAAATCCAGGGAGACGTTTCATGAGCCATACTATAAAGCTGTCGTGATTTACCCGAAGCCCTTCTCCTAGACCCTTTCACCCGATGGCTGACCCCAGTCACGTGAAGAAGATTGAGAGCGAAAGGCAAGGACTGCGGTGTTATACCCACTGTGAAAGTACTAACCCTTGGTGACACACAAGACTGGCGTATGTTCAATTTTGCAGTCTGGGTGCGTATTTTATGGGCGCTCTTCAACCCCCGACCTCACAATGGACTTCAACGCCCCTTTACCGAGTCAGCGCTGCTGTATTACGACTACGCGCTAACCTTCAAAAGCGAAGTCAACTATATTTGGAAGAAACCTTTCCGACTCTCAACTCCTCTGTACCTCTGCTGTCGATACGCATTGGCAGCGAACCTGATCTACGTCCTCGCCATTTCGTCCGAAGTAACGGGACTAGAGGTCTGTTTAATTCTTCCATATATGCTGCTTGCGTGCTATGATCGCTCACCTTACTTTCAAGTGCGTGTATCCCAGTCAGCTTTCCTATTCGCATTTCTCTTAGAGACGCGTATGCAGCTGCAACACCGGCTATCTTCTTTGCGGAGTACTCAGTATCTTTGGCCATGCTGGGATAATTAGTCAGTTCAATCCCCTATTTCTCTTACCTATAGCCCATGACGATGGGACCTAGTAACCTGGTCCTTACGAACTTGGGCGTTCTGGAACAAGAGTAAGATCGTCCCAGGTGTCCTGGGTCTTTTGGGAGCCACAGTATTAATACTACTAATTGTACGTGCCCCCGTTAGCAGAGGCCTGTGTCGCGGCGACTACTAATCCACGGGGATTTCAGATTCGTGCACCATTCAACCGATGCGATGGCAAGCCCGCACTACCAGGGTGCGCTCCCCATCACTCACTGGGCGGCGATTGAGGCTAACTTTAGCTGCTTATTATCCCTTCTATCTTCTGTGATAATATGTGATGAAGAAGTGAGTGCAGGGCTTCTTGCCCCGGGGGCGCGCACAGTTTCATGACATGGCTTTTTATAACTTTCAGTCCGCGGCGCGATATCAGCCATCATGATATCCTTCGACGTGCTAGCCTTTGCGTTGGCAAGCGCCCGTGCATGGAACACTGTTCGAAACTCTGCGGACCTACCTAAAGCCGCCCGCTCCCCTCTTCATTACGCGATATTCTCTCAAGGTAAGTACCTTACGTCTCCTCCACAGTACCTAAGACTCCCTTTCTGATCGCCGTGACAATAGGGCTGATATACATATTGTACGAGGACAACCCAAAGAGACCACTTCTAGGTCGATGACAAAGATACCGCTTACAGGCCCATATTCCTGCTATCCGTGACGTCCCTATCGCTTAACTGGGTACGTCTCAATAACTCATCCAACATCGCGCCTTGGCCTCATGCGCTCAACCACCGACAGAAAGTTCCCGTTCCATTCGCCCGCATGTTAAACGCCTTGAAGCTACCGTAAGTAGTTCTCGAGTCTGCTCCCTGCCATTTTGAAAAGGCAACAGTAGAACAGATTGGCAGGCCTCCTCACCGCGCGGTTTTTGCTCAAGCTACGTGTCTGCTCAGACTCGGAGAACTGCGACCTAGAAAGCCATCTCGCTAGTGAACCTCGGTTGGAGGACGACGGCATGGTGTTCGAAGACGGTCCTTCAACCGGAATGAAATCCGAAGGATCCATCCTTGATGAGTTGGGAGGAGATGTAGGGCCTTGTCATTGTAGAGGACGTGCATCATGCGAGTAAACCAGGCCAATTGTACGCACGTACAGATTCCACGGAAGAACCGAAGGCAGACGGATAATAACACCTCGTTTTGAGCATCGTTCCAGCCTGTGTGACCAAAACGAGCCGCGCTTCGATACAAAAAGCCAAATCTCATTCATCATAACCGAAGTCTAAAAATCCTAGGACATCACCCTTCCTTATCTTCCTCCTGTTAGACATAGTCAGGTTATCGAACCTATTACGATGAATACTCAATACAAGACTCACTGGATTCTGGCAACGTGTCGCACCGGCTTCCACTTCTCTACGGCCCCCGTTGCCTCGGGCTTGAACTCGCCAAGAAGCGAGATACGATACCCTCCATTCCAACAGAACAGACTCTCAACAATCCGCGTCTGAGCATCATCGATTGCCGCTTCACCAACCTCACCATCTCTATCCACACCGCCGTTTCGGCTACCCTCAGCACTGTCATCACCGCTCTCGCTCGAATCATCTGATCCAAAGTGAAGTTGATCCAAAAACGCATCCTCGACAATCGCGACAGCTCGTTTCTCCGCAGCATCGCACTCGGAAAAGGTCTCCCATCTCTCCGGATTCCAGTGTTGTTGAAGGTAAACGTCTACAGGGATGATCCTCGCCGGATCCGAAGGTCGTAAACCACGGCTTTTTCGTAGTGTCGGGGCTCGAATTTCGTCGACCTCGCCGGTGAAATCGACAACTACGACGCAATCCCGTGGATCCTTGTCAGGGTAGTACCTCCGTGCCAGACGATCCCATTCTCGATGTCTGAGATTCAAGGCGACGGAGGTTAGATGTAGATGGTAGGCGCGTGATGATGGTGAATAACGGACGCCTTCGCGCCTCAACTTGACTGTCATCAGGGTTCAGTACCAGCAGTAAAGTCGAGACAGAGAACATACGATGGCTGAGGCGCATGGTATAACACTCGTCTCGATGACCCGCAACCCAATCCTCTTTTTGGCACTCGTGACTGCAATAGACCACTGTCCGACATCGAGAGCACTGGCTTAGCTGTGAGAGTCGCTTTCGTGGTCTGCGCTTGTGCTATGGTAGTCTAATTCAGCTTGTACGAAGAGAATCGCAGATTCGAAACGAACATACCGCGTAGTTATCACAGAAATCGATCCCATCGTTCTCCACCGCCTCCATCATCGCGTATCGCTCATCGATTCCACCGACAAAAGTGTGGAACACGTCGGATGTATTCAAGGCCCTTTTCGTTGAGAATTCTACCCACTTCTCCTTTGGAACGGTCGCCACAGCCTCCTTCAACGCCCTAATGACCGCTGGATAAAACGAGAACCCCCTCCATGCTCTCACGACGGAGTCGCATAACCGGCTCACCATGGCATTCTCGCCAAATCCTGTGTCGGGACAGGTCAGCATCCCCAGCACCAGCGGGCGCATCATTCCAGCTCGCAGCACCTCGACGACGCCCTTTATCGGATCCGCTCCGCGCTGATACGCTGCATGTAGCACGAGAGCAGACATGCCAAACTTCTGCTTCGAGTCGATTTGGGGGGAAAGTGTCACCAGAGTTCTAATGCTTTGGTCCAACATCCGGCTTTCTCGGAGTCCGCGATGGATAAGGACTGATTTCGAGGCGATCTGAGGGAGGTTGGAGAGGAGGGTAAAAATGTAGTTCGGCATGTCAAAGCCAGGTTCGCTCTCGAGCACTTTAAGTGTGACAGTGATCCGGAGGACGTATGAGTCGCAAAAAGCCGCGAGCCTTCTTCGAGATGAGGTGATGGATTCGACGAGGAGGTCGTACCCCTCCGGATGTCCTAGATACCTTGCAAAGAGGGTGACGAGAGGACATCCGGACACGTTGTCAAAGACGAAAGGCATGCCGTTGTCACAGCGCCGGTCATTCCAAGACTTTAGAAAGAAAGTAACCGTCTTTGGTGAGCAGAGAATTTGGTCTTCCACTTGAGGTTCGAGTCTCATCAAAATGACAACCGTTAGCACAGCAAGATGCAGTGCAGCGGATGCAACTTCAGCAGAGAGGTTCGTCCCAAGGACATACGCAGTGAAGACGTTCACCCAAGAGAGGATGTCGTCCATTTGATCCATAACCTTTGAGATCGTGGCCCGGATATACGTTGGGCCCCGGTAACAATTCGAGATGCATGCAGAGAAACATTGCAATGCACCGCGACAGATGCCGGAAAACGCGGCAACCTCTGAGGGGTTCGTGGGTAGCTTCTCGATTCGAAGATGGGCGAGCGTCGCGTCTAGAGCAGCAAGGGTGTAGTTTTCAGGAGTAACGATATCCGAAAGATGTCTGAGAGCCAGTTCGTCACCGTTCTTTGCCCGTTCGATGAGCTTTACAGTAACAATCGTCCTAATCAGAAAGGTGAGCATTAAATGGGCCGTTCACTTACTCACATAGGCGGGAATCCTCGACATGGCCTTGGGACTCCAAGAGGCGATGACCGTTGACCGTGAACAAAGGAAATAAAGCGCTGACGCCATGGATGCCAAGCAGGTAGCGAATGGTTCTCCGCTTTGAACTCCGCTTACCTCCTCATGGCACCGGGCAAAATTTTGGCGCCGGCGGTTGTTTAGCACGCAAAAAAGTATTCCATAGCCCACCGCGAGGGTCGAACTCGCAGCCTTCAGATTCCAAACGGAAGGAACTACCCGATCCTAGACGGTAAGAGTCTGACGCTCTATCCGATTGAGCTAGGCGGGCATGTTAACAGCAGGTCATTGCATCTTACTATGGAGGGCCGAGATATCGAATAGCTCGGGAGTCGAACTAGCCAGGTCCCCTCTTGTAAATTGTACATAACTAATCTCATGCATAGTATTCTCACATACATTCACTGTCCGTATGTACTACCCAGTATGTGAGAGAGGCCGAATTGTGAACGTTGCTGAACGCTCCTCTGCTCGGCGCCCGTCATGTCAGCGTCGTACGAGTGCCATCACCAAAAGGTACCTAAGATAAAGTGATGTCGGGCATCCTTTCAAGGAGAGGTGTTTCCTTCGAAGGAGTGGTGGCTTCGGTAAAAGGTGCCGAAATGATGGCTGAACTTCGCTCTTCATTGGTATGTTTGGGGGATGTATGAGGATCCTCTTACCTCGATGCGATCCTTTTTGTAACATTTTAATGAAAGCAGAATTTTTGTTCCTTGCTGTCAAAGTCCCCGCTTCAGAGCAGCAAGCTTCGCTCGGTGTGACGTCATGACCCGCCAGGCTGGCCGGCTTTTACGTCGCTAGTTCGCTTGGCGGTCCGCGGGGTGAACCTTTTAGAACCTTTTAAACAAGTCGGCTTCATTTCAGTATATTTCACTCAGTAAAACGTCGTCCATTGAAGGGCCGTCCATTGGAACAGTAGTGTGATTATCCCGGGTGACAAGAAGGATCACTCGATATTTCATTGTATTGAATGGTTAGGTACCTTTTGGTGATGGCAATGAAAAGCCATCGGTACTCAATAATAGTGCCATATCGTTGTCAATTTTAGTACTGCTAGTCTAGCTGCAGCAAGTGGTCGTCGCCATTGGGTGTACTACTACGGAATATAGATAACAAGCAACGTTCCGCTTCTATGGGGTCCAGATATCTACGGCTATAGAGTTTCTACTATCTTTAGAGCATCTCTAACTACCTTAGACATACTTTCGCTCATTGGATACATGGAAACAAAGTCGTCACTGGGATCAACCCAGACATGATGATCGTGCTCGAGAGGATTAAGCGTTACTCGTGGCTCGGTCTCCTCGGCACCACATTCCACCTGGACAACCAAGTTAAACTGAATGTTGACGCCTTTCTTCGTCGTATACTCGAACCCATCAAAAACTCCCAAAACCCGTTCTACTTTCAGCCCAGTTTCTTCTCTCGTTTCTCTGATCGCCGTCATGATCAAGCTAGAATCTAGCTCCCTTTCCGCTCCTCCCCCGGGTATTTCGTAATGTGACGGATAAAGGTCTTCATCTGGACTGCGTCGCACTAGTAGAAGCTTCTTCGTTAGAGAGATGATTGCCACCCCTACGATCAGCTTTTTGTCGTGGTACTGATTGGCTAGCTCGGATAGTGGGACTGCAAGGGTTTCCGCTGATGGGTCGACGGGAACGGGGATATTCGAGTCTAGCATTGACGAGATGGACGTGGATAACTGCCTGTCTTGGGGGTTTATGTCGATGGTCTGAGGGGATGTGCCAGATCAGATTACATATCTCGCTCAAGTCTTTCTCTTCCTTGCAGTTCAAGCTCCGATGAGGTCATCACAAACGGTTGATCCCCGTCGATGTCGGCTTCAAGCAAGACGGAGCTTACCTGAAACGAAGGCACAACAGTTGATACCGCGGATGTAAATAGTCTCATCTCTCCCTGACAGAATAACCCAATGTGACCTTGGCAATTGCCCCAATCATTCACCCACGATAGTCTATGCATCTGGTTGCTCCTATTTTCGTACAGGTAGGCGAGCTCAAGGAGAGCGATGGTTTGGTTACACTCACAAATCAGAACGCTAGATCATAGAGTACTGATCGTTGGAAGTTAAAGAAGCTAGGCTCATCGTAGCTAAGCGTGTAAGTTTTAAATGCGTACCGCTGGTGAAACGCGGTTCCCGCTCGATAGTCACGGATGTACTAGTGTTAACTCGTACAACTACCATCAAGTGTACCCCTCTTTTTCAATCCCACATTGGTAGTGCAACCCAGTACTGTCTCGCCGCAGCTCTCTATTGTGAGTTTTCAGTCTCCCCGAAATGGAGCTGGGCGCTTGAGGAAGCGCCCGATGGCAGTGCTGCCCCAAATATGGCACAACAAGAACTCGAGGCCCATGAACGTGCATTGACGAAAACCGAAGGATACCTAATTGAGAACACTTCGTATAGATACCGCCCATGAGCACCTTATGACCGTAAGATATCTCTTCGGGCACCCTGAGAATGCCAAATAATACACGTACGTCTTCCAAAGGCGTGGCCTCCAGGTGGCTTCGTGTGCGGTCGTGTACCTATGTGTGCCTGAAAACCGAAATCCGAGGCTCGTACATTCGAAAGTACAATTATAAGCTCTATCTCCGTACCTTACCACGATTTCTGTGCACACGACCACACCGTCCTGCTCGTGCGTTGAAATACTGACAACTTTACATTGGCGGACCAATCCTCAGACCACCGAAGATATCGAGCCAGGTACAGGCATCCGTGATAAACCAGACGACTGCAATGAGCTACCTTCTACCATCTGTCGATCGTAAAAGAAAGGGCCAGTCACAAAGAAGAATACTCTAGATTAGGGCCTTTCCACGAATGCTTCCGTCCCTTAAAATTCGGTGCTAATTAACTTCCGAAGATTAGTGTACATGTATTTCGGAGACATGAAATTGGAGAAGCGACTCCCATGTTGGAATTTCAGTTTTGGAACGTGCATACAAATGGGACTGTGTTGCACATGGAGAGTGACAATGAGCGTATGGATATACGAGCGGGAAGGGGAGCAAGCGGTGTCTATCAAATGATACGTATCCATTGACGCTGTGTACCTGCGATGGAAGCAGAATGAAATGACATATTCGCTAATGCGGCGACAGAGGCACGTTCATTGTAAGCTGGTGTTTATTCCTTACCAGGACAATGGCGGCCTAATCTGAAAGGTGTGGCGGACATGTGCCCTCCAGCCTGGTGACCATTGGAGATGCCGCAGCTATTGTGACAGAAATAATGCGACTAGCCCGCAAATTCAGGTACACACATACTGTAATGAAGGTAGTCGAGGTTAGATAACTCTTCAGACGCTCAACGCACGTTCATAAATTGATCGACATCATCCATAAAAGGAAATGCTGTCTGGGCAGTGCTGGTTCGACCCGACGAACTGCCATTAGACTCGGGTAAACAAGTCAGATTTCGTCTTCGATACGATAGAAGTCTAGCTGATCCTCATCTCGACAAGTTCCAGTCCTTGGAACGAGACAGATACAGCCCAGAGGGGAGGCACGCGACCATTCTGAATCTCTTGGCGCGATGTCGCTGTTAGCCGAACGAATTGATGGGAGCGTTGCTACCGGCTCGGACGAACGTTCGAGGATTACAGTGCACCACACCTGCATAGTCTTAACTGACCGACATGTTGGTATCAAACATACCCCACTACTCGGGGTATTAAAGGAAGGCGGAGATGAGACATTACCTACTCGGCCTTCCCAGTTTTCCTTCCTTCCCCGTGGCCGTTTTCTTCGAGGACAACCAAGATGTCCGGCACTCTGCATCAGTGGGACTATCTCTTCGCCATTGGCCTCATCTTTTCCGCTCTCGATGCGTTCATGATCGGAGCGAACGATGTCGCCAACAGCTTCGCGAGTGAGTACCCTGACCTACGCCGACTCAACAGCAGCTGACAGTATCACTAGCGTCGGTCTCCTCAAAGTCCCTCACCCTCCGCCAGGCCTGCCTGGCTGCCGCTGTCATGGAGTTCCTTGTATGTCTATCAGATGTCCAACCCTCGAACACTCTCTCATTCTCCTGCGTTAGGGCGCGGTACTTGTGGGCGCTCGTGTGACGAGTACGATTAAGGATGGTATTATCCCGTCTGAAGCGTTCCAAGGCAACGCTGGAGTGCAGCTACTTGGGTTCACTTGTGCCATCGTCGCTTCCGCATGTAAGTACCGCAAACATCTATGTCCACCGTCGAGCTAACAGGCTCCCAGCATGGTTGTCACTCGCAACCCGCCTATCCTGGCCTGTCTCTACCACCTACTCCATTGTTTCCGCCGTTATCGGTGTCGGTATCGCTACTGCTGGCTGGGACGCGCCAAAGTGGGGCTGGAACAAGGGTAAAGGTATTGCTGCTATTTTCTCAGGTCTTGTGATTGGTACGTCAAACACTACTATCAACATTTGACCCGATATTAACTTGCCTATCCTAGCCCCTGCCCTCGCCGGTGGCTTCGGTATCGTCCTCTTCTGCTTCGTCAAGTTCGCTGTTCTCTTGCGATCAAACCCAACGAGATGGGGTCTCATCACCGCACCCCTTATCTTCTTCCTTGTCGGAGCCGTATTGACGATGGCCATCAGTAAGACTGTCTTGTACTCTGTCGCTCATATGGATTCTAACCGACTTTCCAGTCTTCAAGGGTTCCCCCAGCTTGGGTCTCAAGGACTTGGAACCAGGTCCTCTGGCCGCCGCTATTGTCGGAACTGCAGCTGTCGTCGCTCTCCTCTCCATCCTGTTCTGGCTTCCTTACGTCCACGCGAAAGTTGTGAAGAAAGATCACAGTTCGTACTTTTCTCCTTGAGAATTGCGATTTCGATCTAACCCTCTATCAACAGCTCTTCGCTGGTATCACTTCTTCCTTGGTCCTCTCCTCTGGAAGCGACCACCCCCTCCTGACGCCGGTGCCATCTCTGCCGTCCCCGACTATCGCATTCGTGAGACCAACGAGCTCGATGCTAGTGGAAACCCTGTTGGTAAGTAAGACAGTGCATCTTCATAGTCCACGCTGAACAAGTCTGTTAGTCGGCAGCGAGACTGATTCTGAAAAGGTCAACGAGAAATCGAAAGACCAAGAAGATTCTGAGCCTGTCCCCGAACCAAAGGTCTACCCCAGTGCTCTTGCTGAGGCCGTTGAGAAGCACCCCATCGAAGGTGCATGGGCTGAACCAAGGAACCTCGGCATCGTTCTGCGCTATCGCATCTTCCCCTGGATCAAGACCGTTCTCACCCACGGAACCTCCGTCGATATCCACGCCCTTCAAGCCGCCAAACAAGATGCCACGACCGCCAAGCACATCGCCGACGTCCACTCCCGCGCACGCCAATTCCCCAACGACACCGAGCACCTCTACTCCTTCATGCAAGTTTTCACCGCTTGCGTTGCCTCCTTCGCCCACGGTGCCAATGACGTCTCTAACGCCATTGGTCCCTTCTCCGTCATCTACCACACATGGAAGACTGGCGAGACAGCCGACAAGACTCCCGTTCCTGTTTGGGCTCTCGCCTTCGGAGGTGCTATGCTTGTTTTGGGTCTCGCTCTCTGTATGTATCTCACATTCCTAGTCGTACTTGAGCCATTTACTCACTCCTCTTCCTTCAGACGGATACAACATCATGCGCATCCTCGGAAACCGAATCACCCTGCACTCACCCTCGCGTGGATTCTCGATGGAACTCGCGGCCTCCATCACTGTCATCCTCGCTTCTCAGTTCGGTATTCCCGTATCCACCACCATGTGTATCACTGGTGCAACCATTGGCGTTGCACTTTGCAACGGAGACATCTGGGCGACCAACTGGCGTGCCATTGGGTGGATTTATGTGGGATGGATCGCCACTGTCCCCATCGTCGCTACGCTTAGTGGTTGCTTAATGGGTATCCTTCTCAACGCCCCTCACTTCTGATGTGTCCCTATTGCCTTGATTGCCTAGTACTGTCACTCGACACTTTAGTTTTACATGCTCCTTTCCTTATCTCTGTATGTAGCATTAATTCACGGGTTTTAGCCAACGCCGCACGAGTCCGAAGTCGGTTTCCAACCAACTAACGCTCCAGTCTCAAGTAAAGAAGTGAGAGGTTGATGAAACTAAACTGCGGATAGACACTTGGAGTACAATTCTCTTCGCGTGAAGTAAGGACCGTCTCTGCAAAGTAGTGCACTGACAGCACGCTGTAATGAATGCAATGGGATTTCCCGAAAGGAAGAGCTAGTATAGGCGTGTATGGAGGGGTAGAAGTCATGAACAGAACGAATTAAGAGGAAGCAAGGCTGAAGAAAACGATGATTCAGACGCAAAAACGACAAGACGAGCAAATCTGAACGAACGCGATCGATGGGTATACTACACACCGGAGCGTGCCCCAGCCTTCTCCTCCAGCGCATTGGCTTTGAGGCTCGAGCTGCCGTTCCCCACGTCAACGGCTGAGGATGAAGACTGAGTGGACTGAGAAGAACGGTCGTCTACAGTGTCCCGTGGATAAGGGCTGGTTCCATGACGTTCGTCATGGGCTGCGGCCATGAACATGAGTACGGTGCTGGAAAAAGGATCAGCTCTTGCGTATGACGTCTCGAGAATAGTATCAGCTACTACCTGGCCAGTGTGGAAACGAACGCTATCCATATGAGAACCATCCACGCGATGTTATGTGGATATCTTCGATAAACTGATTCAGTTCAAGCATCAGCCTGGGGAAAATTAAGAAGATCCAGTCATACCAAGGGGAGGCCAATCGAATCGCTGCAGCATCGTGACGATCGTGCTCTCGTCGGGCCCAACGACGAATGCTGCGTGAGTTGTGATGATGATCTATAGTGCTAAGGCGTCAGTGTGGCCGTTCAGTCCAGCGGAGGGAGCTTTGCTCACTGTGCTCATCAACGCTGCGGCGGCCATTCCCATCGTAATACCTACCGCTAGACCTTTCTTTGCCCCGTTATACCACTGAGGATACTTTCTCCTGGGCCAGAAGACGAGGAAGAAAAAGTCTGCACCGAACAGAGTGGCAACGAGAACGCAGAAAACGATGGTGACGCATTGCGCTGCGTAGATATCATTGTTGAACACGACCATCGTGTGACCAGAAGCCTCTTCAATGTCTGACTCGTGGAAGTTATACTTCGATAGAGAGTAGGTTGCCGTGCACTGATGAGCGCATGAGTGGACATCGTACAGACATCGAATGGTTGAAGCATACCTCGGCAGAAAGAGCCGTGATCATTGCAATCTGAAGATGGAGAGCCGTTGAAAACTCGACCATGGAGTACGACGAGTCCTTCTCACCTGGTATACGACTGTTCTCGCAACTGTAAGTTCGAGTACCACCTTTGGGGAATGATTTACTCACTAAACCTCTCCTTCCGCAGATGCCATTGGGGATCGAACATGTTTTTGTGGCCAAATGCTCCCCAATGCATCTCGGACAGGTCGAACCCCCAAATGATAGCCATTTTCACCGTCCTGGAAACCTGACGCTGAACCGTTTGTCAAAGCAGAGCCAACCGAAAATTGCAAGGTCGTCGAAGTCAAGTAGGAATAGCAGCTAGCCAAGAGAAAAGGAGCATACCCATGGGCTGGGGTACTTAAAGTATCCATTCGGTGGAGTTCTCGAGGCTGGGCGAGTAGGACGGAGGTTGTATGGCCGTGCAGTGGTCGGTGGAGCCTCTATGACGAGCCATTTCCCCCCGAGCTCCCCACGATGATGCCTGTGGCCACTGCCTGTTAAAAACTACTTTCAGAAGTCCTGTCGCCACTCAGATCCCACGGTGACCGGAACAACTGAAAGACCTGGTAGAGTTCGAATGGAGGACACGGCGGTGCATGGTAAAGGGGAGTTTACCAGCAAAGGAACTCGCGAGTCGCGTCGGCTATCATCGAGGAGTATTTCGGATCATATTTCTGAAACTCAGTCATGCCGAGTCGGCAAATTGTGTGGAAAGTCTGACGATTTAGAGGAATCGCAGCGAAGTGCCTGCCACTACAAGTGCCCAGATCCGACTGTCAATTCGGGAGTACATTATGGTAAAGTGTCTTCAATAACCTCCATTGGAACTCAGAAATCCGACCGCAGGCGCCTCTTCGAAATCCCTAGTGTCGAGCGAGTTTTCATCACGCTTGGCCGGACGTCCACGATGTACATTCCCCGGTTGAGGGCGGAACGAGGGACTGAATTGCGACCTTTTCCGGAACCGAGACCACACGACGCCTTCGTTGGACAAGAACCCATGTTCCAATCCGCCACCAAAGCCCCCGTCTCCTGCAAACCCTCGATTACTGGGCCATTTATGCAACACGAATCCAATGCAATTACTCACCGTGGAATAGATACAGTAGAACATCACCTCGTCGTCTTCCACCTCGTCCTTAAAGCCACAAAATAGTTCTCCTTCGACACCATGGAGAAGCTGTTCGCCTGGAAAACCGAGGTTATCTTGGTATGGGCAGGCATAAGTACACATTTGTGGGTATGGCTCTTCATGTGAAGCCCCGAGAGCGGAAAGGGATAGGATAACTAACGCTGCGACGAGTGCGTGCAAGGGGATCATGGCGGCGATTCAGAGTAACAACAACTCGAAGAGAGGGGAGCCAGAGAGAGCTGAGCAGGTTATACATTCGCTACATTCTTGTCCTATTTATGAGAACCGGACCCACTTCTGTACGTGTGCATCTCAACTTGATTTGCCATTCAGTGTGAGAAGATGTACATGGTGCATAGAGCTCACACTACGTAAATCGTTCGATAATGGAAGTCCGTTTAGTCAAAGGTCCAATAAAAGGTGGACGAAGAGGTCCACGTTACTCAATCCCCGTCGTCAGAGGCCTGCGAGAGGTCAAACTCAAGGAGCGATCGCCACGCTGGCCAACCATTTCTGATTAGGATTCTCGGGAGGACCGCATCCCCAGGTCTGTAACTGTACCCAATCCTCCTTGAGCCCATTGGTATCATCCATGCATTGCCCTGGCACCGTAGGGTGACTTTCGTGAGATTCTTGTCATATCGCTCGAGGAAAAAATAAAGGACTGACCTCCAATGGTTGAGAATGTGTAACGGCCATTTGTATCGTCGTAGACCCAGACCTGGGAGGGGCGTCCGTCACATTGCTGAATGGTCAGTAGACCGCCATTGTGTGGGTCTAAAGTATTTTTCGTTAGGCTTCCATCGGCGGGGCTCGGTCTGAGCTTGACGTACTACTTCCAGCATCGAGACAAAGGTCTGTCCCGAAAAGGCGCACTTCACCCGGAGTAGTGGCTGGAGAAGGGACTAGCCATTTCTGCGCTGGCGTTCCGTTGCATCGATAGCTAGGTACTCACGTTAGCACGCGTTCAGAGGAATTACTGACGACAATGAGCGAGTGACTCACAGCTGGACCGGCGTTCCAGGAGTAAATGCGGCAGCTCGAACGTCAACACACCAAATCCGGTCTCCTGGCACAACGAGCTGGATTTCTTGACCATTCTGTTCCCAACCAGGCGGCATAGTTCCATTCGGGCACCATCTAGCATTGCCTCAGTCTTTATCCAACACCACAAATAATAAAGGGCTTACTCAACGACGTATCTCGCCCCTCCGAATGGGCATGATCGCAAAGGCAGAGCGGGAGAGGATGAAACAGGGATCGCGTTCTCTGTAAATGCTTGCTTTTCTGAGTACGCCTCAGAGCTGCTGCAGGTGGCTGGCTCGCACGTAATAGTGGTGCATAGCCCATCGACCTGTTCTCAACCAGTTAGGAATATCCGTACATTGGAACTCGACGAGGGTACTTACAGACTTGGGGTGCTCAGGTACACTGATACTCACACCCACGTTGCTCACTCCGGCGTCTTTGACGATGTAGTAATAGAACCGCTTGTGGTAAAAGGGCTAATCAGAAACTATGTTGGTACGACGGTATAGACACACTTACCTCGCCCCAGAAGAACACCCTAGTAGTAGCACTCCCGTCGGGGTTCCCCCCGTTGAGGGTATTGTAGATCACAGTGTCGAGACCCAAGTTCGCGAAATGGTCGCCGCCTGGGAGGAGAGGGCCAGTATCGACACCGTCGATGAACAAGCGCATCGTATTCCCGCAGTTGTTCCTGATCCTCGCGCTGAAGGTATTCTGCGTCAGGGCACCCCCCAGTAGCGCGAACGTAGGAAGGCATTTTAAAAGGAACCTCATCATGGAGTAGAAGACCGCTGGAACAGGATAAGAGAGGGAATGAACCTCTGTGGACTCTGGCACTCCCCCACCTTTTATGCACGCCAACGACCTGCCAAGGGGATGCCCGTTTGGCTTCCGCTGTAGCCCCCGTCAAACTGCCGTGATGTTCTAAAATACCTTCCCCAACTCAACGTAACGCTTGAAACTGGCCAACGATTGGAAGATTGAATTCGACTTTCACAGTGGATTGCGGAACGCTTTCAACACACTTGCCAAGAGGATTGAATGCGTTGCATTGAGTTCTAGAGGGGGGCATCACGTACCTCGTGCAATCCCGAACGTCTCCGTCAGAAGCGAGGCAGAGCGTTCTATGAAAACCAAGCAGCCTCGTTTTTGTGTTGGCGACAGAAGGGTACCATTGCGGCGGTGATCGAAAGCTATAATTAGGCTCTCGAACACAGGACGCACTGGAAGCTGTTGCCAAGTCGCCAGTGTGAGAAGCTCAGAGCTGTAAGGTGAGGGTTTATGGAATTGCCAGGCTAGGGATCCTGAGGAGATCGTGATCTTGAAATCTCTGTCGTGACATGCCTGAAGAACTGGAGGCGAGGAACCATGCCGAAAGGAACGGATAGATTTCCACAAGCGCCCGTGTATTCCTGGAGGCGAAGATGACAAGATGTCGTTCAAGACTTGACAGAAGATGTATCTCTCCTACTAGTATGGCCGGTCCGCCGCAGTGCACCGAGGACGCTGCGTCAGCGGTTGACAGAAGACAGACAGACGAAAAGAATCTGGCCTTCCCAATCGCCAGCTAAAGCTGTGACAGAACAAACAGGAGCATCTTTAAAACGCGGAAAGAACGGGCGAGAAAGCTGGACTCGGAAGTGGCACGAAAGGGTGCAAAAAGTCAAAAGCCAAACAAAGCCTTTAGATTATAACAAGGACAAATTATCGCACATAGCACCAAGCTTGGCCTTGGGTCCTATTTCTCCCAGAGACCTCGGTTCTTCCGCACCCACTCGCGGAAAGATAAGCTTCCTACACAAACCAACTCCCTCTCTTCACATCGCTTCTGGAAGAAAGCATCGTCCACCCCTTTCTCCGCTCTCTCCGCGATTTCAGAAAGCACAAGTGCGTATTCTCGAGGCATTCCTACTCTTACCCACAGCTCGACTATCTCATCTGAGAAGATGGACTTGTGAGTAATCGATCGTCCGAGAATCTCAGAAAAAATGTTTCCGACCTATGTATGAGAAGTAATGAGACCAGGGACCAGTTTGACGAATGCCGATGTCCCTCCTCGTCGTAGGTGATCAATTCTGGGACAACTATCACCTTCTCGGTCATGTCGTTGTTCTCGTTCTTGAGAGCCTCAAATGCAGCGTGTTCAATCGAAATGGTCATTAAAGCAAAGATCTAATTCCGCGACGTATAAATCTACGGAAGGAGAAATAAAGACGTTACCAATCGTCGAATACCTCCGTATTAGGTGGATCTTGAGGATACCGGGGCCTTTCTTCTATTTCCTCATTTTCACGCCCACTAAACACTAACTTCACAGGATTGTTCCCAGCCTGCATCCAAGTCTGAAGTGCGGCCCGTAATCCAGGAACATAGCCGGGCGAGCGAAGCTGGATCCGAGCTAGACAAGTCTGTGCTTTCGGGTGTCTACTCCTCTCGATGATAAAGGCCATGAACGCCTCGGTCGTCAATAGGGGCCGGTCTACCATAAAGTCGTCGATCTCCAAGGAGTGAAGTCGTGGGCAGGCAAGCGTGGAGTTGGGATCGTCGTTCGTGGGTGTGAGGGCCTTCAGGACACCATCATTGAAACCATAGTTCTCCGTCCATTCGTCATCGGACATGTTTCCGGGAGGCGACCGAATCGGAAAGGGTCGATATTTCAAGATCAAATCTTCCAGTGAATCCATGGATGAGATGAGGTCGATGATCTCCTTGCTTGTGTAGGACTCTATAAGTACTTCGACTCGCCGAAGTAACTGGGCCTTTATCGGAGTGGACCGTAGGGATATGGGTGGCACGAAGGAGAAGGAAAGGCGGTGCAAAAGGGGTGCGTCGACGTGGCAGAGGAGACTGACAGTCATAGGGCCTCCTTCCGATTGATACAGGCACAGGACCTGCAGCTGAGGAAGGGCGATGACCCGCTGAACCTGTGCATCTTCGTTCCTTGGCCTGGGGGCATTGAACTGCCCGATTCTGCAGACTCGGAGCGATGGCATGGATTCCAACAATCTGAGTACCTGCTCGTTGGAGAGGAAGGCATGTCTATTGTGGGTCGTCCAACGGAAAGTCGTCATCCGAGACCAGTTCAAAGCGTACTGGAATGGGGAAGACGCCATCCCGCGGCAGGATATGGCCTCCAGGTTGGGTGCTCGAACCAAAAGCTCGGGATCGCACAATACCGCAACGTCTTCCTCCTCTGCTTCGTTAACAACTGACACGGAACGGAGGTTCTGAAAGCGTCCCAGTTGAAGAAGAAAGGTACTGTGATTCGGTTCGTATAGTTCTTGTCGCAGTTCCCCGATGCGGTGCGTGAACGGCTGTAAGAATGTTTGAGCGATGCCACTCGGGTAGTCGACAAGCCATAGACGTATGGGTATGGGGTTCGATCGTTCTATCCATGTCTGAAGGGCAGAACATCGCAGCCGGGCTAGCCTGTCTGCCGCTGGATTCGACTCGCAGGGCATGGAGACGTAGACAGTAGACCATAATCTCTGGGTGGACAACGCAACTTCTCGCCATCTTCGACAAACCCATCCTAGGGTGTGTGGTGGTTCCGTGGAGGAGAACGTAGGGGTACGCGGAAGTGACGCGATAAAGATCTCGCGAAGAATGTCGTCGGGGATTCGTCGAATGGGGGAGGCCAGCGCGGCGTGCTTGTCGATATAATGGGATAGTTGTTCTCTGTAATTGTCGAGTAGCGCTAGCTGGGTTTTGACATTTTGGACTAGAAATCGAATCTCGGAAATCTCGAGGTCGCTCGGCGTGTAGTTGGTATCAAAGAACTGGTGAAAAGGTGAAGGTGGTAGTGCTGGAAGAGCGTTGATGAGGCGCTTGAACCTTGATAACATCAGTCAGTCTCGCATCTTCTGAATGGGACAAATGGGATAATACTCTGTAGAGTCCATACTCGTTCTTCCAATGGTCGATTCGTAATGCCGGATAGGTTCAATTCAACGTTCAACGCAACCAACCGGATATGGCGGGTGATGGAAATCAAGGGATCTTCCGAAAGACTTATCTTATCTGTATCTGTGCAACTCTTTGAAATGGTCGACTCAGCCAGTGTGCAATCCACAACGCATTCACGCGTTCCCGAAGTTTCAGAGCATAAAATACAGTTTGAATCTACACATCCGTTTGACATTATGGGGGCCTCATCGTCGTTCAAGCCGATTCTAGGAAGTCGTAGTGCTTGCCCTTTAGATCCCTTAGTATGTGGTGATATTTATGCTAGGCTCAGTACGTTCGTCTTTAAATGCCCTAGCACAGCCTAGTGCTGTTTCTGATCCCTAGGGTCTCGCTATCGTTGCAAAGCGCTTTATAGGGTTAAGCGCCCATCGGCTTCGGATGCATTACCAGTAGTTGCCTCGTTTGCACTGCATGGTACAGCCGTGGTACAACCGTCGGTGTCGGTGTGGCTGTCCCTAATCCGTACATCACGTACGGAAACTACTATATACATACCCTCCCTTCACCTTTCAAACACCACTTTCCCCTCCACCAGAACCTCTGCCAGATCGAGATGGAAATTGCAGCTGGCGTCATTGGTGCAGCCGGTACCGTAGCAGGGGTTGCGCAGACGTTCGCTTCAGGATTCTCAGCGCGGCACGACCAAGCGCACGACGCTCAAGTCGCAGTGGTTAATCAGATCAATGCATTGTTCATGAAGGCTTATCGGGAGGGCGAGATTTTGGAGGAGGATTATGAGCGGTTTCAAGTTCAGAAACTGAGGTGGGCTCCCTCTACTAGGATTAGTACTGATGTGTGTATGTGCCATGCTAACATTCCTGTGGGACTAGGGTGCATGACCTAGCTGCTGCGTACTTTGATGCTATTTGTACGTTCAAGAAGACGCAAAAGTTCTCGGTGCAGCAAAAGTTGAAGGCCAAGGACCATGTTCGGGACTGTAAGAGGAAATTGAGGGAGGGTGTACAAGAGCTGCAGATGATTTCCAATGTGAGTATATTACTTGCTAGCATCATCATCACATAGTCGTCGCTTCTTCTCCTTCCTGTGCTCACCTTCCCTTACTACGCGTGGTTGACCCTATTAGAATTCGGAATCGAGTAAAAGATTACAACCGGTGTCTGCAATGGCGACTGCAGGGTCGGTGTACCATGCAGGGCCGTTTGGACGGGATGGGATACAAGAATGGGCCGCGGGGGTATACGGCGAGAAACCATTCTTCGCAGGGGATATCGAGGAGTGGGCTCGGAATGTGTTGGTAGATCAACGTGGCCGCCATGCTGATGTTAACCACGGTTACACCGATGAACTACGAACAAACGACAGGCGCCTGTTCGATCAACCGTTCCGAATTCCTGACCCGACCCTGCGGGTGGGAGCTCAGCAGCGATTGCCACCCGTTCCAGAGCCATCTGGCTCGCGATGGTGGTTCTTCGTTTCGAGATTCACGCTGGTCCCTGGGCCAGCGTTCGAAGTGGAGGCGTTTCCGGTAGTCCAACACGACGCTGACGTGTGGAAACTGGATATTATCGCGAGGTCGACGTCGAGGGCACCTTATACCTACCACCCACCGGAGCACTACGTTTTCGCATTCCAATATGCCACCCGCCATCGAATCCAGGCCAAGAGCCCAGCTACTTCACGACAGGTACATACTCAATCGTCTCTCGGTTCTGCTAGTAGTAAATCATGGCTCGACCCACTGACTGCCCCTACCCCAGGTAAAGCTGCACCAACCACGTTGGACTGACGGCCGCGAATGGCACGCGAAATACCAAATGAGTTTCCAAGGGCTCGTTCTTCGGATGGCCTTCAGTTCTTCTTCGCCGTCAGAGGAGTCTAAGATGTTGCATTCTCCGACGTTCAGCTTTCCCCCGCCTCCGAGTCCGTCTGGGTTTGTGATGGTGAATGTTGCGACGTGTTGTGAGGCCCATGGCCTTCAGGGGACGCAGTACCAGGTTTCGAGGGGGGCAAGTAGGGAGGTGTTTAAAGCTGCTTTGAAGTTTAAGGGTGGAGGAGGAAGAAGGATGAGAAGCGAAATGGGAGGAGAGCGGGAGGAGGAGGGCACCAATGGGGAGTTTTGTTTGTATTTTAGGGACCCGGCTGGGCGGGTGGATCCGAAGCCGGTGACGGAGGGGGAGTGGCTCGAGTTGATGGTGGGATATGAAGGTGGGCCGCTGGATATGGTCGTTGTGGTGGACGGGTGTAAAACCACTAGTTCTTGGTAGATGCCTGCTATTCTCGACAGACCAAAAACCACCCAAGATCCAATTGCATCGGACGAAGTTAATCTAACTTCCTTTTACTGTACGACATACCAGAAGATCCCACTGTCACATTCAAATATCTACGACACGAAATGCGAATAGTGAACCGATATGAACTTCGAAGGACTTGTATGACTTGTCTGCACAACCGAATGAATCTATTGAATATTGAATGCTATCGAGTGTAGTAGTTGAATGCCAATGCGAACGTAAAGCGGCGTGAGCAAATGATATACGAAGGTACGTGTATGAGATAGCAATGCGAGGTAAGATGAAAATCGAAATGAACATCAGAGGAAAAAGAGTTGAACGATTCTATGAGCAAGGTGACGAAACTACGAAACGAGTAACGTGTGAGACGAAGAGACAAAAGTTTTCGAAATTAAGTAGACGTAAGGGAGTCGAAAGTAAAATACGAACACATAAATAGCAAAAAATACCCATAGGAAATGTGCAGTAGTAATGACGAATGTGCAAGAATACAAAACGATGTCGATGAGCGATGGATGAGTAGGCAGGGATAATCGATAACAATAGACGAACTTCGAAAGATGTAATGTAATAACGCAATACTTGATCTACCTTGTGGATGATCGATGAGACTATGAACCGATTGAAGTCAGAAGGAGTGAATAGCAGAAAGAGCGGAAACGCAGAACGATAGAAGGAAGGATGGATGGATGGATGGATGGATCCACGTCGAACGCCAACCAGGACGTCCACGCGCACCCATATTCTAAAAAGCATTCGAAAAACCCAAATAAAAACCGAGAAGCCAGAGCGAGACGATCAAGTCCAATCGAACAGCAACACGCCCCATGGCATCCAACGTACCACAACACGCCCCACGGCATCCAACGCACCACAACACACACAACCATCCAACGTACCACAACCAAACACCCTACACTCCTACGCACCCTCCTCATCCACCTTCCCCAACGACGACACGTGGAAACGGGGCGAGCTCGGCGCACTCATACCTCCCATCTGCCCATACGCAGACGAGGAGGCCAGCTCCCTCGCTTTACCGTACGGCGAGGGAGGGGCGGTCAAGGATCCTTTACCGTACGGCGAAGGTGGGGCGGGGGAAGGGGCGTAAGGCGAGGGAGGAGCAGGTGCATAAGGCGAAGACGGTGCAGGCGCGTAAGGCGAAGGCGGTGCTCCCTGCGTATACGAAGAAGACCCATACCCATGCGGCGAAGCGGGAGGAGCACCGTGACCATACGGCGAAGGGGGAACACCCAACCCAGCACTCTTCGCTCCCCTCACCCCACCACCACCACCGCCATACCCAAACGAGGAGTGACCGAATGTAGAGGAACAAGCGGACGTGGGCGAGCTAGGAGCGCTGGCGTACTCCCTCGTATATCCGCTGGCCCTAGCATCGTGTTCCCTCGTAACCCCACCCCTAGGATCATACCCAACATTCACACTCGTCGTCGTCACCGTCGACGTGACCTGCACCGTCAACGCCGGGTCGCGTTTGAACTTGAATTTAGGTCTAGGAATCGAGCTGCGGTGCTTCGTATTCGGTGAGTTGGTGGTGCTTTGTTTCGTATTCGAGGAGCTAGCGCTTTGTTTCGTATTCGTTGAGTTGGTGCTACTTGTGCCTTGGTTGGCGTAGTTCGGCGAGACAGAGCGTTTAGAGTTCGGCGTAGTAGGTGTAAGAGGCGGCGTGCTCGTCGGCGTCGGAGCTAGCGAATGGGAGGTCGACAACCCCGGCGTCGACGTCGACGGTGAGTACGAAGATGTAGGCGAATTGGAAGCCGAGGAATTGGATTTGAAGTACCCCAGAATCACTACAAAGCACAAATCCATGGGTTAGTTTTTTCGATCGAGAATGAGAACGAGTTGACCCGTGACGAATGGGAACAAAAAATACGCAGAGAAAGAGGAGCACAAAGAAAAGAGAGAGAAGCACAATTGCAAAGGAAGGAGAAGAGAATAGCACAAATAAAAAGAAAATACACGCACAACTACCAAGCTTCGACCCCCTCTTCTTCGGTTTCCCACCCTTGCCAGCACTCTGAAGACCAGCAGCGATACCCCCCGCAATTCCCTCCGCAACACTCTTGCGATTCGCCGCACCGCCGAGGAAACCGACGGCGTTGCCGATACCTTTGTCTCGAGGAGTAGGTCGTGCTTGGCTCGCGGAGACTCCTCCTCCTGCTTCAGAGACACCTACTCCTCCAGACACGCTTCCAGAGGAACTGACGCCGTTACCAGCAGACGGTCCAACGCTGTTACCCACAGGCCCCCCACCGCCCCCTCCAATCCCCCCACCCTCCGTCTCAAAAATATTGTTAAACGTCCCGTAGCGGATGAGCGCGCCCACGGTTTGGGGTTGGTCTTTCTCTTTAATTTCTTCCAACTCCTTCTCGTGCACGTCTCCACTCTCATTAATGCCCTTCAACTCGCACTGCTCATCCTCCAAGTCCTTTCCGTGTACTCCACCCAGCTCTTTCACGCGTTCCTCATCCACCACGTTCGATGGGCCGTCGCTAACCTGATGCACGCGATCGCCGTCCTCTCTTTGACCGACGATGGCTTGGTCTTGGTCTTGGTCTTGGGCAGGAGCCTGCGGTGGGCCCCGTTTCGGTTTCTTCGGGCTTGGAATGAGGACTGCCGAGGGGGGAGGAATGACGGGCGGGAGGGGAGAGGGTGGTGGGATGACGATCGGAAGAGGAGAGGGTGGTGGGATGACTATCGGAAGAGGAGAGGGTGGTGGGATGACTATCGGAAGAGGAGAGGGTGGTGGGATGACTGGTGGAAGAGGGAGGGGAGTGGTGGTACACGTATCCGTATACGTATATGGGAGTTCAGATTCTGCAGGGGAGGTACCGGACTCGATATCCGCTTCGGTCCCTGGAGCCTGGGCAGGAGATTCGGTCATGGGAGGCATCGATGGATTGTTATTATAGGGCAGGTCGGACTCGACTGGAGGTGTAGACGTAGAAATAGACCTAGACGTAGACACGGTAGGATCCGACTCTGGAGGCGAAGATGTTGTTGTATAGGGAAGGTCGGACGTATCCTCCGCATCAGACGTCCCGGAAAGGTCGAGCGTGGTACCAGCCATATGCGAAAGTTCCAGCTGAGGCGGTAGCTCCAGCCGAGGCGGCGCAACCTCGCCTCCCTCGCAAGTACCCACATCCATATCCACATCCGCATCCACATCCCCATCCGCAACTTGTACCTTCCGGCTCGCACCCATCTCCCCATGGCCAACTTGCACTCGAGGGCTCGCATCACCACGACTCCCATCCACTCCAGCAGATCCAGATTCCTCAGACCGAGGAAGATCAATCTCGAAAGGAAGACCAGCCTCGAGAGGCGGGAGCTCAACCTGGATCAACAGCGATTCAGAGGGAGGACGTTCGGGTTTGCTGTTAGCGCCCTCACGGGTGTATGCGACTCCCGACGAGGCAAGAGGTTCCGACTCAGGGACTTCTGACTGGGCGTGGGGGTGTTCCGATTGAGAAGGGGATGGCGATGGAGCGATAGGGCCAGCAGGGGAAAGGTCGGACTGAAGAGGCTCTTCCGAGTGAACGTGGTGTTCAGCGCGCACAGGCGAGAACTGGGCATAAGCGTCGACGATATCCATAGTCGGACAGGCATACGGGAGGTAGTCGGACGACTCTGCAACAAGCCCAGACGCAGACTCGGACTCGACGTGCATGCCAGATTCGCCCGGGGGGAGCTCGGACTCGACGAGGAGCTCGTTCGTGCCCAGGCGCTGAGACGAATCCGGGAGCTCGCACGAGTCCCTGGGGACAGCCTCAACCGTGGCGGCAGTCCCGTTAATGAACCCAGTCGCGTCGGTGAGCCCAGACGAATCTGTGAGGGTAAACTCGACGGGAGGACGAGCAGGCGAGGAATCCTCGAGGGCAAGCTCCGGCGGAACCGACGTCGCCTTGGGCGCCTTCAATGCCGATTTGAGAGGTGTGACTAGCGCTGAACTCGTGCGTGGCGAGACTAGGGGTTTAGGGACTCCCGTCGAAGTGAGCGGCTCCGATACAGGCGACGCAGCCGAGAGCGTCGTATGTGTCGGCTTCAACGCTCTCGTCGATTGGGCCCCACCGGTACCTCCAAGCCTCGTCGACTGCGAACGCATAGGTAACCCCGAAGGAACCGCTACAGTGCGTATATGCGTCGGCGTGGACATCTTCCTCAGACGCCGGTCTTGGTGCTCGGTGTAGCGTTGTTGGGCGTAGTGGTTGTTGTAGTGTTGGTTGTCGTACTCCTGCTGGTGGTGCTGGAGATGGCCCTGATGCTGCTGCTGGACGTAACCTTGGTGCTGCTGGGCGAGGTGCTGTTGTTGAGTGTACTGGTTATCCACTTCACCCGACGCAGAAAGCGACGCAGACCCGATACTCGTCTGACTCGAATTCGTAGACGTCGTGAACGTGATCTGGTGCGCGGGTGCACTGGCTAGGTACCCGCCTACACGGTTTGGTTTCTCCACGCCTAACCTCTTCTCCCCTCCTCGTCCTCCTCCCACTCCTACTGCATTCCCTTTCGCACCCACCACGACGGTACCAGCACCAGCACCAGGAATACTGTTCTTGGGCTTAACAAACGCCGGGGCAAACGTCGACGTCGGGTCCCAAGAATCCGGTACCTGCCCCTCCCCATTCTCCTCCTTTGGCTTCGCCTTGGAGTCAGGTAGACCAGGCACACCGTCCAAATCGAAGAACCCCGATATCGGTCTTCGTTTACCACTACCACCACCCCTACTTGGAGCTGGTAGAGCTTTTCGGCCAGCCGTAGCGGATTTACCTCCCGCTAGCGGGGAGGACTTGAGTGACTGCTGAATGGCGTTCAAGTTGAATGGGATGTTGAAGGGGACGTTTAAGGAAGAGGAGGTGGTGGTGGAAGAGGAAGTGGATGGACGGAGGTGCGAGTGTGAACGGGATTGTCGGAGGTGTGTCAATCGCGGGACGGTGAATTTTGGTTTGGAGGGTGTGGGAGGGTTGGAGGGGGCGGTGGAGGTGTTGGGACGGGCCATGGTCGGTTAGGTTACCGGCTAGTATTGAGTGGAAGCTGGTATTGAGTGGAAGGAAGGGCAAAAGTTGACTATTGTCGCTTGAAAAACGTCGAAGGGACTGGTGAGACTAACACTGACAGTGAGACCGAGACCCCAGGCACGCAGGCCACAGAACCCAATCCCAAGCGAGGGGGTGTTGCTTTGTTCTCCTTCTCGAGCAGTTCTTTAGTGTCGTGCGGGGTAAAATAGAATCCGACTTTAAGGTTCTAAAAATAGAACAAGGTGAAGGGAGGAAAGGGAGGGAGGTGTGGGTGGGGTGACGGTGAGGATCGGTGGCTAGAGGTGTCGGTGGCGTCGTCGTCGCTGAGAGCTGTCTTAACCTAAGGAAAGAACCTGTGTCAGTGCGTTGAAGCCATGCAGAGAGCACAGTGGACTTACGAGTCGAGTAAGGCACGGACGATGGGGAAGAAGCTGTTCTCTCCGTCGTCGGCGGACCTACGACGAAGCTTCTTCCGTACCTGGGACGAGCTTCTGTCCGAGAAGCCCACCTAGCAAGCGACTGCCTCGTCACAGTTCCCGTCAAGTCGGGTTACACTTCTCGTCAAGTCCGCGTCGCGTCAGCGTCGCAAATCCAGCGAGTGCCTGCAAAGTATGTGAACTGTCAACAGGAGGCGGTGGTGGGTGGACGATGGTGGTTGGCGGGTGGATTGTGGTGACGTCGACTTTGTTGCGTTGCGTTGCGTGTCGGGGCGCACACAAACAGAGACAGTGCCAGCAATGTTAAGTATACTTATGCAGAAGTCCCGGAAAGCGGTCAATGTCAAAAGTATTGTTCACAGTCAATGTCCCACCCCACCATCATCAATTCATCTTGCAGGGGGCAAGCGAAGCGAGCTAGCCGCAGCGACAAGCCAGGGTCCATCCAATACAATTGGTCGAACCGAAAAACAAATAACACGCCTGTTACAATGAATCATTATTGGGTTCTGGGTCCAGGCGGGCGCGTATGAAGTGTCGGACGTCGAGCAAGTCAAAGAACGTCAAGGGGAACATGAATGCGGGAGGAAAGCTCTACAAAAATAAATAAGCAACTCGGCCTGTATGTAAAGATGACGAAATGCTTCAATGCTACCCAACTCTAAAAGAAAAGAAAAAGTATTCGTCAGCACCGAGAGTCGAATTAACGACTTGCGAAAACTCGGAACACACGCGGAAGCCAAAAGTGTGCCAAACACTGTAGTGGCTGTGCATCCATTACGCGAGGGTGGGCATCATCCCCAAAGGAAATCGAGTGACGATTTTTGTTTTTTTGAGCTGTCACTCAACTCTTCCCTTCACCACCAACTCCTTCCTTCCTTTCGTCCTCCCTCCGTTTTTACACAATGGCCTCGCTCGTTTCTACTCGATTGGCTGGTCGTAGACTGGTGAGTAGTACAGTTACAGGGTTGGAGGAGTAGAGATGAGGCGGAAAAAGCTTCCGATTGGCCACGTCGAGCAACTGGATGCGTTCATACGGGTAGACGGGACACCGGATTTTTCACGAGGAACTCCTCAAACGCCTCCCTCTCCTCCATCCATTCTCCCTTTGGTTAAGACCAGCGCTAACCCAAACCCCTCTCCTCCACCAGACAACCCTCCCGCGCAACCTCCAACTGCGCCGCGGCTTCAGCGTCAAAACCACCGCCGACACGACCCAGCTCACGGGCAAACCCTCGGACCCCGCCACCGAGCCCTACACCCTCCGCCTCCACGAAGACTCGTTCAAGACGTACAAATGCGACGCGCCCTCGCTCGACGTGTCCATCACCAAGAGCGAGCTCCTCCAGATGTACTCGGAGATGCAGGTCATGAGGCGGATGGAGATGGCCAGCGATGCGCTGTACAAGGCTAAGCTTATTCGTGGGTTCTGCCATTTGGCTACTGGTCAGGTAAGCTTTCGGTTTCTCGTGTCTGCGAGTTGGGTGGTTGGTTCGTTGGGGAGGAGGGCGAGGGGTAGGCATCGACCCCGAGTCTACCCGTCCCAGGGTCCACCCACCTAGCCGACCGACCACCGACCACCAGCCACACCCTCATCTACCTCGTTCCCCGTACTAATCAACCCACCCTCGTCCACAGGAAGCAGTCTCCGTCGGCCTCGAGCACGGCATCAAAAAAGACGACCGCGTCATCACCGGCTACCGCTGCCACCCCTTCGCCGTCCTCCGTGGGGGCACCGTCGAGGGCGTCATCGCCGAGCTGCTCGGTCGCCAAGCAGGCATGTCCCACGGCAAGGGCGGCTCCATGCACATCTTCACCCCCACCTTCTTCGGCGGCAACGGTATCGTCGGTGCCCAGGTCCCCGTCGGCGCCGGCGCTGCGTTCGCGCAAAAGTACAAGGGCGAGAAGCACTGCACGTTTGCGCTGTATGGCGATGGTGCGAGCAACCAGGGTCAGGTGTTTGAGGCGTTTAATATGGCCAAGTTGTGGAACTTGCCGTGTGTGTTTGTGTGTGAGAATAATAAGTATGGGATGGGCACGTCGGCGGAGAGGTCGTCGTCGAATACGGAGTATTATACGAGGGGTGATAAGATTCCTGGTATCCAGGTGCGTACTTCCGTAGTTTGTTCGACGTATGGGGGACTGACGGGTGTTTGGTCTGACAGGTCAACGGCATGGATATCATCGCTACCAAGCAGGCTGTCGAGTACGCTCGCAACTGGACCGTCAACGACGACAAGGGTCCTCTCATCCTCGAATTCATAACCTACCGCTACGGTGGTCACTCGTGCGTACCCCTTTCCTCCCCTATCTCCTATCTCGTATTACCGTCCGACCGATGTACTGACGTCACGGCGCTCCTTTGTTGTGGTAAATAGGATGTCCGACCCTGGTACCACCTACCGCACTCGTGAGGAAGTCCAGAGGATGCGAAGCACCCAGGATCCTATCCGTGGTTTGCAGAGGTACCTCGAGGAGTGGGGTGTTGCTACTGAGCAGGAGCTCAAGGTGCGTTCGCATTCCTACCCCGCGCTCTCCCTTTTTGTTTTCGCTACCCCTCTTCGTGCCATCCCTCTCCTACTCTCCTGCCCTTCTACATGCCCGTAGCTTTATACCTGATCCCTTCAACCCTCTCTACGAGCACGGAATACTGACTGACCCCCCTCTCTCGTGCAGGCCCTCGACAAGGACGCCAAGGCTGTGGTCGACAAGGCTGTTGAGATCGCCAAGGCCTCGCCCGAGCCCGAGATCAAGGATTTGTGGACTGATATTTACTACAAGGGTACTGAGCCTCCGTTCATGCGTGGGCGGGAGAGGGAGGAGGTTCATTACTACTAAGCGGGTTCGCGAGCGAGGGTTCGGTACTACTGTGTGTAAGTGGTTCGAGCTCGCGAGGGTTGAACCGCGTGTAGTGGTATAGTCCTCGTGTGGTAGTAGTCGCCCCTCGTTGAGGGAGTGTGGTGGTCGCATTCGTTACGACGTCGGTCGCTGGTGGTTGATGAAATTTCTTAGACTTTTTAGACTCTTTCTTTCGTATTTCGTTTTGTTTATGCCTTGAGACGTATATATCCTACGTGCACGCACACATCGTTTTTTTACCATACAGTTATACATCGCTGATAAAAACATTGTGGTGGTTCTTTGGACCGGAGTGCACTTTGGTGACGATGGTGTGGAGGTGGGAAGTGGTGAGTACTGGTGAGTGGTGCACCGGTGAGTTGTTGTGGGTGAGGTGAGGCCGGTGGTCATTGGGAGGAAGAGAAATCGTTCATCGTTGGGACTGATGAGAAACACAAGCTCGAATGGACGCTTGACTCTCGTCCGACTTGCTTTCAACTTGTTCAGATTTCAGAGTCAGAACTTGCTTTCAACTTCAAGCTGAGGGTCAGAGGGGATACATATCCATATCTTCCTGGAATCCGAGTGAGGGGCCACCTTCTTGGACACTGGCAGTCTGAGTCAAGTGGCGTCATGATCACTGACTTGGACTAAGTAGTGCGGTGCACTGGTGGTGGTGGTGGTGAAAGAGTCGAGGCTCTCTGTCAGTGGCTCCCAGTGTGCAACGTTTAAAAATTTAAGCGCCCACCCTGCTGAGATGACCGGGGAAAGGTTAGGGTTAGGATCGTGCTCGATGATTATTATTAATGTCATTTTTAAGTAGTAAGTACCAAGTACCCAGGTTGGTCATGGTCGATTGCGTGTATCCCAGAGAGTTTCCTTTTTTTTTATTTTATTTTTCATTGAGTTCTCGTTAGCGTGCCTAGTAGAATTCTGAATTAGGGTGCCAAGTACAGGGCACTAAGTTCTCTTTTCGTCGATGAGTCTTACTACTAGTTCTCGTTTCGTCGATGAGTCTTACTACTAGTTCTCTCTTCGTCGATGAGTCTAACTAGTTCTCTTTCAATCGTCAGTAAGTCAGAAATCGTCCGTGTTCGAGTTCGTCTTTCTTTAGGGATGGGCTTAATTTAATTATCATGACACTGGGGTATACTTCTGTCATGAGGTTGTGTATGGCAGCATGTAGAGTACACGACGCGCTGGTACATGCTTTAATGCTGGAAAGCGCCGTCATTATCACTGACGGTACTCCCAGTGGTTGGGACCGCCGGACCGTGGGTGGGTGTTCAAACGGGCGTCTAATCAAACATTCAGATCTCGGAGGCCGAGGGGGGAGGTGTGGATAAGCCGTTGTTTATTTGAATACAGCTCCCTCGTTTATACGTGTGCTTAATACCCCTTTAAACGGTGAGCGAATGACCGCAATTGGGGCTGCAATTAATGAGTACTCAGTAGTAAATTGAACTTTAGACGATGACCGGTATAATGCTTTAAACTTTTTAGCTTTGAAATTACACTTTGTACTGAACGTCGTTCAGTTGCAGGCTTTGTTCATACTATGAGGTCACGAATCTACGGCCTCAGGGAGAGTGGGCGGCACACGAACCGCACTTCTCAGCGCGTCGGCTTGGTCATTGTGCACGTTGGCGGTATGCCGATTCAGGTCCTGTTTGCGTATGGTTGTGTACATACAGCCGGGGAACTGACATGCCAACTGCTCGGCTTTGGGATAGTGGATAATGGCATGGTGTTTCAGGTTTCTTTTATGCTTGGTCACGAACTTACAGCCGGGAAACTGGCACGGGAATTGCTCAGCGTTGGGATTGTGCATGACGTTGCCGTGTCGTCTCAGCTGTCGTCTAGACTTGGGTTGTGTGAAGACAGCCGGGGAACTGACATGCGACTTGCTCGACGTTGGGATCGTGGATGGTGGTGTTATGGTGTTTGAGGGACTGTCTGGACGTGCCTGTGAAATTGCAGTCGGGAAACTGGCAGGGGTAGCGTTCGTTCGGGTCGTGCACGCGCCGTTCGTGAGCCATTAGTTTTGACCATTTTTTGAACTCTTTCTGGCATATGGCGCATATGAATGGTCCGTTCCTGGACAGAGACATGATGGGACTGTATGTAAAGTATAGGGCGGTAGTCGCTAGTTGAAGACTTGAAGTCGATGGTTTCGAGCTTGTGGACTCGCAAAAACATGGCACCACTCGAGACTTTATATTATTCAGAATGGGCGGTTGGACCTTCAGTGTTGCGAAGTACTCTGTGAAAAAACATCAATTATCCAGAGGTCCAAGTCCAAGCGCTCTCATGGTTACTTGGACGCTGACCTCACTGGCAGTGGCTTTGCAGTACTTTTAGGGGACTGATTGAGCCTCTGTGATATTATGAGATGGGAAATGGGAAAGATGAACAACAGGCGGTCCGGCGGGTCGATCGAAGCTCGAAGACTGACTGACCACGAGTACTGAGCGCTTTAGCGCTGAGCGGTCGTCCTTGCAGAGATAAGATAAGGCTTTCGGAAATTCCCTTGATCCCGATGATCCCATCGCGTACATACTTCAATGCGGCTGTGAGCTTGTGTGTGTGAAGGTGCTTGCCATTTACCCAGCTTTTACTTGTCCTAGACTGTCCTTGCGCACAACGCTCATTGTAACATTAAGCCAATGGATCTATCTGAGTACTGGAACCTCCTATCATCTACACTACGTTTGACTGACAGTCGCGATCCAGGCTCATGTCCCTCGTCGGCGCTGGCCTACCACCTTCCCCATATTCACAACTGTTGGATACCAACTATGCACCGAACGACGACCAGGTTTCTGATATTAGAAGTCTTGTCAAAAGCCTCCAAGAACAACTGGCTCGACTCGATGACGTCCCACCAATACTTATACACCCGGACTACCGACGACAACTAAGACATTATATCAACCAGCATACCGCGCTGGTCTCTCCCATTCGACGAGTACCCGAGGACATCCTTCGCGAAATCTTTATCGCGACCATTCCTCGCGTCCCGAGAATCTCTTGCCAGGAGTCACCACAGATCCTAGGGTGGGTTTGTCGACGCTGGCGCGGGATCGCATTGTCAACGCCCAGATTGTGGTCAGTCGTTGAAGTGAGCACGTACTTTGACCCGTCGAGTCAACCAGCGGGAGAGAGCCGCGCTCTACGACGCTGTTCCGCCCTCCTCGCGTGGTTGGAGCGTTCAAAATCCATCCCCGTGCGACTATGGCTTCATGAAGGCCCGACTGCCATAGCGCGAACGTTCCTGCAACCATTTACCCACCGCATCGGGGTGCTCCGGCAAGAAATTGGACATTCGAATCCCAGCAGCCTCCTCCTTGCCCAAGGCCAGTTTCAAAATCTCCGCTGTCTTCATGTCGAAAACCGAGCTGGGCCGGAAGACCTTGCGGCGGTGCTGTGTGACGGTAGCCTTTTGGATCGAACGCCCAACCTCGACGCCGTATTCATTCAGGGGAGAGCGTCATCCCCCTTCATGTACGCCTTGCATTGGTCTCGGATGACCTCTTTTCGCTGGTCAACCTGTAACAGCAATGGCTGGCTCTGGAATGACCAGACACTCAAATTGTTGGAATCCATGCCATCCCTCCGACGGTGTCAAATCGACCAGACCGAAGGCCAAGCGCGAGCTATCGATACCGAGTCCCATAGAGCGAGGCGCCACCGACTCGTCAGCCTTCCTCAGTTGGAATCCCTATGCCTGCGTCAGAAGGAAGGCGGGCCCATGACCGTCGATGTCTTCCTTGACATTGATGCACCGCTTTTGCACCATCTTTCCTTCGCTTTCATCGATCCTATCTCTCTCCGAGCTCCCTCAATCAAGGCGCAGACTCTCCGTCGAGTGGATATTGCAATCGACAACTATACGACCCAGGAGCTGATAGGTCTCCTCTCTTCCATGTCTTCCCTGGAGGAATTGACCCTGAGGTATCGACCCGACTGGATGTGGGACGATTATTATGATTGGTTACAGGCCAACGGCTCCGAGAAGGCAAATCACGGCTTCAATGACCGTGTCTTGAAATCCCTCACAGCACCAACGAAAAACGCCGGCACCGAATTCGTCTGCCCACGGCTTCGCACCTTGGAGATCGACGACTTTGACGGCCTGACTGTGGAACGTTCTAATTTGACGACCGAGGCGTTCATGGCGTTCATTGTCGAGAGGAGCAAGATATCGAATGCTCACTCGCGACTGGCGCATATCCGCCTTCCTTATCCACTTTATGTTTTTCGTTTACAGGGTGCGTTTCAAGCGTGGAAAGAGGCTGGAAATGGAAACCACCTGGTGCAATTGGAGTTCAGGCACATGCAGAAGCCTTATGAACGGCCCTATTCTCCTGAAATTCCGCCTATCTGAGGGGGATAACGCCCGGACGATCGGAAACAGCCGCGTTCATGTAAATATACACCGAATTCCTTCTAGAGCTATCATGACCGGTAATGTTCTAGTCGGTGCTACGACACAGAAGTACGATTCGCAGAGTTTGCCCTACAATGCATTACCCTTTGGTGCTTGATGAATATTCATTCTTGACATGTACCGCTGATCTGGGATGACGACGGTTCACGCTCTGATCACTCTGAAGTACTATGACACAGCTCAGTACAGCCCGGGACCCCCGAAAACTACTTACGAGGAGTCCTAATCAGCCGCCACGCTTGACCGCACATTGTCAAGTCAACCTGTCTATTCAGTCGACCTCCGCATATACAGACTCAAGAAATACGCATGGTACTCCTCGGGAGTGACAGGCCTCTGCACCATATCCTGCAAAGCAGGGGGAAGGTCCGAGTTCCTCCTGCTAATTCCTCTTGTCCTACTCGGAGAGAAGGGCAAGAGGCGGAGCGATTCTCGCCATGTTGTGGGGATCCTATTTCTGGGTGTTGGTCCTGCTTTTGAAAAAGATTGGTCTCTGTCAGTGAGGTGTTCAAGAAAGGCGAGATTGAAAAGTAGTCCGCTCACCAGAACGGCTTCTCGATCTGGCTTCATTCGACTGCGATTCCGAACTCGAGTTCGAGCTTGAATTTGACAAAGATGTTACTGTCCTCTTGATCAGGCATCCCTTCGCTGTAAACCCCTTCACCCTCCTCCAACCCCCATTCAGCCATCCTCTCCCCACCTCAACGTTCGCCCCGCCTCCCCTTGGTGCATCTTCAAATCCATCCTCGTCTTCATCACTATCTTCGTCGTCGAGGATAGACGCCACTGGGGAACTCGGTCGATCTCGTTCACCCTCCCTTCTTCGCAGCGCGTCGAAATCCAGCTCGTCCTCATCTTCTTCGTCTTCCATATCCACAGTTCCCTCTAATTGCGCGACATTCCCTTCATCTCCATGAATAGGGAAATCATCGTCGAGATCCACAAACTCCACCTCCCCTTCATCCCCATGCTGGACCAAACCCCACCTTGTCTCCAACTCTATTCTCTCCCGCCGTCTCGACAGTAGCCACAGCCGGGAGAGTCGGTTATTGGCGGAATCTGGAGAGGAGATCGAAGGCGAGGGAGGTCGCCGTGAACTTGCCAGTGTTGAGGTTAACGGTCGAGGTCGGTAAGGCGTATCGATTGCTTTACGGCGCCGTAGCGCCCGTGGTTGGGGAATGGGCGGGAGGGATTTGTTAGTCCTCTCTATCGACGTCGTACTCAGGTTCTGCCCAAGGCCATGAAACGGTGCCTCTTCTTCCTCCTGCACACTGCCCTCTTCGTGCTCGTCCCTATACTCTCCTTCGCATTCTTCCTCCTCTTCCCCCTTCCCTGCTCCATTCCCATAGAATTCAAATGAGGTAGAGCTCGCTCTGAAGTCGTGAATGATATCTAGGGAGAATGGTACCGGGACATGGGCGGGTGAATCGAGGGAAAGAGGGGGGTACGTGAGGGGTGAAGACGGGCGAGGAATGAAGGACAGATAGCTTTGCTGTGAAAGTTGGCGACGGTGCGTCACGCTGGGGGTTCGATGGTCCATCGACATTCGCTCTTGAGTCACTGGCTCTAAGAAGACTGTGAGCACAGGGTGACTGGGTCCTGATAACTTGGTGGAATTCGGAATTCGGCGGGGTGGGGACGGATGGGCGTCAAAAGCTTATCTCCCAACAAGGTTTCAAGCTCGACGCTAGACTGGAAGATTGTAATGCTGTATGCTCGTGAGATGGAAGCACCAGCTAGGAGATTAGGTATGACCTACCTCCTGAGTCGGTGGAAGAGGGAATCTTGGCGAGAGGTTATCAGGAAGGTCAACGTTGTGCCTGGTGGGGAAGAAGTTAGACTCAAGCAGAACGTTCGTGCTGCCAAGATAACGAATCGGAGAACGAGCGAACGAGGGAAAGAGAGCTGGATATCAAGCGCGATGCGATGGACGAGGGGGAGAACAAAGCAACATCGGACAGGAAGCGTCCGCCGTCATGTTCCCCTCGAATCTCTGTCATTCCCGATCTATTCACCCTCTGACTTGGCCCTGACATCAGTTCCTCAACTTATTTGAATCGAAGCCAACCACCTCCTGGTAACAGTATAATGCCGTTACCGTATCGGCGCCACATACCACAGCCCTCCTCGGTGCAAGGCTTCCAAGCGACCCAAGTTGGGCTGAGTGCAGGTCTGGAAATGGGGGAAGGCAACACAGCATCATGACCACGAGACCAAGTGTCATGTTCTCTATTCGGTGGACTTAGGCCGCGTGTAGCGCTCATCTCGCTCATTTGGGACGAATAGATGGTGGATGGCGGTGTTTGCGGGGGTTCTTTGAATGGGATTCATTAACGCCGTCTGGGGCATCGACTCTTGCTTCCGAGTCATTTCATTCAATCGAGGCGAGATGCTGTTGCTAGCAAGGAGCCTGAGATTGTGGATGGAGCACAGTGTTACAAATGAGCGCTTAATTTCGCAAGAGGAGATAGAAAACTACGCGTGAGTATGTAGGGAAGAGATAAAATGGCTGAATAATGATTCGCATACCCAAAACGACTTTATGTCAAAGGATAGGGAGATGTTTCTAAGTGGCCCGGTGTCGATTCTGTTCTGATTATCCAGGACCCAATCAGTCTTCAGCTTGGGATGTGGATACCGAAATACCCCGCAAATAGTGAAGCATACCTCTTCATTCGATAAAGGTTATGTACCCCTCGAATCACCGCCTCGCAGCTAGAGCGCTGAGTTCGATAAAGTACGGTTCCCGTCGGCGCTTTCGTAGTTTCCTCCTCCGCGGCGGGAGATCCGTCATCCTAACCTCCCTCGAGGTCGAGGTAGAGCTTGTGGAACGAGCTGCGCTCCTCCAAAATCGTCGAAGACACAAGAGAAACGCTGGGAATGGAGTCAGCAACAGAGTTTGATGGTTTCCATAAGGGGAGGCGGAGGTAAGGCTGTTGACAGACGTACGTCGAATGCAATGCAATATCCCCCATACATATCCTCCCTCGCCTCCTATCGCGTCATCCCCGCGCCACCGTTCACCGCCCTGTCCACCAACCAGCGTCGTGTTACCACTGCCACCACTGGCATCGCTATACCGGGTTACAGTCGTCCTGTCGGTAACGACTGACGGAGAGCTCTGCCGAGTCGAGGATGTAGTAATTGTCGACGGTCTCCGCGGTCTAGGTTGCGTTCGTAGAGGCCTCGTGGGCGGAGGAACGGCGAAATTAAACTTGTCTGCCCCAATGGAGACGCGCGAGTCCCCGTTTTGACTTTGAGAGACGCTGACCGCTCGTGAATGGGCCTTCATCTGGACAAGGATCGTTCGTACGTCGGTGGGGGGCTTGGGTGGTGGAAGTGTAACAGCGAGTGGGGATGGACGAGTAGCGCATGTTGGTCGTTCCGGCGTTGCTAATGGGGGTGGGGAGTCTACAAGTGGCCTGTCCTTCGCGGTGCTTCGAAAAATAGGAGCATGGTAGGTTATCACTGGTGTAGGGAATATTTCATCTTCGCTCTCGGACTCCTCAGAGTCGGGCCCCCCAAAGTCAATGAAGGACGCCAGTTGGATCCGGGACTCCTTCAGTTCCTGGAGACTCGAGATCCGGACTTCCAATGGAGGAAGCTCTGACAGAACGAATGGACGGGACCTCCTGAGTGATTTGGAAGGGAAGGAGGATGACTTCGAATGAGTTTGGAGCAATGGACCATGAAGGATCGGGTTGACGGTGCCAAGGTCCAACGAGCGTCGAGGGTCCGTTACGATATATGGAACAGGGACGTGTGGAGGTGGCTCCTCCTCCTCCGCGATGGGTGGGAGAGAAAGAGGCGAGGAGAACCGGGGGAGATTGAGTGACCCGTGTCTGGTACGGACGACAGACATTCTGGGTGCGTCGTACTCCACCAAACGTTCCATCCGGAGCGACCTTTAAACCTTACTGCACTACAGGTGACGACCTCGAAACCATCATAGAAGACCTGAGGTAGTGGTGATTATCGACTATAATGCCAATTTGTTGTCAGTTTGGCGGTTTTAATACCTAGACCTTTTCGTTGAATATCCGCACCTTTTCTGGTGCACATATACCCTTTTCGGGCAGTGCCATCATGTCGGGCGGGCCTTGGTGGCTGGGTGGTTTAGTTCAAAAGGTGTCTGGCAGAGACAAGACGTCGGTATCGCTGAGCCGCCGCTATTGCGCGGTCTCAGTCGGGGTGAGCTCAATTCTGATATCGTTGACGTGGCGGGGTTGACAGGATGACGGTGTCGCGGGTAAACCGTAAGGAGCTGGGTGGACAAGGGCCGCCGGATGGGTCACGTCAGGTCCAAGGAAGCCTCTCAACAGAGGAGAGTGTCTTCAGGAGCAGTTCAGGCGAAGTTCAGGCACGAAGGGCTGCGATGTGTGCAACCGTCTCTTCGCGAGGTAGAGATAAGATAAGATAAGATTACATATCTCCGCACACCATATCGCGGGTGGAGAACAGGCCGACTTCTACCGAACCGTGTTCTCTTGAGAAAGCACGTCTATTGCGAATATTCGAACCATGGACCAGCCTGAGTAGCCAATGCAACCTTTATATCGCTATTACTGCTAACTAACTGGAGTTGAATAGCCAGGTTCAAACATTTTGCGAACACGATCCCAACGGTACCATCATCGTCCCCCTACGTTCGACATCTCGATACAAACTATGCACCGACCGATCGCGAGGTCTCAGCGATACGGGCACTGTTAGAGGCGCCCGTGAGCCAGTTGGCCTCACTGGACGAGCAAATTGATTTCCTCGTCAAACACCGGGAACGCCTCTCACAGTATATCAACCAGCACAGCGCGCTCATTGCACCCATTCGACGAATCTCGGACGACGTACTCCGTGAGATATTCGTAGCGACCCTCCCTTCAGCCCCTACACTCTCTCCTACCGAGTCACCTCAGATCCTAATGCAGATATGTCGAAGATGGCGTGCAATTGCACGGGACACGCCAGCCCTCTGGTGCCGGATTCACCTGTACTTACCATGGGCGACGAATCCTCGATCTTGCCAGCTAGCTGAACGACGAGGCTCCGCGCTCCAGGTGTGGATAGAGCGCTTGAAATCCTTGCCCTTGCGACTAGTGCTCTCCGACAACAAAGCCGCTGTCACAACGACCCTTTTGCAACCACACATCCATCGGGTCCAGTCGCTGTGCCTTCATCTCTATCATGAGAACAAGGAAACATTCCTCCTGAAAGACACATCGGTGCAGTTTCCGCTGCTGAAGTCGCTCGCGATCACATCACAGGATGACCTCGAAGCCCTCTACGATTCGTCCCTTTCCGCTCGAGCTCCTAATATCGAATCCGTAACCTTCGCCGGCCCGTTTCATTCCCCGTTTAGACTTCACCTTAACTGGGGGAAAATTACAACCTTCCGCTGGAAGCCGTTCCGCGTCAACGGCTGTCTTTCCAACAAGGAAGCTCTCCGCCTCCTACAATCCATGCCGTCTCTTCAAGTGTGCCGCATCGAGCAATTCAGTAATGGTGCTCAACAGATCCCGCGAACCATGATTATGCTTCCTCACCTGAGGACTTTGCACCTCTACCAGACCGAAGGCGGCCAATGACGGTCGATATCCTAAATCACATAAACGCGCCCCTCCTGAACGACCTCTCCGTCCATTTCTTCGAGCCTATACCCCTCCACAGCACTCCAATAAATTTCCAGTCCATTCGCCGGCTCGATATGGGAGTCGGCACTTTACCGAGTACACACATTATCGAACTTCTCTCCTCCTTGCATTCCGTCGAAGATTTGACATTCAAATTCCAAGCCGAGCCTAAGTGGTTCTTCTTCAACGATCTCTCTGAAGAAGAGAAGGCTAGCCGGTGGCAAAGCTACGGCTTCAGCGACAGCGTCCTGATGACCCTCACTCCCACAACTGACCACCCCGCCTGTGCACCGCGCCTTCGTACTTTGGAGGTCTACAACCCTGTTTGGCTTCCCTCCTCATTGACGACAGAAGCGTTCATGGCGTTCCTCGTCGAGAGGAAGCGACGTCTCAATGTCCTCACTCGCATCACGCTTCCTTCACCCGTTTATGTCCCGGGACTACAGGAGGCGCTAATGCAGTGGGACGATGGTGACAACGGTCCTCTAATACAGGACTTACTTTTTGCGAGTGATGCCGAGGGCCGTCCACGTGTACCGGTTTACCCCCTAGTCACCACGATGCAGTTGCCGGAGGAGTGGTAGATAACTAGTCCAACCAACTGCCAACCCTGTACACGACCCTCGCGTACACTGTCCAGTTTGTCCATGTCTACCCTTTATCCGTCCTTCGTAAGCTGACCTCAGGTTACCGAGTGAGAGAGCTCCAGTCAAAGGGAGAATTAAGGTGTACCTACCTCGCTGTACCGTGGTATCTCAGGGCCAATAACGACCGTGTGCAACATTTACTTTGTATCATGTAGAAAATTGACCAAGACTTTTCATAAAAAATGGAATTCTAGTTTCTAGTTAGACATCATTTATGAGACTTGATATTGGAAGGATTCCTAGAGGGTAGGAGAGCACCACTGCGCGGGATTTACGCATCATGATCTTACATATTGTGCCCCTTTCAGATGAGGTCTTCCACCCCTCTCCGAACAACCGTATATGCAGTCCGGCTCATCAGCTTTGCACATTTCAGTAAATTCTCTTTGTCGCCACATATTTCATCATCGTTGAATTTAGCACTAGAAAAAGCAGTCAGTGAAATCGAACAGGAATAAAGACAGAAAGAAAAAACAAAATGATGAACTCACGATAGCTCCGCGGCGTGTTGAACGTGAACAAATCTTCCTGACCGGGCGTCCCTTTCCAACTCCACAGCCAGGGAAATATGGTGTCCAGGAGCATAGCGCCACATGGCCACTACAAATCTGGAATCCTTCCCCTCGGCCACTTTCTCCCCAACCGACTTGACTATCGCCAGCGCGCGTTCTCGAGTCACTGCGTTCTCCAACAGGGTCAGCCAACCCCCACCCTGCAGAGTCTCTTCCAGCTTCTCAAAGGTAACAGGATTGCTGGGATTCTCGTGCAGAATGCCGCCAAAAAGGTAGAGGACAGTTTGGTTGTCGGGGAGAGTTGGGAAGAGCTTGCTTTTCTTCTCGTCGCACAGATGTTTGACTTTGGTGATATCAGAGCGGTTGGCCATTATGGTCGTGTACTTTGACAGAACCAGCTGAATGCAAAGGACTCGGTAGCGATAGGAGGATAGGATGTGACTGTGTTCGTGACCTATTATCTGTGGTTAGTAAACGTGAATTACACAAAAAACCGCCAAAGGAATGACGTACCAATATGAGAGGAGCGGATGGAGGAGCACACAGGTCTATGGCGCCGTTTCCAGTCTTCTCTCTGACAGGCTTCACTGCAGTAAAACACCGCAGCGCATCCAGAGCATTGTGGTCTTCTGTCCCTCTTTGTCCGCGGCCCGTCCACTGCCAGTGCCGAACTCCCGTGGAACTCGTTATCGCAAAAGCCAAAGACTGCGGGCGACTTCTCAGCTTCAATCATCGCAACACTCGCAAGTCGCGTTCGGAATTTCTGGATCGCGAGGCCCCTTTTCTCCAGGAACGTTGCCCATTTCTCACAGCCGTATTGATTCTTCTCGATGGACTCTATGACGGGAATTAGTGCTTTCAGTCCGCGGGGGTGGTTGGCGTACTCGAAGTAGATGATCACGGAGTACTCGTGAATAAAACCAATAGCCTCCCAAAGAGAAGGTTTTGCCTTGAAGACGTCTGACACCCTGACCCTGTCCATGAGATCATGGATCCCAGCCTCGAGTACTATCTCCAAACCAGAAAACGGGTTCGTATAGGTTTGGTACGCCATACGGAATGTGTTGATGAGGTATAACGTGAACCTCTCCGGGTTCTTCCACGCGAGTCCAGTAGATACCATATCGCGCAGGAGATACACCCATTCCTCTAGGAACCCCGCCTTGCGAAGTGCACCGTATACCGCAGGAACCAGTGTCAATCGATTCTGCAAGATGGAGATAGAGTCGAATTGAAAGAAAAGAGATTCCACCATATGCTTCGAGCTGATTCTGTCTCGGTGTTTCCATGCATCCAAGTTGCAGACCACCTCGCGGAGTTTGGACAACTGCATGGCAAAGCCGTCAGCAAAGGCGCGTAGGCGGCGCTGGTTCAAGGTGAGGTAGTCGACGAAACGGCGGTCTACAAACTTGGTGCTTTCTTCGTCCATGTATCGTCTGGTTAGGGCTGGGAGCATCACGATGTGAAAACGGAAACTACCCCCTGGGTCCAACTTGAGCAAATTCCCGGGAGTGTCGCGTTGCCGAGAGCCGCCGAGGGAGAAGGCGAGATCAGATTCCACCGAGGTGTATGTATCCGACCAGGACCACAGGATGATGTCAAACACCCTGCGAGATGCTACTATGACCTCGTCCACTTCGTTGCTGAGGCTCAGCAGCATACTGATGAGTCTACATGACGCGTCGCACGTGGCCTGTTTGGAAAGCATGTTCGAGCCCGTCTCTGGGGCAAGCACATACTTCACCCACCTCGCAGTCCAGGCAAGAATACCATCCAGATGGTCGTGAATTCGTGCAGCCGTGGTAGCCAAGATTGCTTCGCTACGGTAGCATACATCAAGGCACTCGTAGAGGGCAGCGACGAGGTGGTGCATCGGCTTGGTGTTGAACAGGCTCGCCAAATCGGGGTGCGCAATGTTCTTCGGTGGGAGGTTTTCAATCTTGAAGTGGCTCAGGATAGCGTCCAGAAGTGGGATTGTATAGTTCAGGCGAGTGAGACGCTGTAGTATTTGGGTTATAGTATCAGCATTATTGCCTCTTGCCCTCTCAATAAGCTGCAGGAGGGAACGCGGTTGGCATTTTCAACTTGTGTAGAGCAAAAATATGAGTGGACTTACCCTTTGTGGAATAGTAGCCATGGTTGGTACTTTCGATTCGATACACTTCGGTTACGATAGCGCAAGGGGTACGATGCCGATGAGGGAACACGGCTTTCGATAGTGGGGCTTTTATACTACTCTCCCCCCGCACATGCGGCCCCACCACCACAGGCTGCGACCGCCGCTTTGACCACGACCATTTCTATTGCTATCATTACCATCACCCTCTGGGCCTTCCCTGGTGTCAAAGCTAGCTCTCGTCTCTAGTCTTGACCCGCCTCTTCTTGGTCCATCGCAACCAACGGACTAGGACCCAAGACTGTGAAAGTCAACAATAACATACTCGCAATCCGCGACGTCGACGCCAATGAGTCTCCAACCAATACCAATACCAATGCATATCAATCAGTGTCAACGAGCGGTAACAATGTCAATGTCAATACCAATAAAATCATGAATATCAATAAATCGTCTAGATTAGTCCAAGAGTTAGAATGCAGCACTCCCAAATAATGAGTACGCTAAAAGCAACGACGGATTAACAAAAGGTAGAACAAGGGATATGCAGCAAGCAAGGTGGGTAGGGTAGGTGGTGGGTTGGTAGGGTAGGTGGTGGGTTGGTAGGGTAGGTGGTGGGTTGGTAGGGTAGGTGGTGGGTAGGTAGGGTAGGTAGGTGTAGATGTAGGTAGAAAAGGATAAGGTTCGTCTGTACGCGTTCTCCCAATCTCGAGGTATAAAAAAAAGTCCAAAAAATCGGTAGCAATGCATCACCAAAAATCAAAAGTCGTCTACGTTCAAAAAGAAAGAGACCGAACGCTTAGAGCAAGAAAACCGCACCAGCAATAGCACCAACCAACACCGACACAACCGACGCACCAACCGCCACTGCACTACCAGCATCATCACCCGTAGCCTCCGCACCAGCCGCACTACCACTCCTCGAACCCGTAGGCCTCACACTGGTCATCTTCCCACTGCCACTCGCACCAGTCGAAGCATCCGCATCCGCACCAGTAGGCTTCGGCAACCCCGTGAACAACGCCGTACTCTCAAACTGGGTGCACGAACTGCTCGCCGGTACCCTCGCCGTATACGGAATCGACGTGATCGCGCCCAACTCTTCGGGGGGCTGGGTGTAAGTCTGGACGGCACCCGACTCGTCGGTGTAGACGCCGGGGAAGTCTTGGTTCTCGCCGAGGCAGGATTCGAAGACGCCGTCTTGGGCGGCGTTGGGGACGTTGTAGGCACACCCGATGCGGTCGAAGATGTGCTCGCAGAAGTGGGCGGCGTTGGGGCCTGCGGGGTCGCAGGCTTTGAGGCAGAAGGCGTTGCCGCCCATGAAGCTGGGATGGGGTTAGATGCGAGATTAAGGAGGAAGGGAGGGGAGGGAAGACGTACTTGTGCCATTCGATGACTTGTTCGTATTGGCCGGTGAAGGCGTTGGAGAACATGATACCACCCATGGGGTTACCGCGCTATCAATCGAATGGTCGGTCAGTATAATTTCAAACGGTGCGTAGGTAAGAGAAGACGCACGAGATCAGCACCGTGAGGGTCCATCTCTCCTCCCCAATCCTCCTTGCCAATGTTGATCTTGGTCTGGTCAATGAAGCCAACGACGGAGATGTAGTCAGGGGTACGGATGAACTGGACGCCAGTCAAAGCACCCTCAGGGATGAGACGGGTACCATGCCCAGGCTTGCTGCACCACGCAACCATCTCGCCCTCCGTATCGGCGACGACACTATTAGGTTCCGACGGGGCCCACAAGCAGAAATCTATAAATAGAACAAGGTAGAAAGAGGGGTAGTTGTATTTTTAGCACCAATGCTTGATGGTATGGTAAAAAAAGATGACGCGAAGGCGTGAGAAGGCCGATGGTGTTCGCGCCCCGCCAGCGCAGCACCCTACGACGGATGAAAAAAGAGACCGAACGCACCATCGAGAGAGTTGAAGTAAGAGGTTTGGCAGAGGGATTCCTGGTTTTCGGTGGTCGAGTTGCAGATGTTGTAGCCGAGCTGGGTTCCTCGGATGAGGCCTTCGTCGGTATCGACTTTGTAAGGCTAAGAAATCGAGGATCAGTTCTTGGCGTCACGTAAAAAGCTTGGGGGGGAGGGGGGAGGGGAGAGAGGAGGGAGGAAAGGACGTACGATGTTGTCGTGCGTGAAGGTTTTGGATGCCAGGGGAACTGGGGGGAAGGTGCCCGTTGGTCCTTGGGCGCTGACGAGGCCAGCGAGGGCGACAAACGCCGCTAGGACGTTGAAAGTGGTGGATCGAGGGGCCATCGTCGTCGAGAAAAATATAGCTTTGGACGAGCAGTAAAGGATTGTAGCGAGCGACTGGTAGGATAGCACAAAGACAAAGATTATACGGGCTGAATGTCTATAGACGAACAGACAAGCGCCAAAAGAGCGAAAGAGAGTGAATGGAAAAAAGGCTTGGAAGGCTGGATTGGGGAGAGCCAAGAACCGCCTGGCCAACCAGACTCAAATACCTCCGCATTCAAAGTCCGCCTGGCTCGATCCGGCTACGCACAGACCAGACCATCCATCTGATCCGGCACGTGCGAGTTTTGATGGTATGTGCGCGTGTTCGTGGAAACTTGATAAGGGCAAACGCCGACTTGCAACTCTCTCACTCTCATCTGGCAGTGCCAGCCAGCCTGGGCTTTGTTGACGCGTTTCGAATTCAAGATTTTCAGTTTCCGATTTTGTTTGACACTCTGGTTCTTCTGCTGCTGATAAAAACCCGCCAACATGCGCACGGCCCCTCTCATCCCATTCTTTCTTCCTTTCCCCTCTCTCTTCCCTACTTTTCCCCTCTCTGTAACCTCTCCGCTCCCCTCGTCGTCGTGAACAATGGCAAAGACTGCAACTGGTGCGTTGGGCTTGATCGATAACCCTTTTTCTGAGCGCGTTTTTGACTGGGGTGCGGTGTGCAGAGACGAGGACCAAGGCGGCGACCAAGGCGGTCAACACCAAGACTAAAGCCCCTAAAGCAGGTCAGTACGACCATACCCATCTCATCGTCATCCATCACCGACCCGCCGCTGACTCATTTCGGCTGCTCCCCCATCGTAGATGCGGAGGACAAGCCCAAACGCCAGCCCTCTGCATACCAGCTCTTCTGCAAGGAGCAGATGAAAAAATGGAACGAGGAGAACCCCGGTCGTGCGAAGGAGGCGATGACACAGGTACGCTACTGCTCATCGTCGTCGTCTGTGTGCACCGTGCGCGTTGCTGATTGAGCGTTTTTGCCCTTGCTACTGCCCGTTTTCCTCCGTTGTGATCTGGACCCTTTTGCTCGCTGTCGACCCTAACACCTGCCGTGACCCCTATCCTATCGCTTATCGTCGCCCGATACCCGCATATACCCACCTTTTTCGCCTCCTCGCCCGTTTTTCTCCATCATCGGCTCGCATATACGCACCTCCGCTCCATCCTCATGCCTTCGTCCGCACACGCAATTGTAGATCGCCATCCTCTGGCGAGACGCACCTGAAAACCCCAACCGCGGGCAAGAACCCAAAGCTCGCAAACCCAAAGCACCCAAAGCCGCCGCCAAGGAGAAGCCTGCACCGAAGGAACCCAAAACTAAAGCTGCTGCCGCTGCTAAGCCTGCGCCCAAAGCCAAGCCTGCTCCGAAGGAAACCAAAGCGAAGCCCGCTTCGAGGTCGAGGAAACCTTTGAAGAAGGTCGAGTCTGAGGAGGAGGAAGAGGATGACGAGGAGGAAGAGGATGAGGATAGTGATTGAGTGTGTGAGTGAGTGGTGAGTGTTTTATGGGCTGTTTTGATTGGGTCGGTCGGTGTTAATTTGTGTGCTGTGTTGGATAGGTCGATTGGCTGCGTTCACCGATCTTTGCGAGACCGTTGCGTGATGGTGTCGGCCCTCGCACCCTTTGTCCGTTTCTTATATCCCTCCCCGGACTTTTGACATCCCAACTCAAACACGTCGCAACCACCAAGTTGGACTCTTTAATCCTCTGTACCATTATCGCTTCATTTCGCCCACCCCTGGTCCGCGTATCGCTTCCTTCGATATTGTACTTCTACCTCGGACTCATACCTCCCTTCCAGTACCCAAACTCCCCCCTCCCGCCCGTACTCTTACTACCCCTTCCGAATTGGCTGTTCTGTAGACGACACTGGTGGACAGCCGTGTAACTTATTCGCTGTTCGCACCTTTCTTCCTTTTTTCTTTCCCCTTCGCTGCTGCTGCTGTCGGTTCTGGTGTACTTTAATCGTTGTCGTTGGTGTTGGTGTATTGTACTTTAGTCGATGTGTTCTTTTTTTTTATATATAATGATGGGCTTTTTGTTTCTGATGAATCTTTGTGGTTTTTCGTCGTTGGCGTTGGTTTGTTGGGTTTTGGCTTTTAGTGCGTCGTGTGCTGGATGGTTTGTGGACGTTGGACTGGGAGCGTGGACGTCGATGGGTTGTGTTCGTGTCTGTGTTGACGTTGACTCTAGATATATAGGCAGGCGCAAATTGTAGGAGTTTCTGGCCAGTGTTGTTATCGATGTAGATAGAGTGACGTTCATTGGCTCCGTCCTCTCCACGTATCTTTGCCATACTCCCCGAGAAGGAGACATTGGAATATGTGGGCGCTTTCGTAGGCATTTAGCTTCACCGAGTATCTGGGTGTGCAGAGGGAAATCCGCTGAGTGTTTCAGGCGTCGTCAGTCTCAAAATCGTGTCATTTGCTGCAGATAAGTTACACGTATAACCTCATGTCTCTACTGAGGCTATTATGTCTTATGAGCAGTTGTTCCAATAGCTTTCTCGAAGTCGTCGCGTCGTCGCGAGGCTCATATAGGGGAGCGGGTATCAGCCGGCATCAACGGCATCATGATTTATAAGCGAGACCCCAAGTCCTGTCTCGCGACCTGGCCTGGGAAGTTGAAAACTCCGATTTCTCGGACTGTGGCCCCTTGGGCAGGCGCGAGAAGGTAGGTAGGTACCTGTTACTGGGTCAAGTCACAGGTGGATGGATGGATGCAGGTACGTTTCTTCCTTGTTCGTATACGTAATTGTCATTTTTAGTTGACGGCTCGTCGGTTTTGTTTCAGTGCCAAGTTGTACCTTGGGCTCGGGCTCGTTGAAGTGAAGGCGTTGTCTTGATGTTCGATGCTGCTCACTGGGGCCTTGAGACCCGTGATAGTTGGCTACGGGTCGCGAGTTGTGGATATGGGGCTGTCAGGGCAGGCTGGTTTTCGTCGTTAGCCGTGTCCTGGCCGTATGACATGACTTTGGTTTTGTGTCGACAGGGCAGGATGGTTGTCGTTTTGTGATACCGTCTGGCGGTATGGTTTGTCGGCTGAATTTTTTGTTTCAGTACTTCGCACCTTTGGCTCGGGCTCGTTGAAGCCGAAGGCACTGCTCTTTGACGCTTTGAGACCCGTGATAGTTGGCTACATATGGGTCGGCTTGTCGATGTCGGTGAGTCTTTTTGTCTGATACCTGGCGGAATGGGTTTGGTCGTGATACCTGTCCTGGCTGAATGACTTTCATCTTGTTTTTTCGCTTTATCCTGTCCTGTCTGGGTTTCCTATTACTGACGGGACGGTTGTATTATGGTCCAGTTCCTTCGCCTTTCAACGCGGTTACTAACGATCTGTAGGGACTCTGTGGTCCTTGGAGAATGATACGCTCGGAGCTTTCAAGGGGTCTCGGTCCTTGGTTCTCGAGGCTATCGGTTTAAGAAAGCGGGATGGGGTGCTGCTGCATCATGAATCTTCTATTGTTGATGTTTAGGTTCTGCTGCTGGGATCTATATCGACCGGGCTGTCGTTTGTGACATGTGTGCGCGGGGGTAAGTAAAGCTGGCTGGGATTCGAGAAGTCTCGCATGGTACGGAACTGTTGGAATTCCCTTCTCATCGATCTCCCTGAACCTTCTTCTAGGAAGTAGTGAACACCATCCTAGCGCCATCATCTTTCCCGTTCTCGACGAGTACTACCCAATTTGACGCTTTCCCGACTCACGAGTGAGTTTGGGGAGCGACCCCTTCCATAAGGGGGATCGACCAATAGCCTTTGCTGATTCGCGGTTTGTCAGGACTCAGTATACCTTTGGTGCTAGCTCGTTCGTTGCGATGGGCCAAGGAGAGTCGGCTGCGAGCTTTGACATCAGGGGAGTGGTCAAAGCGGCGGGGGTGGTGGGGCCGCATGCGCCGCGGAGAGTAGTATAAAAGTCCCACTATCCAAAGCCACGTTCCCTCATCGGCATCGTACCCCTTGCTCTATCCCAACCGAAGCATTTCGAATCAAAAACTACCAATCATGGCTACTATTCCACAAAGGGTAAGCCCACTCATATTTTCTTTACACTTGAAAAATGCTGACCACATTCCCTCTTGCAGCTGATTGAAAGGGCTAGAGGCAATAATGCTGATACAGTAAGGCTGATAACGGAACGGCTCACTCCCTGGAACTATACGACCCGGCTTCTGGATGCTATCCTAAGTCACTTCAAGATCGAAAATCTCCCACCAAAGGACACTGCGCACTCCGATTTGGCGAGCCTCTTCAACGTGAAGCCAATGCAAAACATTGTTGCTTGCCTCAGCGAGTGCCTTGATAACTGCTATCGTTACCAGACAATCTTGGCTATCACGGCTGCACAAATCCACGACAATCTCGACGGTATCCTTTCCTGGACTGCGATGTGGGTGAAGTATGTGCTTGCCCCAGAGACCGGCTCGAACACGCTTGCCAAACAGGCCGCGTGCGATGTGGCATGTGAGCTCGTGAAGATGCTGCTGAACCTCAGCGAGGAAGTGGACGAGGTCGTACTAGCGTCGCGCAAGGTGTTTGACATCGTTCTGTGGTCCTGGTCGAGCACGTACACCTCGGTGGAATCTGATCTAGCCTCCTCCCTCGGCGACTCACGGCAAGGTGACACCCCGGGGAATGCGTTGACAATGGACCCAGAGAATGGTATCCGCATCCACCTGATACTCCTCGGAGGCCTAACGGCACGATACATGAATCAAGCCAAGACACAGTTTGTAGACCGCCGTTTCGTCGACTATCTCACCTCGAGCCCGCGCCGCCTACGGGCCTTTGCTACCGGTTTTTCCATGCAACTGTCGAAGCTCCGCGAGTTGGTCTGCAACACGGATGTATGGACGCACCGGGACGAAAGTGTGTTGGAAAAGATGACGTCCGTTCTGATTCGTTACCTACGGGCTATGAGCGCCTTGCAGAATCGCATGATTCTGGTTCCAGCTGTTTATAGGGCACTTCGCAAGGCGGGATTTCTTCAGGAATGGGTTTATCTCTTGCGCGATCTGGTATCGACTGGAATTGGGTGGAGGGAAGTTGAGGCACTCCATTTATTCCTGGTGAACACACTCCGGATGGCGTACCAACCCTATACGAACCCGTTTTCTGGATTGGAAACCGTACTCGAAGCTGGGATCCATGAAGTCATGGAGGAAATCGTGGCGGAACCTGTATCGATGAATACCCATTTCATCCGCTTTCATTTCGTGGCAGTGTACCTCGAGTACGCCAATCACCCGCGCGGACTGAAAGCACTGGTTCCTGCCATGAAGTCCATCGCGAAGAATCAGTACGGCTCCGAACTAATCGCAGATTTCCTGAAGGACGAGGGCTTCGTCCTCCAGCATTTCCGAGCGCGTGTTCAGCGTATGACCAAGATTGAAGCTGAGACTTCTCCCGATGTCTTTGGCTTTTGCGATAATGAACTCCACGGAAGCTCGGCTGCAATGGACGGGCCGCGGACAAAGAGGAACAGAAGACCGCAATGCTCTGGATGCGCTGCGGTGTTCTACTGCAGTGAAGCCTGTCAGAGAGAAGACTGGAAACGGCGACATAGATCCGTGTGCTCCTCCATCCGCTCTTATTATAATGGTGCGTCATTTCTTTTGTTGCTTTTGGTTTACATAATTCACGTCGCTAACCACAATCCCACAGGACACAAGCACGGTCAGATTATATCCTCCTATCGCTACCGAGTCCTCGTCATTCAACTGGTTATGTCAAAGTACGAGATCGTTATCGCCAAACGTCGCTCCAAAAACGCCAAATTCCATCATATAGACGACGACTCTGAGAAAAACGAGCTTTTCCCAGCTCTCGCTGACAACGAAGTTGTCCTCCACTTTCTTGGTGGAATATTGCAAGAGCGCCCCGGCGACCCTGTTATGTTTAGGACGTTGGATGAGTGTTTAGAAAGTGTCGATTGGTGGGTCCCCTCCAAGTCCGAGGAGTGCTTGGCAGTAAGTCGAGCACGGTTGCGTGCGTTATTCAAGTCGGTAGCGGAGAAAGTCGCCAGCGGGAGAGATTCCAGAGTCGTAGTGGCCCTGTGGCGCTATGCCCCTGGGTACATTATTCTCCTGACTATAGAGGTGGAAAAGGACCCCCAGACAGGAAGATATGTTCACGTTCAACACGTCGCAGAGCTATCGTGAGTTCATCATTTTTCTTTCTTCATTCCGTTCGATTTCACTGACTACAAACATTCTGGATTATAGTGATAAGTTCAACGATACTGGATTATGTCCGGATGAAGACAATCTATTGTTGGTTGCAAAGGACTTCAGCAAGTGTCCTTTTACGACTGCTCGGAGAGGGGTGACTTCAGAACCCGTGTGAATGGGGTACATTTTAGAATGCATAACCCCAGCGCTGGTGCTCTCCTACCTCTCTGAATTCTTCCAGTATCAACTCTCATCAATGATGTCTACATGATACAAAGTATATGTTGCACACGAGAGAAACACTTAGGTCGGAGCTTACGAAGGAAGGCCTAGAGATAGATAGGCTGGACAGTGTATGCGAGGGTCGTGTACAGAGTTTCCAGTCGGTTTCACCAGATAACTACCACTCCTCCGGCAACTGCATCAGGGTGACTAGGGGGTAAAACGGTTCAGGCCGAGGCTCCTCAGAATCGTTGGAAAATAGTAATTCCTGTATCAGAGGACCGTTGTCAGCTTCGTCCCACTGCTTTAATGCATCCTGTAATCCCTGAACATAAGCAGGCGAAGGAAGCGTGATACGAGTCAGCTGAACGTCGAGGTGTCTCTTCCTCTCGACGAGGAACGCCATGAACGCTTCTGTCGTCAATGAGGAGGGAAGCCAAAGAGGGTTGTAGACCGCTAAAGTACGAAGGCGCGGTGCACAGGCGGTGTGGTCACTTGTGGGAGTAAGGGCCTTTAGGACGCTGTCGCTGAAGCCGTAACTCCGCCACCGGGTATCCTTCTCTTCTTCGGAGAGATTGTTATCGAAGAACCAGTTAGGCTCGGATTGGAATTTGAATGTCAAGTCTTCGACGGAATGCAAGGAGGAGAGAAGTTCGATGATGTGTGTACTCGGTAAAGTGCCGACTCCCATATCGAGCCGGCGGATGGGCTGGAAATTGATTGGACTGCTATGGAGGGGTATAGGCTCGAAGAAATGGACGGAGAGGTCGTTCAGGAGAGGCGCGTTTATATGATTTAGGATATCGACTGTCATTGGGCCGCCTTCGATCTGGTGGAGGTGCAAGGTCCTCAGGTGAGGAAGCCTAATGACTCGCAGGGTGTTGGCACCATCGTGCGTCGCTGTTAGAGTCCTGAATTGCTCGATGCGGCACACTTGAAGAGACGGCATGGATTGTAGGAGGCGGAGGGCTTCCTCGTTGGAAAGACTGCCGTTGGCGCGGAACGGCTTCCAGTGGAAGGTTGTAATTTTCCCCCAGTTAAGGTGAAGTCTAAACGGGGAATGAAACGGGCCGGCGAAGGTTACGGCTTCGATATTAGGAACTCGAGCGGAAAGGGATGAGTCGTAGAGGGCTTCGAGGACGTCATCCTGTGATGTGATCACGAGCGACTTCAGCAGCGGAAACTGCACCGATGTGTCTTTCAGAAGGAACGTTTCGTTGTTTTCCTGGTCGAGATTTTGGCACAGTGACTGAAGGCGATGGATGTGTGGTTGCAAAAGGGTAGTTGCCACAGCGGCTTGATTGTCGGAGAGCGCTAGTCGCAAGGGCAAGGATTTCGAGCGCTCTATCCACACCTGGAGCGCGGAGCCTCGTCGTTCAGCTAGCTGGCAAGATCGAGGATTCGCCGCCCATGGTATGTACAGGTGAATCCTGCACCAGAGGACTGGCGTGTCCCGTGCAATTGCACGCCATCGTCGACATATCTGCATTAGGATCTGAGGTGACTTGGTAGGAGAGAGTGTAGGGGCTGAAGGGAGGGTCGCTACGAATATCTCGCGGAGTACGTCGTCCGAGATTCGTCGAATGGGTGCAATTAGCGCACTGTGCTGGTTGATATACTGTGAGAGGTGTTCCCGGTGTTTGACGAGGAAATCAATTTGCTCGTCCAGTGAGACCAACTGGCTCACGGGCGCCTCTAACAGTGCCCGTATCGCTGATACCTCGCGATCGGTCGGTGCATAGTTTGTATCGAGATGTCGAACGTAGGGGGACGATGATGGTACGGTTGGGATCGTGTTCGCAAATTGTTTGAACCTGGGTATTCAACTCCAGTTAGTTAGCAGTAATAGCGATATAACAGTTGCATTGGCTACTCAGGCTGGTCCATGGTTCGAATAGTCGCAATAGACGTGCTTCCTCAAGAGAACAAGGTTCGGTAGAAGTCGGGAACAAGTCCCCAGAGCGCCCGCGATATGGTGTGCGGAGATGTCTAATCTTATCTTATCTTTACCTCGCAAAGAGATCTCCCCGGTTGCACACTTCGTGCCTGAACTTCGCCTCAATTGCTCCTGAAGACACTCTCCTCTGTTGAGACGCTTCCTTGTACTTGACGTGACCTATCCGGCGGCCGTTATCCACCCAGCTCCTTAGGCTTTACCCATGACACAGTCATTGTGTCCACCCCGCGCGACAGGTGGATTCTGAGGCTGAGTTGGCAGACCCCAAGTCGACGTCCGGGTATAGCATATCTAGCTTAAACAACTACCATAAAGGTGATTCGAACGGGGGAGGATCTGGGTCAAACTTCGGAGGGACCTGAAGTCGCTCGTTAAGGTGCGGACGGCTTCCATTAGTATTGCAACCAGGCGTATCGTGCACGGTTCCAGCTCGAGGTCATTGAAACGTCTCGATGTAACCATCTAATCTGAATCAGCTGAAACGTTGACTAATATGGTCACTAAACGACTAATGGGCGCTACTGGGAAGGTAAGTTAGATGAGTCAGCTTTCGCTCGACATTTCAGCGGGTAGGACGGGATATAAGGGACATATGAAATAGGATAAAAAGGCCAGTGAGCCTCCACAATAATCTACAATAGCCCGCTTCACCTTCCAACACAATCTTTCAACCACAATGTCTGCTCAAACAGTCCTAATCACCGGAGGAGCTAGCCAAACCGGCCTCGCACTCGCCAAACTTGTCGATTCCAACCCGAAATACAAAGCCGTCTTCACCTCTCGCTCTGGGCGCGGCGTTCCCGAAGTTTACGAGTCTGTAAAGCTGGACTGGTACGACCCATCAACCTATGGGGAGTCCTTCAAGAACGGTCGCATCGACACTGTCTACCTTCTTCCCCCACCAGCAGACGCCACATCCGAGAAAGTGGTCAACCCTTTCATCGATGTTTGTATTGAGAAAGGGGTGAAGCGTTTTATTCTTCTCGCGGATTGCAGTTGGTCCATCAGCCGACCTTTGGAGGAAGCGCCATTCCAAGGACTCGCCAAGATCAACGTTCATTTGGACCAAAGGAAGAAGGAGGGCAGGATTGAATACCTCGTGCTTCGACCTACTTGGTTCACAGGTCAGTCGTGCCTGCCTGAAGGCTTGTAATCGTGCGTAACTAACTGTGAATCACTGGTTTTCCGCTTTTAGAGAACTTTGGCCGTTTTCTGGTCTATGGAATCCGAGCTCGCGACGAGTTGAACACTCCTGTTCCAACTGGGAAGATTCCGTTCGTCTCTGTCGACGACATCGCCCAAGCAGGCTACGACGCTATTGTCAGCGAGAATCCGCTTGAAGAGACTGAGAAGGTCGTCATTGGCCCCGACTTGCTGTCCTACCCCGAGGTACGTCCCGTTCATGTCGAGATATGCTAGATCATTCCAGAGATTGACCTTCTGTGTCCCCAGGCTGCATCAATTATCTCACAAGTTACAGGGCGCACCATCACACATCGGGGAATTTCGAACCAAGAACAGGTCGAAATCTACTCAAAGATCGGAGTACCCTCCGAGCATGCGAAGGCACTCGGAATTATCCACGCAAAGGCCGAAGATGGCGCTGACGAACGGTGGTGGAATGAAAGAGAAAAGGGCAACGTACACATTGGGAAGGTTTCTGTGCGAGAGTGGGTTCAGGCGAACAAACAGCTTTTTGAGAAGGATAGCTAGGCAGTGACTGGGTTGGCTAGTCACTTGATCGTTGTACTGCGTAGCGCTGATGATAGAATCCTATCTGCTTACTCAGTGAAATATAGCCGCGTCGTTCTTGGTGCTCGAAAATCTCCACAGCCGGGTTTTGCGGGGACGCCCTACGTCTTTCAGTGATCGACCTTGCCCTTACATGGGAACATGATAGAGTAAGCTCCTCCGAAGAAGGAACTTTACGAGTGTGTTACTCACCTTTGCTAACTGAGATGAAGCCTAGTCAAGTGCGCATGCTTACTCAGACGATGGAGAACAATGAGAGTCGGTCTGCCGCTGGTTCACGCTATCTGCAGGCGTATAAATATCGACTGGTCAGAGAAGTGGTCTGCAATCCTTAATTCCGAGTCGCCCACATCCTGCACCCCGAACATCATGTCTACCACAAAGACGACGTTGATCACCGGAGGTGCAAGCCAAACCGGACTCGCACTCGCCCGACTTCTCTCAGCCACACCCGGACACGATGTTGTCTTCGCCTCTCGTTCTGGCCGCGGGATCCCTGACGGATTTTCCTCTGTCAAGTTCGACTGGCACGATCCCTCGACCTTTGAGACGCCATTCTCTAACAACTCGTCACCGATCCACTCTGTGTACATCCTCCCTCCTAGTGGCAGTGATCCTGATCGAATCGTCATCCCGTTCATCGACCTCTGCGTCCAGAAGGGTGTGAAGAGATTCATTTTCCTCAACGGGAGCACGAGCGACATTACGAGACCTTTGGAAGAGCTGATATACAAAGGGTTCGCAAAGGTGCATATCTACCTGGATGGGTTGAAGAAGGGTAATCCGAATGTCGAATTCTTCGTCGTCCGACCCACTTGGTTTATCGGTCCGTTTCGAGCATTCTGGATTTTTGGAACTCATGTCCTGACTTGCTTCACAGAGAACTTTGATCGATTCTTCGGAACCGATATCCGTAGCAAGGATGAATTCGTAACCTCCATCCCCACCGGCAGAATCCCATTCGTTGGCGTCGACGATGTCGCACAAGTGGCTTACGAAGCTATCATCGACGAGAAGAATAACGTGACGGAAAAGATTGTCGGGGGTCCTGAATTGCTGACATATGACGAGGTATGTCGGGGAGGCATGTCGAAAGGGATTGTTACTGACTGGGTCTGGTGACATTACCCAAAAGGCTGCAAAAGTACTTTCTGAAGCCCTCGGACGCCCCATCACCCACAAAGTGGTCTCACACGACGAGCAAGGCAGATTATACGCGAGGCTCGGATTAGGCCCAGAGTACGTCCAGTCTTCTAGACATGCGGAAGCGGGCGGCGAGGAGAAATGGTGGAGGGAGAGGGACGTAAATAACAAGGTTCAGGTTCACATTGGAAAGGTTACAGTAAAGGAATGGGCGGAGAAGAACAGTTCACTCTTCAACCGCTCGAATTAGTCTATTATTGTGGGAACTAGTGGTGGCACCCTGAGATGCCAACGAGCTCTGATTCCTTTCGAACATGCAGTCTATTGTACAGTTTACTAGCAACGTTTCATAAGAAACGTCATGGAAGGAGGATCTTGTTCTGTGTTTAGGCGCAGGTAGGACGGATGGGTTGAGCCTTGGGGACTTTCTGAAGTGACGACGACCATAAGAGCGGGGGATAGGTTGTGCCATCGCCCTATGATTCAGGTCAGCCGATGTCATAGTGCCGTACGGTCATAGGTTCACGGTAACTCACAATCAACGACAATGGGAACCCAACATCAAGCGGCTTCACATTATCGAGGAATGCCATCTGCTCGTCGGACAACGAGATCTCGAGAGCTTCAATATTAGAAGTGAGATGCTCAGGCTTACGACCCCCTACGATGGGGAAGACGAATTGAGCCTTGTGCATGACGTACGCAATTGCGACTTGTGGAAAGTCCAAGTCAGCAACGTGCAACTTAAGTCGCGGATTCTGCTTACCAGCGTTGAGACTATTGGCGCCGACTTCCGTCTTGACCTTCTCGAGAGCATCGCAGACTGCCTTCTCTTCGGGAGTTCGCTCCCAGCCACCCGTCCAAGGCATAATGCGACCTTTCTCGCCCGTTTGTCGGCGCCTTTCTTCTTCCTCGTCAGAGCGAATCTTCCCGCCAGCGAGGACACCAAAGGGCGCGAATGCCATCCCTGCAGCGAACGTCAGATAAAGCTTGATTCATCAGCGGGTTACAGATACCTTCGTCCCGAACAAACGGGAGGATATCCCTTTCGGCTGAGCGTTCCATGATGCTGTACATCGTCTGGTAAATCACAAAGGGCGTCTTCCCAGTTCGACGAGCATACTCGTTGGCTCGAGCAACGACCCAGGCTGGAGTGTCGGAAACCCCCTGTTGGCAGAATAAGCCGTGGTACCAGTGAACATGGGTGAGGAACGAACCAAGTACAAGACGACCCCGCGCTGAACATAGTTATGCAAGGCGTCCATGACCTCTTCTACACTGGTCTCCCAGTCCCACCAATGGACGTAGAGAATGTCGATGTAGCTGGTTCGCAGGTTCTTCAAGCTCGCTTCAACGGCGTTTCGGAGGCTCTTCGCGCTGTTGCCCGTGTAGGCGGCACGGCCTACCGAATGAGCAGGAAGGAAATGGTTGCTGGAATACTACGTTCGATGTTAGAACGATTGCAAACGTAGACACCTATGTTAGCACCTTGGTCGCAATGACGAGTTGGTCACGAATGCCGCGAGCTTCCGCCCACTCTCCGATTATCTGTTCAGATGTATTATCTTGACTAGGACAGCGTCAGCCCAGATTAGGGTCGACAAAAGAAGTCCGTAACTCACTAGTGACCAGCGGTATCGATGAAGTTACCACCATTGTCCCAAAACGTGTCGAGTAATTGAAAGCTCTTTTCCTTGTTCATCTCACCCATGTTGGCTGACAAGGCAGGAACATCTCCGATACTCATGGCGCCGAGTTGGAAGCCAGAGACACGGGCGCTGGCCCTCTTCGCCAATTGACGAAGGAAGCCGAGCTTCGTGGCAGGGGGAGTGGTAGAAACGAATAAAGCACACATATTGAGGTTTATAGAAGTGTGTTGGTAGACGAGCGAAGAGGGGATGAATGGCGATGTTGCTGTCTCACTTGCTCGATGAATTCCGTCTTTTAAGATCCCCTCGAGTGCGTGTGGCTATACGGACGCGTAGGTGGGACGGCTTCATGAATTCAGTAACGCCGCGATGAGAAGGCGCTATGTACGGAAACAAGATCATTGGTGACGCACACTTCGTAACGTGCTGACCTATTGAAAATGCCCAGAGCTGTGAAGTGCGCCCTGCGTCGGACAGCCCACCGAAAATCTGAGACATGCCAATGGAAATTCACGGTCTCCGTATAGAGCCCGTAGAAGTACAGATTGAGTGCGTCTCCGCTGCAGATGATCACGTCTGAGAGTGCAGAATACCACTACACCGAGAAGAATCGCTAGTGAACGGCAAAGACGCCCATGTAGCTCAGCACCAGATATTTGGTCCAAACCATAGGTAACCCACGGCGTTGTCGGCTGAAGGTTGAACTCCTCCAAAACAAGATGAACGATGGGGAATTGAGTGACTGTCCAATCATCGAGCTCCGGGGATCCTGGCCAAGGTAGCGCGTGGACCCACAACGTGCATTCTCTCCGCGGAATGTAGGGTTCGACGCAATTCAAATGACAAGTGAAAAAAATATTCCAGCGATGAGGCCGTGTCCAGCGCTGCCTTTCGACAGCAGATAAGACCATAACCAAAGTGATGCTGATGAATTTTGACCGAAGTAGTAGAGGAAGCCATGGTCCTGTTCGAGGGTGCGCAGCCTGAGAGCGACGAGCGACCAGGCCGGAGACCAAACCATCAAGTTTCAAATTTCAGAGTCCGGGTGGGTATGGATGGCAAGAGAGTTCCAGAAAATAGACGAGAAGAAGCCGGAAGCCACCGGAATCAACAGATGCCAAACATTGCACAAAGCGAGACAAAGCGCGGGGTGACGGGCCGTTCACCCTAATAGGGGGTCTTGGGCTCAGAACTCCTTTGTGGACGTCCATCTTTGTTTTTCTCCATCCCCTGGCCGAAATGTTGATAAAGACATTGAAACACGCGAGGGTATAGAAAGGTTATCCTGCCCTATGCTATCAGACTCTCTCCTAGACTGCTTGCACAATGGTTGAGTCTCGCCAAAGGACTGCAGCTGTTCCAAATTGGCGAAATATGGTGAAGTTGACAACTTACAAGGAAGACTGGGCGGAAAAGCAATAAATGGATTCAATGATACTATTCACTCCAAATATCAACATCAGTCGCTCGAAGTATAAACTAGGATCGGAAGGTACGTCGCGCAATCCTGAAAAAAGACGACTCCAACAACGCGAAGATCTTCAATCGGGTAGCGCAGCGGTACCAAGCCTTGTATCGCTCTCACAAATTCTCTGAGACGCTCCGAAATCCTCCATGCAAGCCATCCCTTAGTCATAACCTCCGGCGTGTAGTACACTTCCTCCGTCTGAGCACCAACGCGGGGTTGCACAAGTCGTCGAGGTAAGGGGCACAGTTACCATGTTTGGTGAGAAGCTTCATGAGGAGGGTTTTCCTGTCGAATAGGGGGATTCCTGGATTGCGAGGGAGGATGACCCTGTAGTCCATATCAACAGTTATATCTTCCTTCGACTCAATGATTGTCATTTCGGGGCCGTCTAGGCTAAGATACCCATAATCGGGAGCCGCATGGAGGAATTGAGGTCCAGACATGGTATTTTGTTGGCTTCGGCAGATTGACATCCTAGACAGACGACCAACGAGATGATCAGGAGTGGCGATAAGCTCTTCTTCTACTCCTGGGACTAAACATGAAAGGGAAATAGCGGGCATCCCAATGCTGAGGAAGATTTCCACCCACGTAGCCTTTATATACCCGAGAACTGATGGCCCTATGCCATAATTGCCACTGACATTGGCAACTCGTTGCCGTTCAAGATAACCCATTGTCCGCGATGTAACCATCGTGACTGAATTAATCTTACATAAACGGGCGCTTGGACCACCACGGACGAGCGCTAACAAATGTGCATTAAGCGCCGACAAAAGGATTGGGCGTCGCAACGCCCATCCCTGACGACAGCATTTGTGGTAGTAGGTCTCACGCAAAAATCCCATTTCGATCCTCCCTCCTCTAATTCAATCAATCAGGACTTCTCTTCTTCGATGCTGTATCTCAGAATTTGGAAAGAAACGCACTAGTCTCGCCATATGGTTCGCACCCAGACACATAGCAAAAAGCCGCTTACATTCAGGACTTAATTAGTGGGTGGAAAGGTAGTGTAGACTGAGGATGTGCCCAACTGATACGCCGCTCCAAGTCCCGAGACGACTGCAATTTCGTGCATATCTATAAAGAAACGCGGTAAGCGAGACTTGGATTTGCTTATGCACGTGTAGATTGCTTTACTGAGTATAGTCCAGGCGCCCGCAAATCGAGTATGGATCTACATAAGGAATTAGGATAAGGAGAGGCGCAAACGTCAATTGAACCACGGTATGCACCATAGCGGACTTGAACAAAGATACTTACTTTTCCATTTATCAGCCCATCCAAGGAACAGTTCCAGCATAATGCTGCCACCGATGACTCTGTTGTTTCCACCATTTCTCCATTATGATCTATGTGATTCATCAGTAAGTAACGACGAATGATACTCTAGCCAACCTTATCTGAAGAGATCTCGTCTTTCGACCACAGCTTCGAACTTTCGGGAGCCTTATCGAGGAAGATAGTCTGAAACATATGTCGATCCAACGGAATTTGAGGAAGCTTGCCATCGGGGAGGCGGGTCGTCCCATCATCTGACGTCCCATCGAACTACGAACCAGTCGAGTCAAGTTGAGCTCCATGGTCTAACCAAAAGGAAAGGTAGCAACTCACGAAGAAGACGGACCTGCGGCTGCCGCCGACGCCCCGCCTCCTACAACGAGAATGAGAGTTTTGGCCCTTGACAAAGGATTTTTGCGAAGGGTCCGGTATACAAGACCAAAGCCAGAGCAGGTGGTACGCCGATGTAAGTAGTAGAGGAACGCTACGGCTCTAATTAAAGGGGAATGCAATGTCATGGCCAGCGTTTGTCAGCCATTCCATGGAGGACCAATCGAAACTCAGCTTGCCCAGAACTAGCAGATCGAGCATATTGAGCCCATGAGGACGCTAAGGAGGCGAGATGTACGATTCTGTAGGATTCCGTCAAATTCTCACCTGCCTTGACGTGAGCCAAAAGCGTTTGAATTTGAAAGTGACCGGGAAGTGTTGGATGAAAATTGGCGCCCAATTGCCTCCGATCGGACCTTTCCGAAACTCTCGGACAAAAAAAAAAAAATCACCCAAAAAGAGTTGAACAATGTTGGCGAAAAAAAAAGGTGTACAGTAGCCCACCGCGAGGGTCGAACTCGCAGCCTTCAGATTCCATCCTATGGAAGGAAATTAACCCGTCCTAGACGATAAGAGTCTGACGCTCTATCCGATTGAGCTAGGCGGGCGATGTATTTGTGTCTTGGCGTGGCTTTGCAGAGGTGGTCGTGGTGGTGGGATGTAAGTGTATTCAAAAGAATGCAGCAACATATTTATTTACTGCCGCTGTCGAACTGCATTGGAATCAAGTCCGAGTCGTGAAGGTTGAACGTTGGAGAATTAGGCTTGGTGAGTTACTACTACTAGATGAGTCGCGGCATCAGGCATATCGGACCGAAAAGAAAAATGTAGGTCGAGTCTTTGACACTGTATCCATTTCTCCTACTTACTCCAAGCGAGATTGAGCCTTCCTGGTCTTGGTCTATACCTGGCACTAGCAGCTTCTTCATTTGAGTCGCATTAATGCGATGTATGTATGTCGGCCCGTGCGTTCTTCATCTTTCAGTTCAGTCAGCTTACACTTACAAGTGTCTTTTCTCTTGACAATTTACATACATAAAGGGCGAGATCGCTCCATTTGTTTTACATTTATCTATTCCCTCTTTGTACTGAGCTCTCAAGGCAGTGAACTGTATTTACTCAAAGGGTGAGCATTGAACCTCCTCTTCCGACCATTATGTGGACAGGTCCACCTCCCTGATATGGCATCCCTTAACCCCAATGCCTCGGAATCGAGTATCCCAACTAGTGTACGGCTCGGACAAAAGAAAGAGGCGCAAATTCGGTTGAATGTGTAGAAGCAAAAATGATGTTTACTATTAGCCCACCGCGAGGGTCGAACTCGCAGCCTTCAGATATCCTAATGATAGGAACAGCAACCCGTCCCAGACCATAAGAGTCTGACGCTCTATCCGATTGAGCTAGGCGGGCACTGGTTGGTGGTTTTGTGTGGGCTTGCAGAGGGGCTGCTACATGCACAAAGCTTTTGTTTTGTCGCCACCTACCTCAGCTACGAGTGAGAGCCTGAATTCGAAATCGAGCAAGCGTATGTTCTGGAGTCAAGAGAAAGAAATTATGTGGCATTACCTGGTATTTCAAGGGTTGCGTATCACGGCCACTCGATGTGTTCCAGCGAGGAGAGGAGCTTTAGGAATCGCCAGACTTTTTTCAAGCGAGTTGATAGGCGCTCGAGGTGGCAGTGACGAGCCGTGTTTGGAGCGGAAGGCGCTGACAAAGAAATCCATTGTTGCGCGGCGCGGGAGCCATTTCGAGCTGTTGTATTCATTCCACCGACCACCGACACCCCGCCCTCACCGACAATGGACGCCGCAGAGGACGAAAAGAAACCCTTCGACGCCGAGGTTGCAGCGGCAGAAGAAGCGCTTCCTGATCCGGACGAGCACCTCATGTTGGACCAAGGCTCGGGCAAAGCATGGCTAGTCAAGGTTCGTCTTGCACCTCCAAATGTCTTATTGATTTCCCTCAAAACCCTGCGCTTGCATGTCGCTCTGTATTCCCGGGTATTCAGGTTCCCAAATTCCTGATGGAACGGTGGGCAGCGGTAGACGAAGACGACAAGCACCTCGCCACAATACGAATTTACAACGCAAAGCCCAACGACCCTCAGCAGAAACCCCGAATCATCCTCTTCCTCCCTCCCAACCGCGATCCAATCAACGCTCCTCAGTCATCCCAATCTCAATCCCAAATGCCCACACCACCAGGCAGCCAAACCCTAACCCCGCCCCCCTCCCAGCCTCCAAAGCCCGTCGGACCCTCCCTCGCCCACCCGCAAGTCCTCGACTGGCCCGCTTTCGATTTCGGCAACACCATCCCGACAACGGGTAGTGAACCCGACATCTACGAGCTCGAAATGGTCAACGAGAACGTCGAGAACCAGATCATCGTCGCCGAGCGGCCCAAGGACCCAGGGTTCATCCCGCCCGGCGCTGCACCCGCCAACTCGCGCGCACGGACGACGATCCTGACGGGGCGGATTAAGCATGAGTGTAATTTGCGGCCGTCGTTTAGTGCGACATATAGGAAGCAGATGAGGGAGAGGCATAGGAAGTATAATACCCCGACGAGGCAGGTCATGAGGATCGAGGATGCGGGTGTGTCGGGTGGACGGGGTGGCATTAATAGGCTTAGCAGTGGTGTTGGTGTTGGCGCTGGAGGGGCATTCTCGGATCTCGTCGTGCGTTCTCCCTCTCTTTCTCCTTCCGTTCTTTGCGTTTTGAATTTTGGAACTACAGAGGACAAAACCCAAACCCACCAAAGGCACGTTCGAGCGTATGGCGCGTATGCCCCGCAACCAGCTGTTGGACAACCTCTTTTCGCTGTTCAGAGAGCAGCAGCGGTGGTCTATTAAACCTCTTCGCGAACGCACGCAGCAGCCTGAAGTCTACCTCAAAGAAGTCTTGTCGGATATCGCGTTCTTGCATAGGAGTGGTGAACATAATGGGTTGTGGGAGTTGAAGGCCAACTTTAAGGATGACCTTTCGACGGTGCGTGGTTCTCCCTTGGTCGTCGTTGGCTGGCTGACGCCTTTGGGTGCGCAGATTAAGCCGGAGGACGTGCCTGGACCAAGTGGATCTGGTGCGGGAGATGTCAAGATGGAGGATATGGACGATGATGACGAGGAAGAGGAGGACGATGACATGGAGGAGGTCTCATGAAGGGTCAGGGGGAGGATACGTAGACTTATCCATTCCTTTTTGTTCTTTCTTTAATGCATGGACTAATACATTTCTTTTTTCACCCTCAATGAGCTCTATCCCTCTTCCCCTTCTCTCGCAGAACCGCGGTGCACGGCGTTTCATTCACACTGGGACATACGGGCGCGGGGTACTTATCCCACAGGAAGCGATGGCGACATACCGCGACCATCCCGAACGGCCACTTGGACGTGCCATTCCAACGACCTACGGAAACCTAACGGAACTCGACTCTCGTATTCTCGCCAGCACCACTGTCCACCGCAAATTTGCATCCGCTTTAACCGAAAGCGACGCTCGGCCCGGGGAAATATCTTCCCCCGCACGTCCCACATGGAGGCATGGGAGTCATAACATTTCGTGGATAGATGAGGAGATTTTGATATAAAGGTGAGTAGTGTTGATCCCGTATGTGACTGTTCTTCTCTCTTTCAAGCCATCGACTCCTCAAGCTACGATGACTGCGAATGGCACTACCTCCACATCTAGACCCAGCTCCGGCTCCGGCTCAGCGCCCTTCGCCCTCCTGACAGCCTTCTCGGGTACACCCTTCAGCGGGAACCCAGCCGCTGTGGTCTTCCTCGATCCCGCTAATACACCAAGGAAGGCCTTGGAGGGGTTGGCGGGGAATTTTAATGCGCCGATGATTGCGTTTGTTGGGGCTGTCGACGATGGGTCTATTGTTAATTTGGGAGGGGAGGGCGGTGTAGGGGAAGATACGAAGAAGGAAGATGTGGGAGGGGAGGAGGGTGGTAGGAAGACGGAGGGGAGGAGGGTGGTGATCAAGACTTCCATCCGGTACCTCACCTATTCGGGCGTCGAGATCCCGCTGTGTGGGCATGCGAGTGTTGCTGCTGCTGGGGCTATCCTTCGACTTCCGTTCGTCCAGGATCTAGTTAAGAATGACGGCGGGGGTGTGAAGGTGGAGAGGGTAGAGTTTGAGACGTGGGCGGAGGGGAGGAAGGTGCCTGTTCGAGTTTATGAGGAGGGTACGTCGTCGGTTTTGGATTTGGTTTTTCGTTCCGTTGGTTGGCTTGATAGCTCCCTCTTGCTGGGTGTTCGTTCTTCTTGTCTTTTGACTCCTCCCCATCCTCCTCCCCCTCCTCCTCCCCATCCTTCTCTTTAACCCCATCCTCCTCCTCCCCATCCCTTCTCTTTAACCCCATACTAACACCACCTCTTCAACCCCGCTTTCTACACCCAGACAACAAAACCCTATACGAACTCGGCCTCCCCTCCGTCCCACCCGTGCCCCTCCCAAAAGACGAAGAAGATAGGATTAGGGCGTTCGTTGCGAGGGCGTTCGGGGAGAGGATTAGAGATATGGATCGGGATGTTGTGAGTGTGAGGAGGGGTGTTGGGGGTATGGAACACGGTACGTTACTGCTACCCTTTTCTCATTGAGAGTTGGATGGGGATGGTGGATAAGATGGATAGTGATAGTGATAGTGATAGTAATTTTGGGGCGTGGATGCTGATACGTTTTGTGTTTTGTGTTTTGTAGCGATCCTCGTCGAACTGGACCCCTCGGTCGGACTGGGAGATGCGGATGTGGATGTGAACGTTTTCGTACGTCCCTTCACCTCTTTCCCCTCCCTTGGATTCGCATTCACATTCTTGACCCCATCGTGGTATGCCAGACGGATTGCGGGTACACGCAGAACGTCATCACCTCCCTTCCTTCTCCCTCCCGCTCCTCCTGCTCCGGTGCCAACAACAACAACGACAACGACGACGTGCAGGCTAACAATAGCGTGCAACTTGAAGAAGGAAAGCAGCAATTCGACTACGTGTACCGGATGTTCAGCCCGCACGTCCCAGGAGGCGAAGACGCGGTGTGTGGGAGTGCGCAGTGTCTTTTGGCGCCGTATTGGTACGCCAAGCTTGCTCAGCTGGGGTGTCAGAAGGTCGTTCCAGGCAATCAGGTGACGAGTTACTCGGCGAGTCCTAGAGGGGGTGTGGTGAAAGTCGTTTGGGAGTCCGATAGGGATATCCCCCGGGATGGAGGAGGTGGTGGGGAGGAGAAGGAGAGGGTGCTTTTGAGGGGGGAGGTGGCGCTGTTGGCGAGTGGGGAGTGTTTCTTTTGAGCACTCGGATGAGAGAGGGAGATGTCCCTGCTTTGTGTGTGCGAGCGGTCGGAGCAGCGTAGCCTGAGGTTGACGTTTGTACGGCTGGATGTGGGGTGCCGGTGGAGGAGTGGGGATAGCGGACAGGACGGGTGAGCTAAGGCGAGGCTAAGCTTACATTGACTTATCCTAGTCGCAGGACACCGATGGACATTGGAGTCTTTGGAACATTTATGTTTTTTTCGGCTGTAGTATTACTATCGTTATCGTGCTCAACGGATTGGATAGGTGAAAGAAAGCGATCCCCTCCGCTGATGTCATCCCACTTCTGTCGGACAACTCGCGGGATGATAAGGAGTGTGTTGTTTTTCTGTCAGCCCGTGTAGGATTCGGTCACAGGACGGATAATGGATGGTTAAGGGGGTAGAAGGTGGTTAAGGGAGTGGAGGGTGCGTTATATTCAGCCTCCACGGCCGAGTAACGAGTTGTGAGGGCTCAAAAGGACTCCAATGCCTGTGTTTTGCGAGGTTCCATGATGCATCTGCATCTGCGGAACCCGGAGCGCGAGGGTGTTCTGTGGGCCTTGAAGCTTGGGGCTCGGGCCGTACCAAACTCTGAGGCCCGTATGGCTCGCCGTCGCGAAAACTTGAACGGGGCTGTTACCGTGGCAAGGGTTGTACATACGTTTCCGAATCCTGCATACTTCTCATCTCTGGCGATTAGGTCAGCAACGGAGACTACGGCCCTCTGGCCATGCTTCGAATTCCCTTCTCATCAGCATTAGATTTTTACTTCACCGGCTTGCGGCTTTCGACTCGACCGGAAAGCCTCCACTTTGAAGATCTCCATCTCCTGTCGAGCAACGTTCGCAACTCAATACAGAGCTTCGATCGCCATCCCCGTTTCGCAGCGAACAAACGGACTTATCAGTCATCACCCAACCGGGCCAAGAACCCTCCCTTTCGTAAACCTTTGGGCGTCTAACCGAGCGTCAATTTCACATCTTGGATGTGACTATATGCCCGGTAGGATAAATTCAGTTACCATAACACGGTCACAACAGGCTTAGTCTGACGTTCCGTGTCTCTGTCATCGCCAACAACGAGCGGTTACAGGCGGTTACCTGATGCTAAGTACTACATACACACACACACACAGTCGGTCGTCGTTCAGCGCCGCCTGGTCGGATGCTGTCGGCATTGTCTTGGCGGGGTGGTTTCCAAGCGTGTGCCGACGGCTCCAAGGACAGAACGCTGGGTTCTCCATGTGGGATTTTGCCCATCTCGAGGAAAGAAAGTCGAGATTAGGAAGGATGGTGCTCCACGGTGCGTATCATATGAATTGGGTGAACTAAGAACGCGTCTGCTGGAGATCGCCTGGTTGGTTGAGTGTGATGCGTCAGCCTCGTAGCCTGTAGTCTGAGGATGTGTTTGGATTTGCAAATGCATATGTGAGGAGGAATCGGCTGGCTGTGCCGGTTGAGGCTACGCAGAAACAGGTTGCATCTGAAGCAACTTCTGGTGTGGTTTCATTCTGTGCGTCGCGAAGGGGCTAGCATGTAGTAGCGTCGGGTGGCGTCTTATGCACACCTACATCTCGTCCCGCACCATGCCAACAGGGCCCATGACTCCCTACATACCTTCCAGAAGATGAACTTTGTCACCAGCATTGCGAATCAGAACACTTAACTGCTTATGTGTGCGCGTAGATGCTCGTCCTTGCCTGTATCAGAATCGTTCCTGGAATCCGCGTGCGACACGCCCGGCCATCATCTCCCTTGGCCTCTCGTGGATCGGCACCAGCATTCCATTCAGTTGGGTGTTCCTTCGCGATCAGAGGACTGGTCACTGGTTGAGAGGGTTAAAAGGCCAGTGCGAGGGACGGAGGTGGACCTACTCACTTCCCACCCACGCCTCGCCCTTCCCCTCGATCGACTTGCAGAATGCTCTTCAAGCCCGTTACCCTCCTTCGTAAGTCGTCGTCCGTTCCTATCCTTCTTGTTGGGAGATCCATTTCATCCTGACTCCCCGTCCTCCTTCGGAACCTTCGGAACCTTCGCAGTCGCCGCCTCCGCCGCCTTCCTGGGCAACGTCGTCCCCGTCGAAGCCCAAGTCCCCCGCGGAACGGTCATCCTCCGCGACTGGTTCGTCGACCTGATCCCCACTGTCTTCCCCAACACCACCACGCACTGGGTCAAGATCTTCGAGGATGGGACTTTGGCCGATGACATTGTTTGCCAGTTCAATACTCGTACGTTGAACAACAAGGCTGAGATGAGGGTGCGTGCGATTCGTGTTTCTTTCTATTCCTGCTGGGAGGGGGATTTTAAATGAGCGTTTGGGTTGTGGGTGGTGTAGGGCTTCTGGACTGCTATTAGCCACCAGATTGAGGATCGGATCTCGCAGTATGTCATCCAGCCTAAGAGTGCCGTCGCCTTTGCTGCGGATGATAAAGGGTGAGTCCCTCTTCTCCTCCCTCGCTCTCTTCCACGCCTAATAACACCTTCTGTGCCCTCTTAGTCGCGAGGGATGGGTCATCGCAACCGGCGACACCTGGTTGAGGACGAAGCAAGGGAGGTACCATGCTGGTGGAAGTGCCTCAGCCTGGGTCAGCGTCAAGTGGGATCATGCTAAGAAGAAGCGGGTCATCACTGAGTGGAAGGAAGTCAACACGCCTCCGAACTACCCCAACTACCCCTGGAACTGAAGCTAGTCCGCCCTCGGTAGCTGAGGTTCTCAACTGTCCCAAGCGCAGGCTAGCATATCCGGAGAACTGAAGGTCGCCTATGGACCTTGGAGCTAAAGTTTGCCTCGGGAGACAGTAGTATTTATTTCCTATTCGTATTGGTTGGCTTTCAATTAAGCCTTCAGTTTGTCGTCGTCTCGTAATACCTAATCTACCTACCTAACCGCGCTTGTTCTCTGTGTAATTGACCTTGCTACCTCGGAGGTCTGTCTTCACTTGAATTCGGTGTGGGGTCAAGATGGGATGGGGACTGCATGTCCTCAAGCTGAGCGAAGCCAAGCAGCCGAATGTTCGAGCCTCGACAAGAGCATTATTTTCCATCGAATGTCGGCTTCCTTCGTTTTAGGTTCCGCCTGGGTCGAGTCTGTAAGCAGTGCCTTTTGCATCCATTCTACGTATCTTGGAGAATTTATCACCGCAATTTTAAGCCCGACCTTCACCGTTCTCAATACAAGCGCGTTTCCTAAATCGTAGTCGCGACTGCTCCAATCGCCGAGCCTTGCGGAGAGGTGAGGTCGGTGTTCGTGAGTGCAGAATGCATCATGTCCTTTCAAAGTTCCATTCCTCCCTCAATGTTGCAGAGCACGGAGCTCAGAACAAAGCGACACGGATCTTCCGCAAAGGGCGTATTGCAAATTACCGGTGATTTATCGCGTACTCGGGCAGCAAGGAACACGGGGCGAACGGCGTGGGGGCACTTGGTTATTGTCATTAATTGAAGGACCGGATGATGTCATAGAAAAATAGCGGGCCTGACAGGCCAGCTCCTCGAGAGAATGTTCACTTCCAGAAGGAGGGGCCCGTATTCAAATATTCAAGTCCCATTTCCATCGTAGCGCCCATGCTCACAAGATCACACAAAGGACAGAGGCTTTCAAATGTTTTGGTTGTTATTCCATTACTGACGTGATAGTACTAAGTGATCGATAAGTATAAGGGAATACTTTGCGCGAAGAAAGCAAGGTGTGCAGCGAGGCAGCCAGTCAACTGGCTGGGTCCTACTTGAGAAAAAGGTATCGAAGGCGACGGAAGGCATATAGCAAGCGTAGAAACGAAAAGGGAACAAGGCGAAGCTATTAGCGGGCCCACTGGGCCAAGTAACTGTCAAAACGGGGGTAGCCAGATGTCGGCGGAAAGACGACTATAAACGAAGAGGTATGTGGAAGGTAGATGCACTGGGCGTTTAAAAGAACAGATGTTGATGCATGCAGCGACGAGGAGTTCGGAATGTGGGTGCGACTGAATACGAAAGATGCTGTGGAGACGATGCTGTGGATAATGCTGTGGATGCCAGGGTATGATGATGAGATAGAGCAATGTTACAGATGCTTGATTGATAGATGGAATCGATGGATGGCTGAGAGCGATTGAGCTTGAGGTAAGATGAATAATAATGTGGGTATGCTGGTTCATGCGCGTGATCGACAGCGCGGGTATTCGTTTGTGTGCGTCGAGTCGTGGTGGCGTGAGGGGGTATTGCAAGGTAGAAGGGGTATGTCGTAGCCGTGCAACGCGGGGTCGTGAAGATGCTCGTTACCCATGACCAGAGAAGCGTGTCTGGAAGAGGATATTTGGGCAAGTTCGTGAAGGTGGTCTGGCGCCGAAAGCTTGATAGGAGCTAGGCGCCAAATATCCGGAAAAGCATGGGCGCAAGGCGTCTGAGCTTATCCATAGAAGACCCTATTCAATTCAATCGATTAGTTTCCCGATCTTGAGCGGAGAAAGGTAAGAACAGAACTCACCCTCTCGAAGTGGTAGAGATGGGCTTGAAGTCAGTTCGTCCGCTCGAGACGAAGTGGTTGAGAACGGTTGGCCAGTCTTCCCGCTCGTCCCAGGTGATCTTGGCAGGGGGGTCAACCTCAACAGGCATAACCTGCGAAACACCCCCGCATTGGAGGATGACGATGAGAGCACCGATACCGCCGTTCTGTCGGCAGCGCTCTTCGCGGCGTTGGATGTCCTGGAGGACCAATGGGTCGCGGATGTAGCTCCTTGGAACGATGTGGGTCGAGGTAATGGAGAATCTGAAAGAGGAACGGGAGTCAGCTCCATATTCGTTTACGCGAAATGATGACGACATGTCTGGACCGCGGTGGAATGTAGAATGGAGTATGACGGAAATGGATACTCACCGACGATGCGAGTCAGCATGGTTGAGGTGGTTGAGCTCAATGAGCAAAGCGTTCTGGCGAACGTTGGCAGGGACGCGCTTGAGTTGGAGGGCTTGGAAGCCGGCCCAACCGAGGAGAGCGGAGTGTGCTGAAGTGAACTTTCGGAGGTTCTTGGCCAATTCCTCTCCATATCCAGCACCAGTTGCAGCAGCGGACGCTTTCGAGACTGAGGCGGCAGTGTGTTGGCAAATAGCCTTGTGGGAGGGCCAGTGGCTCTTTTGGCAGTCCTGTGAGCAGTACTGGGTGGTCATCTATGATGCAAGTATCCCTGTAAGACGGAGCCGCGCTAAAGGAGTGCAAGAGTCACTTACGCATCCTCCACAGAGCCGGAACTTGACGGAAGGAGTCTCGGGGACTCCGCAGGCATCGCAGATACGGTAGCCGCGTTGGCGTTGCGAGTGGGTGGGGGGAGTGTTGTAGTTGGCGGCGGCGGGCTGAGAGTAGTAGGCCATTGCGTTTCGTGGTCTGGTCGTCAAGAGTTGGGCGAGTGGTTATTGTCCGGTGCGAAGGTCGAAGACCAAAGAGAATAGGACGAGGAGAACCGTAACAACCGAAGGGAAGTTATCTTCGAGTCAATAATTGTGAGGCATTGCTGGCTAGTTATATACGATGGACCTGTATGTGTGAAAGGGTCAAAGTTAATTGTCAAGTGCAACACAAAAAGCGGACTTGCCAGGCAGAGATTTGGCCAAATGCGGATCGACGATCGAATCTGGCGCCGAATCTGGGAAGCGTGTCCGGAAAGGGGAGGGGCAGGAAATAGCGAGAAGTCGTCTGCCTGGGGCGAAACAAAAAAGCGTCGTGGTATCACTGACACGTTCTTTTTGTTTGAACGCCTGTCGACGGGACGAGGTCGATATTAGGCATGGGCAGGCCAGACTACAAGAACCGAGGCATCTGCTTCTTTGTTGTTCTTGTTTTTGTCATCCTTTTTGTTTTCCCCAGTGTGTGAGATGGCCTAAGGCACGCCATATGCCTGCAGGCAGAAACCCAGAGCGGACTGCCTATCTGCCATCATCGTCGATGGCTAAAGACAATAGTCGATACCGCTGGCAGTGACGCCTCCGAAGCATCTCGTCATGTGCCCTTCCCACAGGACAAAAAGCCGAATCAGGCTTAGAGTCAGTTTGCCTTATAAGGCAAGTTTGTCCGACGAGAGACAATTAGTACGTTCACGCTTCGACGAGTTCGACAGCTTCTTCAAAGCCGGGTAATTATCATCTCTACAGCATTCAAATGAATGACTAGCCACTCAGCTCCTAACAAAAGAGATATCGCCTGATAGTCGGGCGGTGGTGTGACCATCGAACGAGGACGGGCGCTTGGCGCTTCGCCCTCCGGGCAGATCGTTTGCCCTCCATGCGACATCCCCATCCAAGATTCTGACATCCTCACAACGATACTTATGCCTTCCTAGTTATCTGAGGGGGGCGCTTCCCTGGTAACCCGCCCCCGTCCTTCCCGACATCGACAGCCTTTGTTTTCGTAATACTTGTACACAACTATCCACAACAATTTCCCGATGCCTTCACAAACAACACTTTGAATCAAGTCACAACTGAGAGCTCTAACATGTCAAAAAGTGACTCTCCCCAGCAACCTTGAGTTGCTACTCCAATCCTTTTGCCGCCCTGCAACGATGTCTACCTTCCAAGTACAAGCCGACGGCTCCAGCCATCAACGAAGACCCTGAGCATCGCCTCCTCAGGTTCAAGGATCGTATCGGTGCCTGGTCTTTTAGCTTTGTTGACTCTTTTACTCTGGTTGCTTCATGAAAAACGTGTATCAACGATTTCCACCCCGCCACTCAAATCACCGAATAGAGCGACAACAAACGTACAAATTTACCGAAATTAAAAAAGGGCGCGCCCGGTGGACGACTCGGATCCATGGACCCACACCCGAAACTTGCCTAGTTTGGGCATAGTTTCTCCTCCAACGAAGATGATCATGCATCTCTTTCGCCCCGATGAAAGACACAGGGGTTAGGAAAATGAGGAACGAGGAGAATGCTGGGGATGGAGTAACCCTTAGGGATGTTGGAGTTTCAGATTGAATGCTTTGGAGTCGTCCGGCAGCGGAATGTTTGGGGAGTGAAGGCGCTTTTCTTCTGGGCTTGCATTGGGCTTGCAGGCGCTGACAACGGCTACCAAGTGTACACAAATGAAATTTTCTAAGCTTTCGAGAGACATACAATCACATACTGGAGAAGACCCGCTCAGTTGACAACACACGAAGCGCTCCCGGCGGGGCTTGCCCATGCACTTGCATATTACACGTTGCCTACTGAGGCCTACGGGTACCCCTCTCTCTGAAAGAAATTTTCTGTAACCCCATTTCCCAGACATCGAATCGCGAAGCTCCTTTTTGGACATCGAATGACAAACGAAGAGTCTTCACTCCTTTGTTCTCCGCGCCAGGCGCCCCATGAATTTTGCCTGGTCTGATTGAAAGGTCCTGGCGCTGTCCTATCTAACCTTACTTGCTCATGCGATTGCCTCGAGCCTGCGGAATAGCCGTCTTGGTGTTCCTGCCGAGCTGGCGCTTTGCTTCGAGGCCCGTGGAGCAAACGGAGAAAAGAAAGTAATCGCCGCTGGACGTGCTAAATTTCTGACTCGCCAACCATTCGTACCTGCATTGAAAATCTAGAAGCTTCGACGCCTCGAGGCATATCTTTGTCACCGAAACACTATGCCTAGAGGGACTCGTCCTTAAATAACATTAATATCTTTCAGACTACACATGGGCGCCACTTCCAATCGCCCGTTTGGCTTTACTTCGTCATCTTTACTCCTCTCGTCAGCAGTACTACTAGTATATCCTTCCCCGTCTTCGAAGACCTCCAACAGCCCAGTATGCGAGGAGCTCGGAAAATGGGCCATCTCACAGCCTCCGGAAAACCAAATCCAGTGAATTCCATTCATGACAGTTTTAGACTCTGATCATCCAATAGTCCTTGGGTGATTCGACTCCACTCTCTGTCCCTCATTCTGCGCCACGGTTTTACTGGTGTATTTCGTGAAAATTTCCAGAACCTCACCCTTTCCATGCGCACGGGAACGTACAGGCCAGGAAATTCAGCATTGCGGTATGTTTACGGGAACGTTGGGAAAAATCATTCATCGAACCGAGGAACGACGATGAATAATTCGATCTTGATCCCGCGGAGGTATCCTACTGCTGTGCTGGCCAGTCCTTGAGGTTGGAACTAAGAGATACACTGGGAGAGGACAAAGGCCTTAGACAGGGGACGGAACTACTTGAACGACCACCTGCCACACGCCGATTCTTGGCGCGTCTGGCAGTAGTGTTGAATGGAAAATTTCATCTCGTGTTTCAGGCTTCACTGGTCACTTTTGGTCTGATCTAATTACACTGCCTCCCGCGAGAGATCATACGCCGCTTTTCTCTCGCATACAACACCTACCAAGACGAACGACCTTGGTCTTCTTCAGCCCTTGTTCCTCGTAAGGACGCCGAGGGCCGGGAACGGCCCGGGCTGGGCGCTTAAATACAGTTGGTTGGTATTAATGCCAAGCTGCCCTGTTTCCAGGTCGTTCGGGTCTTTACGTGTGGGAAGCACTTGCCTTTCGCGACGCCTTCTTTACAATTCAGTGACTCTTCACGAAGTCTCAAGACAACATACCTATTCCACTCGTAGAAAACCCGTTGAATTCAAATCTCCAAATAGTTACCCCGCCCAGATTCAATTCAACCAGGAGTTTATTCCTGATGGTAGCGGTACCTACACTGCGCCTACATCGATTGAGAAGGTAAGGGTTACATCGTGGATGGACATGTACTGAAAATAGCATTATCCGAATGGGGCTTTCTCGCAGAGTTGTGAAACCCACGAGGCCTTCAGCCTAAAGTAGGTCCGCCTACATAGCTTTGTGACTGAATTGCAGGTTTACCCCAGCACCCCCTATTCGACCCACCCTGTCTCTTCGGGAGGAACGCGGAGAGAGAAACTGTGTCTCACTCCGAGTCTCATGATCCTCTGAAGCTTGAAAGGGATATATGTACCCATCTCTGGACTGGACCGTTCCTTAGACGCTCGGATGAAGCCGATGGTACGCTTGCTATATCCCAAAAGCAGACTCCGACGACCTAACTCAATTAGTACCAAATGCAAGCAGAAATCGATCGCTAGCTAGAAAAATTCGCTTGCCCCGACTGGAAGCTGAGCGCGAGTGCTTGATACCTATCTGATCGTAAAGTACAAGACGAAAGGCGCCATGAGGCGGATGGTGGGCGCGTTCGTTGCATCACGTACAGACACGGTGTGCCCACAGTCACGATTTCAGCTGTTTTCCAGTGAGCTGCTCTGTGGCTCTTGAGAGGAGATGGGGTGGGGAACAAGACGTTGTCGCCTGTACCGACTCGGAAAGAAGAGCGTGCGTGGAACTCGGAAGTGTCTAGACCACATGCACGTTGGTTAGATAGGCTATTAGACGCCCAAGGTCAAACACAAGGTCTAAACGGCTTTTGTCGTTGCTTCTCGGGTATCCAGCACCGTGAAACGTACACCGCCGCTCTGATGTATGGGAGCATCGACGGCAGTGACGGCGGTCAAACGGAGGCGGAGAGGTGAAGCAAACAGCGGAAACCCAGTTGGAAAGTTGAACGCGCACGGGGGAGCGAGCCGACGCCTGCTTGTTTACAGCCACATCTACTGTTTGCAAAAAAGATAAAGTAACAGTGGCGAGGCGCTCGGACGGGTAAGAACCCCGGGTGGTGTCTGTCTACCTATTCAATCAACGTACTGCGTGTGAGTTACGAGTAAGTAAACAATGTGCACCTACAATGTCAATTCAAATGGTAGCGGCGACGGCGTGGCGGCGGCGGAGATTGAGGAACCTAATTAGACGATAGGTGGGTCGGTCAACGAAATCTGAAGCCACTGGTCTGCAGTGTGTGCGTGTAGGCACAGACGGGAGATTTCGTTACTGATATTCGGTGTAATAACCGTCGTTGATTTCTCGCACATCACGTACTCCGAGGAATTCGTACACCAAGCGTGAAATCAACGGTTTGTGGGTGCTTTGTGGGCCAACCTTTGGTATAAGAGATATCCCTTTGTACGCGTAGGAGATAGGGTGTGTGGTTTGAGAGATGAAGGATGCAGTCTCCATGGAATCGAATACATAGCGAGCTTGGGAAAGGGGACGGAAATAGATTTGGAGGGTGGGCTAATGTGAGAGAGGCGCTCTGTATTGGAGCAACCACGAGATGGGTTTGTACGATCCGGGCGAAGAGAACAGATTGAATGGGAAGGCGAAATCGAAATGGGGTCTCAGGACATCGGTCAATCGTTCACCACGGGTTGCCCCGCGGAAAATGTGATTCGAGTCTGTCGAGTATGAGTATGAATACATAACCCGAGGTCAAATTGCACTACTTCTGAACTCGAGACGATCTACGCTATCTAATCAAATGCGCATCATCTCGAAGTGTGACAAGTGCAAGCTCGCATCCTCCTCTTCGATCTTGACTCTCACTTCCCACGCTGTTAGTCCTCGCCCCTCCCCCTCATCCTGCTCCTCCTGTTTGACATTCTCCTTATTACTTCCACGACCGGAGGCACCCCCAACATCCTCCCTCCGACCACCAGACCCACCCTCGCCCCTCTCAGCCTCTTTATCCCACGGCCTCGCAGCCACAACCCTCTTCGCAATCTCCTCTGGCAGCATATCGATCTCCCACTCCAACAACCACTTTGTATCCCCCGCGATATCCTCGAGGCGGTTCAGGTTCTTGAGGTGGTACTCGAAGCGTTTGTCGTGGATGGGTGCGACGGAGAGTTTGCGCCAGGCGAGGATGTCGCTGCGCATTGTGTGGATTGTGTTTTCGATGCTGCGGGTTTAAATCATTGGTAAGCGGTTCGAAGGTATATGGCGTGGGGTCGATCCTACCTTTGAGCGGCTTTATGGATTTTGCGAATTCGTTTACTTGCTTCTTCAAGGTTTGGTCCTTTGATGGCAGCCAATTTGCGCCTATCTTGAGTCCTTTTTAGCTACGATAGCGTTGCGACGAGGTGATTATGTGGATACTTACGCTTTCGTGCACGCGTTCGAGACATTTCGTTCGCCAGAGAGCTGGCCTTAAGGGAGAGTGTTGTGGGAGCGACTTCGACGATGAAGGTAAGGAGGAAGAGGTTTGTCAACCACCGCCCGGATGGATTGGCTGAAGTTGGGCTGGCGGTCGAGTTTCAAATTGAAGCAGCTTTCCGCACGATGACTATTTACAAGGGAGATGCTGAAACGCTGTACTTGATGTAGGAGAACGTGCTTCAATACATCGTTTTCGGAGATGTTCATTGAGCCTTTTTCTTCCCTCGACGCCGTTTACGTTTTTTCGCTTGACCTTCTCGAGCTCGCGTTTTAGGCCGTCGAGCTGCTCCTCGACAATTTCGAGGCAATAACAAGTATCGCCGTACGGCCTGTCGTCCTCGTATCCGACTATGTTGGGTGAAAGGTCGTGTCAGAAGATTCCACCAGTGACCTGATAATTAGGTTAACGCTCACACATCTGGTTTATGGCTGGGTCGTTCTCAGAGTTGGGCCTTTGCAAACTATGGGGATTTGGATGGAAGTTGCAGTTATCCTTCCTTAATCCGTCTAAAATCGTTCCCGCCTTTAAGGACTTCTCATCCAATGTCTCACTTGCCTGCGTGAACGGATGGAGATCTCAAAGTCGATCCCTACTAAATTGTGGAGCCTAAAACACGGGAAAATTGCGGATTTAGGACTTGGATTGGGGTAAAGTATGACATATAGTGTGTCTTTAAGCTAAGTCTCAAACGCAGCAATGGCCGCAATCGTCCTCGTCCATGTCATCGATATCCCATTGAATAGTCTCCTTGACTTCGGCCAACCGTCCATCAAGCTCGTCAAAGTCAGCCAACATATCCTCGCATCGGGTAATAGTGCCCTCATATTTGCAGTACTTCTCCCATTTCTTGATGTGCGCCCTTGCCTGGAGAAGAGACTTCTCTGCCTTTTGAATCGAAGCCATGGCGGCATGGAGGTGTTCGTGACCAGGTTTCATCTCTTCGTTTCCAGTGGCTTTCGCTAGGCAATTTTAAGACTTGGATTCTATATGATGCTATTCAGAGACATTTACCAGTTTTATTCGTCGCCTTGGGCATTTTTGCAGGGTTTTGTATGCCTGGACGTGAGGGATAGAGTTTAGGAGCGTTGGGCCGTTTCCTCCTCCGAGTCGGCTGACGGGCCTCGCTCGGAGTCTGATGACCTAACGCTTTCCCACGTGGCTCGGCTCGAGCGGCTTGCAGACGATTCCAGATCTTGTGGGTTCACCATTATCCACCACAACATACCAGGTGCGCTCCTCGTCGCCGTCGTCGTCCACTACAACCCTCTTCAACGCTCATCTCTCTAGAATGTCTAGGACAGCTACTGCAGCAGGACCATCGACGTCGGCGCCCAACGATGGCTCCCGAACTATAACGATCACCAACGTCCCAACCAACGAGGGCGGCGACGACATTATACCTGAGGAGGATGGCCCAGTTGGAACGCTCAGACTGAGAGCAGCGCGGACGCGGACTGGACCAAGGGTGACATGGGATGAGGACGTTGTCGATAACGAGCACGCTGGAAAGAAGAAATCCAAAAGTACGTCGTGAAAGCCATTGCACACCGACCTTGATTTGCTGACTCGGTTCTAGTTTGCTGCATATTCCGACCAACAAGAGATTTCGGAGAATCTTCTTCCTCAGATTCAGACTCTGACTCGTCTTGCGACCATGACCATGACCGGGAAGAGGGTCCTTCAGGGGAAGGTTCAAGTTCGAACAGACCACGGCAGGGGCCTATGCAGATCCACGATTGTTGTGACTCAGACGACGATAAAAACGCGTATGAGCGACTGCCTAGCTATCAGAGGAAGAAGATAAAGGCTAAGCGGAGAGCAGGTCGGTTTTCGTCTTTGTATGAAAGTCAGGATGCTCATACGCTTTAGCGTGAATACAGAAGCCCTCAAGGCCGCCCAGCAGTGAACCTCCAATGATTACCCCCTACGACTGGCCACCCAGCACTTCTACTTGTACATTCGCTTAATCCCAACCCGACGTGTACATTAGCTTCCCGAATCGAACAGCTGTTGACCCCCTTACAAACCGCCGTCTGCTGCAACCCCTGCTGCTTCCAATCTCGACTACAATCACTGGATCGACGTCAGCTAGGTCAGTCAGCTTTTGATCCAGCTCAGTAAGTGCTGGTCTGAGTGACCTGCGAACAGCCATATTAACCCGGAAGATCTCGATGTCCTTCAGTCGGCATGACCCTACGCTTGCCCGATTTGTCCGCCGTCCCATGCTTTTCGAGAGGCGCGCTGGTCGGCCACGTCGCCACAGATAGCATAGCTCAAGACTCGTTTATCATGGCTGGCGACAACGGCATCACCCTCTCATGGGACCATGTATAGCGAGCACGGGGAGCCGACGTGGGTCTATCGATCGTTCTCCACACCTTTTCTACTTACATGCGAGTCGCAGAAGCAAACGCAAATTAAATCTTGACTGCTGGACCTCATCAGGTTGGAGGTCTATGGTATTTCGTATACCGTCGCACCAGCACCATTCATATCATGCCTAGACAGGCGGGTCCTTGGGGTAAGAGGCACCGGCACTGATCCAATGCGGTCCAGGGCATGCATGGAATGTAAGTGGCTTTTGAAGCAAGGGGCGCCCGCGGATTGGTATTCCACCGATAGCGCCTCGCTAGCTGTTCGAGTAGGCATTCCTCCTGAACACATGGAGCCACTCGTTTTGTTACGATCGAGACTACGACGTTATCCGCCGTCCAACGGTCTAAAGTCGAGACAACCCGCCCATTTTCGAACCGTATTAAAAGCCAACCGACACGCCCCATTCCTTTCTCAGACCACGTCCCTCTAGTCCCCGAGCCGTAGACGGCTTTGGTCCCCCTCGTGTGCGGTATCTCCCCTTCCCACTTGGCTCTCTTGCATTGTTGCCGACGCAACACAATCTGCGTACTCCACTTGTCTTCAATTCTAGAATCTACGATCAAGACCCTACGATTTCAGGATACGGGTAAGACCCGAAATTCTCATATAAACGCGTGATGGACGCTTATGTTGATTTTATATTTTGGCCTTTGCCTTTGGTCAACCTAGGAGATAGTTAACGCTTCACCACCATCGAATTGAACACGCCTGAGCCACCACAATGACCATCGAAGTCAACCCTGTTCCACCTCAAGCCGACGGCGTCGAGGCCAACGGAACCAACGCCAGCCAAACAGTTCCGGCCACTGGACCCACCACGCATCCCAACGGCCTACCCGTCTCGCACGTATTCGACGTCGACCCGCACACAGGTTTCATGGCTCCTCAACCTCCTATCCCGCGCCTCCCCGAGCAATGGGAGCAATGGGAGGCCATGCTCGACGCAGCGACCGACAGCAAACTCCAATGTGGCGACAAAGTCGGACTGACGGAAGTGGAGGCTCAAGCATCCGAGTCTTGGCGGGCCCAAATTCGAACGGTATGTCACCTTTTGATCGTCCCTCTGATGGAACCACGCCGTGCTTATCATGTTTTCCGCTCCTTCTTTCCATGTGTCTGTTCTCCATGGCGTTGGGACTATAGATGCCTATCTTGCCTTTGTCGCCTGAGGTGCTGGCGTCACCAGTGTTGCTCCGGAGGGCCCATTTGGTGCTTTCGTTCCTGTTGCATTTCTATGTGCAGACGCTGCCCCCCCATGATCCTGTCGTCGTTCCTCGCTCCATCGCCCTCCCCATCCTCCGCGTTTCCAAAGCGCTCGACATCCCGTCCCTCCTCACCTTTTCCGACACGGTTCTGTACAACTGGGACTACAAGCAGACGCCGCCGAAAGGGGAGGATGGAGGAGCAGCGGAGCCAGCGACTCAGCTCGACAACATTCGGTCTCAGACGATGTTCACCGGCTTGGTGGACGAGGAAGAGTTCTACATGTGTTCGGCGAGGATCGAGTTGAGGGGTGTGGAGGCGCTCGAGTTGATGCGGCAGACGATGGACGAGATGTTCGTGGGCGACACTATCGCCGTTCGACGTATCTCCGACTACCTCAAGTCCATGGCCAACGTCATCAACGAACTCAAGACCCTCCTCCTCGACGTGCGCAAGCAGTGCGATCCCGAAGTGTACTATAACCAAGTACGACCCTGGTTCCGCGGCGAGGACTCGGATATCAGGAAGAGGAAGTGGGTGTACGAAGGCGTCGACGAAGATCCGGAGCTCTCCCACCCGCTCGAACTGTCCGGTCCAAGCGCAGGCCAAAGCTCCCTCGTCCACGTCCTCGACGTCTTCCTCGGTGTCGACCACCAATCCAAATCCCCCGACAAACCCTCTTTCATGTCGCGCATGCTCACCTACATGCCGCGCAACCACCGCCTCTTCCTCAAGCACCTCTCCGCCAACCCGCGGCCTCTACGCGAGTTTGTCGTTTCGGCGGGCGACGAGGAGTTGTTGGAGACGTACAACAAGACGGTGTTGGCGTTGAAGGAGTTTAGGGATGCGCATATGATTATTGCGACGTTGTATATTGTGGGGCCGGCGAGGAGGGCGGCGAGGGCTGCGCAGGAGGCGTTGTTGGGTGGGAGGGAGTTGCCGGATTTTGGGGAGCCTTTGAAAGGCACTGGAGGGACTGATCTCGTTAAATTCTTGAAGGATACGAGGAATAGGACTGGTGCCGCTATGATTTCCGACCATTGATTGGGTAGGATTGATTTCCTTTTGAACGTATCGCAACTTTTAAAAGCATTTTGCTATGACATTTTCTTCCTACGTAGATCACACTCGCCTTGTATTACTGGTATCCTTCATGTCTCTGTTTATGACTTTCACGACGAATTATGGTCTCTCTCGAAAATAAGAAATCTGTACATTATCCACATCGATCTCTCCGAGTGAGGTATTTGGCTATGGGGAGTCGTTTCCACTCGGCTACATACTGGATTGGAGGAAGGACTAAGCGCCGGTGTATGCCAAGAGACGTGCTTAAGTCAGCCAAGGGACAAAGACTAAACCTAACCCTAATCGAAGATCCACCACTCGCTCTAAGTTCGGAACTCACTACTCCAGTGCCTATGTACTTACTAGAAGGGCATTTTCAGGTTCAATCATGATTTATGTCACACTGGTATTCGGTGATGTCAATCACTGTGCGGTACAGATAGATTCTCGTAACGCCGACCGCCAGACACGCGACAAGGATGAACAGAGAGCTAATGATGGAAAACATAACAAGATATTCGTGGATTACATCCCAGCGTAGAACACAACTAATCATCCTCTGTTAGATCAATCACCATGTCGTCTTCCGGTATCCCTTCCTCCTTCACCTCCACCTTCGCCTCGACATCCTGAGGCAAGTAGGCAGCATACATGCTCTTTACCCCCTCATATTGCGTTATCTCTTCCTTCAATTTGGAAGCCTCCTTCTTGATGCCCCTGATTCTCCCTTCGCACACCCTCAGCCTATTCTCCAGCGCCTGATCGTTGACCGGCTTCTCCGCCTCCGCGCCTTCCTCCAGTTTGACCTTCTTCACAGACCGATGATACGCCCGAGAGGTATCTCTAAGCTTGGTCAACAGCTTCCTCTCTGTCTCCCTCTGCCCAAGCTCTTCTTCGACCCGCTTCAACTTCCGTCGAAGGTCGTGAAGTTCCCGCTGAGCCTCGTTGAAAGCGCCGGGAGCTATAAGTGCCATGTCGGATAGTTCGGAAACGGCAGACGAGTTCTCTTCGGTTTTCACGGTGATCGTTCCGGTTTTGGCGCCGTGTGGGGCTACGGGCCCGGTAGGCGATTCAGAGGTGCCGATCAGGGTCGGGTTAGAAGACGAGCGAGATGGAGTAAACATGTCTGCGTCGGAGGAAGGGGCCTCTGGTTGTCCAGTCTGGCTTCTAGACGGCAATTCATCCCCTACCTGGCCCACTCCTGAAAAGGATGGGTTCTCGGATGGGCATCGGGTGTCCTGGTTCAACTCAGCGCTAATTGTAACCTCCCCGTCGTTCATGTCATCGTCATCTTCTTGGAGATCTAGTGGTCCGAGATGTGTGCGGTCTACTAACATAGATGAGGACGTGGGACGAACCTGTAGTTCTCGAGTTCGAAATGGCCCTTTCTGGGGGTGGAGAAATTGGCGAAGTTCGGTCCCGGGAATGGTCAACGGTGGGTAAGGTTGGTTCTGTGTTCCAAATACGTTAGACGATCTTGCCGGGCTCACCATATGGTAACTTACCAGGGCTAACTGAAGGGTTGAAGCCGTGATGAACTGAGGAGGGAGTTAGAATAAGGCTTGAATCTTGAGAATTCTAGTCTAACCTTCGGATTCGGAAAGATACATGGAGTCCATCGAGTCTGCTCGAGGACGCTTCTGAGGCAAAACTGAAGTCGAGTCTTCTTCCAGAAGAGAGTCGCCATCCACTCCAGGAGATTCCTGTTGGGGACTGTCCTGGTTCGATATCGGTTCCTCCTCTTCAGTAGCATCGGACCAGTACTCCGTGGGGTCCCATTCGGATTCTGTCTCGACCACAGAACCACAGTACTCAGAACCAGACATGTCGTCCTCCTCATCCGAGTCGTTCAACATCTGCAGTTCCCAGTCATCGTCGTCCTCTTCGTCGTCGAGAAGAGGAGCCGAGGGGTTCAACACCCCGGAGATGGAATGTTCTGCCTGACGTCGCGCTTCACGCATGGGTGGCGCGACTTTGGCAATGTGGTACTTCTCGAGGAACGCTATCACCCTATTTCAGTACCACGGACCAAAGATTTCCAGGTTGTGGTACCCACCTCTCGGTCGATACATGAAGACGAAGGTGACGAGAGGTCTTTTGTAATCGTGATAATCATACCAGATCCTAGAATCGTCTTCAACTTTCTCTTCCTTGTCCTTTTCCCCTTTTCGCTTCCCTGCCTCTCCCGACTGTGTAGCAGGATTGGGTGGATCTCGAGGTGGTGACTGAGGTGGTGGAGATGCAGGTTTTTGTTCAAGTTTGGCAGGCTTCAACCTTTATGCAAAACGATATGGAGTGAACTGTCAGTCACCGCGGACACTAGATATTGTAGCTGTTTTCAAAATGGGATGGATCTATCCTTGAAATCATTTTCAAAATCGTGTGGATTGCCATTTGGCTCATTTTCATAATCGCGACATTAGTTCCACGTGAGTCACGGATTCCTAAAAACGGTCTCCATCAGATCCAACCCGCGAACATCGTCCCAAACGGGTGACGTGGGTGCGCCCTCGGCGCTAAAGTCCGCCCATTCCCCCGAAGTGAGTCCCAAAGTGGAACTTGGCATGACACCCCCCGCCTCCCTCCCGCCATCAACCCCAGAACGTCGCGACGCCCGAGCAACGCGAGTCCCAAAGGAGAATAAACAGGCTCGTGCCGGTTCTTCTCTGCCCAATGTAGCTTCTCTGCCCAATATAGTCTAGAGGTTCATTCAGCTTCTTCTCAGCCCAATATAGTAAGTAGTAAGAGGAGTTGTATTCCAATGTTGCAACTACGTCCGATCAAAGTGGCATGTCTTCATCCGGGCCTAGTAGGCGAGGCCTCCACCAGAACAAACCCACTCTTTCCCTCGAATGTGCCCAGTAATTCCCTGATGTTTCCCCATCTTTTGTGCGCACGCTCGACCATTTTCCTGCGTATTGCCGCCTGACGACGGGCGTATGCGATTTTCCCATCCCTAGCCTTTTTCAACCTCTCCACCTCCGACTCCCAAACCTGCCTCACTTCGCTGAACTCTGAGGGGGCAGGCGTAATAAAGCTCTCGTTCTCGAGGCAACGCCGAGCGCGATCGTCCCACCTCGCAGCTTCCCATTCCCAAAACACAACCACCCTCCGCATCTCTTCTTGTAATAGCATGCACTCTTCCTGCCAGCGATGAGCACGGGCCCGTGTCTTGCACCACTCCAAGCGTAAATCTGAAAATAATAAAACAGCAATCAAATGAAGGGAAATCCAGCAGAGAAGCCAGTGGCTGTGCGTGCCTTCTTTTATGTGGTCGTCCATCGATTCACCGACCCCCGCTGTGGTCCAGATCCATGTCAACTGCTTGTGCCCCTCCCCAAGAATGTCCTCGTCACTTGTCAGCCCCCGCACATCACTCTCTGCCAGAGGTTTGAGACTGTGTTCCCATCTGAGATCCTGAGACACTGCCGACAGGGCGACAATTGCGGAGCGAATGCGGCGATATCTCTCGGCGATCGTTTTCACCTTATCCGAGACACTGGATATCAGCGCATTGCTACGAGTAAGCATGCGTGTGCCACTAGCGTAGCGCTTCTTCGACTTCCACAACTGTGCGCGAAAAATCAGATGCACACTGGAGTAGTGCCTTTGGGCACTACTCCAACTCACTTGGACTAGATCACACTTAGACGAACGAGATACACGGACAGACGATTAGATTAGATCGGATTACCTAATCCCTAGACTACAGCGAGCACGTCGACACCTAGAGTAGGGGGAACATACCATCACCTTCCATTCGACGACCTATCCACCCTCTCCATAGTGGTGACGAGAGCGGGATCGACCGACGCCGAACACCGACAGCAGCAAGCAACAACGGAGAAGCAGCCACGGAGCCCTGAGCAGAGCCAGAACGCCGCAGCCACGTACCCACCTCGTGCGAGACCCTGGCACCCCATTGGAAGTTACAAACGCGAGTGAAAGGCAAGTTTGGCCCCAAAGCCCAACCAGAACCAGCGCACGCACCCGAGGAATCAGTGCCAGCGAACCCCAACACACAGCCCGAAGTGTCATCGTCACCGGCAGGATATAGCCTAGCTTCTTCACTCCGGTCTTCCCCAATCAGCAGCAACTTCAGCCTCTCAGGAGCCGCGACACCAGAGAGCTTCGACCTCGTAGCACTGTCCGAGACGACGTCGAGCCTTCGGTTCCCGATATTACCAACAGTGCAGGTGAAGACCGAGGGCGGAGGAGTAGAGGGGAGTACTGGAAACAGGACGGAAGAAGCGGAACGAGGAAGGATACAGCAGCCCAGGAGGATGCAGGGACCGGGTGGGATTAGCATGTTCCACGGAGTCGAGACGAAGGACGACGCCAACAGCAAGGACTTCCTCAAGAAACTAAGGAATTTCTTTCGAACGTCGGGGATCGCCACGGATACAGACAAAATCGAATGCTTCGCGGACCACCTGGCCACGAATTCACCAGCGGAGCGATGGTTCGACGACCCAAAGACCGGGAAGGACACGTGGGCGGACGTTCAGAGCGGGTTTTCGGCGAGATTCCCGGTGCCGAGGGTGATCGAGAGGACCAACGAGGACATCGAGAGGGAGCTGCTGGGGAAGAGGTTGAAGCCGGGCGAACTGGGGAAGAGGTGGGAGAGGCGAGGCGGGGAGGTGTGGTCTCACGAGGCCTTCGCTGACGAGTTGCTGGCGTTGGCGAAGGAGGCGAGGATCGAGGAGACAAGCACCTACATATGGAAGGTGCGGGAGGAGTTCCCAGCGAGTCTGAGGGAGAGGGTGGGCACAGGGTACCCGACATGGGTAGTATTCTGCGCAGCGTTGAAGGCGGTGGATGGGAGGGTGCTCGCGGAGGTGATGGAGAGGGAGAGGGAGAGGGAGGAGAAGATCGCAGCGATGGAGAGGGCACAGCAGGCAGCAGCAGCGGAGACGAGCCGCCAGATCGCAGCGCTGACGGCTCAACTCAACGCGTTGACGACATCGAGCACCGGCAACATCCATCGACGACCAGCGAGCGGCCCACAGACGACGACACGCGCACCGGTGGCGCTGGGGAGTCAGAACCCGAGCGCCGGACCGACTGTCAGCAACGACAAGTGGGAAAGGCTGCCAGAGGTGGTGACTGAGGAGATGCGCCGCAGAACGCGAGAGCTCCTCGAGCTCTACCCGCAACAGCCGAACACACCAGAGGGCATTCGAGAGTGGAAGAATCAGGCGGTTCGTTGGGTCACGGCGAACCCAGGGGAGAGGAGGTCAACGGGACTCACGGGGTTCCCGTTGAGCCCGAAGGCGAGGCCAGTGTGCTCGGGCGAATGCTTCAAGTGTGGACAGGGAGGCGACGACGACCCGAGGGGTGCGCATCTGGGCACGGCATGCCCGAGACCGAGGACGGAGTGGATACCGAGAGCAGAGGGGTCATGGAGAGCGTGGTGCGCGAGGGTGTTGGGTAGGGGTGGAGCTCAGAGGGCGGTGGCGGTTCAAATGGTGGAGGTGATGGAGGATGGAGACGACGACGATCTCGCCTTCTTAGGCCCGGACCTGGCAGCACACGTGAAGGAGGCACAGGGAAAAGCGTGAGGGCCGTCCGCAACACGAACGACGAACGGACGGCCCGAGGCACTCGAGTCGACGAGGCCTTGGGAAGCCCCCCTATTCCACGACATGTATCTATGTTCCAAATGAATACAATTGTCGATGTGTATACGGTAAATTCCCAAGTGAGAGAGGCACCATTCCAACACCCAGTCAACCTACGGAAGGGCAGGTGTAACATAGTCGTGACGGCGATGGGAACAGCGGACGGCGGCGCATTGATTGGAGCAATGTGCTCGAGGAGGTATCGAGAGTTGCCGATGGAGCTGAGGAGGGCCACGAAGTCGGGGAGGTGGATGAGGATGGCCGATGGCGGGTTGGTGCCATCCGAAGGAGTTTGGAGTGGGTGGCTGGAGGTAGAGGGGATTGCGATCTCAGTAAGGCTGGAGATTTTCGACAGTGGAGGATGTTGGGATGTGTTGCTGGGAAAGCCCATACTGCGACAGCTGAGGGCAGTGCACGACTACGCCAAGGACATAGTCGCGGTGAAAGCGAGGGAAGGAGATTCACCGACACTATTGGAATCCAAGGCGTCAACCAAAGCTAGTGCAACTGTTGGGGATGATGATGCGCCGGTAGAGACCAGCCCACACATCCCCCCAAGGCGAGTGGACAATGTTATCGAGGAGGCTACAGATAACCACAGACAACACTTACCAGACTCTCATACAAATGGAACACCAGTGCACACAGTCCTGGATGAAGGCACCAACATCTTTACGAGACACACAGAGCCGTTCAAGCCGGAGAGGGTGAAGAGAGTCGTGGAAGAGGTTAGGTTGGGGAAGGACTTGACGGAGGAGCAGAGGGCGGCGGTGAGGGAGCTGATAGCGGAGTTTGCAGACTGCTTCGCCCTGTCGCTAAGGGAAGTCAATGCCGTGCCAGGGGCGGTCCACAAGCTCAACGTACCGGAGGGTGCGTCGTTCTCGACGAAGGTGGGAGCACGGAAAAGAACGCCAGCACAACGCCAGTTCATGGACAAGAAGATCGACGAGATGTTGGAGGCGGGGGTCATCAGACCAATACACCCAAGCGAAGTGCGCTGCGCGGCCCAGACGGTCCTAGCACCGAAGGAGAGGGACGACGGACTACCGCTCGCGGAGCTGCAACACATGGTCAACGACCAATGTGTTTCACATGGGATGGAGCCAATAGAGGACCTACCGCCGAGACCAGAACCGAGGACACCGAGCGGGGAAGGGAAGCCAGCGTCGTCATGGAGGATATGCCACAATTTTCGGGAGATAAACAAGGTGACGGAGATAGCGCCCATGCCCCAAGGGGAAATCCGGATGAAACAACAGAACCTCTCAGGGCATCGATACATACACGTCTTCGACTTTGCGGCAGGGTTCTACGCCGTCACCGTTCACGAAGATTCACAGCCTTTCATCACGTTCTACGTGGAAGGCAGGGGGTACTTTGCATATGTGCGGATGCCATTCGGGGTAACAGGAGGACCATCCTCGTTCGCGCACCTGACAGCGTCCAAGTTCCATGACCTAGTGGCAGAGGGTACATGCGAGTTGTTCGTAGACGATGGAGGTGCAGCATCCGATACCTTCGAGGAGGGGATGACCAAGCTGAGGAGGATTTTGGAGAGAGTGAGGAGGGAGAAGCTGTCACTATCGGCGGGGAAGATGCGGGTGTTCATGACGGAGGCAGTGTTTGCGGGAGCAGTTGTGGGACCTGGGGGAGTCACACCGGACGTCACCAAGCTTACAGCAATGGTGAACTGGCCAACGCCGAAGGACGCAGCCCATCTGGAGGGGTTCCTGGGTCTCACGGGTTACTTCAGGGACCTGATACCGGGGTACGCGCTCACCGAGAAACCATTGCGGGACCTGTTAAGGAGGGTAGGAGTGCCAAAAGGAACAAGGAAGGCCCAGTACCAGCGACTCATGAAGGGCTACAAACTGGAGGAGGAGTGGCGGGAGGAGCATACGAAGGCGTTCCTGACGCTCAAAGCAAGGCTGGTATCCAAACCGGTCTTGTGCGCACCAAGATTTGATGGAACACCATTCATCATGACGACGGACGGGTGTAAGGATGCGTTTGCGGGGGTACTGACACAGAGAGTCAAGGTGACACTGCCGGGAGGGAAATCGAAGACGAAGCTGAACCCCATCGGGTTCGTGTCGAAGCGTACATCCCCGGCAGAGGAGAACTACAAACCTTTCCTGCTCGAGTTCGCAGCGCTCAAGTTTTCCCTGGACAAGTTCTCAGACATTATATGGGGCTACCCCATCGAAATCGAAACAGATTGTCAGGCGCTACGGGACGTACTAACAAACGACAAACTAAACGCTACACATGCGCGATGGAGGGATGGCGTGATGGCGTACGATATCAGAGAGGTGCGACATGTGCCGGGGGCAGTGAACATTGCGGACGGGCTAAGCAGGCAGTACGAAGGGGTGCCCAGGGGGGACGATGAGGATAGCGCGTGGTCAGTTGACCCGGATTGCCAGAGGGCGGCGGGAGTGGAGGATGCAGTGTGGGGGGTAGAGGAAGTGGAGGATGATCAGCTAAACCAGCTCCGGACGAGGTTCAAGGAGGAGACCTACTTCTCGGACATCCTGGACGCTCTATACGACATCAAACCCTCGAGAAAGATGCGGTTGAGGGACGTGCAGAGGGCGAGACACAGAGCGAAGAACTACATGGTGGATGAAGGGAAGTTGTGGTTTGTGGGCGGAGGAACAAAGATTCGGGCGAAGGCGAGGCGGGAGTGCGTCACGAGGGAGGAGGCGGTGGCGCTGGCGAGGGAGGAGCATGAGAGAGGGGGACACTGGCATAGGGACGGCATCAAGATCGCACTACTGGACCGCATCCACCGACCGGGCCTCGACGAGTTGATCATTCAAGGAATACGCACCTGCCCACGATGCAAAAACTTTGGAGGATCACAACTCAACGCCCTCCTACAACCGATAACGAGGCGGCACCCGTTCGAGCTCCTAGTGGGCGACTATTTGAAAATGCCCGTTGGGAAAGGCGGGTACCACACGGTAGGACTCTACCTCGACACCTTTTCCCAGCATGTGTGGGGGTACATGTTCAAAACCCACGGCAGCGCGAAGACGACGGTCAAGTCGCTGAAGGACATCTTCCAGACCTTCGCACCGACGGAGATGTTCATGACGGACGGGGGCAGCCACTTCGACAACGAGGAGGTGAGGGCAGTGTGCAGCGAGTGGGGAGCGAAGACCGATGTGGTGGCAGCGTACTCGCCGTGGGTGAACGGGCTAGTGGAGGGGACTAACAAGTTGCTGCTATACGTGTTAGCGAGGTTGTGTGCACCGGAGGTTGGGGAAGATGGGTGGCAGGAAATGACGTGGGACGACTTACCTCGAACCTGGACAGATCACTTCGAGCACGCCATACGTATACTCAATTGGCGAATACTCCCGGCGCTGAAGTTCTCACCGAAGGAGTTGTTGTTGGGGTTGGTTGTCAACACCGTGGCAACCCCACTCGAAGCCAGTGCCTCGATTTTGCCACCTACGGACGTCGATACCCACATGGCGTATGCCGCCCAACAGCGTCTCGACGGGTATTCGGAAACGGTCCACCACGCCATCAGAAGGAAGGCCGCCTTCGATCGCAAGGTCGAGCGGTCGAAAGACGGACCAATCACGTTCGAAGAGGGCCAGCTGGTGCAAGTTCACCGCTCGGATCTGTTCAAGACGTTGGCCGCGGAGCGGAAGCTGAAGCCCATGTGGTCAGCGCCGAAACGAGTGACCAAACGGCTTACCAACTCATACGAGCTCGAGGAGCTCGATGGCACGCCGATTCCGGGGAGGTTCCATGCCAGGAGGCTCAGGCTCTTCGAACCGCGAGAGGGAACGGAGTTGTGGAAGGAGCAGCAGGAGAGGAGTAGAGCCGCGAGGGGAGCCGTGGGAGGGGGTGCGGGTGAGACAGGAGAGGCCAACGGGGAGCCTAGGGTAGGGGAAGAGAGAGACGGAGAGGACGGAGACCGAGATGGGGAGGAGGAGGAGGAGAGCTTGGAGGAGAGCAGGAGTGGAGACGGAGAGGAAACGGAGTGTGGGCGAGAGAGTGAGGGGGAGGACGAGGGTTTGGACTCGGTGGCAGGTCGTTTGGTTGCAAGGAGGCGTGGGGTTATCCATTCTTCTGGGCGGCAGGCGCAGTCGTCTCAGTGGGAACTACTCCAACTCACTTGGACTAGATCACACTTAGACGAACGAGATACACGGACAGACGATTAGATTAGATCGGATTACCTAATCCCTAGACTACAGCGAGCACGTCGACACCTAGAGTAGGGGGAACATACCATCACCTTCCATTCGACGACCTATCCACCCTCTCCAACACGTAAATCGTGTAACGCAGCCTCTGCCTGGGCCACCCGCAACCTCTGTTCGCAATCCAACAAACGGGGGTCAACACTGATGGAGCCGCAAACCGAAGAGGGAAGAAAGAGGCTGTATTTCCCTGTCTCCTCAGCGGGGCCAGAGCTGGATTCGCGACGAGCAGCTACGGCAGGCATGAAAAAGGTCTGCAAATTAGTCCAAGCGTCGATGCGTCTCCTGATGGAGTTGGAGCGCTCCAGGACCCGCGTGCGTTGACGATCCGTTGAGTGAGGCCCGAGCATATCGGCGTCAAGATTTAGTCGTTCCCTAGACAATGTCATGTCAAAAGTGACGTCGAATACCAACCCCACATTAGGATACTCACTGGGCGGCCTCCAGGTCCAATCCTTGGACAATAAACTCGCTTGGCGTGACTACCGCGTGGGCGGACACAGATTTTCCTTCCTTCAAAGCCGCCTCCTCCTCTTCCGCCAGTTTTAACCGTACAGCGTTTGGTGTCATGTCTGTACCATCAAGTCAGTAGCCCGCAAACCAAACAAGAGAGGAACACCGACGGGATTTTGAGGAAGCATACGGGTTTGGCTGGCTTGGATTAGCCTCCCATGCCCTGACCATGTCTGTCCACAGTTCCACCGAGTTCGCCTCCAATGCCGCCGAGAAGTCACGGAAAGCTTGAACCTTTTCGGTACGCTTCTCCAGTGCTTCCTCCGCACGCTCCATCAAAGTTTGGACTAAGGGTGATTCCATCAGATCTACGCGAGAAACGAAAGGTCATAAACAAACCTATTTTGACGGATTTATGCCAATTCCGATCGCCGTGAGCGTCGTCGATGCTATCCCGGCGAGACCCCGGACCCATTTCTTGTGTACTTGATGCGAGGTCATTGCTGCCAGCCCACGTACGCTCCGGCGCCTCACCGTCCGTCCTGCCAACTCCAAGTGTGAAGTTGAACGAAAAAGACGACTGACACGCCGAGATATGGGCTGGGAGATGGAACTTCGGGATGAGAAATGTGAATACCGTGTCAGACAGATTTCTGGTGAGCCAGTGGGGGTACGATTCAGCGCGAGTTAGGAGATTTTTTGACCATTGACAGGCGATGTCATAGGAAACCACCACCCACGGAGGCGCTGGAAACAAAAGTGTAGACAGGAAGAAGTAGTCCATATTGACGTAACTGGAACAAGATCTGAGCCGGAACTTCCGCCGCTGAAGCAGGAAACTCACCGTTCCCCCTTTTGGAGGTCGCCTAGGCCCAACGGGCGACTCATGTCGTGGCGGCTACACTGAGCAGTTCCCATCCCCGTTGCGGCAGTGCCCTTTCCACCGCGGCTACTTGCGGATTTGATGGCATCGTGATTATTACAGCTGCTTTTGTCGTCATCGAAGGCTCCACCAAATGCACGAAGATGGGTTTTGAACTGAGTCTCATCCACAATGTACGAGTAGCCCTTGTTCAAACCCGGATCTTTTTCGTCGCTGGACACGTCCTTACGTCTCAGCCGGAAGTTCGCGTCCAAAGCTAGGAACAGCTGGTAGATGTAGCTGTCAAATCCAGGTCAAGCGGCGTCAACAAAAAGTTCACCGATAAGGGAATATATCCGCACCGTTCTTCTTTCGAGGTCTTCTCCCAACCTTTGGGGAGGTTTATTCCAGGGTATGGGCAAGCGGGGCACAGGACAGCGCACTCCCCGGGGAGCGTTCCCCAGGAACCTGTGGGATCATGGCCACGGCCACTCCGCTTGAGAAGGCGGACGTGACGGAACACATGGACCATGCGTAAAAACGCGTTGTACCTGTCCTAACGCAACCGTCAAGCCCAATCCGACTTCTGGAGGTAGGTCTAGACTTACGGGAACTTTCTCTGTACCGGTGTTGTCCGAACGACGACTGAGCGCATTGTAAAACTCGAAGGCGGATATCTTGGACGTAAACGAAAGCATCTGGAAAGTTCTGAGTACATCAAAGGTGGCGGCTGTCTTTGGATCAAGCGTGGTTGCCGGGAATAGCCCTGCACGGAGTAACTGTACGAAATGAGAAGGAGCCCCCGTGCATCCACAAAAATCCAACCCTGCGGAGTGGATCCCATCGGACGCAACAACAACAAAGTCGTCGTTGAAAGCGCGTGCGGGGCTCGGACAATGCGCGTGCAGTGCATGCCCTAGTTGGATGCGGCTTCCCAGTCGCTTGAGACTCGTCTTCTCAAAGAACGACCCGTTCCACTCCTGTCATAGGCGCCATCAGCGGAACGGAAATCAAACAAGATATTCCCAACCCACCTCCGGAGAATGAAATGGGATTGTGACGTGCGCCTCAACCAGGCAATCGCGGCACAGAAGCTCGGGCATGAAGCAATCCCTGCATCGAAACCCCCTGTTGTCATCCGTAAATTCCATACAGCACGTGTCGCAACGGGCCGAGTGATCTCCAAGTCCATCACGGCGCAGAAGCTCGTCGAGGATGGTGTCTACCTGGTCCACGAAACCCAAAAACGGATGGTCGGACTACCGCGCGAATTAGACATGATTGGCGGGGAAGGAAACGGCTGACCCACCGCAAAATGCCTTGTCTTCTTCGCACGGCCCGAGTCTTCAAGAGGAACAGTGTCGTCATCGGAATCTTCGTCGGGTTCATCCGCCTCAAGGGTAGAAGAAAAGAAATCCGCCAGACCGACATGGTCAAAATCGGGAACGCCCCCGCCAACGGCGCCGGGTTTGACGGGAGAAGGTGGGATTGTAATGAACGAGCTTGAGCACTGTGCTTCGCCCGTTTTGGTGAGTTCAATTGTGGCGTGCTCCTCAACGCGAGGCCCATCCGCAACAGGGGTCCAGGGAGCAAACTCTTCGATGTCGACCGAACTGACTGCAGCTTTCCGTTTCCTAGGCATAACGGGCTCAGGTGGGGAGTCGCTTTGGGCTAGGGCTCGTGGGCATCACCTTCTTATAGCCATGCTCCAGCCAAATGTCCTCTTGCCAACCCTCCTAACGCGAGAAATAGGGACAGAGTGGGGGAGTATCGTCCATCAGAACTAGCTATAGTGGCCTAAAATTGGTGCGCGGCAAGATTAGTGTTATGAAAACGAGAATCGCACGAGCTTACATTATGAAAACGAACGGTTCACGAGTGTGATTTGAAAATGGACGTACTTCGAGTTTATTCTATGAACTGCGTGAGATAACATTTTTAAAACCATGTACTTGCCAAGTAGGCAAGGCACTCACTCCTGACCGTTATTAAAATTGTTGGCTCAAGCTCTGTGAAGGGTGTCAGTTGAAAACGTAACAGCCCGCGAGTTTTGAAAACGCACCCCCATTCTTTGAGAAAACGAAGCAATCCCGTTATAAAAAACGACGGCTCAAGCTCTACGGGGTGTCAGGGGTAGACGTAACATCATGCGGGCAGTTATGAAAATGCGCCCACGATCGTCGAGTTTCCCTTCCGAAGTGCAGGAGACACCACCCCAATTTTTCGGTGTCGTTATTGCGTCGTTATCAAAATGAAAGGGTCATTTTCAAAACGATGTGTTCCCCAACTTCGCGCGACACCTTGGCGACACCCACCACCTCAAGCCTGTTATTACAACATCGTCGTGTCACCGCAGCCCCTGACTAGATATGCCAAATGCCATAAGGTGGGTTTTTTTTTTTTCGTGGAGGGAGGTGGTATGTACACCGAATCGGAAGTCCAAAAAACAAAGAGCTTTAAACCCAAAAAATAATAATAATAAACGATTCAAACAAACAAAAGAACAAAACAAAAAAGAATTTTCCAGGCGCTGATGCACGTTAGCGCACCCATGCCTCCCATCCCTCCAAGTCAGCAGTGTCAGCGGTGTCATCATCTTGCCCGTTGTCGCTCTCACTCTCGCTTTCACTGGCACTAACGAAAATGGTCTCTCTATGTGCACCCCCCCCCTGCGCCTCCTGAGCCTCTCTTCGCCTAAAGTAGACGAGGTGGCGACGAACGTTCTCGGCCTCCTCATGTCGACGATGCAACCGAGCCCGCGCGACGAGGTTGGTGGGCCTAGGAATGCGCTGGTAGACAGACATAAGCAAGAATCCCAAGCTGCGCAATGGATGTGGATATGTTTAACCCACCTCGCCTTCACCTGTTGCTCCGTAGAGAGCCCTCATGATCTCATATCGCTCACGGAAAGGTGCCTGGGGTTGGGGGAGATTGTCAGCCAATGGTATCGCATCGAGATCCATCCATCACGTACGACAGCTCTTCGCCAACGGACCCCTCCCACAGGATAAGAGAGAAACCTGGCCCACAGAACGTCTGGGACAATAGGGAAGCGGTCGAGAGAGGCCTCGTGAAGCGCTGCCGAGACAAGCTACAAGGGTAGGGGGGAAGTAGGTAAGCACGCGGTGGGACATTCAAGAGATGGACACGATACATACCGGGTGGATGTTGGCACGGCGTAGGACGCTCAGGTTTCCTCCAGGCTTGTGGCCACGCGGCAGAGGATCGTGGGTGTCACAAACCACCTCGGTAACGCGCGTGACGAACTGCTCCACATTTCCGTCCCTAACCGACTGGCCCAACCAGAACGAGCAGTCCACGATAGTGCCTTTTTCATCGGCGGTGAACACGCGAGGCATGGAGGGAGTCACTGCGATACAGTTTGGTCAATCACGCGAGGTTATCAGTGGGTGTTAAGCTTAACTTACCTTGACAGAGGGGTTTTGGCGAACGACGAAAGATGTGCTACACCGCAGAGGGGAGGGAAGAATGGACTGAGGCAGGACCACACATCGCTTTTACCCCAGCTTTGTGTTGGGGGTCGGTTTGGTTAGTGCGAAGCCCGAGGGTTCTTTCAGGAAGTTCCTGACTGCCTTGAAACATATCCACCCTTTTCTCTCGTTTGTAGGCATCCACAAATCTTGAAAAAATTTCGTTAATTCAAAGCGAAAAATTACCTATCGATCCATGTAATTTTGGGCGAAAACCGGAGGATATGAGATAAAAGTAAGACACAGCTCAATAAGTGAGCAAGTCCACTGTCCTTACGCACTACCCTTAACAATGGGCCGTCACCGCAAGTACCACACCGACGAGGAGCGTAAGCTCGCAAACCGGAAAAAGTCAAAAGCTTATTACTACAGGTGTGTTATGTCCTTTCTGCCGCAGTTACAGTCGTGCTCAACCTCTCCTAGACACCACGAGGAGATATGTTCCAATTGCCGCAAGGTGAAATCGAGGGACAATCCGTGAGTCCCATTCTTCATCCATTTATCAAGTGTGTATTCATTTAATTGGCTGGGCAGTGGGTCATCCAGCTCCCAAAAAACGTCTTCCACACTTCCCATCTCTCCCAATAGTCAAGAGCCACAGATGAAGAGGTCGGTGGTTGCATCTCACACCGATGTCGTGCACTAACCCCCGCCGTGGACTGACAGCAATCGGTTCAAAGATCCCAAGTACTGGGTCCAGCGCGCCTTAAAGCAGAAGGAGGGTGTAGCGAACTTGACTGATCACCAGCCTCTGCACAAGTTTTTGGTGGACTTGTGTAACGATCTCGCTCAAGCCAATGCAACTCAACGAGGGGCCGCCGAATGCATCGAGGAGTACCTCAACGGCCTGGCCGCGATACGGAAGCGTGTGGACACGTGTCACGGCTATGTCCTTGACCTCGTCGGGGTCGGTCCTGACCTCTCGACCGTTTCCAGCGTGTACCGTGCGGTGGACGCTGTAGTTCGTCCCTTGGAGGAGATCGAGGTTATGATTATGATCGATCTGGACCATTTTCGGCGAGAATATTCCCAAAACGGAATTACCTCCTTCCTGAATTAGTTTACTTCTGTTACCTCTGAGCTCTCTGTATTTTCGAATCGCTTCCAACTCAGTTAGCTCAGACCACCCGACGTGATACAAGAAATGCTTCTAGATTCGGACCGAGAGATACAAGGTTTACAGATGAGGCTATACACGGGGAGCTATACACAAACATCAGAAGAGGATCACCGAATCGACACCCTGCACTAAAAGACAAAAACGAGAGGGAAGGTGTGGAGCTCGAAGTGCGGGTACTGTGTCCAAGAAAATGACAGGACAAGAAGAGTAAGAAAACGAGGGAGGAAGCGCGGATCTAGGTTCAATCATCGGGCGTGCTAATCGGACTCGGACTCGGAAATGTACTCGGGCTCATCGACTTCGCCCCTGTAGGGGGGAACCATGGCTTCCCCGAAAAAGTCAGGGTCTGGGAGGGTGATGTCGCGGACGTGAAGGGGCGGAAAGGCGATCAGGGAGAGGGTGTAGGCGTCTGCCCAGGTGCGCAACGCCTCCTTGAGGGTACGATGTTTGGTGAAGACGTTGCCGCGGTAGCCGTTGACCCAATCGTGGATACGGTGGTAGCCTCTATAAACGCCAACCCTCTTGCCCACGAGGATACAGTACCAGGTCTTTCGACTGTCCTGGAACAGGTTGTACGTGTGGCAACGTGCGCATGCGAAGCCGGTGACGTTGCCAATGTCCCCTTGGGGGTGAGCAATGTAGACACTGGTGCCCCTGCCGTCTGGAACGTTGTCGATGGGTGTTGGAGCGTCGGCAGCTTGAGCGTCGGCAGCTGGAGCGTCGTCGGTGGAAGGGGTTGTGGTGGGCAGGGCGCCGACGGGTTGCGTTTGGCCTGGAAATCAGTGGGGCGTCAATGGCGAGACCAAAGGTGGTAGTGGTATGAGCTGTAACTCACCGGCAGTAGCCTGCAAGGCATTGAGAACAGCCAGGAGAGTTTCCTGGGAAGCGGAGTTAGGGGCAGTGTTGTCTGCGCTGTCGGGGGGCTGGCCTGGTTCGAGTTGTCATCGCGTGCCCAGGCTGTTCGAACGGAGGGACACTTACTGACGCGCTGCGCGAGGAGAGCGGTGGAGGCGGCGAGGAGCGCAGTGACAAGGTCAACCTGAGACATTACGATGCGGGATGGTTTTCGGGTTAGAAAGAGGGAATGTGCACAAAGGGGCAGACTCACGGTTTTTATAATCACGTTGTTTGGTTTAGCTTCTAGTGTTTCTATAGTGGCGATGTTTGGTTCTTGTTGTGCGGCCGGAGGAGCACTAAGTAGTTAACCCAACCAAATTCGCGTCAGCGCACGAAACCAAGAGCACGTCAAACCTTGAGTTTAAAAACCGTAGGATCGGTGAGTTCTCTGCGCCATCGCGCTCCAAAAGCTATATAACTGACTACGCTTGCGCGATTGAAATGTAGGAATGAAGTTTTTCGCACCTCAAGTCGAATATATGAACAGCCTCTACCCGGGCTTCAAAAAAGCCCAGGCTGCCGGGTCTGCGCAGGTGGCCGGTGGAGACACCCATCTCGAGGTCTTTTGGAAGGGCATTAAGGCGCACTTCCTGCAAGAATGGCCCACGCCGCAAGCGGAACAAGAGGCTGCTAAGCGAGCTTTGCTCGCGTGGAATGCAGCCAATCCCAAAAAAAAGAAAACCCTGTCTAAATCTCTGGCATCAGAGCGTCCGGTGCTTGAGGGGGAGGCGTTGCGTAAATGGAGGGAGGAACGTGAAGAGGTGAGTCGCGATTCTCTCCAGGTAACGCGTTACTCACCGGTTTTCCGTCCAGCGCGTAATGCGGTGGTTTTATAATCACGACTCGACCGTGAAGGGCTCTTTCCCTGAACTGAAGGTTGAGCTGGCGGCGCCTCGAGAGTCGAGTGGTCGTGCACTCACCAGGGTCCAGCTCTACTCCAAAGAGTTCTACACTAAGCGCGTCAAGGAGAACGTTGACAAGGCTGTTGCGGCGCAATCGAAGGCGCCCGAAAAAAAGGAGATGCTGGACATCATCACCAAAGTCACCGCCGACACGTTTGCGAACGAGTCTCCGGAAATTTTGGCCAGAATTGACGAGTTGGAGGCGGCGGCTGCGGAGGAACGGCGGAAGACGCGGGAGATCTTGAAGAACGCGTTTGTGGACGACTACGACCTACGCGTGAAAAAGGATGAGCCTCCTGAGGTTTACTGCCGGTGAGTACCGAGTTCTGTACCCCACGATTTGAGCCACTCACGATCTCATGTTTCAGTCACATCAACGCCCTGGACGCAATCTTTCAGGGGCTCCTCCCTGTTCTGGCGAGGAAGACCGGGTGGAGCTTCAGTGTTATCTGTGGAGGTCCCGACCCAATGAAGCCGGACGGTGAGATCCGTACTCGTTCGTATCATGAGGGGAGAAATATGGCTGGAGTGGGCTTTAGCAAGGCCCACCCAACCTTCCAGACCTCCTACGTGAACCCGTACTCGGCATTTCTGCACACGGTCTACCGTAAGTGACTCGTATCCGAACGTTAAAGACTGCTAGCTTACCTTTGACATCACCCAGCTGCTGAGGTTCGCCAATCAAGGGTGTTGAAATCCGCTCTGGCTGGGCTCATGACCGTCATGAACAGGCCGACCGCGGAGGAAGCCTTGTTGGCCGAAGACGCAACATCGACGTCGAAGCCGCCCGCGGTGGCTGGGGCCGTGTCGACCGACGTTTCATCACCGCCTGATGCGCCCCCTGTCGCGATTGCGGGACCTTCGGGTTCGGGAAACAACACGTCCTTGGGTGTGCACTCGACGGATACTCCTCCGATTCCTGTCGTCCTGGGCCCCGTTGCTCCAACGGCCACTGCAGGTACGGATGGTGTTACTCGTACGCTGGTGCCCGGGACTGCACCCTCGGTACTCGCACCTTCCGGCCACGCTGGAGATCTGCAGCCGTCGACGGTGCCTGGGGGTGTGTTTGACGACCTTGGGCGACTGATGGACGAGACTCGAAGATTGCTGCACCCTGATAGTGGGGCTGCCGGCGGGGAAGCTGCGCTCGAAGACGGCTTGGGTCATTTGGCGTTGCGTCTCCAACCTGCCGCTGGCAGCCTCGAGGCAGGAATGGTGGGGCTCGGAGCGGTTGATTACAGAGACCTGGCCAGTTTCGGGCGTCAGTCTTGGGGAGGATTAGAGGAAGAGCGGTATGCGTACCAGAACTCCTATATGCTTCCTTCAACCTTCCCATCCGCTTCTGGTGCCGCCACTACCCCTTCAGCTCTCGCTATTCACCCTCCTTCGCAGATGGCAGCACCTCCCGTCTTCGCTAGCCATGCACAAATCCCAAATCCTCCGATGGTTCCTTCCCAGGGTTCTTCCCACATGCCACTGCCCTCTGCTCCCCACATCGCACCTTCCCTGACGCCGATGTACGCTCCCCAGGCCACTACCCCTTCCATGGCGCCAACTCCTCCCCAGACGTCTTTCCCTCGTATGCCCCCTGCTCCCCTAACGGCACCACCTCCGAGTCAGGCTGCCGGTGCCCAGAACAACGCTCTTCCCACACCTCCACCCCTTCAGACGGTGCTAGTGGACGCGCCACCCCAGCTGCCCGCCGCCCCCATGTCTCAGGCTAGTCAGGAAACACCAGTCTTGAATGCGGACCAATCGCCAGCAGTCCTCGAGGTTCCCGCCACGGGTGCGAAAAGGAAACCTGTTGCCAATACGGGTCAGGGTCGGGAGAAGAGACATCGGAGCGCTGCAATTGGGCTTGAAACCAACTGGGTGACAGCGGTCGCCCAGAATCTGAAGCAGAGAGTGGACGATCCGAGGTGGATTGCATGTGTTGATGCCTGGGTTAAATTTGAGCTGGCGCGAGTGGTGACGACTGGTCGATTCCCGGTTACCAAGTCCCGTCCCGTGGAGATTGCTAAATGGGCTTCAAAGGGCGGAGAACCCGATGTCGCTCCTCATATCGATGACATTGTCGATTTCGGTTCACGCTGGTGCCTGTGGTGGAATGAGATACAGCCTGAATGGAGGAAGAACCCATGCGGGTGCCTACCTCACAGTTTCGACCCGTCTAGCGCGGTTGCTTCGCTCGCGGTGCTGGAGAAGGCCGGGCCTAAGGGCATAGGTATGGCCATGCAGAGTCTTTCTTGGTGGGCGGGAGGTGAGGATACGACACGATGGTGGGCGGCGGTGGATGACATTCACAGGTGCTTGGAATTGTTCAACAAACATCGTTGAGGATGCCGGCACGGCAGTGGGTGTGTCCGTGATGGCTCTGATGTGGTTCCCTCCTACTGACGTCATACACACCCGAGGCCCCGTGGTTGTGATTCCGTATTTTGGTTGCTGGCAGCGCCACTACACAGGCCTACTTACATTCATGTACACACTCCGGCCTATATACACTCTTTCTTGACACTGTCGCCTGCTTTTCACCTTTTGGGAGTCATATGGTATGTTTTTTTTTTTTGTGTGTGTTTTTCTTTTTGTTTTTGGGTGGGTTTGAACATTCGGCGGGGATACAGTGATTCGAAGGGTCTGATGTCCAGCGAGCGTCGGCGAAGCCCATTTGATGACCTGTCAAGGTGCGGGGGAGAACAGTAACGCGGGTCTTCTGACATTCGGAATTCGTGATGTACTGCGACAGGTGACATTGCCGACCGGGTCGCCCATGGGAGAACATCCCCTTTTGCATCTGCCCAAAGGAGTTGCGTCGGGAGGGGCGCGGGGGCGGGAGGGCGGGAATCGGAAGGGACCCGCTCCCCGTCTCGTGATGACGTCCTGATGGCGGTGCCTGTCGTGTTATCTGTCGTGATGGCTGATGCCGAGTGCTTCTCTCGTTTTGATAATGGATGGAGCGTCATTTTTAAAATGGCTCTCCCTGGTTTTTAAAATGGCTCTCCCTGGTTACATCCGCCCGTTTTCATAACGAATCTAATGGATACATCCTGCCCGTTTTCAAAATAAAGACGACATCCCCTGCCGCGGAGAGATGTATCTGGTCACGAGTCATCGTACCCGATGCGAACACCATGAAGTTCCTTCTTCACCTGCTCGTGAATCTTCCCACCGATGTTTGGAACAAGAGTCCTGCTGCTCATTTCTTGCCTTTCCTTTCGTTCTTGAAGCCTCTGACGTTTCTCCTTCGCATTCAAGCCCCTGAGTGACGGGTCCTTGGATGTAGCACCCTTGATTTTCCTGATGATTACTCGTATCTCGCCTATGTGCTCGTCAAGTTCCTTCCAAACGAGCCACTCTTCGTCCTCTTTCAGAAGTTAATATCAACAACAATTAAATAACGGAAGCATAATTCTTACCTGTTCGTTCAGCTTTGACAAAGGCAAACGGCTGTACTTCGCCACCCTCGTTCTCAAAGCCATCGACCCACGCGATATCCTGCGTCTGATGTCGCTTGCCAGGGATGATGAAGCAACTGCCGCATGGCCTTCCATCTAACAAGAGCTCCCCTTCAGTGCCGCCGTGCGTCTCTTTCTCAAAGGCACGGTCCTTCCAGAATACCTTGAATTTCTGCGGTTCCCGACTGTTAGGTTACGTGACTACTACACAGCAGAGAGACAGGTTACCTTTCCTTCTTCTGTGGGAATGAAGCAGCTGACTTCAGGACGCCCCCAGACCTTTCTGGTTTGTACATCAAACTCCTCCAATGGCCTTTCATGGCCTTTGACATGCACCCAAGCCGAAAAGCCACGATACTTCACCATAACCCCGGATTGTCTCGAGAGAAAGATGGGAGATGATATAGTATGTTAATACGGATGGGTACGAGACTAAGTAGTGTTAGAACGTGTGGACCGATTGTGCGGCTTGCAGTCTAATATATGGGGCCTGGGGGACTGGAGTCAGGACAAAGACAAATTTCCTTCCGATCAATACAAGATCAACCCAGCACGCGGCCTTTGGCTTTGCTTGGTTCTGAAGCTCATGCAATGGTGAATCAATAGTAATTATAAGCCACTAATGCATGAACAGTCTAGGCGAAACGAAAAAAGTCCACTTACAGATTTTGTCCCGGTGAGACAGAGATCAAACATGACTTCGTTACATTGACGGAGAGGTAAAGGCAATCTATTCGTAAAATACTACTCCATCTCCTCCTTGGGAACGATCAACCTACGCAAGTCGACTATCTAGTAAAGCATTCTGACAGCGACAACCTTGAATATGCGAGGCAGGTTAAACGTTGATGCCCCTTGCCGGTTCGACTCCGAGTCCCAGCTTGGACCTCATAGTAAGAAGGTTCTACACAATGATCCCCGAAGGTGAAGTTGAGAGTCGACTTCAAATGTCCTTCAAAATCAAGTTCCACGCCGCAGTCTCGAGTATCTCCAGCTGAGAATCCAGATCGAAAACACTGGGTCCAAGGGGATCCTGAAACCACATCACATTCCACGCCGTTGCAGGATTCCTGAAGGGACTCGGTAATTTCCACTCACTTTCAGTAGGGAAGCAAAGCTGGTCACTGGTGAGTCCGAACGTAACTGGAATTTCCTGAGTAATCGAAGCAAAAGCTTCGTCCATCTCGACATCGAACTGCGACTCATAAGAACTCGAGCTTGGGCTTGAAGGTGTGGGAGATGCTTCGACAGGTGTAGGCGACTCTGGCTCTGAATCCGGGTCTATCCTCTCCCTACTCGCATTGAGAGTGCGACGACTGGATTTCTTAAGCTATAATCGAAAAGGAAGATAGTTAGGACTGAATTCGCCTATAATGGGGTGAGTTAAGGGCGTACCTGTTTAACCTCACCATTGTCCCTTAGAGTCGCAACCAAGCCCTTTCCACGGAGAGTCATGGACCTGGTCTTACGCTTCGAGGACCTGGTGGACACTGCCATATCTCCTTAACTTGCCTTTAGGTTCTAGTTTTGGTTAGACGTCAATAAACCGATGAGAGAGCGTAGAGGATGACGATAGTCGCTAGGCAAATGGAAAGATAGATGATGTGTGCTACAAGAGTTAGATGCCTCAACCAATCTAAAATCGCTGGGGATTAGATGGGTTGAGACGGATTGGTGAGCCGGGACTGGGGAAATTGGCCGCCCCCCTAATAGGCGGCTTTTATATTCCTCAAGAAATGGGCGCTCAGGCCATAATGTGCGGGGATACATCAGAAATGCTGGGGCCTGTTTCCACCAATAAGGGCGGTCCCAGCGTTCTTGAACTAACGGCCATTCCTGGCGCTACAATTCACAACGTACACAAAATCTAGTCATCTTCTGTTAGATCAATCGTAGTAGGTACAGCAGATATCTCTGGCGACTCATCTTTCACCTCCACCTTCACCTTCACATCGTCAACCTTCGGTAGCAAAGTCGCGTACCTCTTCTTCACCGACTCGGTACTCCTAATCTCACCCTCCAATTTCCCAATAGCGTTCTCCAACCTCTTAACCTCGCTCGTGTTGTCCTTCAACCGGCGCTCTAACACCCGTTCGCTCTCTGGACCTCGACGAATCGCACTCGTCGACGACGACGACGACGACGACGACGATCCGATTTCGGTTCCCATTCCCTCCCCCTCCTCCAATTTCACTTGTGCTTCGAGTTTGATTCTCTTCGCAGACCGCACGCGCGACTCTCGAGAAGTATCGAGCAGTTTTCTCAAGTACGTTCTCTCTACCTCACGTTCGGCGAGATCCTCTTTGGCACGTTGGAGTTTCCGGCGGAGGTCGTGCAGCCCGCGGTCTAGTTCGTTGACCATGGGAGGCGCGATTTCGGAGAGGTACCCGGACGATCCTGCGGAGACGTCAGGTTTCTCCTCCTCCTCATCGTCGTTTTCGACCTTGATCGCAGGGGTGCCAGTAAGTGTGTGCTGGTCAGCTCCGATGGACACCAAAGCGGCCAGGGACGAAGTAGCATCAACAAGACGCGAAGCTGTGCCTTCATGCTCGACTTCGTGGGCTGGAGATACGACGTCGTCGGGTGTGTATCTGGCAGCAGAGACCCCGGTCACACTGGGCCTGGGCGGTTCGGAGGATCGTTGGGGGTGTTGAACTGAGAACCAGAGATCGGCTAGTAGTAAGCTCGACGAAATCAAGAGCTTGAATATCGGAAAACTGACCTTCAGAATCAAACACGTACATGGACTCCATGGAGTCTGCGCGGGGGCGTTTGTGCGGGATCGTGGTGTCAGTGTGCGGGGTGGCGTCGGGTGGGGTGAAGTCTGAGACGTCCATCGGTTCGCCTTGAAGCCGTTCCACCCCCTCCTCCCCGTTCACCGACTGCAATTGGTCGCCGTTTTCGCTATCGTCGTCGTCCTGGTCTCCATCTTTTCCCCAGAACTCGGCTTCCCATTTGTCCCAGGCGTCACTAGGGTGGTCTTCGTCTGGATCCGAGTCGTCGGACGTAGGTGTCGCATCTCTCCCCTTCCCTTTATCGACAGGTATAGAGGGCCGTAATGCTTTCTTGTACTTGCGGAGGAGCTCTGGATGGGACAGGGCAAACAGGTTAGGTCGATACTGCAGTATTGAAGGAGGGAGAGCTAACGGACCTTTAGGGCGATACATAAAGACAAACGTCACGATAGGTTCTTCCACGCTAAAGGAGTACTCTTCTTTGGAGATCGCAATGGGGTATTTTTTGCTGTCGCCTTCTGATGGGGGCGATGGCGACCTAGGCTCTAACTCCTCCAAACTTTGGTAGCAGAATGAGAATGCGGGATGATCTGGGACGTGATTCGGGCTGCTCTCACCCAATTCGATAGCCGTGGACATGCGAACGGTGTGCACCATCGTCATCTTCTTCCTCATCGTCGTTGGACTCCTCCACACTTTGTTTCGTGCGGACGGTCCGAACATACGTGTCCGAGATCCGCTCGATCGACAGTCGTATCTCCCCAACAGATTCGCATTCGTCGCATTCGACGTGTTCTTTCCGCGCGGGCCACTCTTTGTCATCTAGAGAGAGCAGTGGCGTATAAATTGGCCAAGCATTCGGTGCATCGAGGTAGTTTATACACACCTGATCGTTGAACCTTGATAAATCTGAGTCTGCAACCGTCGGAGCGGGTAATTTTTTGGTATGGCTCGGTTGCTGTTGCGTGAAAAGGCAGGGAGGACCTGCAGCGCACTGGATATGGACGGCGCGGTTTAAGCCAGGGTGGAATGATCACCCCTTGTCCGCCGTCCCATCCGTCGAGAGTAAGGTAGCCGATACTGCTCCCCCGCTTTTCTTCGTCAAACACGAGGTCCCGCCAGTAAACTCTGAAATACTGGTCAACCCGAACCCGTTAGAAAATGATCCATATCCGAAGGATCTGCTCGACATGCCTTGTCTGGTTCTTGCACAGGGACGTAGCACCGGACTTCTGGGTGTCCATCGACGTCCTTCACCTGGACGTCATACTCGTCCAACGCTTTCCCCATACAGGTGATCCATGCAGAGAATCCTGCATGCCTCACCATTGTTGTTGATGGGCGCTCACAGATGGGGTGCTTTTAGAGTACGAGCGCCTTTCCCGAGGTGAGATGCAGGCGAGACGACATGAGCGTTCGAGCTTGGTTCGTGCCAGCGACTGTATTTGCCTTTATTTGGCTACCTCGTCTCATTAGGCGCCCAGGCCCACGGTCATGGCGTTTGCGATTCCCCATTTTTCTCTGTTTTCTAAAGGACAATTATTCATTGACGAGATTTACAGGGAAGAGCTTATTTCCCGGAGTCGAGAACGTCAAATACAAGAGCTAAGCTGACGAAGGAAAACGGGTAGCGACTAAGTTGAATTCGACACCACAGTAATAGCGACAAGTTTACCTACCAATGCCATCCCTATCCGACTGGCCTCTGTCCTCCACGCACTCGAGGCCTGAATCTGAAGGCCTGACCGTGGACGATGAAGACAAGAGCAACCAGCGACACGATCGCCGCACTTTCATTCTCCGCCATCAACACGCGTCGGCAAAGACCGAGCCACCGCGAGCTTTCGATACACAAAAAAACACCGCCAAGGTCCCCCGCCGTCGACGTCAAGCCCTGCCAGTGCAGCCCACAAACCCTCTGAACGTAAGTACGCCGTTCGACCGCCTGTACACCCCAGAACCCATGAACGTGGTCATTTTCCCGTTTTCCGCGTCCAAATCGGCTGGATTGGCGTTTTGTTGGTCTGGATGACGAGAGCTGATGTGTGTTGGACAGCCGGGACAGTGCGATAACAGTCTTCGCAGTGAGTAGCGTTTTATCGTCTGTTGAGCCGTGTGTTCTGACAAGAATTGGCAGCAACGAGTCGAAAATGATCATCTCAAAGCCCAACCGACGCATCATCTACGAGAACCTCTTCAAAGGTGCGCGAATTCTGCGGAAGGGAGTGCTGAGCGGGGGCTGATAGCGAGCGCAGAGGGTGTCCTTGTCGCCAAGAAGGACTTCAACGCACCAAAACATGAAGAACTCGATGTCCCCAACCTCGAAGTTATCAAGGCCATGCAGAGCCTTACCTCCAAGGGCTACGTCAAGACCCGCTTCTCCTGGCAGTGGTACTACTATGTTTTGACCCCTGAGGGTGTCGAGTTCCTCCGTGAATGGTGAGTATTCATTAGATTTACTATTTGAATTATCTATTCACCTCAATCAGGCTCCACCTCCCCGCCGAAATCGTTCCCGCCACCCACAAAAAGGCCGTCCGCCCACCCCGCCCCGCTCAAGTCCGAACTGGCGGCGATGGCGCATACCGTGCTCCCCGAGGCGACCGTGAAGACTACCGCAAGAAGGAGGGCGCTCCTGGAGACTTCCGACCCCAATTCGCTGGTGTTGGCCGAGGTGCTCCCAGAGAGTAAAGGGCTTTGTCGATCATTGTATGTAGTAGCAAGGCTGCAATTCCACATCCGACTCTTTTCGCATCGCCCCAATCTCTCCAACATCCTGCAAGTCTATCATCGATGTATTATGAATGTACACTATCGGTCTATTGATTCAGAAATAGGTTACAACATTGGACAGCTTGGACCACTCTTCCGACCTTTTCTCCACCACTTGCTTTGTGAACGAACTGTTCTCCGATTAGTCTCCAGTCTACGGACAATAGGGGCTGGCTCACCTCTGGCGACTACACTTTTTCGACCCGCTCACGAACAACGTCGCTTTCATCGCAATCATCTTGTCGACAATCCCTAGGACCCCTGTATCCTGCAGGAGCGCCTCCTCTTCTTTCTTGAACGCCGCTTCTCGCATTGCACCGGCGGCGTCCATCAATCTCCATCCTGCCAGCTCGCCACCACCGTCGAAAGCACTACGAAAAATCGCAATGGCCTCGTCATGATGTTCGTTAAAGTTCCTGAACGTCCCAGACTTGGCTGTAACCCCTGTGCCTTCATCTCGAACCAACGGGTGAGGATAATCACTAGCGAACCACACCGTCCCCACGTCCTTTGCGAGATGTCGAACATCATGCAACATGTCCGAAAGAACGTCGACCAGAGAGTGAGCGCACGATTTGAGAGCTTCGGGGTCGACCGTTTCCATTCTCCAGTGGATGGCGAGGTATCGGGTGGTGTTGGGTACGAGTTTGTCGGCGAGGGATACTAGGGCGGGTGAGTATGAGAGGTGGGGTAAGCCAGAAGGGTGGAAGAGTGGATGTCGGAGGTCCCAGTTCACGACGAGGACGTCTGGGCTGCTATCCGATGTGATAGGTGCGTCGGCGCTGAGAGGGGATTGACCGTCCTCAGAGTCTTCTCTTGGCGAAGGCCCGGTCTGCTGAAGCGCAGCGACGACGCTCTCCCCTAGTTCTCCCTGTGGGGCAGCTCGAAGACCCATTCTGACCTCTTTAGGGATGTCAACCGTCGCGAACACCGATCGGTCACGAAGGCCCAGAAAGTCGAACTTGGAGTGGAAACACCAGGGGAACTGGCTCTCGGACGCAAGCTCAGTGTCGTATGGGTGGATCTGTAAGCCAGGTGCACTCTCGCCGGAATCACCAAGCTCTGCATCAGGAGTGATAGACGCGGGCAACGACGCTCCAAACGATACCAGCTGCGCATCAACACCCTTCCCCATCCTCTCCGACTCCCGTTCAGCCCACGCCTTCCACTCTTCCAACGACACCATCCCCAGCCGCCCGTGTCCACCACCGCCACCACCACCAGCACTCAGTTCCTCCGCCTGTGCCCTCAACCCCTCCGAAGACACATCGTAGTATGTCCCAAATCCCCACTTGAAACACGCGCCAATCCGACTCTTGCCAACGTTTGGCAGGACGAGGATTCGATCTAACCTCTGGGCGAGGAAGGCGATTTGCCTAAAGTGTAGGCGGGCTTTGGATTCTTGTTCGGCGATGCGAATGGGGAGGAGGAACTTGCAGGGGCTGCGTGTGGAGGTGCTCCCGACGGATGTCGAAGTGGTGGAACAGAGATCGGTGATGTTGAAGTTCGACAGAGACTGAGGAGGGGAGGATGAATTGCGGCTCCAATGTGGGGTAGGTTTGGAGTCTGAGTGCTTCGAGCCAGGCTCCCCGCCGTGTCTATGCGAGGAAGATGGCCTTCCTTCTGGTATGGCGGTGATCATGGGTGGTCTCCGCACCTCCTCTGTCCTCGTCTCTCCATTCCCTTCCTTGAATTCCCCACCAGATCCAGAGTCAGTCGAAGACATGGACATGTATTTCCGCTCCAGCTTCTCCAGTTTGGCGAGGATGGATCGGTCGATGAGCGGTGGTTTCCTCAGGTCCATCGGAGTTTTCACGTCTTTCCTGCCCTTGCCCTTTGAGAGTCGTGAATCGGGGTGTGGTCGTGAGAGATTGAGGCCGGGTGGAAGTGAGACGTCGTTCGGGCGAACGCCGGTAAGGTTGAGAGATTCCATCTCTGGGCGTGCTTCGTCCACTCGAGGTTTGTCGACAGTCTTCCCCCGAGAATCCCCATCTCCAGTTCTACCAATACTATCCCTACCAGAAAGCCCGAACACAGCGACAGGCCTACCACCACCACCACCACCACCACCTCCTCCTCTAGCACCACCCGAACCCGTACTGTCTAGGTCACCCAGAAATCCAAATTCGTCCCTCACGCGATCTTGGGCATAACATCTATCGGGGTACCATTCCTGAGAGGCAAAGTCCAGCTTGAACCGCGTTTGGGCGTCGTATCGGGTACGGAAGGAGGCAACGCATAGGAAGAGGAAGAGGAGGATGCCGGTGAGGAGGAGGATGAAGCGCGTACAGGCGTTTGGGGCGTTATTGGGATTAGGCGGTGGAGGGACGTAGGTGTAAGAATAGGCGTGATAGGATGGCGAGGAAGGGGAGGGGTCCATCCCGTCGTCGTCGTCGCCCTGTTCGGTGGTGGAGTGAAAGTGAAAATGTGAGCTAGTACCAGCACCGCCTAGCTCAGATCGCGGAGACGAGGCCGTGAAAGACCCGTAGGACCCCCGCGTGCTGCTCTGCGACCTTCCCGCTATGGTGAAACTTGCTGCGCGGGGCCGCTGTGGACGAGGGCGGGGACGATGATGGGGCGTGCGCGTGTCAGGTTTTCCAGGGACGGGAGACAGCCCGCGCGGCGGGGACGATTCTTCGCTTTGTTTAGAGCGTGTTCGGATTTGGGCGTCAGGGTTGCTGGCGTGGGCGTATGTTGTGTGGGTCATTGGGGGGGAGGTGCGGGAGGTGAGGTGGGTGGGCGGGTTGTGGATCGGCAGGATGGAGATCTTGGTGTCCCACGCCCTTTGGGGTGAAGTGCGCTGCGTCCGTTATCTAAGCGCCCGCTGCCACGAGAGAACTTCATGCTCTCAAATTGTATCTCATGCAGGCCACGCATGTTGTTAGATTCTGTGGGGATGATGACAATCCAAAGGGAAGTGACGAGGACTGATCTCAAAGGACGAGGTGGAAGGATAAAGAATCATATTTTTCATCACTGTTCACTTTAGGCTTCGTGTACTGCGCATACTATATCTAGCAGGTCCTGTACGGTACTATCATGGTTGTCGGGGCAGGGGAACGGAGGGTGTGTGTGTATATGCCGAGTTTTTCAGCACTTGCAGGAACCGGCGCTGCACGAGCAGGAGCCACTAGCGCATTGGCAGCTGAATAACAGTCAGTGTTAGATGCTCTACCGACAGGTGCGGGGAGGGAGGACGACGACAGCGACGACTAACCTGGTGCCGCAGGAGGTGCAGCTGCAGTTGGCGTTGTTAACTGGGGTCTGTTGGGGAGTCATGTAAGGATACTGTAGGTGGAGAAACCAAGGGTTGGGGAGCGGGGCGTACCATTGTGGGTAGGGTTTATGGTCCAGGGGGTTGAGGTGCGCCTCTGGAGATACAGGGGTGAGTGTGGATAGGGTTATATACCCTCTGAGAGTATTTGCAGGTGTTTATCTCGCCAACCTGGACGAGCTAAAGGATAAGAATCGCGGTCATAGGAACGCCTATGGTGGAGTTCTGGAACAATCGAGATCAGAGCTGTGAAGTATGTCGGTGCTATTGCTGTCATGTAGGGAGACGACAGCCTTTCATATCCAGCAATCCCTGGTCATCTGCACCTATTTCCCCCGTACTAGGATTCGAAATTTGGTCTAATCGGGGTTTCTCTCCTCAGTGTTATCTCCGGGAGAAGCGTCTCTGTTGTAGATTATCATCACACTTAAGAGATGCAGAAGAGGCTAATTCAATTGACAGAAGTATCAAAATCAAAACAAGTATGTCGGTGACGTGGTGTCTTCTCAGTACTCAGCAATGTGGGAGATCTTCAGTGCCTGAAACAAGCACGTCTAAGCAACGTCTGCAGAATCCTATCCCATATGCAGCTAAATGGAAACGAGCATATGACACTGGTCACATCCCCTTGGCCATCTTTACAAAAGTTTGTTCTGCGTTCTTCTACGCGGGTGATCAGATACAAGGTTTGCGGGTGAAGGTATCAAGCGGTAACGAAGTTTGTGAAGCCCAGGACTCCCTAGATGTCGATGGTGTGTCAGGAGCTGTGCTTTATGCTACAGGTGTGTCCGAAGAGGGTGCGCTCTGTGATCTGCCGCTTGAGGAACACTTTGTGATTATACAGTCTGACATCGTTCGCGATGACCATCGATGGCGCACCACTCTGAGACGCTTTGGGAACATAAGAGACGAGCAAGGAGATGTTGGTCAAGTTTCGACGAGGATGCTTCTTTCACCTGTGATCAATCTCCCTCTAATGGATCCGACTCGGATGGCAAACCACGCCTCGCCTGAGATTTTCTGGACCAGCTGGCAGCAGGTGGGGGACGACAGGGGAGAGGGAAAGGACATTGAATACCTGGAGCAGCGATGGAGCTTCGTTGACACGCGTTTTCATCGTCACCGTTAGTTCCCCCTGATATGGCTTCGGAAACACGTAGAAAAGAACGGCTGTGCACGGAGGTGCTCTCCGAGGGTTTAGGGGGTTCTCAAATCAAAATTCAGTACATCGTCGAGTTCCAGCGTATTCCGGGACCTAGTACTAGTTATTAATTTAGTTTCTCCCAACTGAGTGTTTTGCGGGCCAATCATGGACTTGAAGTTATCAGGAGGATGAGTCCAAATTGCCTATGCAGCACTGAATTACTCGGAGAAAGATGTTGTCAGTGCCCGCCTAGCTCAATCGGATAGAGCGTCAGACTCTTATGGTCTGGGACGGGTTGCTGTTCCTATCATTAGGATATCTGAAGGCTGCGAGTTCGACCCTCGCGGTGGGCTAATTGTCAACATCATTTTTTTCATCAAAGCATTCAACCTGATTTGCGGCTCTTTCTTTCTTTTATCCGAGCCGTACACTATTTGGGATACTTAATTCCGCAACGTATGGCCTTGGACGATCGCGAGACCTTAAGTTCACTGCTTGCGAGTTCAGTACAACAAGAGAATAGATAATGATGTCATGAAAAGGCATTTGTAAATTTGCAACTCATTTGAAGAAGCTGCTACCGCGATCTATACACCAGGAAATCCTGGCGGCTCAAACGAGTCTTTTGAGTAAGCAAGTAGGTGACACACAGTTACAGTGTCAAAGACTCGACCTACACTTTTCTTTTTCCCAGCGCTTTTTAAGCGCCCAGTCCGATATGCCCAACGTCGCGATTGCAAGGCATCTTCTAGTAACTGAGACTCACCCAATTCGATGGTGATAATTGAACAGGGCGGACCAAACCGGTAGGCTCGTGACCAGCCGTTACTGAAAAAGCGCAAACGAGTTTCGCAATTCCTCCCCGGTAAGTACCTCCCCCGTTAATTTCACTGTTTATCATTCAAAACCTACTACGACTATGCATAGCGCGACCGAGTAGACTGGTAACGAGTCTACCAAACCGGCGTGATTTTTCTTTTTCTTTTTTTTTTTTTTCTTTCATCGCGGGCTCGAGAAAACCAGACCTCCATCTCTCAAACTAGTACTATTACGAGCATAGTATTCGATTCTTCCAATCTTACCTGTTGCATCTTCGAATACAGGCCATCGACGACCTCTGCCACCTCTGCAAAGCCACGCCAAGACCCCCATCCATCGCCCGCCTAGCTCAATCGGATAGAGCGTCAGACTCTTATCGTCTAGGACGGGCATCTGAAGGCTGCGAGTTCGACCCTCGCGGTGGGCTACATTCTTGTCATCATTTTTTGACCCTGGAACATCGTTGTTGCGTTCACGCGTTAACCGGGTACAAGTTGCGCCTTATGGTTTTGCCTCTGAGTGGTACTTAAATTAAAGGTAGGGGCTCCCGATGACCCTGTATTCGTCAACGGCCTCGGTCGAAAGTGTGCACGGATTATTGTCACTGTAGCCGCGGCCGGCGCTTATTCCAATGTCAACATACACTCCTTTGAACAGGGTACACTATGAAAGTGGAACACCATGACGTAGAAAGAGTAACAGCGGTACTGGCTACACTGGCCATGCCCCTACACTGGTCATCTCCCCTCACGCCCCCTCATACCACCTAACTCCACGGATAATTAGGGAAATTCGGAGGCGTATTAACCTCCCTCCACTCCTTCACCACCCTCTTCTCCAAGACTTGATCCCACTTGACCACGACCCAAGCTGACGCCCCTCCATCGGTGTAGACCTCCCCTTGTTTGGTTTGGAGCCATGTTTTGCCGGTGGCGACTACCCAGCCTTCGCGACTGGTGTTAATGTTAATGTGGTAAGGGATTAAGGTACGGGATTGGCGTGGTACGGGATTGGTATGGTGCGGGATTAATTAAAACATGGTACGGGATTAGCATGGTACGGAGAGGGAAAGGGAAAGGGTGAGGATGTTAATGGGAGAATGGGGTAGGAGCAGAGGAGGAGAGGAGAAGACGTACCCTTCAACGTCGGTCGTGAATGCGACGGTTTGAGTCGGCTCGATAACGTACGCGTCAACGCGTGCGACGATGTTAGCGCTCAAACCCGTCCAATACGTCTGCGATGCATTGATTCAAATTTCAGAGTAAGTCACCTCTCAGTCCAGATCGACTCTGCAAGCTAAAGAAATTCGTCACGACTCAGGACTCACCTTCATGTTCTCCCTCCCTTCAATAACCCTCCCATTAAAATGCACCACAATGTCCTCAGCGAAGGTGCCATCTTCGAATGGCGGGATCCAGTTCGTCGTCGTGTTGGGGATGACGGAGGGGATGAGATTCGTGAACCACTCTGCGAGAGCTGTGGTGCCTGCGGGGATTTGGGCGTGAGAGGGGACGATGAGCGTTGTTGAGAGGGCGGCTGCATGGAACATGAGCGATGGGATGAAAGAAAGATTGGAGTTAGTGTAAAACTTGAAGGGAAGGGTAGAGGCTAGAGTCTCACCGAGAACGAGAGTTAGAGGCGAGGAGAGCTTGAAGAACATTTCGGAGATATAGAATTCAAAAGGCTAATCTCTTACAAGGGAGGATGGGGGTCTGAACTTTCACTTGAGGCATTCCAATCGCCTTTTATCTCCCTCCCCAATGATCTCGTGTCGAGAGGGCCATATGGTCATGGTATGGGCGCGCAAGTGGGGCCTCGTTGAATCGCCCACTTGTGGACGGCAAAAAGAGGGTGTTGTTCGAACTTCGAAGAAGCCTGGTGTCGGCCGACGTCGTGGGTGCTCAAGCGCTCGATATCGTTGTTGGGCTGACTCTGTGGGTGAGCCGATACTCAGAAGAACCTGATTTGACCTTTTTTCTTGAGCGCGTCGCCCGAGATACAAACAAGGAAACGATTGGAGCACCAACAGATGTTCAACTGCTGTGGACGTACTACTGACCTTGATTGAAAGCGTGTAACCAAGTCGAAGTGGCAATATGTTCTCGAGTCCATCGCGGGGCTGGTCAAAGTCCGACTCGCGAACATACGGATCGCATGATACCAGTCAGTCAGTCCCCATCCCAGCTCAGCCAGTCGATCAAGATTCAGGACAGTGTCACTCCACCTTCAGGCTTCGAACCTGGACGTTGTAGGCATGTCTGCATGGCAAATTCACCGAGAGGGCCGTGTTTTGTATGTGCGTCAATGATGCGCCCTGCCAGAAGCACATCCAACATCGATTGATTAGACACTCAAGTCCCAGTGCGGTGAGATGACATGAGGTGTTGGCGCAATCGAATCGAGTCCACGTAGCGCGGCAAATTGGTTGATAACGTTAAATCAGCGATCGACAGCGTGCAGGAGCGTCGAGCGGTTGCTAAAGTATACACGCTGAGACGCGATGACAGTATGTTTGGGTCGGCGGGAGATGCGTTACGCACAACTAGTTCGCAGCCGTAGGGTCCCAAGTGGCAGTCACAGCGTCGAATCCGCAGAGGGTCCATTTGCATGCAAACAAGAGCCAAGTTGTTTCGAGACTGTGTTGGGCGCCGCCTCGCAGTTCAGCGCGAGGGTCCAGATAGGGGAAGCGAGGACTATCATTCGATAACGGACGAACTTCGTGCTCCTACAAGGACGTTTGGAGCGCCAGCGCCTCGCCTCGTTCGAGAAGCTCGTCGTTCAATGAATCGGCTTAGGCACCAGTCAAACCAAGTGACAATGTTCGTCGAGGCTCTAATGCTGCAATCGTTGGATAAGCCGCCTTCGCTCGAGTCATCAACGGCAACCTTTCAGCTGAAAAAGGTGAAGCGAAGGGGTTGAGTCAGTAAACGGGTCTTGGATGATGAAAATAATTTCAAGTTCGCCTCTGAGCATCATTAGACCAGAACTCACCCTTCATTTTCCATCATCTCTGCCTGACTTCGTTCCCTACGACAACTTCCACTCTCGTTCGTTCTGAAGTGCTTTGTTCAAAGTGATTGAAACGCAGTTGGAAGAAAACAACTTCAGGCGAAAGGAAGAACAGAAATGCGCAGTCTTTCATTGGCGGACTGCGATGATCACCATCATGACGTACACTCGCCAAGGGAGGGCCAGGCTCGGCTCGGCCACCGGGTAAGCGGGGCACACACGGAACATCCACGGAAGCAAAAAAATAAGCGCCAGCTCACCGGCACCCTTCGCAGCAAAATCCGCTCCCCGCGATTGGCTCCCGGAGCAAACCGGATCCTCACGTGACCCAAAAGTTTTGCGACGCAATTCAAAATGCGCTCGGTAAACGCTTGACGTTTCTTACTCCAGGACTTCATCCATCTGTTTACAAAAGGCTCTACGTGGTCGCCCTTCTCTTCTTGTTTTATTCTATCCTCTCACTTTAAACTTATTCAAGATGCCTTTCGCTCCTGGTGAGTGTTCTCATTGCTGGCAGTGCGCTGGAGGATTGCACTGCGCGCGCGTTTACTGGAATGCGGGGCTGACATGTATTTTGTGGAATAGGTGACGCTTCTAAGGGTGCTTCCCTCTTCAAGACCCGCTGCGCTCAGTGCCACACTCTCGGCAACGGCGAGCCTCACAAGGTCGGCCCCAACCTCTTCGGGTGCGTCCAGTCTCATTTCTGCAACGTCGAACGAAAGCGCTGACGTCGAATGTAGCATCTTCGGCCGCAAGTCTGGTACCGGTGAGGGCTACTCCTACACCGCTGCCAACATCAACAAGGGCGTGACATGGACGGAGGAGACCATGTGGGAGTACCTTGAGAACCCCAAGAAGGTGCGTCATTTTGAGCCAATTGGATGCGCGAGCGTTAGCTGACACGGATGCGCTGTTTGTTTAGTACATTCCTGGCACCAAGATGGCCTTCGCTGGTCTCAAGAAGGAGAAGGACAGGAACGACCTCGTTACCTACCTCAAGGAGGCTGTACGTCGCCCACCATAGCTCTCTCAAGCATAACTCTTTGCTGACGTGTCTCGTTTTTCTAGACTTCATAAAAGTATTCTTCATGAAATACGCCCCTGCTATCTATTCCTACCTTAAACCTCCATGTTGCATTAATAGCCTAGTCTTGGACTGAAGTACCCCGGTTCTTCGGTCGTGATAACGCAACGACGCTTGTGTACCCTGCATACGCATTTGCATAGACACTTTGGACTGGACGTTCTTTACATCCCAGCTCACTGAATAGGCTACATTAGAACGACCCTCGAGTGAATACGCCTTGGTATCGCTCTCTGACTCTGAGCGATTTTGTTGTCCACGTCATGATTGCGTTCTGTGATGCCAACCCCCATCTTTTCGCCGCAGAACGGCGAGGAGCACATTCGAGAACAAAATTTGGGCTTGGTGAAGGTTACCCCGACTCCGATGACGTCACGGATGAGCGGAACGATTGGGCCCGGGGTTGGGCGCTTAAAGGAATATCGTAGGGCGCACAAAGTGTCTTTCAGTTGCCAGAAATCCCTAGCATAGAACTAGTACTAACGTATTCTTGATTTCAGTTTCCATGAAGTGTGTCGCGCACGTTGGGCGTCAAAATCTAGAACCTTGCGGAGTCTCCGCCCTTGAGTAGGCAGTGTAGCGCCTAACTGAAGCCCCTGAGCCTCTGAGTGCTGTAAAGCAAAAGAGAGAGGTGTCATGCTGACCGATTGCTCTTGTACAGCTTCATCCTTCTTTGCCTTCCCTCTCTCACTACAGGCGTCTTTCACGACTCCGCACGACCGACGACCCATCGACGCACACAAGTCCAACCGACTGACTACATCGTCCGAGTCATAACAGCGCTATTCCGACGTACACAACCTTGGGAAGATGCCGATACTTAACCACACAGAGAATGTCCAGATTTCGGGAGGGACGTTCCTTGATATCGCTGGGGATGCGTATGGTGTTGCGGGGCCCATGGTCGTTCATGACTTTATCGATGAAGAAGGGAATGTCGTTGCTGCCGGAGGCAACGACGTGGATGAATTCGAAGAAGGGGGAAACGACGACTACGAAGACCACGACGACCACGACGACGAGGAGGAGCGCCGCCAGCGACCAACTGGGTTGACTACGACGTGGCCTTTGGACGTGGGCGGTACTGTGATCAATGGCGGGACGTTCGTCGACGTCGCTGGGAATGTGTATAACATCCATCATCACCACCATTATTACTATCGTCGTCGCCGTCGCTCTGAAGAATCGGAGTCTGATGGAGAATGCGCAGACAAAGAGGGTACAGTTCCTTCCATTCGACTCTAGCTGATCTCAAATGCTGACTCTATTCCTTTTTTTTTTTTTTTTTTTTTTTTGAAGGTGAAGGTGCTCGGCGGGGCTCAAGCCAAGTCTCAATTGGTCGGTCGAGGATGGGGCAGAAGACTTCAATTACAGTACGACCCGTCGGGAACCGGGGGCTCAGCAAGGATGAAAGTTCCGTCTCTGCCCTTTATATAGTCAACAACAGTGTGCAGGGCTGTGCGGTAATCTTCACTGCTTTTTTTTTTTAGACCTCGGATCTAGTTTACGATTAGCACTGCCGGGACATTACAACTTTTGGTAGTATATAGTATGCCGTCAAGAGGGTATAGCGCGGTAAATTACCGTCTACATACTATGTAGCTGTCATTCATTCTTGCTTCCGATTTACAGCAGTTATTTACGAACTGTGCGTTCGACTTGGAGAGTTTGGTGTTTCGCTTTTTCACTCAATCTTTCACTGCGCTCATGTTTCTCAGACTCGTGTTCTTTCCTGTCTCTCAATCTTGGCTCCTTCCAGTTGCATCACTTGTTGCCGTCTTCAATCCCTTTGTTCACATTATGGACTGATCCTCATGTTTGTTGTATGCTCACTCTGCCGATGTATGTATGTATGGACTTGTAATGATAGCGACCCGTATTTATTTATGGTGTACGACCCCTTAGAGGCATGAAGTTGGGGAAGCGTAGGCTACTACTGGGCGCTGACTGACAGCAGGATAGTGGATGCGAGACGAGCGGGCTTCCTCCCTGTGCTGGGGAGTTGATAAGCGCCCATCATGGTGGCGGTGATACCTCTATCTTTCCCTTCTCCGCTAACGGCTTTCCTAGTGGCCCATGCCCCCCATCCCTCACCCGCATTCCTGTCGGCGTTGTCGTCCTAAGGGCGGTGTGTGAGGTACTTATCCAAGAAAGTATACCCATGTCCCAGCTGTAAGTACAACGTAGCGTTTCGATTCTCGTTGTAATGCTAAATCTCGGATGACCCATTAACGTGTCGGATTGGCTGACAGGCGTATATGGACATTGGGGGCTTTGGACCATTCAAGTTCTATCCTGAACTCGAGCGCAGTGGAACACGAAGTAGGATGAAGAGGATCAGGGACGTGTTGTAGTCGAGTTGAAGCGCTCTACCAGGTTAAGAGTGGCTTTCCCCTTTTGAGGTACTAGGAGGAAATCCAGTTGTTCGATGAACATCTCAGGTTCTCAGACGATGCCTTCAGGTTGGTGGCCACTAACGGGCGCCTATTTATAGTAGGCCTCTAATATCTGCCAGTTCAATTAAGGCTCACCGTCAGAAGTTCACAGTTGCAGTAGTAGACTTCAAGCATAGAAAGAGAGGGAGCCATCGGGGCCGGGCGCACTCTACGCCCCCTTGAGAATCAGTGTTCCTACAGCTCCCGCTCATCCTGGTTACACTGCTGGGTAAAATTGTCGCTTCATCGCGGACCACCAGCGCTAACTCCGGTTATTTGACCAATCCTCGAAGGGCTTCTATCGGCGGTCGTTGCCAATATACTAACGTCACTCCTCGAAGCCCTGAGGCACCGGCTTCCTACGGTAATGGTTCGAAGACGCATTCTTCGCGAAGCTCCTTCGGTTGAGACGCGATGGACCGCCGTAAAATGGGATGCTTCGCTCCAAAAACGAGTGATCACCAAATTGAATGAGGTACACACCAGTCCATTAGACTGCCCTGGCTATAGATATCCGTGGAACTGGCACATCTCCCTGGATTACATTAGGTTTGCTGCACCCTCGTCGACGTTTATCTTGACAGTATTGGGTGTACCAGTTTGTTTGTCGGCGATCGTTTTCGTGAATGAAAGGAATATTTATATTCTGTTGTATCTTTTTGCTCATCAGGAACTGAAGCCGCATGTATAGGTAGGAGATAAACGGGGTGATGGGCTTCGAGAGGGTGAAGAAGTGAGAGAAGTCTGCACCCTTTACGGAAAACCATTCGGAATGCCTAGTACACGCCGAATTAAACGCCCTGAGAGTCACCCTCTACCACCAGTCTGCATTTGGATCTGTAGTACGCAGACTCTTATCAGGACTGTGATTCGTTCGAATGAATTGACAACACCCGTTCTTCAGCTTTCTCCAGCCACGATGTTGCAGGTCTGACGCTTAGAGCAGCTTCATCGCCGACAGAGGCTCGAAGTTCATAATCTACATTGCACCCGTGGTTTTTACCCTTGACCTGAAAGGGTAAGCTAATGTCAGGATGCAATATCATTGCAGTCGCCCATTAGCTCATCTCGACAGTCGGCGCTGCGCAAGTAACTCGAGCTCAATGTGGGGTCAGGATGAGGACGGGGAAGAACCCGATTACACCGAAAGAACCAATACGTTCAAGTAGGAAGCCCCTATCTACATACGTCCGAAATACCAAACTTCTTCCTGGACTTTTACTGACTCGGCGGATGGCTCAGGTGCTGCAGATGGTGTCCCCTCATGCAGAAATTGGGGCTCAGAGAAATCCACAGGTGATGTCGTAGGCTCGCTTTACTCATGTTGGCGCAAGACCAGGGCCACTATTCATCTATATAGAACTTATCTCGCCCATCTGGTCCTCTGAGGTCTTCACCATCAGCCTGCAAATTCGATGGGCGAGGATTGCCGTTATGTGTCCGGATCAAACGGCCATCAGCATTGCGCCAAGGCTCTAGACAAATAAAGCCATTCAATCGTTTTTTAGAGATTTTCTTTTGGCAAGCGATCGACTTTGTTGACTGCACTCGTAACCACAAGCTACCGCCATCGGATCGCTGAAAGTCTGCATACACACTGACTCAGGGGGGCCTCGAAATGCTACCTGTCGTTGCACAAGCGCCTTAGCCGCTCCAAACTCTGGGACCATATGGCTCCAATCACAGTCGGATTCGGGAAGTGCCTTGGGTTCGGGTGCAATGCCAATGCCTCGCCTGGAGTCCAACGTTTCAAGGCGGCAGAAAAGAACAAAAAGCACCCATGTGGAGTCTGTGTCACGGGTGCATCCTGGACGTACAAGCCTACGTACTCTGCGCCTCCCTCGAGCTGGAGGAAATTGCACCCAGCATCCTGGTTCCTGACTTGACATCTGTCGACGCCTTGGAAGACGAACCGCTCGTACCGCTCATCGTCTTCTCTCCCTCTACGTAACGACGAGCGCTCATCATTGCTTCTGTGATGCTTCCCGTTGCTTCCCCAGGCAACCCCAGTCTAAATGTTCTTGGCTCTGGAAATCAATACCCCAAGCACGTAACACCATGCAGTACGATGCCCGGTGAAGTTGTGAAACCGACGGGTGGGTATAAGTCTACGAAACGCTGGGTCCGCTGTCTCTCTACCCTTGGGAACGCCCATTGACAGCTTCGACACCCCAATTCTAGCTTCGGAAGCCCGTTGGAGTGACGCTCGACGTCCCATTTACATCACAGCAACCGTTTTGGATGCACTTCGACTCCCAGGGTGGAGTGCCGGATGAGGTTGGTAACACAACATTTTTGTTGAACTGGACGCGATACTGATCAGATGAAATGGATTGCACCCGGACCTTCGCTCACGCTTTCCCCAGATGTCTAAGGTACAACAGAAGGTTTCTGCACCGCGATCAAAAGTCAAGCAAGGACCGTCGAGTATATAAATGCAGCCTTCGGCAGAAGATGAGAGCAGCTGTGTTACCGGTGTCTCTTTCTCTCTTCCCTCCACCTTCTCGACACTTCCTTGGAGCGTGCAACGATGTCGAGTCCCGATTCCAAGCGCAGCAGCAGCGAACTGAAGGGCGGTGTTGTTGAGAAGAAGGAAGATACCCAGCACGCAGTGGCGCGAGTCGATGACTCCCATTATGACCCTGCATATGTTGCCAAAGTCATGTACGTTTTCTCTGTTTTCGAGGGAAGGCGACCACGCTGACACGTACTCTACAGTCGAAGAATCGACTGGCGCATTCTTCCATTGCTTGGGCTACTTTACTCCATCGCTCTGATTGACCGGACGAACTTGGGCATTGCACGTATAGTGGGGTTGGAAGAAGACCTGGTGAGTAGACGTTTCCAGCTCAATATGGAACGACACTAACCAACGTCCCGATAGCAACTTTACATCGGCGAGCGTTATTCGATCGCATCCATGATCTATTTCCCTCCATACATCATTCTGTGAGTCTAACCTTCGACCAGTTTTCGCTTCATATACTGATATTCACCCCAGGCAACTCCCTTCAAACATTGTTCTACGCTGGTTGGGTGCGCAACTCTGGTTAACCATCTGCGTCGTAGGCTGGGGTGCCGCCCAGATCGGCATGGCCTTCGTCCCCAACTGGGGTCTCCTCTGCGTTACCCGCGTCCTTCTCGGCGTCTTCGAAGCAGGATTCTTCCCCGCCCTCGCTTTCATCATCCAAACCTGGTACAAACGATCAGAAGTACAAAAGCGTTTGGCGGCGTTTTACCTCATTTCCATCGTGTTCGGCGGATTCTCTGCGATTCTGGCGTACGCTTTGCACCTCTTGAAGGGAAAGGGTGGTTTGAATGGATGGCAGTGGATCTTCCTCATTGAGGGTCTCCTCACGGTCGCCCTTGGTCTTCTTACGTGGTTGTTCGTTCCGGATTTCCCGGACAAGAACAGGTTCTTGAAACCTGAGGATACCAAGATGATCATGGACCGTGTTGAGGCCGATCGTGGCGACTCTATTCCTGATCCCATTAACATCAAGGTCATTATCAAACACCTGTCTGACCCCTTCCTGTGGTCATTTGGTACGTTGCTCGGGTTTTGAACTGCAACGCGCGTCTAATCGTTACGCCACAGCTATCATGTTCTTGGCCTCGACAATGCCCGCCTACGCAATTGGTTTCTTCATTACGATTCTCCTCATGACCATGGGCTTCTCCATCACGGAGTCTCTCTGTCTGAGCGCCCCTCCATACATCGCAGCAGTAAGCATGTTTTCTCTATAGCTCCATTGTGATTCCCTTAACGTTTATCTACTACAGGCCATCTCTTGCTTCTTCTTCGCCTGGCTCTCGGATAAGACGAAACAACGTGCCCTCTGGCTCGCGGTCCAGAACGTGATTACCATCGTCGGACTCATGATTACAGCTTATGCTGGTCCCGCCGGAGCACGTTATTTCGGCCTCTTCCTCGTCAACATGGGTGCTTCAGGATGTGTTCCTGGTGTGCTGGCCTACGTGAGTCTTTTCCTTCTCTTTGTTTCTGCAGCCATCTCACCGCCTTCGACCTTTGACGTACAGAACGCCAACAACATCACAAGCCACAGCAAGCGCTCAGTTTCGACTGCCATTATCATCGCGTTTGGTGGCATTGGAGGTATCTTTGCGACCCTGGTATTCCGACAGCAAGATAGTCCCCAGTACATCCCGGGTATCTGGGCCACGATGGCTTGCCAATTTGCCATGTTGATTTTGCTCGCGATCAACACCTTCGTCTTCACCCGTCGTAACAAGGCTGCTCGGGAGGGCAAGCGCGTTAATGAGGAGACTCCTGGATTCATGTACACCATCTAATTTAAGTAACCACCTTTCTTGTTTAGTCTCGTTGTATAGTAGGGTTCTTGTGTGTATTTCCGTGTTGCATAGCAATCCGACATTTCTATCTCTATTGAATTTCGCCTTCCTCCTGTGTCCTGGCACCAATCCTACTTCGCTCAGTTCTCAGCCGGCCGATCTGAGCGAAGATATTCGGACGCGACGCGTTTGATCGTTTGGATGGGAACGCGTCGAGATTTGCTGTCACCGCAACTTGGGCCATAACCACCACGACCAAGGGGATAAAAAGGTTTTTCTGGTCTTTGAGAACCAAGGACTCGCCTCTTCCTTTGACGACCACTTGGGCGACCTCCCTTTCGTTAAAAAGCCACCAAAATCCCGGGGAAACCACTGCCATCGAAGCCCATTCTCGACTCGAACCATGTCCTCTCAAATCCAAACCCGCCGACGGGCAGACTCGTTCTCGGACTACAGCTCGCCCGACGCCGAAAAGGTCCTGTATATCCTGAAGGCTATGGGACCCCAAGCCTTCTACGACCGTCTCATGACCCATCTCCAACCCGAATCCGCATCGGTTTCGAGCAACCACGACGCCCTCTTGGAGGCTCTGAAACTCAACGGCTTCGCTGGCGAGGTAGCCAAAGCCGAGGGCGCAGTTGAAGACGATGAAGAGCGCCACTGTGTCCGATGCCACGTCTCGTACCTCGAGAAGAACAACGCCAGGGACGCGTGCGTTATCAAGCACGCTTATCCAGTCGTGGGGAGCACCTCTGGCAGCAATCTGGCGCAAGGACAGGCTCAGCAGAAGCCGTGTCCTTCGTGTCACTCCTCGCTGCCTTGCGCGAGTTCGTGCGTGGTGACCCCGACGTGCTTCGTCGGACGACACACCACCAACGCTCAAAGGGCGTATGCCCAAAAGAGTCCCCTGGTCAAGACCTGCGACGAACTCAAGTGCGGTGAGGACACCGTCAAGGCGATTGAGAAAGGTGGGTACATCGTTGTTAATTCTCGCCTGCCACAGCTGAGCACGATTCAGGTTTCATAATGGAGGCTCTTTCGCCCACCGCCCTCTCCAAGCCAAGTTCCTTCGAGTTCCAGTTCCAACCGGCGATGTTTGGGGTGCAAAAAGAGAATGACAAGCGCCCTCGGAAATCCCTCCCATTCACGCTGAGCAAGCCTGAATCCGAGGCTTCGAGCTCGTCGGCGACCAAATCTCCTCCGTCCGACACATCAGCCTCCGCGAAAACTAGCACAGAGACTACGACCACCCAAATCTCCCCCTCGTCAAGTGAAACTGAGCTGCCCGCCAAAGACGCTCCGCTCCGCCTGCCACCAGCACCAGCGGTCGGGGCATGGGAGCTGCGAAGATATTCCCCTTCGGCCAACCGCGGGCGTGAAGTGGACACCCAACTGCCTCTATAGCATCTCGTTCGCCTGCCAATGTTCGTCGTTAAAAGTTGTTCACCGTGGATACCTTACCTTCTTAATCGCATAGTCGATTCGATGTACTCTAGTTCGACATGTCATTGGAAACATAGTCTTCTCATTAATCGACGTAACTTCAAGTACCATGGTGGAACTTCAGTCCAGGCTCGATGTACCGTCGGCTCGATAACCCTAGGATCTCCGTGAACGGAAGCGGTACGAGGTGGGAGGCGATCTCCACTCTTGTCATCCATTAAACCAATCAATAATCTATTCAAACACATTAGAGGCTCTACATCGAGCATTAGACGGGTACGTTAGCGTAGTGTAGACAAACGAAGGAATAGTACACAGAATGTACATGTTTTAATACCAAGAATAATGTGGCAGAAAGGAATGGAGAGTAGAAAGGATAGTCAGGGTCCAAGGGAGTGAATAAAGGTCGAAGGGTAAGATATTAATATGAGGTGGTGACACGCGCGCGCTGACGAACGACGAAAAATGAACGGGCGATCACAATTAGTCTTCTTAAGATATGGTGGCAGTAGATGTGGATGCAGTTGTCGTAGACGTTGACGTAGGTAGATCGTTGAGGAAAGATCGAATCGTAGGCCAGTAACCTGGATCGTAGCATGTAGTTTCTGCAGGTTCGTCAGCACACAGCACAATGGCGCATAGCGCAGGCACATACCGTGGCGTCTTTTAGCAAACAACTTGAACCTGTCCTTCCCGTTCCTCCAATCCGCAGGACCAGAAACGACGTCGAGCTCCCGCAAGATATCCGAACCGGACTTGACCGCCGGCTTGCTCGAGAAATGCGGGAAACACCCAACGTGCTTTTCCGTAATCTCGTCGTCGTCCACGCTGCTGCCGCGTGTTTTCGCAGCAGCCCAGAGACCTTGCATGTGCTTGGGCGGGACGACCTGGTCTTCGTCGCCGCCTAGCATGAGTACCGGTATCGATTTCGGAATCTTTTGGATGCGGTCGCTTGAGGGCCAGCGCTGGGTACAGAGGAAGGAAAGGGAACCGAGGGGTTGGGGAAAGTCTTTGACGAGGAGAGGGATAGACATGAACGTGTTTTCGATGATGAGGGCAGAGATCTGAAGCCCATGAGTGAGTCGGAGAAAACCTCTCAGAGTTAGCCGCCCACCTTGTCGGTGTTGTTGTACACGAGGTCGATTGACACAGCGCCCCCAAGGGATTGGCCGTATACAACCTACGATCATTAATGAGTGACGAGTCAATCTAATTGAAGTCTGGGGACGTACCACAGGTATCGAGGAGAGAACGTCGTGGCTCAGGACATGATCGAGGACGGTTTGAGCGTCTTTGCGTAAACCTGGATACCGAAGGTGTCAATTGTGTACATCCAAGAGACAGAGTGGCCACTTACCTGCTTCCGATGGCGTTCCAGTGGAGTGACCGTAGCTGCAGAGCTCGGGTAAGTTTACCAAGTTGCGCCAGAGACGTTAGAACGTACCCTCTGTATGACACGGTCACAACGTTACACCCCATGGACAAAAATTCGATGGCCAGATCAATCATTTCTCCGTGGTCCATGGCATTTCCGTGAAACATGAGGACAGTCGCGCGTCCATTCGACGGATACGACCCGGTATGCCGTGTACGGTGGTGCCCGGATTCTCTAAAGCCAGAGAAGCGCATGAGGTGGCAATGAATCGTCACTTTGTCCGGGGTTTGTAATTCCAGGACCTCATGTGGGATTCCAAACAGCGAAGGTTCGCGAACATCTTTCAGAATAGGTTTTAGATTTGTTTCTCGAGGCGCATGCAGACGCACACTCACCTCTTGGTCGTGGAACAAAACCTGAAGGGTATACAATAAACCGTTGACCGTGTACAATAAGCTAATTGCCAGTCAGTAAAGGCCAAAAGACGAGTTCCGACCAGTCTCACCAAGCCTAGGAATCCCCAAATCGTCATAGACATTGTATCTGAGCTCTATTCTCTCCTTTCTTCCGTATAACCCCAATTACAACAAAATCTTTGCTTTCTTTCTCCAACTTCTTCCTCCAAATTTCTCTCGTTCGGAATAAGGCGCAGGATCCGGTTAAACACCGTTCTTGATGGCTGATTCTTGTCACTGGCAATGTTGTGAGGCTTTTAGTTCATTTCTTGGTCGTCGTCGTCTTGGTCGTCGTCGGGTTTGGGGGCGGGAAACACGTTTTGGAGGGAAAAGTACAAAATCAAGGAGGAAATAGAGAAAGAATGAACAGCTCCCGCTTCAGCTTTCGACGGCGGCGTCCCCGACGGCACGTCTCACGATCAGGTGATCCGAGTCGGACTTTCCCTCTCGACGTGCGCGACAGCGCGGGTGGCCGGCAAACAGCGTGCCTGTGCGAGCTGTAGGCGAGTAGTGGCTCCAATTTGTCGTCAAGGGTCGACGAAACACCTTTGTTGAGTCATCATGTAAATGAAAATCATATAGATAAATGACCCTCGCGGCTTTGGTTACCGAACCTCGCGCCTCGAAATAATCCCTCTAGCAGGCATTCTCGCATCGCCACGTCGTGCAGAAGTAGGCAGAGGGCACCGATGCAAGGAGCCGCCTCATTCTGGTGAGTGTGTGTCTCCCCGGTGATTGGGTCTCAGAAGGAAACAATTCCCCGGATTCCTGACTCGAGATCATCAGGAGCGTATATCATGACGTCAACTCAATTTAACCAGTGAGCTAAACCGAGGTAAGGAAGGGAGATACCTGAGCATGATTATGGCTTTTCCTGCAGAGAACGCAAGGCCAGTGGGCCAGGTCAACTGTCCAGCGACATGCCGTCGACATAAATCTCGAATTTCTTCTTGGAAGCTCTGTCCTAGGATTTCATGCGTACCCATCTCATTGTAAATAAGGACAGGATGCTCACAAGCCGGTCGCAGAGGAACCTGCGGGCCGGGGATTGCCAATCCCACCTCGCTGGTCAGAAATTAATAATAACACCAAGGCCAAACCAAGGTCCTTCCCGTTTCCAGGCTCGCGTGATCAAATCGTCCCGAGTGCTTGCGGTCCCGCGAGTAAGCCGCGAGTGCTTTGTGCCCGGCGACCTATCGTCAATTAGGGAACGGCAGCCTGCGGAATGGCCTCAGGTGGTCGAACAATGTCTCAGAGGCCTTTGCAAGTCGGGAGACGGATCCATCTTACGGCCGCGCCGGATTATCGTCAAAAAACATCTATAAGTATTTGCGAATGAAATGAGTAGTCATCCGCATCCGTCACCGAGAAGCGTCACCACCGGCATAAGCTCGAAGGTCCTCCAGAACTCTTGCGAGTCCCCTCACCCCGCTGTCTTCCATCAACTCGCGTACCCAGCGAGGGTACGGTCCCCGCTCGGCATCTTCGTTCTTGTTATCACCAGAACCAGGGTCGCCGCCCCATGCCGACGCCAAAGTCCACCAGTCGTAGACGCAGCCGTCAGTCACAATCCACCGCTGCCCTTTTGCTTTGCCAAAGGTCGAATGAACTGCGAGAATGGAACGAGCGACATCCACGCCGTGGATAAAATGGACGCTTCCCTGCAGGACAGTGAGCTGACCACTGGGCGAGAAAAGAGACTAAAAAAATACCTTGTGTCGCAGCGCTTCTTTGGTTGGTGCGACCCTCAAGAGGTATCTCCTAGGTGAACGCCCCCCTCCCCAGAGTCCGGCCAGGTTCAGCACAGTCGAGCCACCGTAATCGGAAGGGAGTTTAAGAAGTTCCTCTTCCTCTCTGGCTCTCCCTACTCGCTCAAAGTCGCTGTGTCTGTCATACCACTCGTTCCCCGCCGGCCTTGGAGGTTCTATCCGGACATTTGGTATTACCCCTCGACCTCCCTGCCCGTTCGGCGTTGAGATGAGCTCCACATTACAAAGCACCATTGACCCAAACATACCTCCCAGATGCCAGTCGATCCAAGTTGAATAAACTGTACTTCTCGCGCAACGTGCTCCCTTGAGTCCTCGTCTCGACTACGGATGTAGGATTTTACGAGCTTGACAGATCCTCCCGCGAACGTGATTGGAAAGGTGATGAGGACAGTGCGTGCGTCCGGAAGGCGTCGATATGGTTCCAAGTCATCAGATTCAGGATCGAATACAAACCCGATGGTCCCATCTCGCCCATTTCTAGTTGTGGCGCCATAGACCAAGGATCGCTCCTCGCAAAGTGGGATTAGAAACGTAGAGGTCCAGCCAGCACCCAAGATCAGAATGTCGACAGTGGTCGGTAGGATAGGGTTCATTTGAGTCATAGAGTATCGAGTTGACTTAAGCTTCGCGCTTTCTTGCGACTTAAGAATGTGACCGCCAAACGACAGCCGAAGGTTGAGCACAAGAACAGTTGGAGGTGAGATTGAGTCGTTGGCAAAATCAACGTGGGAGAACTCATCGACACGGCCCGAAATCTTATGTTATCGCTCAGTACCCTGATTGAAGACTTCAGTTGGAAGGATGACGCGAACTGGAATGACAGATTCTTGTTGCTGCTTCATTGAAGGTGGTGTGATATGACGCCTGCTGGGGTATGCAGCGATACATAGACCTTTTTATTCCCTCGATGATCGTTACATCCACTCAAACTGGACGTCGAAGTCGGTCAAACAGCCGCGTGATGGGAATGACCCTGCTGATCAGTGATGGTTTCCTAAGTTCTCGAAGAAACAGTCATCTTTGTTCATTTAGGACAAATACCATTGTCCAATTTTGCGATATTCCACCATCGGTAACGCTTCCGCCCATCGAGCGACGTTCACCCAGCAGATAGCGGGTGCCAATCTACCTCCTCGTTGACGCCATTCTCGCGACTGCAACCACGGCTTCGGAAGCGTCGAAGTTGCAATCAGGATTATTCCCCAGTCTATATAAGACCACCAGAGCCCCAGAATCTCTGCTAAACGCACTGTGCTTGGTCTCTAACCATGGTCCTCAAACTCTACGCAGCTCCTCTGTCCACCGCCTCCCTCCGTGTTGCTCAGGTTCTTCACGAGAAGGAGGTTCCCTTCGAGTTCCACCCTGTAGATCTCCAGAAGAAGGAACAGAAGGCTCCCGAATACCTGGAGAAGCAGCCATTCGGTCAAGTTCCCTACATTGTCCGTCGTACTTCATTATCTTTTCCTTTCGAAGTACTGACTTCTGTCCTAGGACGACGACGGATTTGTTCTCTACGAATCTCGAGCCATTGGCCGATACCTTGCCCTGAAGTACGCTAACCAGGGTACTCCTCTTGTACCGGACATCAACGATGTCAAGGCTTGGTCTTTGTTCGAGCAAGCAGCCTCCAACGAATACGCCAACTTTGAGTCCATCGCTGTGAAGATTGTCTACGAGAAGGTCTTCAAGGCGTGAGTCACTCATTCACCGATTGTTCATCGGATATTGCGTACTGACGAGGCTGTATGTTAGTCGAGTTGGTCAAGAACCTGATCAAGCGCTCTACGATGCCGCGGTATCACAACTCTCTGCCAAGCTGGACGTTTACGAGCAGATTTTGTCCAAGCAACCTTACCTGACGGGAGATGTAAGTCTTCCATATCCTCCTTAAGCTCCGAGGTGCTCAGGCTTAACCGGTCCGCCCTTCAGAATGTCACACTCGCCGATCTGTACCATATTCCATTTGGAACCCGGCTCTATCTTGCAGAAGCTGGCCACCTCATCGATTCGAGACCTAATGTCTCCAGATGGTTCAAGAGCTTGACCGCGCGCCCATCTTGGGAGGCTGTCAAGAACGGTATCAAGAGCACAGCGCCATGAGCCATGTCGGCCGAGATGTCCGTCGCTAAGGGCCATGAAACCTGATTAAAGTTACTTAAACGTTGTACATTAAGTATGTATTGAATATAGATACAGGTCTGCTTATCCGAGGTTTATCTTTCTTATCTGGGACATCGAAGTACTTGGCGATTGTACGGAGATGACTTAGCCGCCCGCCTCATGCCAGTTAGTCGTATATATCGGAAATTAACCTTCTCATGGATCCGTGGTCATCGATGTTAATCGAAGGACTCGGGGGCGCCTAGTTCAATAAGCTGTGCTCCAGTCGAATCTGCTGGTTAGGGGATACCGGGCTTGCGGTTTTATGTACATGGGCGCTAGACCCTGGTCGACCGCTGACTCATGCTTGGCGCCGCATGCCATCACGTCCACGAACCATTCCGGGCCACAAAAGCGAATGCCCTGAGACCTGCATTGCCCATTCCTTCCTTCAAAAACATACAATCTCTGTGCCACATGTCCCCAATTTCGAGGCGATCACTGGATGGTACGCCCACTTTCCTGCTCGTGGCGACTAATGGGCGCAATCTATTACTTTATTTCTGTCTTGGCCTGGTACACATTGTGCGCGGCAACGGAGAGCAAGGGTTTATGTGACCGTTTCTGGTGCAACTGTGTCCATCTCCTAGTGTACTGCTTTCGACTAAATTCAGCGCCCAGCGGCACGAGTCTGACATGCGTCCCGCTCGATACCGTTATTATAAGTAGGCAGGTAATCGAGCTGGATGTCTGGTGGTGCCGTTTGTAAACCCGTCGCCTTTCTCCCCCCTTCTGTCTCCCCCTAGTTTCCGCTGCTCGACATGTTCCCTTCGAGATCGACCATCTTCGCCCTTCTGTTCACCGCTTGTCAGGTCTCTGCCCTGGTGATCCGGACGATTGGTGGCGGTAGCGGGCTTAGTCGACGACAAAGTGCAGGGGAGGTGGTAACACAGTGCACGGAGCCCAACACCGTTGCGTTGACCTTTGTCAGTCACCCTCCTCAGTTTGGAGAAACTGCTGTTTTCTGACTCTCCTCAGGATGACGGCCCATTCATTTATCTGTGAGTCATCTTCTCATTAGGTCCTGGTTTAATCGATAATCACTGATGGGCACAGTAATGAAATCGTGGACACCCTCACGGAAGCAGGAGCGAACGGGACCTTCTTCTTTAGTAAGTCGTCACTTGCCTCTATATTCGCAGCGCTGATCTAATTGTCGTCCCAGATGGAAACAACTGTACGGTGGCGTTTCAACGGTCTCAAGATACATTGACTTATTGGGACAGGGGGATGCATTTACGACGAGGCCAACGTCGATCGGGTGAGATATGCCTTTGAGAATGGTCACCAAATCGCTTCGCATACTTGGTCCCATGCGAGACTCCCAGCTCTCAGTCAAGCCGAGCGTAAGTGTCGACTCAGTCGGTCCGCTTCTTGAGTACTAACGACTCATCCAGTGCATTGGGAGTTTTGGTTGCTCGAAGGTTAGTGGCGTGGAGTCCATGGTGGCCTACGTTGCTTACCCTTTCTCGATCGCTGCAGAGGCGCTGTTCAAAATCACCGGAGCCTTCCCTCGGTTTACCCGTCCTCGTAAGTCATTCCGTCGAGAGGGAAGACGGGAACTTAATCGATGTCTATTTCCGTAGCGTTCGGTGCATTCAACGATGATGTTCTTGAGGTTGCGCGCTTCCATGGCCAGATCATTGCCAACTGGGACTTCGAGTGAGTATTACCCTCGTTAGCCAAGTTCGAGTCGGGTATCTTACTTCCCTTTCTCAGCTCTCGCGACACAGGTGGATACTCTGCCCTTCAGAGCATCGAAGGATACAACAGTCTCATTGCGTCTCGACCCTCTTCTATCCTCACGTTGAACCATGAGATCAACGAGGGGACTGCGTGAGTAACTTGATGTGCTATGGCAGCTCTGACTTCGCTAACCAATGTCCCATACGGCAGGAGGGTATTGATTCCTGAAATTGTTCGCTCTTTGCAAGCCGCCGGGTACAGGCTCGTCACAGTCGCCGAATGCCTTGGTGTAGAGCCCTACTTATTCCAGGGAGAGCCACAAGAGCGCGATGTAAGTTCACTTCCTGATCATGATCTCTAGCACTCATACTGACATATCTTTAAAGGATACTTGGGCCTGCACTTACCGAAGGAGAACTTGAAGTCATAGTACGGGTTTGACTGCTTCACGACACTTGGTATTTTAAACGGACACCATTCACGACTTCACGACTATCTAGATATTCACGACGGATCATGATTGGGACTTAAGGACTTTGACTTTTATTTAGCTTGGACTTTATTCATTAGAGTGCCCAGTTACGACGGACCTCTTGACGTAGTATTTCCTCCGTTGAACTCTCTACATCGGGCCTCGGCCTCCTCATATACTATCTCGTACATTTTCACGATCTTGCACATGGTGTCGGGCGGGCTGTAGACGGGCCCTTCTTGCCGATACGTGCGGCCTTGACGCGGCAAGTATTCGTCCCAGGGGGCTTCATACACCGACTGCTCAACTTCTGCGATTCGAGCTTGTGAGGATCGGAATGGATCATGACGCCGAACGGTCAAACGTTGCCGTATCCGTGAGATGGGTGGGTGATTGGTCGTCCTGGATGGCCAGTTCACACGATAGAGGGGTCGTTGGGTCGAATTCGACTTGGGCCTGCAATGCTTGATTGGTCGATGTCGCGATTACCAGTAGTACTCTCCTGGAAGGACGATTGGTCGTAATCGGAGACAGACCTGTTCCCAATGTAGGAGAGGTCCTCTCGACTCCAATCGCTATCGCTGTCCTCAGGGGATTGGGGAAACTGGAATCTGATTCCACTGGCCAAGGCACCAGTTGAGGTGAACTGCTCATGCAAGTCACGGTCGTGCCACTCGCGAACATGGAGAATGAAGCGAGCCGACATGAGCCCGGAGATTGGAATCGTAAGAGCGTTCAGCAACCGTTGCCAGAAAGAGCCAAGCTGCAGAAGTGTGCTCGTAACTCGCTACCACGAAATGAAAGATGCTTCTGAGACATACCGGAGCAGCCTGAAAGAATACTGCATGAGCGCTCGGTCTAGAAAAGGCATGAAGGACTTACATAGTTCAAGACCATCGCAGTCGTTGTGAACAGAGTGACGAATCCAGAGTATAAGAGACCTGGGAAGTCGCTCAGCGTTTAAGCAGTCCAAGGAATGAATGCTTTGAGCTCTGCGCACCTTCCTTGAGCATCAGATACATGAGGCCCTTCTTTTGCTCTTTAGTGGTGCCCACGTCGTGAATGTTACGATAGCATCCAAAGGCCAGTAACACCGTAGCAAATATTTCGTAAACCACGGTGAAAACGCAAAGGAGGTCAGTTGCTGGAGAGAATCAGAGTTATTACGGCAATGGGACACGCGAAGGAAGCTCGGATAGTCACCTCTGCAAATTACGAAGGTTAGCATTGAACTGACATACAGGGGGGTCAAATTCTCACATTCTGCTCTCCTTGACCTTCTGTCCACTGCACGAGACGCGCGGAGCATGGGCCTATCAATCCATTCTTAGTCCAAAGAAAGACGAAGGAGACCGGAGGCGTACTATTGCGAGAGCAATGACGAAGAGGCCCATTACTGTGAAGAGAGCTACAATAGCCCTGTTATTTCGATATACTGCGCACGTTCGCACACCAAGGACAGCTATCAGAAGCTGTTAGTGCTGTTCGCAGGTTCCACTAAGGAATAGACGCACTCAGAACCCCAATTCTCCCAAAGATACTCAGGACAGCGGAAATAAGATAGGCGGTGTCGCAACTGTGGGCGAAGAGATGAGCTGTGGACTAGGGTTGACCATCTAGAACCCCTACTGCAAAAAGGGTCAGCAACCACTCCTAAGCCAGAGACTGAATTATTGCTTACCCTAATCTTATCGAACTTATGCACAAGACCGAACAAGAAGACTACGTTCGATATGGTGGAGTATCGGCAGAAAAAGAATATCACTGTCAGCACATGGAACTTGCGCCTCCAGACATATTGAACCTCGCGACCGAGCGTTAAGAGGTAGTCGTAGTACACCAGTGCTTTTCAAGAGCCAGATTAGCTTTACCTTCTCCACAAGCGCTACGCTCAACTCACTCAAACTGGCGAATTGAATACAGAACTGGACAAATCTATGCCTCCTGCTCAGTGAAACTTGAATAAAACGAGTGATACAAGACTTACCGAACCGAGTCCTGTTTGATAGTGTCCATCGTGAAGGGAACCAGCCCAAGGAAACGAAAAGATTTACAAACGTAACCCTTTTATACGATGAACGACATGTAGGCCCTTGGCGGTAACTTGCGGTACCTTTATTTCGGGCGCAGTGGTCAGTTCTGATCCTGGTTTTTGGCCGATGATACATAATACCAGTACATACCTTTGTGATTGGATCAAACAGAGGAGCTACGTCTGATCCAGTCTGATAAAACGCAGTACACAGCTTCGTATGTGCACGGTTATGAGAATAAATGTCGGGACTGCGAAAGAGGACATGAACCACAGCTCCTATACATCTGCGAAAGGAAGGGGTGGCCAAGGAGACGCACGGAATGGAAGCGGGTTCAGCGACGAAACAACGGGACCCAGGTGCCGCACTGCTATCCCCTTCCAAATGATGACGGCAAAGGATACAGATGAAACCAATACCTTTACCTTGGTATGTTCTAAATCAAAACAGTTAGCAGCTTCCTTCTGAATTCAGACTTTGACGCCCACCGCTACAAACCTTGCAATTGTTTAACATTCAGCTTCCCACTGCGCTGGCGAGGGACCGGACGAGATGCCGAGTGACGACAGGAAAGAGCTGTAAGACAGAGTCGACGTTGGCCGCGGAAAGTAAGTAGGAATGAACTGAGGCGGGAGGCAGGCACGGCGTCTGTGGATCTTCGCCGATCAAAGATCTACGCGAGCGCAAACCAAAATGCCCCTTGACAGTGAAGCACACTGACCCATCTATGATCTATCCATCAACCACCTAGGAATTCGCGAAGCTAGGAAGGCTTTGGGAGCAAGCACGGAACTGACTTCCAGCATATAGGTAGGCAGGACAGGCGAAAGGGATACGTTGTAGGGTCTGCGCGTCACCGAGGTAACCGTTTCGGCGGCGGAAGCTCATGACTGGAAACGAATGGGTCTGTTGCAGAGACCAGAGGAAGGGGATTGCAGGAGACGAATCTATGGGCGCCCAGCGCCGAGAACGCTGTGGTGAAGAAAAATGGGGGAAATATAGATTTTTTTGGGATATGTGGCAGTTCTATGTTTGATGTCTGCTTGGAGGGAACGATAAGTACGACCCGCACAGGTGACAAGTGTGGATAGAGAGAAGGCAAATCATATAGTCACAGTACGATACAAAGGGACCCTGTCCAATGTCCATCAAAGATCGTGTTTGAGAGCACGAGCTTCTCCTGCTCCCAATCCATCAGGTCCTATGGAACGCTTTGGAGAAGTTCATCGAGATGAACGAAATGAATAGTGCCCCAGTCCACGCTGATATTACAGCAACAACAGCGACAGAGATAGCTTGGGCAGACAGTACGGCGCCAATGGAGGACATGGGCGAAACCATCTCGAACAATGTTCGCAGATGTTCTGATATTGGGGATGAAACACGTCCGATTCTCGGGCCCAGGAGAGGTCCAGTGAGGGCCTCAACCACAACGAATCCAACCCACGCCTGCAGGTAGACATGGCGAGTGACTGCATGCCTTGCCCACTGTATCGCATACAACGCTGGTCCTTCAGACCCCCGGCATTTGCTGTGGCGTGAACAGGTGTCGATGCCTGTGGCGTAGCGAGTACCGTAGGCAAGGAGAAGGGATGCAGAGATTGTGGAGAAGGAGAGAGCACACCAAGATGCGTAGATCCAGAGCTCCCTGGGTGTACTGAACGGAAGGGTGGTAGGAATGGTGGCGTCCCAAAGCGTGCCGCACATGCTTTGAAACGATAAAGGATAGGAAGGGTTGCTCACGACGTTGAGGGCGATAAGTGCGAGGGGCGATGTTGCGAGGGCGAGTGGGAGTATTATCTGTGGTTGAATTAAGGCGGAAGGAATGGATCGGGGAGTCGGCGGAGTCTTCGAACTTGTCGGTAGAACCCCCAAGTCAATGGGGTCGCCATCCTCAATGTTCCCGCGGGCGAAATACTGGTGCAAATCCGGAAGGTAGACAACACCAGTGATGTAAGCCGGCAAAGCGAACCAATGGTTCGATCCACCAATCTTCGCAACAGTAATCGTGCAAAACGCGATACACGTGCAGATAAATAGGAAACGCCGGACGCTTGATGACCAAGGTAAAGGGAAATCGACAAACGAATGGGATTGGTAATGTTGGAACAGGGCGTAGGCGAGGTCGAAGGTGAACACTCGAATGAGGAAGTGGGTGTCAGGGGAGAAAAGGATGGTCGGGAGTCGGAGGGATTCCTTCATGTGATCCCAATCTCCTTGGAAATAACCTTGCGCTGTGAAGGGGAGGACATATGCTAAGGCACCTGGGAGGAGGTACCGGATGGTCCTTGATCGCAAAAAGCTTGCGACGGATCCCCGCGCATGGAAAGAAAGATACGAGCAATAACCTGATATCAGGAAAAGGCTTCCCTGCACGAAAGTCCTTGCGACAGCGGTAAAGGCGAGCAGTAGGGCCAGTGGAATCGAGTCCAAGCATCGTTCCACCAGGCCCGAAGCTTTTAGGGTTCTTCTAACACCTGTTTCAGCAACAAGCAGAACGACCAGCGTCGCTCTCAAGTTATCGATGTAGACCCGTCGCGAAAATGCAATCGAACGCGTTCGTCGATGGTTTGGCCGTCGAGGTTTCGTAGTCCGTTGGGACACAGGTAACATCGTCTTCAGTGGGGATGCTTCGCGCATGGTATCGATTGGGGCTGGCTAAGTCCAGCACGTCTGCTGGAGGGTCAGGGTTATATACATCAGCAATCGGTAAAACATACCAAGAACATGTGGATTGACATCTCGGTCTCAGTAGACCGCCCGTGCCCGGGTGGTTTACAGCCCGTCGACCACCCTTTACGGGAGGTGATTCGACGTTGAGTCAATAATTCCCCCAAGTCACAACCAAGTCATCGATAGTACGTCGATACGCAGAAGTCGCAATCTAATGGCCGATCCTCGCGGCCAATCGCCTGGATTCTGTAATTGCATGCTGCCATCGAGGGACAGGGAAAAAATCTATGTCTCGAATTCGTTCAGTATCCGGCTTCTTAGGGCTCCATCCAAGAGAACTCACTTTGAAAGTCGAAAAGAACCAACATGGGGGTCCTTGTCGAACCACAGGCGGATGCCAATGCCATTGGGGAACCGAAATCTGCCGAGCAGCCAAGCCCAGCCTGTTCCGAGCGGAGATTCAAAACCAGCGCGGGCGTCTCTCTGCGTAGGCCCCGAGCGCTCTTTGACGATACGCAAATGCCTGAAGATGCTTGCAGTTTCACCAAGTCTGGCATGTCCAAGTACTTATACGGGCTATGATTCTATGAGTCGAAAAACATCCATAAATTTACTACAGGAATTAGTGGAGACCCCTCATCTCGAAACCATGGCACCCATTGGACACAGCCAGCGCTGAGCAGTGGCAAGTAACTTTGTTCGATATACTGCCAATAACTAATGTCAGCACCTGGTAGATAACGACATGAAACCATTCACCTTACAACATTCCTGCGGGCTAGCAGATCCTGGGTCGGAAGTTACATTGGAACGATTTCACTCCTCTTGATGACGAAATGTTAACCAGAGGATAGCTGAGTGTGGGTCCTGAACACGTACGATTTGGGTCCGTCGACCAGATCTGGTACCTTGGGTAAGGGCTCCGGCGAGTACACCTCAAACTCGGTCAAGATCGAAGAGCAGAAGATGAACATGACGTCGAACGCGAAGTGAACGCCAGGGCAGGACCTGGAAATCAGTTGTGACACCCGACCCTGGACTTAAGAAGTAAGGCGCCCACCTTCGACCGTATCCAAAAGCGACAAGAGCGGGATCGAGCGCGGGTTTGCTTGGATCGAGGAACCTCTCGGGCATAAACTCGGATGGATCTGGATAGTATTCTGGGTTATGGTGAATTGACCACGCATTCCCCAGTACTACTGTGCCTTTGGGGATTATGTATCCATCGTACACGTCGTCTTTGGCCACGACGTGGGGGAAGCCTCGACGAGCATCGCTTATTGGTGAACCAATCTAAGAGTAATTGAGAAGTAAACGTACAGAGAGGCGTGACAGTGATCCAGCGCAGGCCCTCTTTTATAGCGGCATTGAGGTAAGGCAGCTGATCGCGGTTATCGAAGGAGGGTAGATGTCCCGGTACGATGTTCGCATCGAGTTCATCCTGTATCTTCCTCTGAACTTCGGGGTAGATGCACATTGCATAGATGAAGCTGCCTAAGGCCCCTGCGACCTAGAGAGATGTGTAAGAGTTTACGGAGCTCTAGGCTGTGTTTGTACATACCGTATCGACTCCAGCTGAAAACGAGTCGATCGCAACGACCACATTTAGGCGAGTGAGTGAATGAAAGATTTACAAAATGGGGGCACGATGGATCGACGAACCTATGTGCGTGAGCGAAGCCACCTCGCGAAAAGTCCTTTCCATGTTGGAACGGGTTGGATCGTCGTGGTCGGGTAGTCGTTCAATCATGTCAGAAGCCATACAGGATGAAGCCTCGCCTCTCTTCTGCCAACACGGAACCAATGCCACTATAAGTCCCAACGATGTCCAAGGACAGCAATAGCACCTTACCATCCTCTCTTCGACTAACCGGAATGGGTGATCCTGGAGCTTATGAATTAATTCCTTTGATTCCTTACCAAACCGCTGGAATCCTGCGCCAGGGAGCCAGGCGGGGACATATTTGAGGAACGGCATCACATCGACAAGGAACCGCCCGGGGAGGGCGGCTTCTTGAAACCTATCGACCACGCCTTGGATAGTTTCGTTGTAAACCTTGCTGTCGTCGATATCGAATCCGTACGTGACCTTGATTATGACGGATGTCGTGAACCTGTGAAGGGTCAACATTCCATTCCATCGTTGATGCAGAACGTACACGATGCTCACCTGGTAACGAGAGTGGGAGCGTCATGATTGTTGGGATTCAACCTTACTCGCTCAATGAGCTCTTGCACCCGTTCCCTGAGCAGAGGATGGTATTTCTTGTTCTCGCTCTGCGTAAAGTACTGCGCAAAAGTCTTCCTCTGAAGTCGCCACCGAGGGCCGTAATCCATGGCTACAAACATATTATCCCACCCCATTCTACACCGGCGCTTATCAGAGTTTCGAAGAAGGAACGGCGCTCGGAACAGGACTCACAATCCTCGCAACATAGGCATCGGTGGCCTATTTGAGTAGAGCAACGACCGCTTCTCCAGCAAGTCTTCAATGCGGCGCAACGAGTCTAAAATTAGAATGGGCTGGTTTAGGGCTTTGATGAAGACTATATCGCCTGATAATGGAACGTTACTTTTACTACCCAGCTCCTGGTTTGTTGGCTGGCTCACCGTGCTGGGCAGCCCACTCCTTGTAGACAACCCACGGATATTGGAGCGGTACGTCTAGTATATTTCCGATGATGGGGTATCCTCGCGGCCCTGGCGGGTATGGGAGCTTGGCGGAGGAACTCTTGGGCGAAAAGAGGGCCCATACAGCGGCGAGAGCGCCTAATCCAAGTGTAATCGCCGTGAATGAATGTCCCGGTAACTGTTTAATGATCGAGTCCGAAATCCGCAAGACGTTAGAGACCATTTTCCGGGGGGAGGTCTGAGCAGTTGACGAGGGGGAGAAGTCAAAGGGAATTTAGGAAGTCAGCCACGGGTCCCTGAGGTGGTGTTCTACTGGTATCATAATCGAACCATTCGTCAATTAATCTATCTTTAGGTCCCATATTACCGGCGTACATTTTATACTGGCTGTCACGGTCGTCCAAGTTTGGCTAGCTCTTTTCCCCGACTGCACGGTCCTCCTTGAGGCGCGGACGAAGTTGGCAGTGGAGTAGGCTCAAGATCAAATCTTCGATGAAGTAATAAGTATCGACCTTAGCTTTCCGATAATGATCAGGAATTAGTCACAAAGTTACAATAATAACACTTGATTGTAGTTCTAATTCAATATGTTGCCGATTCTTACACTTGATTTATGGATTTCTCCGCCATCGGGATCACAGCGCCCTCCTCCTCATCCCCCGCTTTCCTTTTTCCACACCACCAGATCGCCCCAACCAAGTTCACCAAACTCGGCCACACCATCGTTGCCACCTGTGCAATGAACAGCCAAACCGACACCATATCCGTCTCCGAAACAATATTATTCTTCTGCACGATCAGCTCCATCCAGAGCACCAGCGGCCACGTAAACAGCAACATGGTAGGTGGACCCCACAGGATTGCTGTTTCCCTCCACAAAAGGAAGTCGCGACTTTGAATACTGAAGATCGTCTCGGGATCGAATGAGATAATCACTCCCCAGATGATGCCGATGAAGACTGAGGCGGCCACGACCAACGTATCGTTTATCTGCCATAAGAGGAAGAAAATCCGCCAACCCTTCGACAGTGTCCTCCATCCGAAAAAGAAGAACTGGTACACCCCGTCTCCTTCAGGTAGGTTCGTCTTGAGACTGATCCATGCAGTTACGGTGTTGAGGATCATCAGCCCCGCCGTTCCCAGCCCTAAAGGTACGCCTATGAATGCATTCCCGGCTGTAATCCCTCCGAGATAAGTGATGGCGTAGACCAGGTTGAGGTGCACGGGAAGGAGGGATAGCGCGTGTAGTTCGCGTGATTTGGCGGCCATGTACCAGCTGTATTGCTGGTACCAGTTGAAGGCGAGGAAACCGAGGTTGCTGGGGCAGTGGCTGCCGACGCCAGAGAGCGCCTGGGCGGGAGTGAGCATGATGCTGGTGTAGAGGAGCCAGCGGTTTGTGAGGCTGAAGCCCGGTATGACTTGGTTGATTACTTGGGAGGCCATCGTCGCATGGAAGTCTGTGAGACTCGGTGAGGGAGGGGCGAAATAATGGAAAGCGATGCGATGGACTGGAGCGCTGGGCCTTTTGACCGAATAGATGCTCTGCGGGAACCATCAATGGCGCTGCCAGAACAAAGGTACCGACCTGTTAACCAGTCACTTGAGCGCTCGACGTCAGGTACTTACCCTGTCTGTCCATATCACGAGTCGTTATGTACCTGGTTGCAAATTAATCTTCAGACCCGGTGCAGACGTTGAATGTTTTATTTGCCCTATTAGGCAACCCAGTAGATCCACAGTCAGGTTCAATCAGGTGCAGCCGCGATGTTGACAGCCCCTATCATCGGATTTCTTCCAGGAACGACAGTCGGTGAGCATCCCTGGTGTATCTTCGTCAGTCTCTGCCTCCAGTAGCGTCGCCTCTAGCCTTGTTCAATTGCACCGCGCAGTCGATGACCCAAGAGTAGCTCCAGCCGAGTCCAGGTGGCATGCACTGCCATGGTCTGACCATCGATCCTTCTGTGTCGTTCCGTCCCGAGATACCCAGGCCACATATTTAGCGGTTTTTCCCAAGAGTTTACCAAACTTCTCCACGTCGCAGCACTGGGACCCAAGTGGACGAAAGCAGGATCGGAGGACAAGGCGCGAGGGCGCGCTAAACGCGTCGGAGCCTTAACCACTAACGCCGAGACGCGTCGGGAAAAGTTCCCACCATCCAACTTTGTTTAACGCCAGCCACCGTGCGAACGAATATTCAATCTCCGCCCGACCCAGCTTGATCTCTTCCCATCGTCGCGTACGACGCGCCCGACGCCCCGCGCCCTCCGAACGTCTTTCCCGCCTCCCGCCGCCACACACGACGACGACCAAGACGTCGACGACGTCGAGCTCGGACCTTTATATGCGAGAAGCCGCTTTTTGATTGAATGTTTAGGCCGGTTTTATCGAATTTGACGGCAATCAACCATACAAGCAATATCTTGGACCCTGTTTCGAATTTCGAGAAAGCCACAAGCAAAGAAGTTGGGTTTGGACCGTTGGGAACGACTTTAGCACCGTTGGGGACTAGTGCAAAGGGGAAATTAGGGGCCTTGGAAATGGATTTGAGCATGAATCCGTTGTTGGCCAACGCGTTTGCGAAAAAAGCCAAGGTGCGTCGTATTCTCGTCTTATTTGACTTGTTCTGACTGTCTTCTTGTAGAAATCAGCTACCAAACGCAAATGTATATATTTTAATTGGGTTTTTTAACGCGTCGAACTGACTTTGACTTGGTCATTTTATAGTGAATACGACCGAAGATGTGCCAAACGGCCGAGTTGTTGTGCGCACACCAGAACCACAGTCTTTCTCGCAGCCTACGACGTCGACAACGACAGAAACCCACGATGTGCGCCCCCGTGCATCGTCTTCCCAGCCCATGGCACGGCCAGCGAAGCCTCCAGCGAAGAAGTTCCGTGCAGAGTCTCAGCCAGTTGCAGGCAAGCCGCCTTCCACGTCGCACCGTCGTCTCGAGTCTTTGCGGGAAGAAGACGACGCAGCTAACACGTCCGACGCCGACCTTGAACGCGACGTGCGAGCCATGGAGGACGAGGCCGACAATCTGCGTCGCGCATCCCGGGCACATACCACCATCGACCCAGGGCTTCTCACCACACCGAACAACAACAATGCACGGTTCAACTTTCCGAAACCGCCGTCGTCATCCTCACAAACAACCAATGCCGGCAAGAAACCAAGCAGTCGAGGGAAACCTCGGTCGAAATCGACGTTCATGGACGTGGACACGCAGGTGCCGATAGCGGAGAACGAGACGCCCCAGATACAGCGGAACAAGAAGTTGAGGGAGGGTGCGATGGCTGCTATCGCTGAGGACGCAGAGGATGATGATAGAAGGGGTGGAAGATCGATGGACCGGAGTCAGCAAAACCAGAGACGGAGGAGTTCGTTGTCGCGGGGGAAGAGGATAAGCACGTCGTTCGAGGCTACAGGTGTCATTAGTGCGTTGACTGCCTTTTAGTTCTTGTAGGGGGAAACTAACGGTGAAACGACAGCCCAACCACATAACTCTGTCTCAGAAGCTAGTTTTTACAAACATATCGACGCAGACCTGCCAGATGTTGAGCGAATACGACAACTACTGATATGGTGCGCATTACGCGCAGCAGCGAAACCCTCTCTTCCCTCTTCCTCATCCGCCTCTTCCTCCACCGCGCCGCCCTCCGACCTCCCACCGCTCTCCGCGCATGCTCAGGCCGCTCTGAAGAAGATGCAGGACGACTTTGTACGGATGCTAGCCGAAAAGAAGGTCGACCTGAGTCCTCATTCAACGGATCCTCTTCCTCCACCTCCAGAAGGCGTCACACTCCGCGAGAACGAGCAGAACGTGAGGAATAGGCAGTGGGAGGTGCGGTATAGCAGTCACATTCAGAGGTGAGTTCTCTGGGTAAGTGTACAAACTCGTGGGCTGAATCGACATTTGCAGGGCTCAAGCAGAGGACGAGGCATGGAAAAAGGTCTCGTACGAATACGACGCATACTGCAAGAAGCTTTCGTCATCGCTCGAGAAACGGAAGCGGGCATTGCATCCTCCTTTACCTCCCCCACCGCCATCGAAAGGGAAAGCCAAAGCTTCAACAGCCGATGGCGACGTCGAAATGGAACCGCAAGAGGACGACGACGCAGTGATGGAGACATACCTCAATGCTTACCCCCAACCACACGAACTACCGCCTGCGTTCCAGAATGGAGCAGAGTTAGCAAGGAGAGTTTTACTTCAGAGTCGACAGCGATATCACCCTTCATCTTCCCGGCCCGCTACATCCTCGCGACACTCAATATCATCACCAGCGACACCCGACCTCGAATCCTCCCTCTTAGCTCGCCTACCAACTCTCCAGTTCAAACTCGATATGCTCCACACATACGCCAACCAAGCACGTGCTACGACCGCGATCTGCGAACGGATCCTCGACGAGCGATACCGGCTCCTCAACAAATCCTTGGATAGACGGATGAGGAGTGCGTCTGTACCTCCGATTTCTGGAGGGAAAGACGCAAAGGGCAAGGGTAAAGGAGCGGATGAGGGATCGAGTGCGTCGAGATCACACGTCCTCACGACTTACATCCGTCGGTCACCCTCGCCTACACGAACACTCTATCCTTCAACCACAATCGCCACTTCTCACTCCGGGCTATCGAGAGCGCAGTCCGTTCCTCCACCTCCACCGCCGCTACCCTCGACTTCGAATATTCCATCGCCGCATACATTGTTACGCGCACTCACGCGGGTGGATGCTGCACGGCCACCGCAGCAGGTGGGTGAAGCAGCGAGGCGGGCGGCTAGGGAGGTACAGAGGGTGGAGGAGAGTGGGAGAGGTGCGATTGCGGGTGAGCGGAGGGTTACGGTTTTGCCTAGTATGGTACCTGGCACACCGCGGCGAGCGGGTGGGGGTATCCCTGGTACACCTGGACGAAGTCGGACCCCTGCTCGGGAGCCTCGTACGCCTGGCCGGGAACGGACGCCTGCACGAGAGCGGTAATTGTTGTTTTATACATATCTGCTTTTGGATTTCGTCTTCTGTTTTCTTTTCGAGCTTTGCGACACCACCGATGCTTTCAATTCTTTTTTTAGTACTGTTGTAGGTTTATCTGATGCTTTATCTTTATCTCGCTTTCTGTGCTCAATGGAATGAATGATTTTGCAAACTGCATGGAGGGTTACGACCGTGACTCGGGGCCCGGGGCTGACGACTTCTGGGGGGTGTTTGCCACGGGTTAGGGGGAATTACGAATCCGGCAAGCCGTTGCCCATTTCTGAATCTGAATTTAAGTCTCCGCTCGGCGGGTTGGTATATGAACCCTGTCCGTGTTCATTTCCCTCTCTCCCCGTCTTTTCTTTCCTTCCCCCACACCCCAGACTCGACTCACGCTCCCCAACCAGGCCCCCGCCTTTATTTATTGAACGCTTCGCCGTTCGCCCTATACATTACCTCCAACAGAATATAACCATGGTACTCAAGCTCTACGGTTGGTCCAAGTCGACGTGCACCCAGCGAGTCGCCACCACGCTGCATGAGAAGAAGGTCCCCTTTGAGTTTGTTATGGTCGACCTCTTCAAGGGCGAGTCCAAGACGCCCGAATACCTCATGAAGCAACCTTTTGGCCAGGTGCCGTACTTGGTGCGTTTGGGATGGTTCCTCTTCATCTTCGCACATATTCATGCAAGGCGGGTTGACTGACCTCAACGCCATATAGGACGATGACGGTTTTATTCTCTACGAGTCCCGCGCCATCGCTCGTTACATCGCCGAGAAGTACGCCAACCAGGGCACCAACCTCATCCCGATGAAGGACCTCCAGTCTCGTGCTCTGTTTGAGCAAGCCGCCTCCATCGAGACGGCTGACTTTGACCAGTTTGCCGGCAAGGCGGTTTTTGAGATGGTCTTCAAGCCGTGCGTAGTATTGCTCCGGTTCTTCAGCTTGCCAGCCGCCGACCGATCACTCGTTTAGGATGATGGGTGGCAAGTCAGACCAGAAGGTCTTCGACGACCTCATTGCTACCCTCTCGAGCAAGCTGGATGTGTACGATAAGATCCTCGCAAAGCAAAAGTATCTCGCTGGCAACGTGAGTCCTGGGTCTTATTCTTTCCTCGCTTTCTTGCTCACCTTGGTGATCACCATCAGGAAATCACCCTTGCGGATCTCTTCCATCTTCCTTATGGCGTGTTGCTCTCGACAGCTGGAAGTGAGATTATGCAATCCAAGCCCAACGTGGCAAGGTACGTCCTGTTCTCTGACTTGAAAGGGCAAACACGATCCTGACTGGGAGTATTACTATCAGGTGGTTCAACGAGATGCAAGCTCGTCCTTCTTGGAAGGCTGTCAAGGATGGCGTTAGTAGCACCGCCTGACTAGCAGAGGTTCAAGCGAGGCTTTAGTCACTGGCGAAGCCTTGCCTTACTTTGTAGTCCTGTACATTGCAGCTCGTTATTGATAGTTTACGATAAGTATTGACGAAAGATGGGAGATTTGCTATGATAGATCATAGGGGGGCTCCGATCAAATTCGTCCATTGAGGGAATCACCAGCGCTTGGCACCTGGCGCTGGCACGGGTTAGTCTTCGTCCAACACGACCGATTGGCCCATCTTCTCAATTCACAGACTTGAAGTCGAGGTTTCGATCCCTCCACGCACTATTTGCTAGATCAGAAAACTACAAAGACATTCTTTCCTCGTCACAAGTTCTTTGGATGCTTAGGTGCGCCCAGGTTTCGTATTCCTCCTGGATCGAGTGGACTGACGATCTTTATATTGTCCTTCTGTCAGGATGTAGGACCCGTGCCCGCATTGACCGGTACTGTGTGCCAGTCAGAAGACGCTCGTGAAAGACCCGTCCAGAGTGATGGACTGGACAACGGTATTCCCCCCGAGAGCGTTGCGATATCGGCGCTTCTTTCGCAGCGGTCAAAAGCGACCGCGTTCATTCGTCGTTTCAAGGGGAGGGGACGAGGTGGGAATGCAGTGGAGTTGAAGCTGACGTTGTCGTTCACCTTCCATTCTCCAGGTCAGTCTGTCAATTCGGTGGGAGCCAGCGTATCGTCCTCAGCCACTTTCCTTCTAGTGGCATTCGGCTGCCGCTTGACAAAACCTTCCACATCCGATTGAAAAGATTGCAGCACATGCCCAGCCAACGTAATGGAAGTGAATGGATTACCTATCGTTTGTGTCAGTTTTCTTCCAGGAACACGGTCCCTGTCATACCGCAGGGTCCCATGATATCTGGCCGCTGAGCGAGGCGATAAAGGGAAACTCGAAGGCGGCGGACCTGATGCATATAACCCCAGAATTTCCTCGAGTCTACAAACTTCCCCCACTCACTATGACCACTAACACTGCGACGTACTATGCGCTTTGGATAGCTGTGCCGGCTCTCGTGTCCTGGCTTCTTCTTCGAAAGCGGAGACGGAATCCTCGACGACTTCCGCGACCGCCTGGTCCGAAAGGGATGCCTCTCATCGGGAATGTGTTGGACATGCCTGCAAAGTTTCAGTGGAAAGTATTTCAGGAATGGAAAGGCAAATACGGTACGTGCTCCCTCATTTACCACGACTATGCGTTGATTTCGTCGTTTCATAACTCCAGGCGATATGATTTTCCTCGAAGTTCTCAATCAGCCCATTTTGGTGCTGAACTCGCTGTCCAGAGTAGAGGACCTCCTCGAGAAACGTTCGTTGAACTACTCGAACCGACCGAAAGCACCGATGCTGCGAGAATTGTAGGTTTCTTTCCGCCGCTTGCCCTACGTAGATTCATCTGACGTCCCTTCAGAATGGGGTGGCAAGATATCTTCCTTGTCATGGACCTTGGGCCGCGACTTCGCGACTACCGGAGGACATTTGCGCAATATTTCACGCAGGCGAAGGTTCAGCAGTATCACCCCGCTAAGCTCGAATGTGTACAACGCCTTGTTTCCCGTTTATCCGATAATCCCAATGACATTGTTAAACAACTCCACACGTTCGTATATCATGCTCGCTATCTTCCAATTCCTCATTTTCGTTAACTTGCTTCCACAGATACACTGCAGATGTCATCGCCAAAGTGGTATATGGCTTTAATATCGAAGATCATCCACGGTACATAGCCCTGACAGAGAAAGCGGTGGAGTCCTTCGAAGAGGCGGCAATCCCTGGACGATTCCTGGTGGACGTATTTCCATTTTTGAAGTACATCCCAAGCTGGATGCCCGGGGCCGGATTTCAGAGGTTCGCTGTGGAATCTAAAAAGTCTATCAGACAGCTGTTGAATCATCCCTTTCACATTGTCGAAGAGAACATGGTAAGTATATATTGGAGCTAAAACACCCTATGATAGGTCCAGCTCAATTATCTTTGATCACACCAGGCTCGAGGAAGTGCTTCGTCGTGCATCGTTTCGGACATGGTTGAAAGGCTACCAGAAGACGGTACGGCCAGGGAACAAACTAGGACTATGTTTCGCCACGTCGCTGGGACTGCTCATATAGGTGTGTTATTTTGTGGTCTACTGCCTCGAAGTATTCACGTCTTTCTCGGCCGTACCAGGTGGCTCAGATACAGTAAGTGATAGACGTGATGTATAGGACAATGGGGCCTTTTGAAAACCGACTCTTTCTAGACCTACTACGTTGGTTTACGCGATGTGTCTGTATCCCGAGGTACAGAAGCGGATCCAGGCAGAGTTGGATGCACAGCTTGATCGAGGGGATCTCCCGACCTCTGAGACTTGCGAGAATTTGCCATACCTCAAGGCAGTCGTCAAGGAATCGCTGCGTTGGGTGACTGTTGTGCCTTTTGGTGGGTAGTACCCTAATTGTTCCTACTCCCCTCGGCCAGAGCTGACGATACTACTATTAGCATTCCCTCACGTCGTGGCCGAGGACGATGAATACGATGGGTACTTCATCCCAAAGGGTACCGTTGTGCTAACGAACAATTGGTGGGTATATGCCGAATTTCCTGAATCAATTGGGTGCTGAAAGTATCGGTTCCATGACCTAGGGCCATTCAGCACGATTCCGAGCTCTACTCGAATCCATTCAAATTTAATCCTGAGAGGTTCCTTGATCCCTCTAACAAGGCTCCTGATTCGAGCGCGACCGCGTTTGGCTACGGCCGTCGGTACGTTTGTTATTATCGCTGTAGTAATGGAATTCAGTCGACTGAACTACATATTCCCCAGCATCTGTCCCGGGATGCACTTTGCCTTGGATACGTTGTATATCTTCACCGCCTCTCTTTTGCACACTTTCGAGGTTTACTCGCCTACACCGCTCTCGGAAGATTTGGATTTGATCGATGGGCCTTTATCGTAGGTGCTCAGACCATACTTCTTGATCATCGTTGCTGATCAGAATGCTTTAGCGGGCTTCCTCACTTTGTGTGCAACGTTCGGCCAAGGTCCAGTGGGAGAGCTGCATCATAATGTCGAACTCGAATAGTAGGGGTGGTGTTGGATGATCTAGTACCTGAGCTAATGACGACGTTGCTCCTTTTCATTGTTCAATCACCCCGGTTCTAAAATACAGGCCACTCCCCTCCGCTGTGGGCGGCTGGGCGCGACGCTCGTGTTGCTAAATTTAGCTTTTTTTAGTGCGAAGCCAAGGTATCTTCCGGTTGGCGCTCATGTTCAGCGGTGAACAGCCAGCGCCCTGGCTAATCACCTTATCGGACGTAAATGTAGCGTTTCTGGCTGTGAGTATTTCTTGATGGCCCCAAACGCCAATCCAGGCAAGTAGACCAGTGGTTCCTGGACAGCCCTAAGAACAGGAAATGACGCCGAGATGGATGAAAGGTATATAAGACCCCATGTCTGAGGTGACAGCCTTTTTCCTGGCAGGGCAGGCCCCTCGTCCATACCCATCACATATCCGTCAGAATGGCAGGAAGCATACAGTAAGTCGACGGCAGATGCGGGCACGTTTACGCTTCTCATCTCCTTCCCCAGATTTCTTGAAATGAGCCTCCAATGTTCGAGCCTGGGTACGTGAACCTCAGATCTATGACTATGAGTACGATTCTAATTGCCATGTGCTCACAGCGCTCATATATTACGATTATCTCATTACCCTCAACCGGGAAATTCGATATGTGTGGCAGCGCCCTTTCGCGCCCATGACTATCGCCTTCGCCTTCTGTCGCTATTCGCTCGTCGCCAACATCAGCTTCCTCGTCGGGCTGTTCAACAAATACCATCACACTAGGGTGAGTGCACATATCCTTCTTCTACGTCTATCCGAATCATGATTAGAGACTGATGGTGGTTCTTCTATTGTCTTTATTTCGTTTCAGTTCGCCAATCCTGGTTGCTCGTCGAAGTTTCTGTTTAACGGATCAAAAACAGATGCGATGATCTCTACCTGTTCTCGGCGGTCTTGAGTGTGCTGGGTCGGATAGGTGTTATGGGTGCGTCGAATACACTCCCGCGCAACTAAGCTCTTCACTCAAGCTACATGTTACCATAGCGATTTTGGGAGGAAGGGCATGTTCAGTCTGGCAAGGAAACAGATATGTCGTCCTGCTATTCTCAGTGTTGGGCTGTGCAGTGTCCCTCGCTGCCATGCTACACGTCCCTCGAGTCTCGTGTAGCGGCTTGAAGATTCAGGAAAACCGAATGTGAGTGCTAATACGATGCGGTTGAATACAGAACCCTTTTCTGAACATGTCCATCTTTGATTATAGAGGTACGCGCCCAACGCCAGTGCTTTTCAAGCTATCAAACTCAGGAATGTATTACACCTGTAGCAACCGACGTTCTAGCCATCCTCACTGTTGTCTATGAAGTATTTTCAGCGAGCTTTCTTGTGATCGGGTGCTTCAGAAACTTTGACTCCCTTCGGGTTGTGAAGAGGGATGGGTTGATAATGCTTTTACTGAAGGAAGGTGCGCCTCAAACCAGCCGTGTATTAATAGTTTCAAACTCAAACCTCTCGTCGGACGATGGCAATAGGCGCCCTCTTCACAGTGTATGACATCAATCCAGTTTCGCATGAAGAGCGTTCGTCTAACATCCACCATCTAGCTTTGTTACAGGACTTACAGCTACGGGCCTTTGGCTGAACTATGCCGCCCCAGTAGGTCAATGCTGTATCATTCGTCCGCAGATGCTCTCAACTTTAGTCAACAGGTCGGATCATTCTGGCAAAGGCTCCTAAACGCTTTCCTGATTCCGTACGCTCCCTATATCTTGCTTTAAGTATCTTGTTAATATTAACCGTTGACCAGGATATCAGGAATGATGTCTGCACGTTTTCTTCTCCACGTCCGAGAATGGGAAGAGTTGAACCAGAAACTTCGCTTTTTCGACGCACTTCCGGAGGCTGAGAGTTTCAACTCAGTCCCGGATTTCGTGCTTCCGAGATGGAAGTCAGATGAGGTCCCGAGATCCTCGATAGAGCTACATACGGAAGGTAATTTCTCAGTAGATAGTAGTCTGAGAGCACGGAGCAGAGAATCAAATTCAATGGTGTAAGACGCAAACAGGGACGGAGGCCTGGTAGATAAGATGGTCTGATAAGATAAGATCAACATCTATCAACGCTAGCCCAATCCTTCAAGTTCGGCCTCGTTGGAACTTCGTTTCGAACCTTGACGTGGATCTGGTCAACCTACCTAAAACACAACACAAGAGTCTCGCCCGCCTGGACATCATTCCTGATGACACAAATCGTCTCTACGTCTCCCACCACCGCTGGCAGTGTCGACATCTTGATCCTAGGAGCTGGCTGGACATCCTCATTCCTGATTCCCCTGTGCATGGACCGGTCTCTGCTCTACGCTGCTACAACCAGGGACGGCCGAGATGGTACTCTCAAATTCGTCTTTGACCCTGAATCTGCCGACCTGGAACCCTATCGCGTTCTCCCGGATGCTCGAACTGTGCTGATCACTTTCCCTATCACAGTTGCTGGCGGATCTGTAAATCTCGTCAAATCATACATCCAAAGTCGGGACGATGCTTCACGAGACCAGGTCGCCAGAGAGGCACAGTTCATACAATTGGGAACAAGCAGTGTCTGGGATGTAAGTTGTAGTTGATCGCATGCCGAAATTGATCACCAACTGGATCAACTTTTCGTTCCGTAGGGAGGGCGAAGAGCGAAGGGGGCATCGGCGCCGCCAAAACCAGTCGAAAACAAGTGGTACGATCGACATAGCCCCATTGTCCTTACAGATCGAGCCAAGGAGGAAGAAGAACTCTTGGGATTAGCCAGCGAATACGGTATAACCGTCTTAAACCTGGTTGGTCTGTGGGGTGGTAGCCGTTCGCCCAAGAACTGGGTAGGGAAGGTTGCGCCAACCAAAGATGCCCTGAAAGCAAAGGTAAACCTCGTTGTCTGGAAGAAAGGCTCCCTTTGCTGAAAAAATGACAGGGAAACATCCATCTGATCCACGGGGTCGACGTCGCTCGATCTATCCTCGCCGTCCATTCAAACTTTGCGAAAGCGAGAGGACAACGTTGGGTTGTGAGCGACGGTCGTGTATACGATTGGTGGTCTCTGGCCTCAGTTTGGGGAGGAACCCCAGGCGATCCCAGTGACAAAAAGGAGGAGGATGGAGACAGAGGACCGTATGCTCGCTGGGTTCGCGAGTTAATGGAGGAGGCCGGGGTCAGAGCGTTACCTCGAAACATTGAGGTTTTGGGACGTGCAATCGATTCACAGGAATTCTGGAGAACATTCGAACTTACCCCTACCAAGACGTTGTTGGGGGACGGGTGCTGACGGTGACGAAAGCGGTGGGTGCCCTTCTTGACAGACAAAAGTCAGCTGTATTGATTCAGTCTTTCATGACAAAAGCCTTTACAGGTAGACCAAGTACCGGATCGGCTTTTTCTTTATTGTTCATCGCACCTTGCCGTAACCGTATTCAATTGTTGGTGATTAGCAGGTCCGCAATGTCCATCAGAACACAAGCTCGTCTGGAAAAGCTTTTTGATGTTTAGACTTCCCATAATAGGACGTCGTTCCTAGCAGCGAGAAGCGTCGTGCGTTATTAACTGTACAGTGGGTAAAGAATGTCGCTATTTCATCTTTATCACATCGTCCAAGCTTCATATCAGAATAGCCGAGACGGGAGATAACAGCAGGGGGTGTAAAGATAGCTTGCCAGACACCACCCCACATGTCGGCAACTTGACTAGTCCTTTCAAGGAAATGGATGCCTTGATTCGGCATGGGACATACACAAAGGCTGTCACGTTTAAATGAAGACCGTCTGCGTGTCCTGATAATAGATACACCTCCCCTTGACAGCGTCCATATCGCAAGGCCTCTCAATGCTCCTCAGAACTCTGTCCGCTATCGCAATAGCCCTATGTGAGTATAACCAAACCCTCGAAAGCGCCTTCAGTTCTGTTGCTAACAATATTCAATTGCTCTCAATTACAGTGTCTGGGCTGCTCCTGGCCACTCCAGCAAGGACCCAAAACTCGACAGGCTCCCAGGCACTTGGTGACTGGTTTATCAACGACTTCTACCCCTCAGCACGCGACAATGTCCTCGCTCCTTTCGAAGATGGCACTTTCTCGCGAGATATCGTTTCCAAATCCAACGACATTACCTACAGTTATCGAAAAATGAAGGTGGGTACCGTATTTCGATCCTCGCTCAAAATCATGATGTCCTGAGATTTGTGGCCCACGTCGGCCAACGCAGAAAGGCTGGATTGAATTCGGTGAATACATGAAGACGCTCGACGAGTGGACCTTCACTCCGGTCAGCACTGTTGCTTATGCTACCGACGATCTTGGGTGCGTACACGACGACTTGCCTTTCCACGATCCACTTTGATCTGAGGCTAAATGGACTGTTTCTTCAGCCTTGAAGGATCAATCATTGCCTCAGGCGAAATTTCCGTTCGCACGAAGAATGGAACTGTCTTCACGGGAGGCAAGAATGCTGTCTACGTCTGGGTAAAATACAACCGTAGACTGGGTAGACGAGTCATCAAAGAGTGGAGGGAGGTGTATCAGGCGCCGCCTGGGTCTCTCGATCATCTCCAGTAACTGTCTGTCGTAGGTCGATCTATGTCTAATCCTAGTCTACCAAGTTGTGAGAACGAATCGCGTCAATGTAACTCTACAATCCCTGCCAGACCCTTCAACTTCTCCATCCCATTTCCAGACAGACTCGGAGGAGGGTCAGGACGCGAAGGAAGGCAAAGTTCCTCCAATCGACATCCCAATCTAGCGCGCGCTTCAAGAGCATCTACAAGTTCTATTTCTAAACCGCTGGAGAAGTTTTGAGCGATCACAGCCAGCGCCTTGAGCTTGGGGAAATAGGGCGCCGGGGGAGTCTCTCCTTCAACTTCTGACGGGACAGGATCGTTTGCGGGACTTCGGAGAGCAGGATCCCTTCTAATCCAATCTACGAATAGCTCCGAGGTCGAGTCGCTGGTGAATATCTTTCCCAGCGCTGGGGACGCTTCCGAGATGGCCTCGCAGAAAGGTCCGGTATCTGAACCACGAAGTCTCCCGAGGTCGAGGGATTCGATACGGCGGAGGGGGAGGATCGGAAGGGAGATGGTGTCGTCGGCGGGGAGTGCGGGCTCCGAGAATCCCAAAATGATCTCGTAGTGAGGCAGGTTGCCTATATCCCCTGGGGCAATGGACCCCGTGAATACAAGTTCTGAGCCTGGTGTTTGGTATCTAATTTCTAGGTGGTGCATGGGAAACTCCTTGGAAAGTGGGTGCTCGACGGGGGACGTGGCCTGCGAGAAAGGGGCTGAGAACCAAGAGGAGGAAAGGGCGGCTCCCAGCTGTCGACTAGCAGCCTGGTCAACCGACCAACATGTCATTACGAACCACAACTCGACTGGTAGGTGGAGGTGGGTAAGCAGGGTGGCACATTTAACGGCTGAGCCGCTGAAGTTGAAGTGTTGGAGGTTGGGGAGGGCTACGATCCGGGATTCAGCAAGGGGTGCTCTGTCGTCGAAGGCGGACATTACAGCAGTTCGCGGTACATAGGGCGCGAGCCCAAATTCAACCAAAATTTGATGCGCGGCCACAACGTCAAGCTGGTGGCAGCCGCGCCAGCAGTGTTGGGCCCATATCTCCCGCTTAAGTAGTCCGTGCATTGTAATTTTTAGTGCGTTTAAAACGTAGAGAAAATGCGAATCGAATGATATAGTTTTTATTATAATCGTCCTACTACATGGAGTGGAAGACGACATATACTGCTGGCATAGACAGAAAATCTTTAATCAGGTGCTGTGCATCATCATCTTCTACCACCACCACAATGCCACCCAAGAACAAGGCCAGTGGCGAGCAACATTTGAAGAAGGCCACTCGACGCTCTAATTGACTTCAACCTGAGCCAAAAGCCCCAGAACCTCTCCCCGAGCCACTCAAGATCAGGATCATTCGGGCAGTGGTTGATACTGCACCTTCCCATGAAGAAGCCTCAAACCGCTCGACTCCGGCTCCTTCAGCCCACCAGGAGAAGAGACAACGTAATGATGGAAGGGAGGAGTATGTTGATGCAGGAGACGAGCACGAGAAGCTCAAAGAAATCCCGGAAGGTATGTTATCTCCCATCATCAGTCTACCGTAAGTACTCGTTCTTCGTTCGCATTTCTAGTGACATCTCCCACATCATGCCACGTCTTGAGAACGCGCTGAACGACACGCAGTGGGATGTCAAGATCAATAGCTATTGCTGTGGTGGTTTTCTCGAGGACCTGCTTCTGGTAAACAACCCGACACTTCAAGTCATTAGAATACCATTTCCTCTTTGGAATCAAGGGTTTTTTGCGTGGCATAGCGAGGAGAAGGCTTGCAGAGAGCGCTCTAGTGGGTCTGTACGCCAGTATCAAGATAATGGCAAGAAGGAATGGGTGATCCTGCTAAATGGTAGTTATTTGGGCAGGATTGATGATCTGGCGGTTATTTGTGCTAAAGTTCTGGCACGTATCTCAATAAAAATTGCATCATTCGATTCGCATTTTCTCTACGTTTTAAACGCACTAAAAATTACAATGCACGGACTACTTAAGCGGGAGATATGGGCCTAACACTGCTGGCGCGGCTGCCACCAGCTTGACGTTGTGGCCGCGCATCAAATTTTGGTTGAATTTGGGCTCGCGCCCTATGTACCGCGAACTGCTGTAAATTGAGTTCCACGAGATTTGGCATTTCTGCCAACGCGTCCAAGAGAACTTGGAGGCGCGATAGAGGAGGTGGGTGGAGGCTGTTTGCGTAGTGAGTGATATTGAGTGTTGTTAGATTGTCAAAGCGAGGAGACGGATGCCACGGGAAGTCGCAATTCGTGAGGGTCAGCCGCTGTAGCTTCGGAGCGTGGTTCGCGAGGAAGTTGTCGGGGAAGATGGACTTCCCCGGGGTCATCAAAGAGGGGAAGGCAATATTGAGCTCCTCGAGTTGGGTCGCTGGGACTTTCAACAACGCGAGAGCTTGCTGGAGGCTGGCCGTTCCACCGTACATCCGCAATGCCCTGAGTCGAGACGGCCGAAGGAGCATCCCTCGAATTGCCTTCTCATGCTCCAGTACGTCTGCGTCGATTCGGACTGAGATCGAGCACTGTTTGGACCTCTCGGTCATCGCCTTGAGCCACTCGGGCCCAGCTGCGTTCGTTATTAGTCGACCCCAGAGTGCGGAGCAAGCGAGGGCGGCGTTCCTCCATCTAACGCAAACGTGGGTGACTGCGAGCCAGGACCTGAATTTCCGCACCATCTCCGAGCTTCGGCTGAAGATATCGTATTCCTGGGCGTCTGAGAAGATCTTGCATAGGATTTCGTCTGGTAGTTGGGAAATGGGAGGGGCCAAGTCGGGCCCGACGGCGAACTGGATATCGGATGACATGAAGTGCGACTCCTGGTCATCGCCAGTTAGAAAGTATGCTTCTGGGGTTGATACTGACACTCACCGGTTGCTAACCGATATCCAGAGCAAATCGACCACGGGCAGGGATGATCGCAGCGGTTGAGGGAAGAAAGAGACCCGGGTTCTCGAGGCCATCTTTTTTTTACATGAGTGACTCATGCACGCCATGCGCTGCGAGAATGTAGCTATCCAAAGCTGGGTAAGGAACATGCGCTCGTCAAGTATCGCGACTTCCGGACTCCGCCAACAAGGTGAGGCCCCAGAAGATGCCAGGTGACGTACATGAGCGTAAAATTAGACTTTGGGGATTCTGAACCCAGGTTTTCGGTCAGTTCATCCGGTTCCACAGACCCAGTCGGACTGAGGTATTAGGTGGCAGGTGCTCGAGAGGAAGAGAGCTGTTTCCGTGATATAACTGGCTGAAATGGGAGGGCAAATCGCGCATGCCTGGAAGCCAACACATCGGTCACTGGAGCCAGAGGAACGTGGGCGAAGGTCCGAGTCAGCGTTGTCGTCCAGAGTAAGTATAAAAAACACGGCGGCTTGCAGCTTGCTTGGAAGAAGTCGCTCATAAGGGAGTCAGAGTCAGGATTGCTGAAGGTTGAATACATGTTGTAGGAACTAGACTGTGGGGAAGGGCACAACAGAACGAAGCAGAACATATTAGTACACGTCGTTCATCTGTAGTAGTACCATGGCGGTGGCGTCTTCACTCCGAAAGCTTGTTGTACATCCTTGATCATGGGGTTAGCTCTTAGAGGTTAGGGAGGGGGATATATTGTATTTCGTGCCTCTGGCGCGTCTTTATTTCGTCTTCATACACTAAATTTGAAGGAAGCCGCAGTTGATATCAATCCCATTCTTTTGCGGCATCATCCCACTCTTTTGTGCAATCCCATTCATATTCCCAATCCTACTTTGAAGATAGAGAATGTAGACATACGGCTCGTATCAAGGGTTCTTGTAGTGGTACCATGCAGGAGGGGTTTTGACCTGAAGAATCTCCTGCGCCTCCTTGACTAAGGCCTCGTTCCTCGCCTGCTGCATGTCTTCTTCGTCAAGGTTGCTACCAATGACTAGACCCAAAGGTTCCCAGCGAGCTCCGTTCCTGAGGGGGACGATAATGAAAGCCACGCGGTCGACACCATCGGGCGTAAATTCCCAAAACCGATCCAAGAAGACTCGATGTTGTTCCATGGCGTTGGACTTGTCCCCGGGTAAGTGCTTATCCATGAAGCGTATAATATCACTTGACGTCAAAGGGATGGCGAACACTTTAGGGTGGACCTTCCTCGGATTCGACGTGTAGAGTGGTGGCTCTTCCAGACATCTCGGGAGAGGTGCTGGCACTGTAAAGTTGCCATTTTCATCGTACCAGACAGAACGCCTATAAGGTCTGGTTAAGTTTCGAGCAGACACTAAAGGGCAGAAGAAAACCTTACGCTTGGGCAGAGGTCATGATGGCTTCACAATGAACCGTCTGAGTCCGTCTCAAGTTCTCAACAGTCTCGAGGCGCACCCTCCCGATATGGATTGTTTGCGCTGATGGCGGGAGGGCGGCTGTCCCGACTCAATGACACGTGACAGGTGGGAACTCGGATCCGAATCAGGGTAACTCCGCCGACATCGCGGAACTCAGCTTGCCCCACAACGACCACCGTCATCGTCGACGACGTCGACGGTCTCCACGAATTTATCGACAACTGTCTCGGAATATATGGTATAGCAGAGCGATGCTGCCAGTAGCATTAGTTCTGCTGCTTTCAGCGTCCTTAACGACTGCGAACAAGACGACATGGAACCCGGACGCCGGTTATGGGCTTTCGGTATGTTCTGGGCTATAGGATTGGCTGAACTGGGCTTATACTGATTGTATGGGTGTCTAGGGCTCTGATTTACTCGCTCCAAGTAGGTCGTGTTCAATGGGACCAAAACCGGGTCGATTCTGACTTCCCAAAGGGCGACCACCACCAGGGAAATGCCCGCCTTGTTTCAATTGCCTGTTGCCAGCGTTTACCTGCGGTCAATACGGTCATTGTAACGAATACAATGGTCAATGCGACTGCCCTGCCGGATGGGGTGGAATAGATTGTTTGATACCCCGTACGTCGCCCGAAACGTGGACCGGGGCTTTGCTGACACGGCGAGGACAGAATGCGACTCTTTAGCTGATGGAAGTCAACGTCGACTACGCGAGGACGGCAAATCCTGCGAGTGTAAAGAAGGATGGGGAGGTATCAACTGCAATGGTGCGTATATGGGCGTTTAAGAGTGGATCTTTGGCTCAGAGCTGTCTTTAGTCTGTTTGAACGATGACGCGTGCAGGAACTTCCCTCTTTCGCTAGAGATCAAGCAACTGTTGAAAGAGATGAAGGGAGAGAGCGACGACGATGACCAAGACGACGGGCCTATTGCGGACATGACTTGCTACAAGGGTGGCCAGACTGTGTTCAACAACCACCAAATGTGCAATGTTACCAGTAGGTCTCGTCCACCGCGTTATGTGCTTTGAGTCTGACCCCACTCTATAGACAGGAAGATCATCGACATGCTTCCAGACCGACCTCCTCAAGTGACATTCAGCTGCGACAAATCTGACAAAACCTGTGCCTTCCAGTTCTGGACAGCAGAAGTAGAATCATTCTACTGCGCATTGGACCAGTGTGAATCGAAATTGGAAGTTGGCTACGATTTCAACGTCACTCGATACGATTGCGAGAAGGTCAAATGTTCCTGCGTCCCCGGTCGCTTCATTTGCGGTGAAGCTGGAAGTGTCGGTACGTATATGGAGCATCTGTGATCTTTCCGGTACTCATAGTGTTCCACAGATATCGGCGAATTCTTGACCCAGTCTATTCGTGGTCCCGCCACCTTTAGTTGCAAGAGCGGTGCAGGATGTCGATTCGAGGAGCCCGCCATGAATGAACTGATCGAAAGCATCTTCGGAGACGGTTATATCACTCTTACTTGTGAAGGCGGCGAATGTCTGCACTACACACAGGTGCCAGGTTATGTGGTAAGTGTCAATCTCGCTCTTCACTTTCAATGGCTCATCCCCTTTCTAGCGGCCGCCCAAGCCTGACAATACTTTGTGGGTTGCTCTCAGTTCCGCCGGCGCCGTAACCTTCGTGCTGCTGAGTTCAGCGGGTAAGTAACGTTCGACTGCCACTCAATCTCAATCACTCACCTTCCCGCAGTGATTTGGTTTGCGGGTCGAAGCAGGCCTGACGAAGGTCCAATCAAGCTCCCAGAGGAAGAAGCTGCAAGATTGATGACAGACCACGTTCCCGCTTCACTATACTTCCGCGACATCACGTATTCTCTCAACGACGACCGCATCTTATTGTCTAATATCTCTGGTTGCGTCAAGCCTGGACAGGTCATGGCGATTATGGGTGCTTCGGGAGCGGGCAAATCCACCCTACTCGATATCCTCGCTCGTAAACGCAAGAAGGGCAACCTCATCAGCGGGACGGTGTTGGTCAATGGCCGAGAGGTAGCAAACACCGAGTTCAAGAACGTGATGGGCTTTGTGGATCAGGAGGATACTCTCATGGGTACTCTGACTGTCTACGAGACCGTTTTGTACAGCGCGCTCCTTCGACTGCCCAGGGAGATGAGCTACGAGGCCAAGAAGTTCCGAACGCTGGAGACTTTGAACGAGCTAGGCATTTTGCATATCAAGGACATGCCTATAGGCGTATCTGGTGCGTAATCATACGTAGTTGATATCGGCACGCGTTCTGACACGCCGAACAGGCCATAGAAGTATCTCTGGAGGAGAGAAGCGCCGTGTTTCGATCGCTTGCGAATTGGTCACCAGTCCTTCCATCCTTTTCCTCGACGAGCCTACCAGCGGTATGTCTTTACTTCGCGACTCAGGCTCTCGTTGCTCATTTCTGTTAACAGGTCTTGACGCGTTCAACGCTTACAACGTCGTTGAATCCCTCGTGTCTCTCTCCAGGAACTACAACCGAACGGTCATCTTCACCATCCATCAACCTCGAAGCAACATCGTGGCCCTCTTCGATCAGCTTCTCGTACTCGCAGCCGGCAAGGTCGTCTATTCTGGCGAATTCCAGAAATGCCAGGAATACTTTGATGAAATTGGTCAGCCCTGCCCACCTGGGTTCAACATCGCCGACTACTTGAGTACGTTGACCTTAGTATCTTGATGAACTGAGATACTTATGGGTCCACAGTCGACCTCACCGTCAAGGCGACCATTGCTAGCAAGGGTACTTCCAGTCCGGCTACCAATGCTTCCGCATCTGCTAGCTCGAGCACTAACGCGAGCGCGACGAACCTCCTTCCTGACGAAGAGCGCGGATTGCCCCTTGCACCCAGATCTGTTCCTATTTCGGTCCGCTCGGTCCTATCCGCGCCCCTCGACAGTGATTCGAATACGGCAACGACTGATGGACGTCCCGCAGCTACCTCCATCAACTCCGGTTCGAGTCGCTTCACTTACTTCAAGCAGAAGACGTCCAACTTGCTTGGCTCCATCACCAATGCTCTTAATGATCGGCAAGCGGCTCCAACCCTCGATACCCTTGTGGAGGCTTATGAGAAGAGTGATATTGCCAAGGATATTTCGAAGGAGATGAAGGCTTTACAGCGGGAGGTTGAGCGAGGGGCGAATGGAAATGGAGGACAGGGTGGTGCGCCGTTGGTTAGCAACGAGCCTCCTGATGCGGTTTTGGAGACTTCGTTGTTGAGAGGCAGGAATCGCGCGACCTGGGCTACCCAGTTTAGGATTTTGAGTGGACGTGCGTTTAAGAATTTGTATCGGGATCCTGCTCTTCTGGCTGCCCATTATTTGTCGGCTATTGGTCTTGCGGGTATGTAGCTGTGTCTTGGGTGTTTGGTTCGTGACTGACCCTCTGTTTTGCAGTCATTTGCGGTTTGTTCTTCCACAATGTGACGTGAGTTGCCCCTCCTTGTGCGCTGGTCGAGTGCCTGCTGACTGTAACTTCTATAGCAACGATATCGCTGGATTCCAGAACCGATTGGGCATCTTCTTCTTCACCCTTGCTCTATTCGGTTTCTCTTGTCTTTCGAGCTTGGGTCTGTTTGCCAACGAACGTATCCTCTTCATGAGGGAAAGGTACGGGTCACCCAGAATCTGAGTCGAATTTAGACTAACCTCGTGTACCAGGGCCAACGGCTATTACTCGACCTTCACCTACTTCTCCTCCAAGGTCCTCTTTGACATCCTCCCTCTCCGCTTGGTCCCTCCCCTCATGTTCGGCGGCATCGTCTACGGGCTCGTCGGTCTCGTTCCCACCGTCCAAGGCTTCTGGAAGTTCATGCTCACCCTCGTCCTGTTCAACTTGACCACCGCCAGCGTCGTCCTCCTGCTCTCTATCGCCTTTGAATCCGTCAGCGTCGCGAGCTTGGTTGGCACGCTCGTTATGTTGTTCAACTTGCTGTTCACGGGCTTGTTGATCAATCGGGAGACGGTGGCGCCGATGCTGCAGTGGTTACATACGATTTCGTTCTTCCATGCTGCGTTTGAGGCGTTGGCTGTTAATGAGTTGAGGTATCTCCAGTTGAAGGAGATCAAGGTGCGTTTGCGTGGTATATCTCGATTTTGTGCGGTGGCTGACTGTGGTTGTTGTTTAGTATGGTGTTGAACTTGACGTCCCCGCTGCTACCATTCTCTCCGTGTTCGGTCTCCGTGCACAGGTGCGATACTTCCGCCTCGTTTCTCCCCTTTCGTAAACTCACTTGACTTTTACAGAGTTTCTGGTGGCCTAACATCTCCCTCCTCGCCATCTTCTTCGTCACCTTCACCACCGCGAGTTTCCTCGTCCTCCACTTCTACGTCAAGGAGAAGCGTTGAGCGCGATCACTACACGGTGACGCCTCAGTGATTCCTAGAAGACCGACTATACAACTTATCTCTTCTTCATGGTTTCGACTGCACAACGGTAGTGACCGACCTTCCTATCTATTGCATCTTCTGGTATACACGTGTATTTTATAATTCGATGGACTTGTACTAGAATTCCTAGGCTACGACCGGTTATGAGTATTGTGTTCGCTGATGACATGTTGGACTGCAAAGTGAAAGCGTGATGGATAGCCTAGGGTCAGATTTGACAGAGGGACGCGAGAGGTGTCCGAGTAGAGATGTACGAGTATGCCAATGCTCCGTGATTACAACCTGTGGGCACCTCCTCGTTTACCAGCGCTGAGCAGCCAGAATATCAGAAGACTTTATCATGAGTTCACCGTCAGAGAGTAGCTGAGCCATAAAATAGCCCTTCTGGCCTGCTACCCCTCTCTTCCTGATCACCGCCACGAGCTCGTCGTACGTCGAAGGAGACTCTTCCCTTTTGATGAAGCGCACGACGTCCTGTTGGCGGGAGTAGACGTAGAGGGGACCGCTTGAGAACATCGGGACCTGGACTTTGACGATGAAGGGTTTTCCTTGCGGGTTCGAGGATTTCTTCTTGTTGGAATTCATCGAGAGGCCGCTGAGAAGTTCATCGATTGGGACCGACACGGGAGTTTTGGTGGGTGGAGGAACGTTGACAGAGGTGCTGCTGTCCATTGGCCGACATTCTCGCTTGTGACGGCTCCAAGCCGCCCCTGCCATAATCCATTTTCCTTCAATAAACCACTAAATAATTGAAAACATCGACTTACGTTGGCAAGCCTTGGAACAGTACCAAGCAGTTTGGCACCGGAACGCACCGTTTGAGATCCTTCTTGGTAGAGCACTGGTCGCATTTTTTCTCTGCCAGAGGAGCCTTTTCACCCGAGCGAGCATTGATCAAGCGTTCTGCCAACGATGAGATAACAGGGCCGCAGAGAGGGTACCAAGTCCGCGCCGACTCGTCATCGCCGTTCTTGATATCCAGATCAGCTCCAGCCTCGATGAGGATCTCGACGCCCAGAGTGTCCTGAGTCGCCATCGCGCACATGAGAGGCGTCTCGCCCCAGCGGTTCTGGGCATTGATATTCGCCCCTCCTTCGAGCAGGGCTCTGATGAGTTGCTCCCTTTCTTTACCTGTGTTGGCCAGGACGCTGTGGTGGAGAGCGGTGTACCCCGCGATGTCTGGCACGTCCAGAGCGAGACCGTGGGGGATGAGGTATTTTAGGACTTTGAGGTGCTCGATTGGGATACCTCCGGTTTTGGTGTTGGTGGTGCGTTGGGAGCCTAGGATTACGTAGGATGCGTATCCTTGTTGGAATTCGGTTTCTACTGAGGAGAGATTTGGGGCTTTCCCTTCCTCGACTTCCTAGCGATGGCGGGGGTTGTTAGTGGTCCGTCCTGTGTCAGATCAGTAGAATGCTACCTTCTTTACACGCTCGAAGTTTCCGAAGAAACAGGCTGCAGCGAAGAGGGACAAGTGGGAGACGTTGAAACCCAGGCTCTCTGGACACATCGGCGCCGTCTTCATTGTCAATATGAGTTATTACCTGAAAGCATGAAGAGATAACGCACGATTTGGGAAGAGATAACGGAGGCGCTCTCCACCGTTCTTGCGGTTGAGGAAACCAGGCTGGGCGAGGATCGTTTTCATCTCCTCCGTTACGACGAGTCCAGATTCCGGTGTAACCGTGAATTCGGGCTGTTGCGGTTGCAACTTCAGTTGAGTGAAATAAGCCATATCTATGAAATTCCTGGAGGCGTCTGGATATGCAGAAGGTGGTGGTCCAGGATGAAGCAGGTCGATCAGTTCAACCCAGAAGAAACATTACAGTGGCCTGTGTTGACGAGTATTTGTCTCGACTCTTGAGAACTGAGGGTTTGCTACGCCAGGATGCTTCAGGGAGAGAAAGGCTCAGTCTCGAATTTCCGACCTCCTAGGACATCGGAAGTGGGTCGTAAAGTCCAGAAAAGGTCGGAAAATCTGAAGGAGTACTGTAATTGACGCTCCGGTATTTGATCGGCGCTTCAAGCGGTGGGGACACAGTTGTGATCTACCTCTCTCCTGTATGTTCTTTGCGCGTCGGTATTCTCCGATTTCCAGGGGAATTTGTGGGGGCGATAGCATTTACTATGTTCTTTCTCCCCTCTCACCATAGGCTTCGCTTGTACGCAGACAAGCATACGCATCAAAACGATAAAATATTTTTGGGCGCTAAAACGTATCGTAAGCTTCTTTCGATTTCTCATCGTCTTTACCAAGGTTGGGCAGCGAGAACCTCCGAAACTTTGATAACCAGCTCCTTGGGACTTCGCAAATCAGCAACAAAGTAAGCCTTCTTCCCCTCCATACCCTTCTCGAGAATGACCCTGAGGAGCTCGTCGTAGGCAGCAACGTTAGTGGGACGCAAGATGTGACAGACGAGGTCGCGCTTTCGTGTATAAACGCGCATCTCGTTGTACGTCCCGTCCGGATTCTTGAGCGGCTGAGGAACTTGGACTTTGATGACGACCTGCTTTCCTTCGGGAGGGATGTTTTCGGGGATATGGCTGTACCGGAAGTGTGTCTCTGGGACTGCCTGCGTGGGCAGGCCGAGAACGGTACCGCGAATGAAGGGCGACATCGAGACATTCACAGCCCCAGGGATCTGAGGATAATGCGGTGTAACGGTGACAGTGGTCGACTTGTTCATTGGAACGCAGACCTTCTTGTGGGCTTTCCAGGACGAAGCTAGTAGGCAGTTCCAATTGATCAGCATTCCCCTTCCTATCGCAATCGTATGGAGGCCGACTTACTCTGGCATTCCCTGGAACAATACTGAACTGTCAAACATCGAGCGCATTTCTTCAGCCCCTTCCCCTCTTGACCACAGTTATCGCACCTCTTCTCAGTCAACTTGCCCTTCTCGCCAGCGCGGATCTTCACCCATTTGTCGATGGCAGCCGCAACTCTCGGGCCATTCGGGATATGGCACATCATGGCGGTCGTCCCATCACCGTCAGGGAGGTTGACGTCTGCCCCAAACTCCATGAAGAGCTCGATCCCCAGGATGTCCTCCCTGACCATGGCGGGGAGGAGTGGGGATTCGCCCCAACGGTTTTGGAAATGAACGTCTGCTCCGCCCTCTAACAGTGCCCGAATGATTTGCGCCTTGTCCTGACGCGATTCGCCCATGACACTGTGGTGGAGAGGGGTATAACCGACGATGTCTGGGATACTGAGGGGTAGCCCGCGCTGGATGAGGAACTTGAGGAGCCCCAGATGATTGGGCTGTGGGCCTCCTGGGAAGCCCTCGACTCGTTGAGAGCCCAGGACAATGCAGGATGCATACCCGAGTTGAAAAGGAGACTCGGTTTCATTGAGAGGTGGAACCTTTCCGTATTCCATAAGCTATCGATGTGGAAGACCAGGGAAGACCTTAGAATATATATAAAATATACCGGAGTTGGCGGTACACACCTGTCGTGCCCATTCTAGTGATCCGCAATAACAAGCTCGACCGAAATCTGAAAGCTCGTTGGGATTGAAACCCATGCTGCCTGGTACAGACCATCACTTGGGTATTCGTTAATCATAAAAGTCGATACGAACTTTGCATATACAGATCTCGAAGCTTATTCCCTCCATTTTTTCTGTTCAAAAATCCTGGTTGAAATATCAACCGCTTCATCTCCTCAGTCACGACTAGGCCTGAGTACGGAGGCACGTCCGTGCCAAACTTGGGTGTTTTTGTGAAGTTGTGCTTCTTGACTGGCATATTGGTCAAAGAGATCCAAACTCGAGGTGATTGTTGGAGGAAAAGGTGAGCCGCGCGTTGATGACTCCGAGTCAGGGGTTTGCCAAGCTCGAGGAAAATTCCACGCTCCAAATCGGGGTGTTTCACTTCCCGAAAAGGTATCCAGCCAAGTCATTTCCCCACAGCGCCGAGGACCATGGCACGTAGCATTAAAATGCCCATGCGTTGACACACTACCTTACCACCGGTCATACTCTGAGCTCATTAAAGCAGACACATATCATTCAAGGATGGCGGAGTTGAACAAGCAATGCATGGCCACGTGACCGTTGAGTGTTTAATGACGCCGCCGGAAAAACAGGTTGATCCACTACTCGCACCCTCAGCTGTTCAAACCACTATGTCCTCTGCCCAACTGTATGTGACCTCCAGTGTTTGGATGTTTCCGAATTTATCTAACAGAGCCACTAGGTACAATGACTGGCACGACGAAGATGGCAAGCCTGCCCCACCGCCACCTCTCCCTGTATGCCTCAAAGAACCACCGCTCTACACGTCCAATCCGGGGAAGGTGCACCCCAAAGTCTTCGCCATCCCATTGTTGACAAGCGACATTCTACGCTTTATGAACAAGTTCTTGCCCAAGGACCGGTCCAACAATGTCGACAAACACTATGTTTTCACGGAACGGTTCTGGGAGTTTACGCCGGATGGAGTCGATCGTTTGGCATATATCGTTGTCCCCCTTAAAGAGGGGCGCCTTTGGTATCCTCTCGGACTGGTCATCGGAAGTAACCTCAACGAAGAAGATATGCAGCAGGCGCGGGACGAGGCCTTGGTCAAGCAAGTACAGGAGATACTCGAAGTGAAGACCCAGCCAGCATGGTACCACTACAGGAATCCGGATCATTGATACGGCGCGTGCGTCTTTCTTTTCTATTTGAAGGGCCAGCTGTAGCTGACCTTTCACTTCATTAATATCCATTACATGGCCCTACACATTGTCTGCTTCATTGCTGTCTCTGTTTCGCTTTCCTATTCCGCTTTCGTTATGTTGTGGCAGTAACCTTAATGAAGAAGACATGCAACAGGCGAGGGACGAGGTATGGGTCAAGCAAACACAAGAAATTCTTCATGGTACCACTACAGAGAACCCGAATCTGATTCACAAGTGTTATTATTTGGATAAAGACCAAATAATTGTCCACAGTGCGAATACTAAAAGGACATAAGGATTGAAATTTGAACAGCGCCTGGGTCGATACATGAGTTATATGCGCGCGGGGGGCAAGTTCCCTGGTGTCCTCCGGTGAACATCGGTGGACGCTGGGGTTCGGTGTTTGTCACTATTTGCCAACGACCTCCGTTGGACCGGTGTGGGAACGCCCTGGAGACCGCTGAACACCTCTCACCTCGAGCGCCGGCCCCCACTGACCTCCACCGTACTCCTCGGTGGTCGCTGGATGCCGCCGACCTCCACTGGAACGTGGGGTCAAGCTCACTGAATCTCGCCGGAAGGGGACTTTTGTTAAATCACATCTTTTCTCTAGTTCTAGCCACGAACATTTGTCTCAGTCTGTATCTTGATCCTTAAAACTTTGCAGGATACCAATTAAGTTTACCTTTATATCGTTGATTGGAATAGCGCTTCTCAGAAGATATGAAGTTGGAACGACACCATTGCGGCCAGAAGAAGGGGCGCGCACAACTAAATAGACGCCCAAGGCTGTGTCTACTCAAAGGTGGCATTCGGAACCCATAAAACTTGTATCTTCACTATTGACATTACAAATACACTTGTAATTATGCCGCTTGGAGGGTACATACATGGTTTATTAAAAGCTCGAAGCGAAGGACCCCTGGCGATTGGTGGGGGTCACTGGATTCCACTGGGGGTGATACCATTAAGCGGGACGAAATCCATCGATCATGGCCCTTCGACCGCTGTCGTTCACGGGGGTCCGCTGGAAATTGCTATGGACATCAACGTTCACTGGACACCGGTGAACTCTGTGCCAGTTCCAACGGGGTTCACCGACCGTCGCTGGAAATTGTGGTGAGTTTTGGTGGAGTTCGGCAGGGGATGCCGGCCGTGGCTGGGCTTGCCCACGCCGCGCTTATTACAGCGATACATTTGCGCCGTCATGTTAATTAATGAGGTGATCCAACTTCGGACCTTTTCTGAGTTTGAAGTTTCGCCACCCAAATCGTCACTCAACTTCCAACCTTCCAGCACCTGCCAAACGACCATGTCGACTCAAACGTATGTCATTTTCACTTTCTCTTGTTGAATCTCGCTGACCATGGATCATAGACGCTCGGACTGGTCAGACGAGAATGGCCACCCTTGCGTTCCTCCACCGCTCCCGGTTTCGTTGAAAGAGCCCAAGCTATGGACCACCAATCCAACCAAGATACACCCCAGGGTGTTCGCCATCCCCCTCTTGCCGACGGACATGATTCGATTTGTGGAGGAGAAAATCCCTGAGGACGACTCCGCTGCCTTCGAGAAGCAAGCCGTGTTTATGAAAAGATTCCACAAGTTCTTCCCGCCGAGAGCAGACCGTTTGGCCTATCGTCGTTCCTCTCAAGAACAGGCAATTGTGGGAAGCGCTGGGCCTGGTCATTGGTACCAACCTTAGCGAAGAAGAAATGGCGTGGTCGAGAGATGAAGACTTGATCAAGCAAGTTCAAGACATCCTCGGCGTGAAGACTCGTCCCGCATGGTACCACTACAAAAACCCTTATTGAACCACTGTCGTACGTGTCGTTTTCTAATCCACCTTGACCTGAACTGACAGCCCTCTCAGTAACGAATTCTGCGCCTCTCTCTGCTATCTGTCGGTTCGCTGTCTTTGCTCTGCTTTCTTCTTGTCACGCTGTCGTTTCGTTCGCACATCGAAGTTTTCGTCGACTGTCTTGCTATACCTCCCCGTTAGCTACAGTGCCGTCCTCGTTGCCATGCAATTGGCTTCCATCTGTGCAACCTTTTTCGAGAGTTTAGCTTGCTGACAACCATGTCTTGAAGGCAACCTCTGGTTATCACAATCCCATACCATTCGGACGAGGATTACCTGGAGCACAAGCAAGTATCGCTGACTGCCTGGAAGATCCACAAGGCCCGCTGTTCACGCTCTCTCTCTCAGCCCGGGCCTGTCCGCCCGCTCGGCTAACTCATCGTCCGTTTGAGAGAAGGCCCTCCCACTGCACACTGAGAACGGCGGTGAGCTCCTCCGACTGCTCGAGTCATAGATGGAGTGCACACGTTGTTCTCCGCAGGGCGGTCATCTATCCGTTTTGTTCTTGAGGTACCATTGGGTTGCGGGTAGAGGGTACAGATGCCTCGACGTCAGCTTTTCTGTTGTGTTGGGCGAGAAACATCGTATCTGGGTGAAATACAGTTTCCCTGGTACCACAAGGAGATGAGGGGAGAACTGACGCCCCTAAATGGCTGGCCGGAAGCCCTGGAACTCGTTGGTTTACAGCTTTCGAGGCAAACCCACACTAACTACTCCGACACTTCGAAGTAACCGTAGCAGCAGGTAGTTAGTTCCAAAATATACTCGAGTATGTCCTTGGAAAGTGGTGAGCATTTACCCTAAGCTGTGTGTATACACAGACATCAGTGTGATACTTGGAAAGAACCAGGAAGCTGGACGAAACTTGGAAAGCGCAACACCAGCGTTAGGATCGTCACATTGTCCTGACCGGGATCCGGCTCGGTCTGCCGTTGACCCCGACGAATCGTCGGAACCCTCTCTGGACAACCATTATGACAACCGAAATGTAAGCGCCGTTTCTCCCTGCTCTGAGAGGACCCGGTTATGCTTATCCCATTCAGCAAGCGCTCAATCTGGATCGGCGAGGATGGTACCCGCCGTCCCCCGCCACCTTTGAAGATCTCGTTGAAGAACCCAGGTTTGTTCAACTGGGACCCCGAAAGGGGGAAGAAAGTACGACCCCGTGTCTTCGCCATACCTCTCATGGAGGAAGTCATCGACAAATTCATGGAAAAGTACTGCCCCGACATCGAGCCTGGCCTTCAACGCTCCCTTGACTTTGTGAAGGAGTTCAGGCCGTTTTTCCCGCCTGAAATATACCGGTTGGCGTGCATCATCGTTCCTCTACCGGGAAGGGCTCTTTGGGAGCCCCTGGGTCTCGTCATTGCGAGTAACTTGGATGCAGAGGATATGGCGCGCGCAGAGGACGAGGAACTGATCAAGAAATGTCAAGAAATTCTTGGAGTAACGACACCGCCAGCGTGGTACCATTACCAAAACCCCTAGAATGTAGTGTATCCTCCTTCCAAGCGCTTTCAGTTGATCTGGTAGACTGAATTCTCTTCGAGTTTTCCCCTCGCAGCTAATATTAATTGCGATGACGCTAATTTACTGCCTCCCCGTCGTCTGTTGTAACTCGGCTTTCGCCTGCTCGCTCGATCGGACCCTGTATTTTGCGTGGTGGGAAGGGTAGTGGTCGAGAGGCATCCTTGATTCTTTCAACTGGATGACTGGTTCAGTTTCGGACGGGCTTCGTATGCGAGTTTGCCATGGATAGTGAGGTGTGACGCCTATGGATGTGTTCCACGCCAATGCGACAGCCGCCATTTGAGCATCGTCGGGTTTCAGTGCCTGCCAGCTGTGGCCATGTCACTTTGCCCTCCCAGTGATATCCTTTACAATCTAGTTGGGCACTGAATGAATAAAGCACTTAGCAGTCAGTGAATTTTTGAGCATCATGTCGAGTATAACTTTCTGTGGTATCAGTTCTTCCCCGGCAATTCGGATCAAATGGGTGTTCGATGTTCGTCAAGGCTCAAGCATTGAAGCAATTCAACCTTGTCACTGTCTTTCTTACCACGATGACCACCGATGCGTACGTGTGTTATGCTCTGTCGTCGTCCCCCTCTGAAAAGCTCACTGATTTCCACAGCTCCGCCTGGTTCGATGACACGGGCAGGCCATGTCCACCACCGCCGTTGCCAGTGTGTCTTAGAGAGCCACCGCTCTGGACCGCAAATCCCTACAAGATAACTCCGAAGGCCTTTGCTATCCCCCTAATGTATGCCGATATGATTCTCTTCGTCGAAAAACATCTACCAGATGATAAATCTGATGACCACGAGAAACAGGACATCTTCCTCGCCCGATACTACGAGTTCTTCCCACCAGAGCTAGATCGCCTTGCCTTTCTCATTGTCCCTTTGAAGGGGCAGAATGGTGGACGCGTTTTATGGGAGCCAATTGGCCTAGTCGTCGGTACCAACCTCAGCGAGGAGGACATGGAGCAGGCTAGGAACGAGGACTTGATCAAGCAAGCCCAGGAGATCCTCGGCGTCAAGACCTGCCCTGCATGGTACCGCTTTACGGACCCTTAAATTGACCTGTAAGTATGTGCATTCGCATCGCGTGCAGGTGGAACCAAGCTCATAATGCCAAGTAGGAACGAACCTTGCGAAAGTTGATCGTTCGTCCACCGTCCTTGTCTTGCTTTCTTGTTACGCTTCCGTTTCATTGTTGCACCCGAGCCCCTGTACTATACACTTGTGCTGCTATACCTAGGCAGAAATCAACATTAATTGCGTATCCTCCGGACCTTCGAGAAATTTAGTGTCACGACTGGCCACCATCTCAGGACCACTGCACGGTGACGCGACCTGACATCAAATGTACAGTAACGAAACATGTATAAAGAGAAATACGAATGCCTTGTGCAGACAAAAGGCAAATTCGAAATCAAGGAAAAACCGTGGACTCGCTCAGCTCAGAGATTCAGAACTCGGATCCTTCGGAACCGTCCACCTTGACCGCGAGAGACTGGAATAGCCGCGATAACGTGACCTGTGAACATGTGAACGTTTAAGGTTTGAACCTGTTTGAACGTGAAATGAATGAACGAATCCGTTCCTGCCACCATGTAAGCGTTCCTATTGCTTTCACGGAATGCTACAGAATGATTGATACAAGACGTTACGCTCGTCTAGGTCCACCACACATATAAATACTCTCGAAGAGGAAAGCGTTCCCGAATACTTTCAGTTCGAAGAGGGCAGCGACATGGAGTCCGGGGAGCTAGAACTGCCACCCCCACCACCCAGCTATCTGACGCGCCCAGAAAAGTACTGCTACGATGAAGCTCTGGGACGACCGCGAGTCTGGGGCAGAGTCTTCGCCATCCCAGTTCTCTCTCACCACATCGAACGTTTCCTGAAGGAGAAGTGTCCTCAATATTATTGCACTGGGCCACAGGCAGGCGTCGTATTCCGCGATGCCTTTCGGCCTTTCGTCCCTCCTGAAGTCAAACGACTCGCATTCCTCGTCGTTCCTTTCCCCTTCAAACGCCCCAACAAGAAGGTTAAGGTCGACCTTGTTACGGTTTTGGGTGTCGTTATCGCGACCAACTTGACCGACGAGGATATGGTGAACGCAGACAACCAGGACCTGATTAAGAAGGCACAGGAAGGGCTGGGTGTAACGACACCCCCTGCTTGGTACTTCTTTGAAAATCCTTAATCCTTTGGACAGTAAGATTTGTCATTGTATCCGATTCCTCTAGAATCTGTACTGACGATCCGATAGTTACGCTCTCGTTTCATCATGTTGTCATATCGCTTTTGATGTTCTCTTGCTTTCTTCCGACTCTTTGTTGTCTCGCTCTTGTAACTAATTCAACATGGCATATGGAAGATACGCCAGGCGACTTTCGTGAACGTACCAGCACACGGGCTCCAGACTCCAGCAATAGCATCGTGGATAATTCCCAGTCTCGTAAACCAGACTCCATTCTTTGGAGAAGATAAGGTAATCCCACATAACTGTAGAATCTACGACTACAACGTTCTGCTAGTAGAGATTCTTCCCCGGCACTTCACACCATTGCTCGAAACCTTGGGGCCCGAGAGACAACTAAAAAGGACTCGAGTCGGGAACTCGAACAGTTATGAAAGAAGAGACAATGAAATTGAAGAAACTAAGCATTTTACTACATATCTGCATTTTACGAGGAATTGATTTCGTTAGATACGCGACTTGTATGAGCAACAGAGTGGAACTGGTGGAGTGGAGAATAGCGAGAACTTTTGAAAATGATCAGAGATTGGTTGCGCTGGAAGGGATGAGGGGCGCGGAGCATGAGTACATTGCAATCAAGGTGAACTCGGAAATATTGCTCACCCTGGGTTCGGAACCAGCGGAGGATACACTACTGCCAAGCGAGCAGCTTCCTCCCGCAGGAGCCGGGTAATGATATAGAGGCGCTGGTTCGACGCCGGAGAACCGATGAGCATCGAGTTACTCCACGTATTTGACTCAGGGAGTGCAGTCCTGAGTCTGAGAACAAACGGTTCCTCCGCACTATCGATAAGTTGAGCCCATCGGTGAACATCGTTGCCAACCATCACATAGTCTGTCGGATGTCTGTCAGAGGACAGTGGATACGAAAGACGAATACAGAACTCACCGCCTTCCGCAGATCCTTGCTCTCTGGTCTTGGACGATTTGCGGCTGCCGCGGGCCCTGGACCGAGACCTGCTGGCCCTACTACGCGCCGTGGCGAGAGCGTTTCCGATCCTGGAAGATACAGCCCGCAATGTACTCGCGGTGCTATCAGTGGGGGGTGGGGGTGCGAGGAGGGTAGAAGGGTCAGATAACAGCCGGGATGGGCCAGCTTCAGCTGGTGAATTCGAGTCTCCTTCGGAAAACAATAATTGCTCCAAGGGCTCCTCAGATTCGACGAGCTTAAGCCTTGCGAACTGACGATCACCTTCCTCCTCCTCTGTCGCATACCCACTGGGTAGATCTTCTGGGTTCCCAACGTCCTCGTCGTCCGCAAAAAAACCTGGCTCGACAACCACCTCCACCTCAGGTGCGCTGACCGGCAACTTCATGATTTGGTTTCGCTTCTTCGACTTTTTTGGGGCCTTCTTTTCGTCTGGATTATCGGAGTCGCTGGGTCGAGGGGCGTTATTGTGAGGGACCTGTGCCTCTGCCTCGTTTTGCGCGGGGCTTTTTGAATAGAGGACGTCGAGCCAAGACACATCGGTGAACATCTGAACCCTCTCTTTGGGGTCGCGAGTCGAGATCATGAACTGCCACCATTCGCCCACTCCTGCAATGGTGATGATCCATTTAGTCTCGGGCTCGGATTGGAATATAAGTCTTGCTTGCTTCTTAGCGGATGTGTTGGCGAGCAGGAAGCCGGAATTGAGTTCACTAGTGAACCCTTCCAGGGTGTCGGAACGACGGGTGACCATCCTCTTGAGCTCTACGTGAAACAACGTGATTACAGCCACGATTTTCAGGGCCGGCCAGTTGACCATCTCTAGATCCAGAGCTTCGAATCCCTGGGAGCTTGGCTGAGAGAGATCGAACATAGTCATCGAGGGGTCGTCTACGGCTATAGCATCGTATCCACGAGGAATCTTGCCTTGCCGATTCGCCCCGTCTTGGTAGACGTGCGCGAGGGAACTGGGAATGGTCACATCGGGGAAGCTGAGCCGACGGAACACATCCATGGCTTGCTGGCGTATCCTAGCAGACATGAACACGCCAGTGAAGTCCGGTGTGCATTCCTTTTTGTTGGCTGGTGATGTGGAGCGCAGGGAGGTCTCGGGGGAGAGTTTGTTGATGCTGGCGGAAGACGTGATCGTGAGCTGAGGAATTACTTTGACCTGCTTCGATATCGCCTGCGCTAGGTCGTGAAGGATGAGATCCCAGAATGCATGGGTGTGGCTCTCCAGACGGCGATAGTTCATTCTCGTACTGTAACCGAAAGCCATTGCAATCTGGTAGTCCACTCGCCGCTCGGAGGTCTGGGCCAGACAGAAATCGCTAAAGACAACCCGCTCTGACATGGGTAATGGACGACGGATTATGCAGAGGTAAGGAGATCGAGTAAAATGGGGGATGAGACTCTAAGCTTTACCCACAATAGTCGATGCTATTTTGAACCTCCCCGATGCGTGTATCTGATCTATCATTTGGCTTCAAAAACCACCAGACGGCGGCCCAGCCCACGTGTCTCTATTCTCACTTCGACCCTTGGGAGCTTCTGAAGACTTCTAGAAATCTGCTGAAGCTATCGTTTCACCATTGTTGTCTGCATCGGGACTTTCAGAGCGTCCCTAACCTGTAGCTGTGCCGCTGTTGTCTCCGAGTCTTTGGTATTGGCCAAGAATGTCCTGCCAGTCATGGGGTTCCAATCTCGTTATGGATCTGATTGTACAGATTGAGGACAACAGAGACCGTACTGTATGTGTGTGTGGCTTCGAGCACGTATGCTGGCAAGAAGCGGAGATTGAGAACTTGAAGAGGCCAAGGTACCCCGAGCGATCGGTGCGAACCTCATAAAATGGATCCAAGTCGGATCAGAGTGGATCACAGCGGCACGCACCCACGTGACTGTTGGATTTCGAGGTTGACGTTGGACCCAGCCGCGTCTGTTCCTCCACCTCCAGGCTTCAATTCCAAACCACCATGACCTCTACCCAAGCGTATGCTTTTCTTCCATGCTGTAATGAATGAATGTGCCCAAAGGCTAACCGCAATTTATAGACGCTCTGTCTGGTACGATGAAGATGGCAACTTCGCTGTCCCAGCACCTCTCCCGACATGCCTGAAAGAGCCACCACTCTACACGTCGAATCCAGGGAAGGTCCACCCTAAAGTGTTCGCCATCCCATTGACGTCAAGTGATATTATACGCTTTATGGATAAGTACCTACCCGGGGACAAGTCCAACTCCATGGAACAACATCGTGTCTTCTTGGATCGGTTTTGGGAATTTACGCCCGATGGTGTCGACCGCGTGGCATTCATTATCGTCCCCCTCAGGAACGGAGCTCGCTGGGAACCTTTGGGTCTAGTCATTGGTAGCAACCTTGACGAAGAAGACATGCAGCAGGCGAGGAACGAGGCCTTAGTCAAGGAGGCGCAGGAGATTCTTCAGGTCAAAACCCCTCCTGCATGGTACCACTACAAGAACCCTTGATGCGAGCTGTATGTCTACATTCTCTATCTACAATAGCGGCTGGTGATGACGTTGCCCCTCAGGTTTCACGTTGCCCACTGTTTTGCTGTCGTTGTTTCGCTTTCCTAGTCTGCTGTCGTTCTGTTGTGCACCAAACCATCTGCTGTCCTACGTCACCCGTTTGTATTTTTTATCTTAGCAACCCAGAATTTTGAATTCGCCTTGCCGTTAACTGATCTTAGTCGAACGTCGGCACGCAGCCCAACTCAATGGCCCAATGGTATTCCATGTCAGTCGAATCGTTAATTGACGATGACTTGGGATTACGCGCTCTGGAGCCACATGGTGTAATACCTGATATGTTCGCTCTGGCCTGTATTGTTCCGTCATTCCCAGTACGAGGGTGCGAGTGGACGGAGTCGACTACGATAGGTCCATGATACTGATGGTCAGAACTGGTATCATCTCCGAAGTTCCATCAGCAAATGGATGTAGTTTGTCGGAGTTCTGTGAGAATGACGACCGTGCTTGACAGTTGACTGAAGAGCCAGGAGAGTGTCGCTGACACTGCTGTTGAACGTTGAGCGAGCGCTAACTCGGAGGCTGGAGCTCGTGGGGTTCTTGTAACGGGCAAGGGATACGTCCTCCTCACAACGTGAGTATGTTCCTGCATATGATTTCTCATACATTTTAGAGAGAGTCTTCAAAATTCGATGTACGGCTATCCACTTTTACGGCCATTCAAAAGGGAAACCAACAAGTACCACCTCCGCCGCTCTTCGATGCACCCACAAGAACTTAATTCCGACTCACCCAGCTTCCAAAGGTTCCCGAATGTCGAGTGCAGAACAAAGGCCGCATCTCTGGTGCGGACATGTCAGAGACATAACGATCGTCTCAGCCCGAATAGGGAGGGACCCCAGTTTTCGTTGTGGGTAGAGGGCACGAGTGCGGGCGACTTTGTTCTTTGGCGTTTTTCTGATGCAATTAAGGTACGTTTATCACAGTTTTGTCACGGTTCTGTCTTCTCATCGTGCTCAGCTGCTTCTAAATGACTGGGTCGCCTGTCTGATTTGGCTAAGTTGCACTTTCTTCTCTGCCATTGTTCGATGGATTTGGATCCCTCGTGTTGGGCGCGAAACAACGTGTACGAGTGAATTAGTTTTTTTCGACCTGTACCACATGGGGATTCACGGAAAAATGAGAAGGCTAAGCGCCGGGTACAGAGGCTTGGAACTCGCTGGAATGGCCAAGAACTTTACAGCTTTCGAGGCGAACCCACGCTAGCCACTCCGACGAGTCGAGCTTACACAACAGCACGGTAATTCTCAAGACAAATCGCTAAGAGAAGCGATGAACGTTTACCCCAGGATCCACAGACATCAGAGACAATCGGAGTTCCAGAAGACTGGACACATCCTTGGGTATTCGGGGTGAACACAGCTTGCAAGGGACACCACGAGCTTTGGGATCGTCACATTGTCCTGATCGGGATCCGGCTCGGCCTGCCGCTTCCCCCGCACATGCCAGGGTGTGAGTGAGTCGTCGCGATCTCGCTGCATTACGATTGTGACCAGATTGCGACGACCAAGGTATGTAGGTTCATTTCTCCCCAGTCGGTGCTCGAGGTATGCTGGTGTTCGGGTCCACGGTCCACGTAACTGTTCGAGCGGCGAGCGCGTACTACGACGCGCAAGGCAAGCTGTGGTCACTAGCATATCCACCTCAAGACAGCATGACAAAAATGCAGGTTCTTGAACCAAAGCTAAGCTGTCCCTACATTCTAGTAAGGACCCTTGTGGATCCCAGCTATGTCTGTCTCGCTTTCTTACTCTGCTTTCGTTCTGTTGTCGCGCCAACTCGCTTGCTGTCCACCATGTCGTCCGTTTGTACTCTTTTAGTGTCGTTCACAATCAACCATCCTCGCAATGTTCAAATCTATTCACAGAACCTCCTTCCTGTTACCTGTAACCCTCTTTTACCTCTTGGGCTTGATTCTGTCTTGGACTAGACGTGTCGCTGCTCCGCTCACCTCGCTGGTAATGATTTTTCTCTTGATACGGTCAGCTGGCTTTCCAAGACCCGGTATCGTCACCCCATTACAGCTTTTCTTTCTCAAGCTGACCATCTTTTCGAAAACACAGAATCTTCGCTGAAGGGACCGCATTTCCACGCGAACTTAATTCGGATGTGATTGGGCTGCAATACTCGCCCCGGTCGACACTGCGCTGAACGGTGACTCGATCTGATATGTTTATCAGAGCCTACTGCTCCATCAGCAGTCTGATACAATTCTGTGGCGTTTCGCGTCCTTGCTTCTAAGACACAATGACAGGCCCCTCGAGCGACTTCTGATTCGAGCCAACGTGGTTGTCCACCTCGCAAGCCACGGGACTCGTTCGAGCTACCCTATACCATTTCACAATTGCATCGCCGGTAAGTGCATCCGTGTACTCTTCGTCGTGAATGATCCATTCCCAACCAGTCGAAAACGAACGCGAGAAGAGAGCCAGGGGGCTGGTATTGCTACCTCCACCTGCTTCTACGCGCCCAGAGAAGAACAACTGTGCACACAATCATCCAGACTGGCAGGGCCCCAATTTTCGTTCCCCAGTGTTCTTTGGTGCCTTTTCTGATGCGATTAAGGCGCGTTTGTCATTGTCCTGTCATTATTCTGTCTTCTTATCACACACAACCGCTTCTAAATGACTGGGTGCCTGTCTGACTGGGCTTTTTTTACTTTCTTCTCTGCCATTGTTTGATGAATTTGGCGCCCTCGTGTTGGGTGTGAAACAACGTGTACGAGTGAAATAGTGTTTCGCTTGTACCATAAGGAGATTCATCGCGGATTGGGAAGACTAAACGCCGGGTGGAGAGGCTTGGAACTCGCTGGAATGGCCAAGAACCTTACAGCTTTCGAGGCAAACCCACGCACGCCACTCCGATGAGTCAAAGTTGAACAGCAACGAGGCGTTACGCGTTTCAAAAGACAAGTTGTGATCAATTTTCTAGATCTGCTGTGTGTACATAGGGCAAAATGGTAATACGAGCAGAGTCAGAAAGCTGAACATATCTTGGGTCCTTGGGATGATCCCATTCCGAAACTTGCAAAACCTGAGCGCAACAACGAGCAGGCTTGGGATCGTCGGTGTCCTGATCCGGGTCCGGTTCGGCGTGCCGCTTCACCCCCACGTGACCGTTAATTGTCCAGCGCCGCGAGTCGCGAGTCGCGACTCGAGACATCCATGTCGCGTCAAGACCACCACCATGAGGATGGAGGTGATGCAGCCAAATTCTCGTCGAGAGAGAAGCTATTGAAACTGTCCCCACCACCCCATCATTGTCTGAAGCGCCTCTCCATACCTCTCTGCTCACCAGGGACGTGGGCCTTCCTCCAGCGGCACTGTCTGCATATTACTGCCAGGGACCTTTAACTTATGTACTGGTTGATGTTCACGGAAGTCGCCCCGACATATCTTCCTCCAGTGATCACCCAAGTCGCCCCCCTTCTCGTCCCCGTTGACCGTGAGTATGTGAGGCTCTTGGGAGTATTACTTGCCACCAACATGAGTGGCGAAGGTATGGACTGGGCAGACAACCTGCAGTTGATCAAGAGAACTCAGAAGGGCCTTGGAGTGTCTACTCCCCTGCCTGGTCATGGTTATTCTCGCAATCCCGGATCTTCCATGGTACGTGATTCCCGCTTCCGAGCACCTGTCTGGTCATCGCTGAAAGACTTTGGGACTATAAGTAGTTCCGTTTCATTTTCGCTTTTCGCTTTCGTTGTTGTCTCGCTTTCTGTACGCATTGCCATCGCTCCCTACCACTTATATCCATGTTGTCAATACCATACGAACTTGATGTCCGATCCTTCCGCAAACTGAGCTGTTGCTGATACTCGTCTACTTTGCTATGGTTTCCCCGAGCCCTCGAAATCACGAAATCCATGATTTGCCTTCTACAATGCCAGTGCTTCTCCAACCTGAGAATTTGAGGACCGTAGAACCTAGGTTCGAGCGCGATTTCTCAATTAATCAGCTCCTGGTTTTCCGCCTGCTCAATATCCTCGTCGGTCAAGTTGGTTGCAATAACAACGCCCAAAAGAGTGACGAGATCGAGGGAAATCTTGTTTTCGGAAACTTTAGTGGGATAAAGGAACGACTAGGAAGGCGAGTCGCCTGGCTTCGGGAGGAACGAAGTCCTGGAAGAGGTCCTGGAACACGAACCCCGCCACTGGTGCAGTACAGTAATATTCGGGGCATTTTTCCTTTAGGAAATGTTCGATGTGGTGAGAGAGAAGTGGGATGGCGAATGCTCTGCCACCGACTCGAGCTCGCCCCAGAACCTCGTCGTAGCAGTACTTCTATGGACGCGTCAGATAGCTCTGGGGTGGAGGTGGCAACTCTAGTTGCTTGGATTTCTTCTTGCGCCGTCGGACAGTGGTTCGTGAGCTGGACGGTGCCTCCTGTGTGGAGTGCTCTGAGGTGTCCCTGGATTAGAAGGTTCAGTGAAGGCAAACGCTACCATAACGTCGAACCCACATGGTGAGTCGACGAAAGTTGAACTTTATGTTGAACGTCGACGTAGTAGCGGGCTGAGTTCGACGCGACTGATCAACCTACATACATTCCCGCGCCGGGCGCTTGGCTTGGCCAGTCACGCTCATCTTCCTCAGTCCAGGGATGGCGGTATAGGCTTGGGAAAAGCGCGTTAGGTAGATTTCTGGAGTGATTTAATCAACCTAACGCATGAAAAAGGAAACCGTCCCCTCTGCCAAATCCTAAAGGGGATAGCCCAGATCCTTAAGGCAGGTTGCAAGGAGGCAGGAAGTTGGGCGACGGTTATGTTGTGAGGACGGTCGAGGGCAGTCCGAGAAATTGAAACCGTCATATTCCGGTACCTAAGGTGGAAGGTTGGCCCTCCGGGCATGGCAGGACACTGTGCACCTTGGCCGGTAGACCGATCCACGCGGAGGTCGACGACCGGTTTAGTTAGTAGGCGTATCGATACGCCTGCTGACTAACATCTGGTTTCGACCATTTGAAGCAGCCCACGGCCAGAACCAAATCTCCACCACACCGTGGCTTTTGATATTTTTTCCAGAGACAAGTTTTGAATACGCCCTGTATTGGTTCCAAACATATATATTACACTTAGATACGCCCTGTATTGGTTCCAAACATATATATTACACTTAGTACTCTATGTATGTACCTGCGAAGTATTACTAGTGTGTCCAAGATACCAATAAATGTGATTAGTGAGGATAACCTAGGAAAGAACATAAAGGAAAGCTAGCTCCAAGAAACCAAAAAGAAACGAACAAAGAGTAACCTCGTCCTAACGACCAGGGGACTGGATATGACCTTCAATGAAAGCATTGGACGACGAATGTATGCTCAGGTGGAATTTGCGTATAGGTCCAACGCCCCGCATGGCTGTCTTCCACTGCTGAAATGCGATAGGCTGGTCCGAATTCTCCACGCCATTCTCTATGTTGCGTAGCCGTTTCAAATACCAATCCTCTCTGCGGCTGCACCAACGACCGTAGTTATCTCCACAATCCGCACGTTCGTATGCTCGAGCAAGCGGCCACCAAGACTTCATAGCGGTGTGCCCCGTTCCTGATTCCCCGTTTAGATCAGTAAAATCATCCTAAACAACAAGTAGAAAAGAGGGAACAGTACTCACTCTCGTCAATGCAAAGATACGCCCCACATATCAAGTCGAGCTCTCTTGCCGTCAAGCTATCGTCCACGTACTCGCCCATGCCGTTTGGAAATTGTATAGATACAGTAGCCCCGCAGCCCATAGGTGGTTTCTGCACGTCACCCAGACCAAGTGTTGCGACAGCCAGGCGCCAGATGATCCCCCCACGACGCAGTGCGGCACTCATATGGGGCTGAGCCAGGACCAGAGTCCGAGTATTGATGTAGCTTTCGTAGTCGGCTTTTGTGAACTTATGACCCAATGATCTGACTGGCAAGGGGTTGTAGGAAGGCGTGCGGTAAAGAGGGGCGGGGATGTGGTGACGAGGGAAGAAAAGTCGGAAGGGTATCCCTTTTTGCGCGAGGGCAAAAACGACGTCGTCTTCATTGAATTCCTCAGCCAGACGACACACGAACAGCGCATCCACTCCACTGAGCACGGCCAGCCTCCAAACCTTGCTTGTCTCTGGGGGCTCGAAATAATAGTAACGGGGGACGCAGTCGGACAGGCCCTCGTCAACAATGTCTACGTTTGTCCAGTGCGGTATTGAGACGATGCGGAGGCAACGAAGGCGAGAGCGGTGCTTCAGAGGATGTATGACATCGTCCTTGAGGTCCCAAGAACCAGGGTGAGGAGTCTGCCGATTCGAGTGGGAGTGGATAAATTGAAGCGCTGATCGATAATGGGTCGACGCGAAGTACTCTTCCGGCTGTTCTTCGTCGTCACAGAGTCCAAGCAGGCGATAGAAGTCCCTTCGAACCCTAGGCCCGTCGTCCGCAGCGATAGAGACGGAGGGCAATGGAGGGACGAATCCATAGTGAAGCCCCAACGTTTTATTGACCTCGTCTTCCAAACAAGCGGCCATCCAACTCGTCGATACTGTGAACATGCCCTCCTCGTCTTCAACGAGCGTCGTGTTAATGGCCATTGATTGCTCTGCCAGATTGAGTGGCTCAAAGACGGATCTTGACGGATTCCCTCCCCCCTGTCCCACCGCCAACGAAGGTGAAAGAGGCAACTCCTCCGTCACTGCACCCACCTCCTCTTCATCCTCGTCGTCGACGTATGCACTGTAGGCTTTGGTTATTCTTTGCCTCAGCGATTCCGGTAATGGGAGGTCCAGGTCCTCCGGACCCCACTCATCCAGGTCGATCTCTTCGTCACCCTTGCCAAAGTATTCGCAACAATCCCATTCTCTGCAAAATGCATCAAATACTTTCTGACGGGCACTGTAAAGGGCAAGGGTGTCTCTCGAGTTCTTTACTCCAGCGGCGACTCGCTCGTATACGTTTGGATCTCGCTCAGAAGGATACCATTCGTACACCCGCACGTTAGAAACCGGCGGGTTGGCTGCTCTATCTTCACGGGACTGACGCTGTGTTGCCGTTTCTTTTTCCATGATTCGCGCATGTAAGTGTTCGTGGCGTTTGAAGTGAGCCACCCAGGCTGGTTCGGGCTTGGAACTTTCGTAGCGTGTCGTTGTCGGCGGTGAGGAAATCGAGGTCTGGTTTCCGAGAGGCAGCGGTCGTTCAAGTTTTCCTGTTGGTCTTTCATCGTGACTCGTAATCTCATGAAGTCTTGCGGTGGGCGAAGACGCAGTCGAGGTCTGCACCCCAGGAGACAGCGGCTGCTCAGGTCTTCCTGTAAGCAATTCGGGAGGAGGGGCCAGGGAACGATCAGCTGAGGTCATTTCCGCAGGACCCCATCGGTACCAAACTGGTATCCCATGATTCACGAGCCATGCAACAGTTGGTTGGTCCCGCGGTGGGTTAACAATGTCCACGATACACCCGATTCGGTCTGCGTTGTAGGAGAAATCGCTCAAAGACGAACGAAAAACGCCGTCAATCCATGCCACTTCTACCTCGGATTCCAATTCGGTGTGCCACTCTGGGACATGGCTGCTGAGAGTGAAAGCGTCTCGTTTCGATTCGCCATACGCAATCAGGAAAGACAGCGCCCCCCACCAAACCGAAAACCAATCCCTCGACAATGCAACCGCCCGATCATAGCTCCTCCAATTTCTGAACGATTTCTGGTACCCATGAGCCCACGGCAGAAACGGCAGGACCAAGGGTGCCGTGAATTTTGACTTGAGTTTCGTGACAGCGCCGAATAGTTCAGCCTCCAGCCTGGACCAGCTGTGGATGAAGGTATCGGGCATACGGTACACCAAATCCCCCTCAGAACCAAGGCTTAGGGGATGGGGGATGCGCTTGAGTCGATTGAAGGGGAATCCAGGGTCCGAGTAACGCAACGGAACGAACGCCATCCATCCAAACGCGAGAGTCCATAAACGGGGGGTGGAGATGTCTTGAAACCTCGGGTAAAGTGGTTTGAACTTCTCCCCTGAGGACAATTGAGCAGGGTTGGAAGAAGACGGGGCGGTCGGTAGATCCAGTTCTCGGCGTCTTGTCGGCTGAAACGGGTTTACATCCTGGTGGAGGTATGGGTCTTCTTGAATGTCAAGCGCCCTGCTGCAGTTCGGAGAATAGTACAACTCTCCATTCACCGCTTGAAGACGTCCAGGTGCTGAATTCTAAACAGCACTTAGCTCCCAATTTCTACATGTTCACAATCTCCATCAGACGTACCTTCATACCACTACGCGTCAATTCCATTCCCTGGAGCTTTAGAGATTCCCTTGCCCTCCAGTATCCCAACCAAACGTCCCTGGAACAAACGCAATACGCAAGCAGCAACGTCTCGGCGCCTCGACTGCGAGCACGACAAGAGATTGGCCTGGTTAGAGAACGTGGTCTGGTGCAGGTTACTCGACGCCTCGTCAACGAGCACGACGATCACCTTTCAGTGTGATGTGAGAGGAGAAAGCGTTATGACTTCCCGACGCCTCGGCTCCGAGCACGAAGGGATGCAGTCGAAGTGGTGGTGGTTGATGTTAATGAGGCCAAGAGACGCTCGGTCCCTGAAGTTCCCATCACACCGCCACTGATGGGTTCCCGCGCGAGCACTCAGACCCTTCAGCCACAAAGACTTGTTCTCATCCACGACTCCCTTTGACAACTTCCATTGTTTCGTGCTCGGAATCGAGGCGTTACAATGGAGGTCTACTATGGTCTGCCGCAGGAGTACGATCTTTTGCTTCGTGCTCGGAATCGAGGCGTTGCATGAAGATTTCAGCCACCAGGGCTTGTTCTCATCCCTCCACCGCGACTCCCTTCATGACAACTTACAATGTTTCGTGCTCGGAATCGAGGCGTTACAATGGAGGTCTTCTATGGTCTGCCGATGGAGTACGATCTTTTGCGCTTCGTGCTCGGAATCGAGGCGTTGCATGAAGATCGGTCTCGGGCACTGGGATTCTATCATGTTCGCGGCTGCATATGAGGTGAGCTTATTGAGGCTCGTCAGCTATTCGGCGACGTACTAACTAACCCAAATCCTTCAGGGAATGCGCCACTTCGGAACAGCCAATCCGTTACAGCTAAGGGAAGAACGTGGCGCGAGCAACGGAAACAAGTTCGCTCAGGGGTCAGGCCAATCAGCAAGAACAATTTCATTAAGCACATTTTATGAACGAGTGGGACGACCTATGTACACATAGAACAAGCTAAAAGGCGATAAACGACAAAGGCGATAAACGACAAAAAGGGGGTGGGGGGAGTCAGTCCATCAAGAGAGCAAGATATAGATGATAATGGGCATTTTGGGACCTCATCGACTGCTGGCGCCTCCTTTGTTCAACTGATCAGCCACCATCTGGAATAAAGAAGCCATATCGAGGCCCGGTGTTCCGAACTGCGGGATGTTCGGTTGTGGGAGGGCAGCAGGATGATGCGGCGGATTAGGTGCCGCCGACGTGGACGCTTGAGGTGGCGGAGGGGGAGGTGGTGCATTCGACGTCGACGCCGGAAGAAGCTGCTGGGACGCAACAGACAGGGCACTCAGTAGACTTATCATATAGTGGTTATGCCACCCAACCTGTCCAAACATATAGTTCAGATATGCCCAGCCAACCAGCTGACCGATGGATTTAACCATACACATCCTAAGTCAGCCCACCTGCCTGAGAGAGGATAATCCGCATGAGTCAGCTGAACATATACCAAACCGGTGAATGAGACGGCACAACCTCCACTCGTGTCCACCCCTATTAAGCCGACCTATCTAACCCTTTCACTGTGGCCATTTCCACCATGGGTCGGCTGAGACCATTCGTCTCTCCTTCTCGACTTCAGCCGACCCAACCAAGCAATGCCCCCCACCCCAATTTTCCACTGCCACTGGTCATCGAAAACCAAACCAGAAAGCCGTGCACGGTGCGTCCACCCCGATTGAGCCGACCTATCTAACCCATTCACCGTGGCCATTTCCACCATGGGTCGGCTGAGACCATCGTCTCTCCTTCTCGACTTCAGCCGACCCAACCAAGCAATGCCCCCCACCCCAATTTTCCACTGCCACTGGTCATCGAAAACCAAACCAGAAAGCCGTGCACGGTGCGTCCACCCCGATTGAGCCGACCTATCTAACCCATTCACCGTGGCCATTTCCACCATGGGTCGGCTGAGACCATCGTCTCTCCTTCTCGACTTCAGCCGACCCAACCAAGCAATGCCCCCCACCCCAATTTTCCACTGCCACTGGTCAGCGAAAACCAAACCGGCGATTGAGAAAGCCGTGCACGGTGCGTCCACCCCGATTGAGCCGACCTATCTAACCCATTCACCGTGGCCATTTCCGCCATGGGTCGGCTGAGACCATCGTCTCTCTTTCTCGACTTCAGCCGACCCAACCAAGCAATGCCCCCCACCCCAATTTTCCACTGCCACTGGTCAGCGAAAACCAAACCGGCGATTGAGAAAGCCGTCCACCGTGCGTCCACCCCGATTGAGCCGACCTATCTAACCCATTCACCGTGGCCATTTTCTCGACTTCAGCCGACCCAACCAAGCAACGCCCCCCACCGCAGTGTTCCACTACCGCTGGTCAGCGAAAATGTGCGTCCACCCCTTTTCAGCAGATATTCCACCTAGGCTGGTCGGTCAGCGAAAACCAAACCGGCAATTGAGAAAGCCGTGCACTGTGCGTCCACCCCTATTGAGCCGACCTTCCACCTAGTCACCCCACAATCCGCGGCTTTGCGTTCGTGAGCCGACCCAATGTAACAAACTCCACCTACCGTTGGTCGTAAAAGGTCGGCTAGGTCTAAATGCATTGCCCTCAGTCGGCCGACCAAACCAGTCTATGCCAGTCCAGGCATCGTTCTACCCACAACCGGCAGTGACCTGCGATTTATTCCGCTTCAGACTAATACAAATGCGTCTACCTCAAGGTGCCATCCAATATGGAGTTGAGAAAGAATAAACAAACTTTAACGGTCTGTACCTAGCCGCCGGTGAACGCTGGTGACCTCGATTCATAGTTTCGATTCGAAGGTACGCTGGTAAGGTCATCGTGAATCAACACTCTTTCATTGACCCCTACATGGTGCACAAATGACCCTCGGTAATCTAGTCCTCTACACTGACAACACTCTCCTCTTTATTTGTCCTAATCAATCTCGCCTGACTTAGTCTTATCCAGTCCCCATTGGCGCCCACTTTTTCCCTCACGGTTTTCAGGGCTTCACGAAGTTCCTCCATCGCCAAGTTCACCTCTTGTGGGTAATTCACCAACGACTCTTCGTACTTGTCACCGTGTATCTCTTCGAGCTTATCCTCCAAGCGGTTCCACTTGTCCGATAAGTCCACCATTGCATCGAGAGCCCTGTCAGTGTCCAGTCGGAGGCGCTCATGATCTACCCATTCCTAGGTCACCCCAAGGTTTCGACTTCAAGATACATCCTCGACTCACCCACAACAATGACATCCAATATACGCTCCATCACTTCCTTTTCTTCCCCGTCATAACCACCTGGCACATTGACGTCGACTTCCGTTCGTACAGTCACCCGTATCTGGCCATGGGTAGAGGTGACGATGCTGCTAGTGTTTCCCTCCCTTCGTGGTCGCTTAGACATCTGCCTTTATTAGATTATTATTCGGATAACGTATACGCTGTACTCACTGCTCTGGGGGTGTTTTCTGAGGTACTGCTCTGCGGTCGATTGACGTTTGGATGGATAGAGATGTAGCAAAGATATTTAGCTTGGACTCGGATGTAGCTCACAAAGAAACTTTGATGCAGACTTCGGTTTCCCACGAGGCCTATTCAAAATGAGAAAGGAGGCGGATCGAGTTCCTGCGGCGAATGACATTGTACGTGACTACTGGTATGTGACCCTCTCCAGATCCCTAGCTAGTTTACGACATCGCCGATTTGCCTCCTGCAATGCGATGAGCATGTCAGCCAGTTTCTCGGCATATGGCAAAATTTCCCCTCGTATGGTCTCTGCATCGTTCTCGTCCGCCACCGTCGAACTCAAGTCGTTCAATTTCGTAACAAGCTCCTCCACGTCGTAGATAGAGAAGCGTAAATCGATTGCTATCACCCTATGCTCTAAGGTGAGTTGTAAACCCCAATCTGTAAAGGTGGAAGGGCAGTAAACGAAACTCTCACCTTTGCGTAAATCTCTGCAGATAGCGAGCTCGAGGTCTTCCGCACTCATCTGTGAGGCTAAGAGACTGAATAAGTTTATTCAGAGTAAGATCAAGGCCCTCTCACCCATGCCTTTATAAGCGAGTACACATACCCCGAGCAAACACAACCACACATCATGATGGCTTCTCATTCTCAAAAGGCACGATATGCATGGTTCCCCGTTGTCGGCTCATACATACATTTCCTCCTCCTCCTACATCTCCTCCTCCTCCTTCGTTCTAATCGCTCGATTAATCTCGTCGAGGTCCCGTTGCATCAAGTCCCTCAACCGTACTATCGAATTGTTTCGCATTCGAAGTTGGTCATACATCCACCTCAGCGACTCGATGTGCTCCCGGAGGTAGCGATTCGAGACGACCGATTGACTAACATTGTAGCCGGTTCCCCCCCTACCCTGCGCCGGATGCGTGACTTCTTCGTCCTCAGAGTCGCTGGGCAGGTCGATGTGGAATGGCATTCCACTCTGGGGACATCCTTCCCCGGCGGTGTTGGTGCTATCATCTACCGAAAGGTGATTGTAAGCAATGTGGATGTCGCCGGTAGGTGCAAAGAATTTACCGGCACGTCCTTTACCCTTCGACTCCTTCGAGATAAGTTGAGCTTCGGTTTCCTACAGTCAAATTCCGAACAGGGAATGTTAAAGGCAAGACCGACCTTCGACATCAGATGGTTCGACCGTTTGTATAGGGTTGCAGGAGCCGGCTGTTGGCGATTCAAGGGCCTCGTCTTCAGATTCACTTGGTAAGTCAATGTGAAATGATTGTCCCTCCCTCCTGTCGTCGCTTTTATCGTCTATCGAGAGGCGGTCGTCGTCAACGTGGAGTTCGGCGGTGAAGAATAAAAGCTTACCGGCTTGGCCTTCGCATTTCGACGCCGTCGACATAGGCTGACCATCAGAATTCGATGCTTCATTTTCCGCCGGTCGGTCAAGCTCTAACGACGGCGCGTTTAAGACAGCACGCCCGCCAATTCGACAGGCGGTGTACCCACCTAACATGCTGGGATCGTCGGCCATAATGATGTCGCTCCCATCCATATCGCCTGGAGAAAGGATGTCAAGCCAAACCCTATACTAATCTTGAATTGAATCTAATACCTTCGTCTGTCGCTGTGCAAATCAAATGTCTGGTATTGCTGCTGGCAAAGGAGAAGAGGTTTCAGCCATTCCGCCGTCGCGCATGAAATTAAGTACCATTCCTCGCTCATCCACCGGATCAGGGATTGATCGGACGACTGTAGGTCCGCGTCTTGCCAAGCCCGAGCTTTATCTAAATAGCGACGACCTTTTTCCCGCCCGCCGCCTCAAGCATCGACTCTTCTCCATGTCGACCACACAACAACAAGGTCCTCTATCGCCTCGAAAGGCCCTTGAAGCGCTGCAATTCCTCCTCGGCCACGCTGGGAAATGGGGTCCAGGGGATAAGAATCGACAGCAGAAAGAGGCTCTAGTCGAGACGACGGTGAGTCTCAATGGCGTTGTGAAAAGGGGACAGAGATTGACGAAGCTGGTTCCCAGTTAATTGTACACAGGGAGACTGGGAAATCACTCACACTTGAGCATTTGGGTAAATCGGTCAGGGCGTGGTTCCGCACTCTCAACAAGGACGACTCGGTTCTCAGAAATCCCAACCTCGTTGACCCGACTGTATTCCAGAAGCCGCCGTACACAACTGTCACTCCACCTGATGTTGACCTCGACGATATCCTCCGTCAGATAACTGTCTGGAAGCAGAACAACCAACCACCGGGAAAGACGTCGACTAAGGAGCAATCGAAGGTACCGGCTACGACTGGAGATGTGAAAAAGTCTAAGAAAAAGGGGGATCGCGGTGGGGGAAAGAGCGGTGGTGGAGAAGACGGCCTGAAAAATAACACCAAGAACAAAAAATCCAAAGGCGAGTCATCTCTTGTCCCAACCGCACCTGCAGATTCCAGCGGCTCGGCCCTCCCCTCTCAACCGGTTAAACGAAAAGTCGGTGCCGATACCACGGAATCGGATGATCTCGCCGAGGCCACAGAGTCAGCCCCGACAGGGATTTCCAAGAAGAGGAAGGTTGTCGATGCGCAGGGGAAGAGGAAAGTGGTCGATGAGGGATCCGACAAGATACAGCCCCCCGCCGATACAAGAACCAAGAGAACGTTATCTCCGATCGAAGAAGACGATGAACCCGACCCCGACTCCGTTTCAGAGGTTTCGGATACGGCACATCAACCCAAGAAGAGACGGGTCAATCCTCCACAACGCGAAATCCCTCCAGGCTTTCACAAGGCGCCCATCGCCTGCACCAGCTGCACGGAAACCGGCCACGAGTGTTGGATTAAGCGCCCGAAGATCGGGTGCCATCGCTGCAAGGATGTCCTGAAGAAGGGAAAGTGTTCGTTGTCCAAACGAAATCGCAATCCCGACCCAGCCGGCGGTTCGAAGGCGGAGGAGACTACTGAGGCTGTTTCAACCAATTCCCAGACTCGTGAAACTGAAGGTCAGTCTGTCCACCGTATCGTTTATCTTATCTCGATAATATCTCTTATCTGGCATTTCATTTCCCGATCCAGACGCGACGAGGTCTAGACGAGTGCCCGAGGTTCCAAACGTTGTTGACACTAGCCACCAAGGTGCGTATCGGTGATCATCACTCTAACAGGATCGAGGGCTCAGCCGACGATTCGTCGATATTCCAGTAACCGTCGGACAAGATATTGGGGCTGGAACTGCGGCTGGAACTAGTCAAGTCACTCCCCCAGTTGGAATCGACGCTCAACCGGCGGCTGCCGAGGAGATACAGGCGACCAAGGGTCAGATCGCAGCCAAAGGAATCGTCAAAGAAACCCCCATCGGTGAGTTCCTAAAGCCCAAGTCTTGTCTGAGGGTTCCTACGTTCAACTTTTCATCATGAAATTCTTCAGGTGTCACCCCAGCCCCCACCAAAGTCGACACTAAGACAAGGTCTCATGTCAGCGGTTCGCGTGAGTTCTGAATGCGTACTTTCATGGCGCTAACATCTCACATTTTATTATCGCGCGGTTTAGCAGTAACTACTTCTGCTTCTAAGGACCGGCGGCCTCAGTCGAGCTCACTCACCGCCGGTCCCTCGTCCTCGATCGACACAGCCACGAATTCCAACCATGACGTCACCCATTCCGAACCTGCTGGGTCAGCTGTGCCAAATGCGCCGTCACACGAACCGCCTTTCGTTATCCCTCCTGCATCTCCCACCGAGCTCCTCACAGATTCGGTTCACAGCGATCTAAATGCCCTCGGGCTGCGCGTTCACCAGGTCGAGTCGTCGGTCCTCGAAAACCAATCGACCTTGGCAGCACTTGTAAAGTTCGCAGATGCCCACCGGCACGATGCGACGAAGATGGCTGGCTACGAACGCCGACTGACTTCCCTGGAGTCAGGCTTGGAGAAAGCGCATGCTGCCCTTGCCGCCTACCGTCAGGAGCTCGAGGACACCAACCAAAGGGTCAGAGACCAATCCACAGTCATCGGACAGTATCGCACTGCCCTCAATCTTCTTCTGAACGTCATCCAAACGACCTCCCACCAACCTCGTTACACTACTGCATCTTCCTCGCATGCACCGACCAATCATGTCGATCCCAAAGCCGTCGAACCCTCGCTTACTCCCGGTATGTTCCTCCCCCCGCGAGACAGCGACACGATCTCTCTTTCGTCCGGTCACTACTCGCACCAGAACAGTCCGCAGGGCGGCCACCTGGATGCCATTGCTCCTATCATATCCCAAGTTGAGGCGCATCTCATGGATCTCCCCCCCAATCTCCAAAGCCCAACGCTGAAAGAAGCATCGTTTCGACGATGGGCGGCAGAGCTTGGAATATCTAGCCACCAGCTTTCCGCTTTCCGTGACAAGCCCCAAGCACACACTTCCTCGGTTGGAGAACGAGGTGGAAAGACCGCCCCCACACCTTCATCTGACCAGTCCTTTCGAAAATCAGCCATGGGTACAAGATCCGACAGCACTTCCTTTTCCCCTCGACCAAGCATCCACGAGTCTTCTCCCGGGCAACGATCACATGAATCCAAGGTGCCCTCCCCCACTCCTTCGTTTCAGCCCCGACCCTCTGACGTTGATTCGAAGACAACCGAGCGTTCAGAGCCAAATGAATCCGGATCGGGCTGCGGCGTTTCGAATCGCCCGTCCACCAGCGTCCAGTCCACCCACCTGCACAAATCCCCAGCCTCACCGGATCGTACTGGAGCCACAGACACCGCCGATGCTCACGGTGTCCATGTCGACTCCTCAAACGGCCGGTCCACAGTCAGCCGCACTTCTGATGGCCCTAAGGGTACTATCGAGTCCTCGACAAACCTCACAACGTCCTGCACCGCCGGTGATGACACCGCCAAGTCCACCACAGATTTCTCGACTGTCGTCTCTACCCCTAGTACTGCCACCAAAGGTACCGGCAATACCGGCAGGAAGGTCGAGTCCACTGCCGAATCCTCAAGCAACCTTTCTACTGTCAGCACCTCAGGCGATGGAAGCACCGACACCACAACCAACCCTCCCCCAAAGTGCGCGACCGACCTCCCTACCGTCAGTACCAGCTCAGGCGATGGAAGCACCGACACCACAACCAACCCTCCCCCAAAGTGCGCGACCGACCTCCCTACCGTCAGTACCAGCTCAGGCGATGGAAGCACCGACACCACAACCAACCCTCCCCCAAAGTGCGCGACCGACCTCCCTACCGTCAGTACCACCTCAGGCGACCTCCCTACCGTCACTACCACCTCAGGCGATATCCCTACCGTCAGTACCTCAGGCGTCCGAGGAACAACCGCCGGCAATAAAGAAGGTGATGTCCCCTCCAGCGACGCCGGTAACAATCAAGGACGAGTTGGAGGACCTCCTGATGAAGATCCAGTGCTACGATTGGTCCAGGATCAGGGCGCAGTTGCTGGAAGAGGAACTGTGGGACCATATACGCGCCGTATGTCTCGTCGATCCGTAGCCCAAGTCCAATCCACCGATACTCCCAGTCCTCATCCTGACGGTATTCTTCACCCATTTTCTAACGTTCGTAGTACCTTGAAGCAAAAGTAATATCTTTCAATCTATTCTCAATAATTGTCATAGCAGCTCATACTGAATACATGCCCTGTTTTACCTCCTCCCTTTTTGCTTGACAGGACTCTTGGCCGATGCTCGAGTGATTCTTTGCGGCGTTTGCGATGCGAGCCTTTGACTGCGCTTTATGGGAGTGGCCGGCGGTACTTTGGTCTTTTTTCCTCCGACGGTATTAGCCTCACCCTGTGCCTTCTGGACCTCGCGAGGACGATCGGTTCCACCACTTGTGGCCCTCTTACCCCGGTCTGTGGGCTCTTGTTGAATTTCCTTGGCCCGTTTGGGACGGCGATCACGCTTTTCAGGCGCTTCACTTGTCGTCCCCCTGCGCTTACGCTTGCGACCGATCTGAGATGCCGACTCTGGGGGGAGTGTCAACCCTCGTTCCGCCATCTCCTTCTGCTTCCTTGTCCTGACTCCCTTGAAACTCGACACCTTTTCATCCACGGCGCTTTCACCACTAGCCCTCCCGTCTGCCGACTCCTTCGAATTTGAACCCTTCTTCGATGCTCGTTTCTTCGACGATTGTCGCTCGGTCACCGCCGCCTGTGCCAGGTCATCCTCACCGGATTCTGAACTGTTTTCCGCTTCAGGCGCCGTTGACTCTTCATCTGGTTGAATCCCTCCTCTCTTCGATCTTTGGCCCTCCTCTTCGCTCTCGCTACTACTTCTGTAGTCGAACACAAACTTCTCTGGCATGTCTCGCCGCTGAAAGCCCGTCCCTTCTGCTTCTCCATCTTCCTCGTCCTCGTCTTCCTCGTTGTCGTCTTCCGACTCACTTTCCTCTGAATCGGTTTCCTCTGAGTCGCCTTCGTAATGGGGATCGTCATAGTCGCCTTCTGACGCCAGATCGGAATCACCAGAATCGGTTCGCATCGAAAAACTGTCGCTTTCCTCGCTGCCGTCGGTAGAGATGGCCTCCTCTTCATCCGAGAGACGGGGTGCCTTCTTCTTGCGCGAACCTGCAGTCTTATCGACCTTTCCCCCTGCAGCCTTCTCCTTGGATCCCTTCTTCCTCTCCGGTTCTTTCTTCTTGCCTCGTTTACCTCCTGCTCCATCCTTTGAATCTCCTCCCAACACTGTATACTCGTGTTGGTCGCCGGTTACATCTCCTTGCCGTTTTCGAGGATTTCTGGGCAATATGTTGTCCTTTGGGTCGAGGTAAGCATGTAGCTCGAAAAGAAGCTCATCGGCAGCTTCTTCATCCACACGGGCTTCTGACTGCAAGTCGTACAGGTAATTAAAAACCTCCTTTTTGGGACCAAGACGCATCGACGACGGTTCCTTTATGTGATCGACGATGTTCTGCGGCATCACTTCCTCTGAGATGAAAGCACGACGGTTGGCCGCCAACTGTGTCCATGGGAATCGAAAAGAGTCGACAGTCTTGAAGTTTCCTGACAGCTCTGGATGAGCAGAGTAAGGTAAGAATATCGATCGACTTCGCCCCCTGATGATCGGCAACTCACGGTAATGGTAGATGAAGAACGACCTGAGAATGTCGGTATACCAGTCGTGCTCCCGGACGTTTCTTGGTCGAGTGTTGGGGTTGGGGAGGATAGGTTCGCCATACGAGTTGCGAACCATTGGGATTAACGGCTTCTTACTCCCTCGCGTGTCTGCTGGGAGACGGACCTCCTCTTCGTCCGAATCGGTCGGTTTGGTATCGAATTCGTCGTACACATAATTGCGAAACTCTCGGAAGAGCGCCTGGACATCATCGCGGTTCCGTTCAGAGAAGTCGGTTGACCGGCCAAAATCTTTGTTGAACTCCGAGAGGATTGCGATGGGCCTACCGTTCGCTCGCCTCCAACCCAAGAAAGTCATGGATATGCAGTTAAAGTCTTTGTCCATATCCTTGGCCCAGTCATACGCTTTCTTGCTTGCCTTCTTGTCTGCGTTCCTGCATTAATATTGGTCACAACCGGTCCCTCGAATGTGTTGATCGTGAACGAAACAATTAACTCACTCGGCTTGGATCTTTGGCGGCGGTCCGGTGGCGTTCCATTTGGCTGCGAGTGTCTCGTAGTGAGCGTGCTGGGACTCCGATAACCGAGACATAAGCTCTCTGGCAGCATCCTGGTAATAGTTGAAGAACCAATCTCCTTCCCCCCCTTTCCGACCCTTGCGTTTTGGTACATCATCGTCGTCGGAGCCATATGTCCCGGGTGCAGCGTCGGAGTCGTACTCTTCCAAGAACCGATCCACGTCCCAGTCTCCCTTGAGCATCCGTTTTGCCATTGCTTTTGTTCTGCGCCGTTTAGATTTCATATAGACTAGGCGGGGGTACCAATTTGTGGAGTAATCATCCTTGCTTTTCCTCGTTGTTTTCGTCTGTGCTTTGAACCAGGTGCGTATCCCCTTCAAGGATTGTCGATTATAGAAGCTACTAATAATGCAACATGAACAGCTTACCTGCAATAGCTTTTTTTCTTCACTTTGCAACATCGGTTTTCCGCGCTCCTTTTCGATTTTTTGCCCAAGATGGTCGCATATCCGCTTGAAAAACCGCCGGCGCTTTTTGGAGGCCGTTCCGACATACGCATCGACGCGGTCCCTCATGAAGTCCAGTTGAGACTTGGTGAACGTGTAACCAGTTACGGCGCCGACATCACTAGCGGTAGAATTCTCCTCGTGATCGACAGAGTGTTCACGGGAGGGAGAGGAGGACATGTCTGCGAGTTTGAGCTGACTTAGGTGGGGTATTCAACACGGAGATGAAACGCCTACGTGGTAAGTATTTATACACTCGAATCCCTCCAGGGAAGGAGGGCAATGGCGACATGTCGACAGTGGGATGGAAAAGGCCATGATATCGAGGCATAGTCTTTCCTTCTGGGGATACGGAATCTAATTTCATTTATTGATCTGCATCATGTACCTAAGGGACACGGTATCAACTGGTATCTGGGCCTTCTTATCAACCACCCTCACCAGCAACCATGGGTAGGGGCAATACGCGACGTTACGAGTGCGAGCCTCCTGAAAAGGTTTACGCCTACAGAGCAAAGCTGGTCAAAACTAAACGCAACTCCGCCAAGATCCAACTAGTTCCTGCTACCTTCACCACCCCCAAAAACAAGAGGAGACATACCGGGGAATCGTCTAAGTCGGGGTCAAAGCGAGGATCGAAACGAAGCAAGATCGATGAAATATTAGAGTCTACTGCTGCCAGTGCCAAGGTGGAATCGGTGTCGGAGAGACTGGAATCATTGCGGGTGATGTCTTTATTCCTTTCGACCTCCCGGAAAGAGATATGACGGGTGGTTCCAATGTAAGTCTCGCCAGCCCTCAATATGCAGTCCTTTTTTGATCTGGCGGTAAACAGACTTCGCACTCTTACCTTTGCGAATGGCGTGAGGCGAAACAGGAAGCATATCTGGATGAGGTGATCGCACGTAACTGCACCCACAAACATCTGGAATGTTCAAACTGCCGGCGATCGTCAGATGCCCACCCCATCTGGCGATGTAACACCTGCTATGGGCGACCTCTTCTATGCACCAATTGCTGCAGGGATGGCCATCGAGCCAATCCTTTCCATCGAGTCGAGGTGTGGAACGAAACACACTTTACACCTTCTTGGCTTTGGCGATCTGGACTCGTTCTCTCTCTCTGCACCTCCGGGCGCTGCGACCTCTCTTCAACTCCGCCCACTGACCTACCCGACGCTCTACCTATGCGCGATGATTCCACGTATGGTGCCAAACCTGAACGACGAGCCTGGGAAGACGACGTGAGCGTCATCGTGGTTGTCCATGTCAATGGAATACATCACATTCCCTTTCGATTCTGCTGCTGCTATGACGCCCCCCCGGACGACATTCAACTGCTAAGAAGGGACCTTTACCCAACTTCGTACAAGGAGGCACGCAGTGCCTTTACCTTCGAGCTGTTGGACGACTACATCCTTCAGAACTTAGAGTGCCACACATCAGCCTTTCACTACTACTCAAAGCTACGGCGACTGACCAACAAGGCGTTCCCCAAGACGGTGCCTGTGAGTGCTGAGTTCATATTCAGCCTCACTGCAATGCTAACACTTGCCGCGACAACTACTAGGATCGATATCGGGAACTTCTCAGGTGCAGTCGGGAATGGCGCCGTCTGAAGGACTTGAAAAGACATGGATTTGGTCACCTGAAGCGATCCCCGGGAGAGGGCGAGATGGCGCTTTACTGCGCCGCCTGTCCTCAACCGGGGGTGAACATCCCGGAAGGGTGGCAAGACGATCCTGAGCAGTGGAAATACTATGTCACCCTGGTGGCCGACGGAAACTTTACTCTCCTCCATCGGAAGCAAAGAGGAGAGGACGATGTTTGGTTGAAAAATGGGGAAGGTTATCTCGTCGAGCGTACTCGCTATGCGAAGCATATTAGCGCTACAACGGAGAAGAAAGAGGTGCGTTGGAATTAAGGGCACGTTCATGACATTTGATATAACTGCAGCCTCAGGCCCCAACCTGTCATGAACACCGCGCCGTTGAAGATAGGTCCAAGACTCATAAAGGTTGTGATGTCACTGGAGTCGGCGCGTTTGCATGTTCTCGACACGGCGCGTTTGCCCCTGGCAGTGTGGTGGACTTTCAGAAGGGTGAACGGTACGTTGGAATTCCATCGAAACAGTTCGCTTCCCTGACAAGTATCTCGTCTTAGTCAAATGAATATGGATTATGGTCTTTGCGGCGCGATTCGCTCAACAGGCGCGTCCCATGCTAGGCGTCTGAATCTTCTTTACGACATTGCGTGTCAGTACTGTCAGCATCTCGTCAAGAGGTTGAAGGACGGGAAATATCTGAATCATTGGGACTCCTTGGAGATGGTGTTTGGAATTGGGAAGTTCCATGTCTTCGGTCACCAAGAGAGATGTTTTGTGCGACACTCACCCCTCTTCATTGAAGGAACGGGGTGGACCTCAGGCGAGATTCTAGAATCTCTATGGGCAATTCTGAACGAAGCAGGGAAGGCCACTCAAACCATGACTCTCGCTCATCGAAATGAAGTCCTCGATTCTCTGATTGCCGATAGCAACTTCAAAAAGATGATCAACCTGGGTGGGTCTTCTATTGTGCAGTCTGTCAACCGATGAAACATCTTATGCGTCTTTGCCTGCGTACTACTATTGCAGTCCATCAATTGGGTGGCCGGTATGTGAAGAGCTTGAAGGAGCTTACCGCAGCTAGGGAGGCGTTCGAACTACTCGACGCGACAGCCAGTACAGCTCAACGTTCCGCTTGGCAAGAACAGCTCAACAGAGCATTGGAACTAAGAGTGCATGACGTAGGGGCCATGGATGTGTTAAATGTCACAATCGAGAAACGTAAAGTCTTTAGATGCGTCCAGGTACGAAACTTGCTACTTATACTTCCCTATCAGCGCCATCTAGGTCAAAGGTTCAGCATGACATGATGGTCAACGAACAGCAGGGAAACTACGATGTTGGAGTTACCTCTTGGCTTACCCTAGGTCTGAAAATCCAAGAATCACAGTGAGTGACACCCAAAACAGGCCTGCCACAGATATATGAATTCGGAATCTACACATACAGGTTACAGCTCAAGGCATATATCAAGTCGCTCCCTCGCGCCGATCTCAGAACCGACCTCCAGCTTGTGGAGCTGATGCAGAGGCGAGAGCGAATTCAAACTGACCTCGACTCATTTGTGGCAACAGCTGTCCGTCTTTTCCCAACGGTGGAGTTCAGGGGGTACGACCGGCCACCGGACGTTGCCCCGGAAATCGACAACGACGACCCAGAAGATGCGGAAGGTACCGGTCTTATCGAGGAAGAGGACAACCCGTTCCTCAATTCGGATGACTGTGATATCGAGGATGTGGAAGTACCGTTGCCGTCGTCATTCACGCGCCTTCCGGAGACAATGACCAGGGCCAGGAAGAAGGAAATCCGGCTTCGTATAGCGCAGGCTAATGATGCTCTGGAGGGTATCAGGACAGAAATAGGCCACAAATCCTTTCTTTATCGGTCCAACATCCGCCTTGCTGACGGGAAGAAACAGAAAACTCGAGGATACCAGGCTATCAAAGCCGCCGATTCATCCCTGCGACATCATCTACGCCTATATAACCAATCACGATGGGCCCTAAATCGACTTGGAGCCAAACCGTCAACATTGGAACGTTACCGGCCGATTGTACGCGAGGATACTAAGGCCATCACAGCAGTCTATCAACCGAATGCGCCTGGCCAATCCAAGGCGACGTTGTCTTGGATTTGGAGTTTGGATGTTAAGGGCGATTCTGATAACTCGATATATCTCAACGAATGTGCGTTCATTACCAAATCCTGTTCAAATTGTGTCTAACTGAATGAATATTTTCCATAGTGTACAGGGTGAACTGGTTGAGAGCCAAGGCAAGACTCGACCGTTGGAAGGAAGAGCACGTCCTTCTTCGAAGCGAGATGGACTGGGTGATAAACTTCTTCACCATGAGGGAGCAAAGGTGTCTGAGCTGGGCGGGTTTGACATCACAACAGCCGGGCCACTCCGCCTATGCCTTCCGCCAGGCGGAAATGTGGAGACTGTTGGCTTCGGATGCGAAGATGTCTTTCGAAACGGCGCAGAAAACGGTGCAGAGTCTGAAAGAGACGTCGAATGGAGACTGGGATTAATTAACTCGGTTTGAATACACAGTCAATAGCACTGGTTGAAAAATGGATAAAGATGTTTCAAACGCCGCTACCGGTAAGGATTACCGGTTAGCCGCTAAAAATGTGTACCGCCGGTTGCTTGTACGACCGATCCTGGCTGTACGACCAATCAGAGAAACAGCGGGCAACTCGGGTGCGCGTGACGTCATACTGCTGATCTGAATTAAAAGTCGGATTGACTTTTAAGTAACATCGACTTCGCTCCTCGCTCAAAACTGCCATGGCTACGTTGCTGGCCGAACCCTTTGCACGTCTTGCAGTACTCGGCATTGTAGACCTCCAAGAACTAGTCAACTACATGTCTAGCCGCCTCAGAGCAGCGGGTCTCAGCTATCTCAATCTGCGCGATACCATTCCGGAGGAGGAGCGAATGGCGTTCAGGGGATCTCTTTGCGGGGAATTCGTATGTACAGAGGCCATCGATGCATTACCGAAAGTCCTGATCGTCCATTTTCCAGATCAAGACGATGGTGGTTTTGACTTTTGCTACCGTCCAGGGACCTGACTCGATTACGCCGCCGCCGGTCTTTCGAAAGCTATTCCACATATGCATTGCCCACCCCGAGGTCGAATTGGATATGATGTGGTTGGATGTTACGGTCAAGGGCGGTGAGGGGGGACCAGACGCAGTTTTGAGCGTGTACAAGGAGGCATGGTGGTTGCCTGGTCGACCGAGGAATTGTCCCCCCCTATCTGCTATCATTGACGCGTGGCGAGAGCTGGAGGTTTTCATGGTTTCCGAAACGCCGAAGTCACCACCTTCCCGGCTCGTTCTTTCCAAACTTTCGCTTACGAGGCTCCGGGAAGCCAGGTCACTTGTCCAGTCGTCGCTCGATCTCATTGAGAGAGACTTGGAAGAAACCCGAGCGGCCATTCAGCGGGTGAGCTGCACTTTGACTGAATACGAAAGAGAGCAGGCGATGTTGGCAGGAAAGGGCATAGGTTAACAGGTTTCGCTTGTGTCCTATCTTTTGTTATTAACATCCTAAGCTTAGGTTCCCTTCTGTACGGTTTACGCGCGCGATCTCTCGAAGAGCCCAGATACCTTGGGGGTGATGCCCACGCAATCTATCTCCATCACCAGAGGTTTTGCGCCCATGTTGCTTCCGCCGCCGGCCAGGCGAAATCGATGACGCTGAGTCTAGAGGAGAGACACGCTCTTTTCGATATCGTTGATGCAGAAGCGGTGAGTGTGTTTCGTGCATCACATATGGCAGATAACTTAGTGTTTATGCATAGGAGGGTATGTTTGTGTCATACAGTCTCTTGATCTGCACATACAGCTCCGAAGGTGGGGGTCCCTCGAACCCACCTTTCAACCCAATGCTTCCGCGGCTTCTCGCCATGCTACCGACCGGCGGTTGGACCCAGGAGCGCCTTTTCAGCGGAAGCGCCTACGAAGATCTTGGTAAACCGGCGTATGACCTCGATTCAATCCCTCAGTGGGCGAAGATGTTGGAATCCAAAATATTTACGTGGGTCAGTAAGGGCTGGCCATCGGATGTCGATTGGCCATTGGAGGGTCAGGGTACAATCCCAACCGGTTACGCCGACGTGGAGGAAGCCAAAACACTGTTAGAGGCAAGGATGCGATTTTTGGAAGAGCATTGGATGGAATGGTCGGCGACCGAATCGTGGGTAGAGGAGGCCTTGAGAGTGAGCAACAGGCTCGACAAACGTTGGACCGGGGAGTGGGCGTCGAATGCAGAAGGGTGGATTTAATATTGGGTGATGATACTTGACAATAAGTGTTGTATGCAATACGAGGTCACTAGGCGAAGAAGTGGGTACCCTTAAAGAAATGAGCGTAATCATGAAAGGTCAGTGGTCTTGGAAGGCGAGAGAATGGAGTTTGCTCCACCATGACTTGACGGAAGAACTGGGAAATACCGACGCGCGAGCCCTGTACAGGAGCGATTCCGTGGACGAACACGGACGCAATCAACGCGACTACCGTACCGGGGTTGTATCGACATCGTACGCCGAGCGATGTGACCTCGAGCCTTCCATCGATATAAAACCCATCCGTATAGAGGAGATCGTATGCCCAAGAGGGGGACTTCAGGTCTCGATGAGGTTCGGTGTCTCGGTTGTTGACAACAGAGAAGGCGGTGAAGGGGGTCGACCAGTCCTTCAGCACTCGCTGAAGGAGTTCACGGTTTCCGCTTTTGATTATTCCGGCATCGAGCGACGCAAGTACGTCGAGACCGGCTTCGAACTGGGCGGGGTTGATCGCTGCTAGGATGGCACCGAGAACGGCCAAGCTTTCGGAAATCCTCTCCAGAAAGTCCAGACCGCCCTGGTTGGGATCCAAAAACGTTGAAGAAGGCGCGTATACCGACTTAGAGTGCTCCTGAAAACGCGTGTCAGATACAAGCGGTGAAAAAATGGACCGCCCGACTCACGGGGTCACCGGGAAGAGTAGGCCAACAGGAAGCAAAGGTGGCGACCCCGCTTCTGACATCAGATGTGGATTCTGTGAAGGTACCGTTGTGCTTGCGTCTGTCTTGAGGAGAGGATGCAGATAGAGGAGAAACTGATGGCCCATAGGAGAGCCATTTGATGGCGTCGAGTATTATCTCCTTTCCAGGTGTTCACAAAGCGATCGAGGGTATGAAAATGTTGACAACTCACCCGGCGAGTTGCAGAGATTATGTTGGGCAAGTACCACATAAGGATCCGTCCAGCTTTGTCAACGATGATAAACGGCTCGTCTTTGAGAATGGCGGTTCCGTCACGCTTTCGCGGGAAGGCGGGAGGAAAACGCGCGAGCAACTGTGTTTCCGTGAGCGTCCCTTGGAGCGCCTTGAAGTCAGACACAGACCACTCCAATTGCTCTGTCACTCTGCCGTTAGTTCAGTTGGCGGTGAAAGACAACCACCTACCCGCGTCCCTAAACGCTCTCACGACAACGGCGACGATTCGATGGCACTCAATTTGGAGGCGCAGGGGGATGTCCGCGGGCCATTCGGTAGGTGGATGTCCAGGAGAGAGCTGCTCGCGCACCAGTCGCAGGATGTAACACGCCAGCCTTTGAACTAGACGACAGCCTGGAGGGAGTGGTGGGCGTGAGGATTCCATTAAGGAGAGAGAGACAAGTTGGGTGGATCAAAGGTGATCGATGGATCGGGCAGTCGACGGTCAGGTTTACATAACCAACACACACTGCAGGAGTCGAGTTGTTGACTTCGCTCCTTTCATTCCACTCGAGACTCGAAGGTAAGCGCGTGCTGTGCTAAGGAGAGCATATTGTACTCATCAGAACGCAATCATGTTACTAGCTCAGACTTAACTCGATGAACCCACGCGCAACTGTCCATAGTTTGACATACGAGGAGTGGACGTACCTCAAAGATCTTATTGTACCCCTCATCCACGGTACGCAGAGATTTATGCTTTGGCATGGGCTTCAAACTATATTTAACTCGTGGTCAGTTCACCTAGAATTGTGGAACCAGGTGGAAAGGGTAATGGAAACTTTGGAAACAATGGAGGATGTAGACTCGACGACAGCTATCGGTCGGGGCCCCTCTGCGGAGTTCGCGGCGTCGAGGTGCGCCTTACAGAACGTGATGGAGGAACTTCGTACTACAGTACGACTGAGCTCCAGAATTTCTTTAATAGTCAGCAGGGAGGTGCTCTGGGGGATACACTATGTTGATTAGCATTTAACAAGAGGATTGTAACGCAAAACGGCAACTGGAATTGGCCTACCGCCGACCGGCTTTTCATTGCGACATTGGCCTCGATTGTGATCGTCGAAGAGACCGGTCAGAGGCTACCGACCATTGTGTTTCATTTTGCCGCCGGCGATATGAGTGATCACGAAGCGGTCGCATTGTGGTTCATTTTGCCGCCGGCGATATGGGTGATCACGAAGCGGTCGCATTGTGGTTCATTTTGCCGCCGGCGATATGGGTGATCACGAAGCGGTGGTAAGTTGAGTGCCTCCAGACCTGACAGGCAGACCTGACCGGCATCGTAACCGGCTGCCGAGTTCATCACAAGCGCTCGAGGTTGAAACTCCGATAAGACTCGTTCATTTAAGCTTTCGTTTTCTGCTTGACGTGTGCCTCTGCTCGTTCCGTCTCTCTGAATCACGATTCCCATGGGTATGCCTTTCTTAAATCCTAGTTCAACAGCGGATGGCTAATCTATAGACCTAGCTGACGCGGTACCCCCTATGGCAGCAACCCGTACGCGTGGTTCGGCGCGTAACCTTCGCTCCTCTCGTGGCTCGTCGTCCAAACGAATCCTTGGTAAGTGCCATCTATTGGGACAGAGACAACACCCGGAGCACTAACCCATCCAAGGCGCCAGTGACGGGGAGAGCTCGGGAACAGACAACCCACCAAGCAAAAGGGCGCGCTCGCATGCTGCAGCGAGTAATTTAGCTATCCTGGAGAAGTTGGTTCAGCTTTTGGGGGAATCTTTGGCCGCAGCCAACTCAGGGGCGGAGGGGACGTCCAAATGGGCTGAGGAGTTGGTCGATGCATTCGCTAGCTTACAGGTTGAGCTGGAATGTGAGTTGGGGGAGAATGCAGAGCAGCTTCTTAGTCCCGCGCTGCAGGACGTCAAGACGAAGATACAAGGGCTCACCTCAGCGTGTAAGACTTTGCATAAGCAAGTGACGATCGTGTGCAACTGGGAACAAATGACCAGGCGTGTACTCTCAGAGTTGTAGTTCAGTGGATCTGAATAGGTGTTGGGACCTAGTATTTGGCTTGGCAATTTAGCTGGATTGAATAAATAGGTTCCCAGTGGCACGAGTAGAAGTTAGTAACGCCCCATGTCGAATCCCTTTATTTGTCCCACCCAGGCTTCTAGGTTAAACCTGACCCCCTCGGTTCCGTGCTCTTCGTTGTGCTGTAGCCATCGCCTATTTCTCAGTACCGTCTTCTATGATTCTATCCTATGTGAGTCTCTCTTCGAAAGGATGAAAATTATCTGACTGCGAATTGATCAAGTCTACGAGCGCCAAATTACATCGATTGTGACTGGAACATGGGAGGAAAGCCTTCAAGCACATCGCGCGGATGGGTTCTGGATTCCAGACTCGGACGCCGACGATGATTTACAGGAATTTAAGGCGCACAAGAAGACCGCATTGGAAAAGTTGAAGGGAAACATCGACCTCTTGGCCAACTGTGCAGCGGAGGTGGCTGGAGGTGAGAGTGTTTGTTTAGGCTCACGATAATCGATAACCCAGACCTTGCTCTTGACAGCTGTAGAACAGGAAACCTTGGAGAGCGCCCTGCCCAACCGGTACCGCAAGGTCGACTCGGTTTTTTCCGAGCTTGGAGGTATGCCGGCGGTCTTGTGATACGTTAGCCGTGCTGATGACTGTCGTGGCCGGCGATAGGTCTCGTTAATGAGTGGGCAAAAGAAGAGGGCAAGGTTGATTTGTGCCAGATGAGAAAGTACGATGCAACAATCGCTGAGGAACTGAAACGGATATCTAAGGAAGAGCGCCTGATCGTGGAGGAAGAAGAGGACAAAAGAATTTTGGAATTCAAAACAGCGATTCGGGAAAAGGCACTCTTGACGTATCAGTGCGCGATGGAATTACAGTTGATTGTGGGTTCAATGTACAGTGAACGAGGTTAAACGTGACTTGTATGTTTCTTTCAAACGACCGGTTTCTCCACGCCGGTGACGAAATCGCTAATTCGATCGTTTACAAATCGACTTCGAGTGATTCGATTTCCCGGAGCAGCCTCCACCCTCCGTGCATGGCTTCGGCTGCCAAATCCCTAACGGCTGCTGCAAGTATTAGCATCTGGGGAGTTTCAGTCTCCTCCTGCGATACGGAACGCCTCCTAATGAGGACATTGATATCTTTCCAAAGACCCAGCAGTCCTGTGAGAATAATAAACGGCGAGGTCCTTGTTGATAATGTTCCAGATACATCATACATACCGTACTGGAATTGGATTAACTGTTCGAAAGTGAAGCCTTCAAGATCGGAGACGAGCATGACGTCTTGGTCTGTCGCATCTGAGCTTTGGTTCATACATACATTCAAACGTCCCTATAAAACTGAATCGACGCACTGTAATGGTGGGCTGCACGCTCGGGAATAGCCTTGGCCAAGGCTAGGGCGGTCATCATTTCATGCTTCAATTGGACGTTGAGGGCTTCGGCTTCATCACCTGTTGAAGCCTTTATCTGGTTCTTCAGGGCTGAATGAGGGGTGGTCAGCGTAGAACTCTTCGTCAGTGAGAACTGCCTTGCCTGATATTCTTTTGTATACCTTTTCTAACTCTTCGACTCGAACTTGAATACAGACACACATGGTGGTGGATTGCAGTAGTTGGCGACTACGAAAATTGGACCACTCCCAAGTGGTCTTTCACGTGACAAGAGTCAGTCCACGGCGACGATCATAAGTAAGGCGCCTATTTGTTTACCCCCTGGCATCGGTTACCGCCGGTGAGTCGATCGCACATGGGTCGCTGGGAAACGATGATCAAAATAGGCAACCGCCGGTGAGTTGCTCGCACATGAGGTCGCCGCCGGCAGTTCACGCTTTACTACTGATGCTTTGATTGGGATACGCTACAGTAATCGGTACGACTTTATGAGGCCTGTAGTGCAGATACGGAGAATACCGTGTCACTCAACTCAGCCGATACAATGTCGATCGCGAGAAGTTCAAGCTGTTGGACGAGTTTCACACCTCCGTGTCTGACATGCTGTGCCAAATCTTTTGTGCTTTGTCGAAGGAGGCGGATTTGAGGAGATTCGATTTTGTTGTGCAATGGGTTGCGTGGTCTGGACAACCTCCGAAGATAGCAGCCTTCTATCTGTTTCTCAAGACCTTTCCAAACCTCAAGTAGACCTGTACAATTGTCAAAGATCTACTACACTGAAAGGCTACGGCTCCAAAACGTACTGTATAGGAATTGAATGAGTTCGACGGGTCCGAGGCCTTCGAGATCAGAGAGGCGCGTAGTCTCCTTGTCTAGCCCTTTCTTAGTGGGGTAAAAAGAAAGGATAGCTTATGGTACGTACTGAAATGTAGGATTGCACGTTGCGGTAATTCCTTTGCTAATGCCAATGCCGCGTGAAGATGTTCCTTCAGTTGAACTTTGAGTGCTTGGGCTCCTTGATCATCGTAGGTCAGGGAGTCATCTCGGACGATGACGCCGCCATCCTGAACACCTGTCTTTTCCCTGATCTGGGTTCGAAGGGCTGAGCCATGGGTCAGTACAGTATGGGTCCGAGAGGTCCGTGAGCAGTGCACCACCTGCTATGGCGTTGAAGCGTCCCTCGAGGGCTTCAACTCGTTCTTGGATACAGACGCACATGAGACAAGGGATGTGGCGATTTTGGAGATCACTCGAGTACCCCTGCGACTATCAGAATTAGCCGTGACTTACATTCGGGTTGGGACGTCGAGCGTTCGAGTCTCGGTGGTACAGGTGACTATCGTTGCACATTTGAATTTGAGTCACCAACTTAAGCCCTCAAAATTCTTAGCATTGGAAGGCTCGAGGAAAGGATAATAATGGGTTTTCAGCGTATCAAATGGCTACAGGTATTCGAAGCCTATCAATTCTCAACACAGGTCTGGAGGGGGGATGAGTTCGGGGCGGAAGAGGAGATCCAACGACTCGCAGCGCTTCAGAGTTGCCTCTGAATTGTGTCTCGAGTAAGGAGGCGGAAGAGACAGCGACTTCATCTGGGCTCTGGCATCTTTGACTCTGCGCGATAGCTCCATCCACCTGCGCCGGGATCGCAAAGAGTCTAGAATAGCAATCAATGATGAGGCTTCTATCGAGAGAGGTGATACATACCTGTACAAACTCGCGCATTCTCCTTGCGCACATCCTCAAGTGTACTCTTCAACCTCTCCAAGGTGGGTCTAGGGTCACTCGCATCGTGGCTGCCGAAGGACTTGAGAGGGAGGTCTGCAATCCAGTGAGACGGGTGAGAAGAACGGGAAGAGTCGAAACCTGCTTACCGGAGACCTGCTTTATGGCCTTTTCGAGGATATCCCGAGCTGTACACAACCCTAAACATCGTGAGGAGGTAATCTCAGCACTAGGCAGGAGGGTAGATGGACACATGCCTTGGAACATATGACCGTCCAATCCAGCCCGAGAAACAGAGGGAGGGGTGTCGAGAAATTGCCGCTTCAGCGCCTCGTATCGTGTGAGGAAGGGGACAAGGTCGTCCCATGGGATCCCGACGTCTCTGTTGAGGTAGTGGCCGATGTAGTCGTATTCAAGTGTGCAGACCTCGTTGTCGTTGAAGCACGCTCGGCAGCTAATGTAGTCTTCCATAATCTCGCAGGCGCCGGCAGCTTGACATTCTGGCTTGTCGCATTGCGTTTGTTGGTGGTCAAGTTGGGCAGTATAGGCTTTCCACAGGTCGGTGCGGCCTTGAAGTTGAAAGGCGCAGTTGGTGGCCTCATGGTCGACGATTGCGAGATCGATTTCATCGTAGTTGATTTCCGATTCGAACACTGGTAAGTCCATTGTGAAGGGATGGACAAGCGCAGGGGCACGGCGTGATGGCTTTTGAAAAGGACAACACAATCAGATTGGTGGGCTTTATATTCGTCGATTTGTGGTGCTCCCGGCGGCTATGGTACTCTGGTCGAAGTAGATTCCCGGTACCGGCTAAAACGTGTAGCGCCGGTCGAGTCATTGAAATTCATAGGCACCGGCGGTCGCACCCACCGCCGGTGGACTTTCACCCGATTGTAAAGCCGTACTTTAACCTGCTCGTCACACTGAAATTCGATAGCACCGGCGCTTGGTGCGGCCGCCGACCGCCGGTGATGTTCACCCTCAATAGTAAAGCCGCATTTTCCACGGTTTGTCGGATCTTTTCAAGGCGGAGTAGCCGACGAGTAAGCGCCCACCTATTGTATTATGTCTGTACGGATACAAGATGAATTATGGACCATGGCCATCGTCAGTGGGTGGTGTAGCTGAATTGGTTGGAATTAGACGTTCAAACCACGATCATTGAGTTGAAAGACTGTAGGACTCACAAGACAGTTGTCGCCTGCGCTTCCTAGGGACTGGAATGTACTCCGTTGAAGAGCCTGACTCTGGATCATCAACAGCTATAAAACCACCCAGTCAGTAAGCGCAGACAATATCTTATTCGGCGGGCCTCACTGTTTTGCTTCATTGACGCTTTGGGACCCTTCCTTTTCCTAATTTTCGTCCGCGCAAGCGATGGTTTCTCTGGCGGCGTGTCTGGTAATTCCACATATCGCCATCGAGATGAATTGACCTTGGAATTGAGAGGGGTTGTCGACGCCGGGTTGTCGTGGGCACTCGTGGGATTTTGGGCGTTCTCGGTTACTTTGGACGACATTTTTCAGAGACAAGCAGAACAGACTGGGAGAAGTGTATGTCTGTGGGGAAAGAGAAGGATGGCGAAGGCACGCCAGATAAAGGAGGCAGAAGCTCGGGAGCAAATAGGCGAGGTGGCTGTGTAGATGAAATCCGCCGGTGGATGGGCACCACGTCGTTCTTGTTCTACGACGACAGGAACAACCAGGGGAGGAATGGTTAGTCGGTTGACTGGGAGTAATAGAATGGATAGGAATCGGCTCACAACCACGAATCCCCATTCGCGAGTAATGCATAGTGAGGCATACCTTCATTAGGTCGGCCGACAGCGATTGAGAGAAGTCGGACGGTGAACTGACCTTTATTGCCAATGGCGCGCGGCTCTTGTCGCATTAGGTCGGGGGACAGGAATAGAAGCCAGGCCACCCTAGTCGGGGTAACGCCGGGACTGCCATGGACTGGTTGGGTCGGCTGACCGAGGGCAATGCGTTTAGAGAAGGTCGGCTCACCTTTACTGCCAAAGGGTGAGTGGGGTTTGTCGCATTTTCTCAGCTGACGAAGTCAAGGTTGCCGTAGAAGATTGTGGGGGGGTAGAATAGCAGAGAGAGCAGCATATGGTGGTTTGGTCGGCCGAACCTGAGAGAGGTGCGAACAGTCAACAGAGGAGTTATGTCGGCTGGGATAGATTGGGCTGTGCGTGGGCGGGGGAGTGGGGGGAGGCGGCATACAGTGCCATAGACAGGTTGGGTCAGCCGAGGCCGAGAGGGGAGATCATGTTCTCAGCCGACCTATGGTGAAAGTAAGGGGATTGCAAAGAGTAGACAACGTCAGCTTACCCTGGCGGATAGAGGCAATGGGCGGTGTTTCCCAATCACCGGTTTGGTTTTCGCCAACTACGGGTAGATGAAAGCAACACCAGGGGTAGACTGCCAGGGGGGGGGGAGGCGTAAGGTGGCTGGGTCGGCCGAAGACGAGAGGGCAGAGATGATGCTCTCAGCCGACCAATGGTGAAAACATGAATATTCGATAGAGGCGATAGGTCGGCTGACGTGAGGTGGACACGGGAAGGGGGTGGTCTGTCTCGATCACCGGTTTGGTATCCGGTCGGCTGACTGATGTGGGTTAGCTTGCTCAGGCAGGTGGGCTGACCTAGGGTGAATATGTTACATTCTTTGGTCAGCTGGTTGGGTGAGCATAAGTGGACTATATGTTTTGACCGGTTGGGTGGCATAACTACCATATATATATGTCTATGTAACATTGTGCAACAGAGGCGTGTTGCCCTAACAAATGCAAGAAGCCCGCCAGGTCTGGATTGATGCCAGCGGGAGGAACAGCAGAAGGAGGGGCGCCGGATAGGGGGAACACCTGGGGGCCCGAAGCACGAGCCAACGCCGTGGGTTGGAACGAGGATGAGCCCATGGTGGACGTCGGCACCGATTGCGAATGGGCGCCAGCCAAGAAGGGTTGATGAGGCGCAGGCGAGGCGGGGCGAGTCGCGATTGTCGGCCGATCCCCGTCGATCAATGGCATGAGTGGCCCCGAGCGAACCGACGGAGGTTCGTCCGTTTTCGTCTTCTTCATAGGCGAGTGCTTCAAAATCATGTCGTCCGTTTTTGAACGGTCGGTTTTCTTGCCTTTCTTGTGCGCAGGCGCTTTGCCCTTGGCTCGCGGGGTCGTTTCGTCGTCAGATTCCGATAACACGATACAGGGGGTTGCAGACCGTGAGTCGGCGGCGTTGGAGGAAGAGTCGGAGGGCGCCTTGGAAGCGACTTTGGCTTTGGGCCGTTTGAGGTGCGCCCCATGCACGAATGTCGCAGAGGCGATATCGTTGACAAGCACCGCGGGGGGCCCCTTGCAGTCGACACTCTGATCGAGGAAAAACCGACGTCCAGCGGGGACAGGCCAGTCGCCCAAAACGTAGGAGTCGTGAGTCTTGAGGTTATCCATCTGATCTCCGGTCAACATTGGCGGCGCCGTGATGATGATCGCTTTACGTGAATTTAACAAATCTACGGCCACAGGTTAGCGCGAGGACACATGGACTACCCCCGAAAGACTCACCCTCGGTGTCCGCAGGCTCCAGGACAAGTTTCCCATTGGGGGCGGTTACAGCGTCATAGCAGATTCGGAGATGTCCCACAGACACGCCTTTGAGGCCCTGGCTGGTAGTATTGGTCTTGCCCTTCGTCTCTTCGCCCGGAAAGACGAATCGTACAGGGTAGTGGGTGAGAGAGTATCCGAAGTGGGCGAGTTTTTTGTTGAGATGCTTCCAAAGCCGATTGGGTGCGACTTCCGCCGCTGGGTCCATACACACTGCGAAGACCACCTAAGCACGAGTGCGCCACTAGATGGCGTGGATATTATAATAATGTACTGGATCTCGGTACCCGTCCGTTATTATAATCTTACGAATAGCGCTCCCCTCTGTTATTCTTCACTGCGGCTGTGCTTTTCCCATCAAAGTTGCATCCATTTAGGGAAGGCAATCAGATTTTCAGTGATCCCGATCTCCAGCCCCTCCCTTTGGGGATGTGCGCACCCATTCGTCATCACCGGGCGCACCTGCATTGATGGCGGTGTCCATGTATGGGTTAGACGCCGAGACCGTCTTTCTGGAGGATTGATGGAGGCGGGTCGCTTCCTTTTCCGATACCCACTAAACGTTCGCACTCGGTAGCGAATGTCCGCCATCATTTTCAGCGCTTCCATCCACGCGTGGCTCAGGACTGAAGTAAGGTGTCAACTTCCCGGCGATGGCGCTTCCCCATCCCGTTCCCACGATTCACCGACGTCGGTTTACCGCCCTCCTTCCCCTCTTGGTGCTTCAGGTTTCTGATTTCACTACAGCAATACATAGCAGGCAAGTGACGTATCAATGGGGCAGATAACAAGGGGGAAACACTGAAAACGAGTAAGTATACAATGAGCCATGGTAGCACACAGGGGGGATAATGAAGGAAGCGCGACAGAAAGAGAACAGGCATGCCGGGAACATCGGGAAATAACATAGGGATAACGTCAAGCTCCCTAAGCACCTGCCGAAGGCGCATTGGTTGTGTCCAGATCCACCTCGACCAGCTCGAAGCCACTGCGCCCCTCGAACACTGTCAGGAGATCCCGTACATTCCCCCATTTTTTTTCGGCGGCTCTAACCATCTCTCTACGGATAGCCGCCTGACGCAACGCGAACGCGACCTTCCCATCACGAATCTTTGTCAGCTTGTCCACCTCGGCCCGCCATATCTCCTCCAGGTCCAGATTTTGCGTTACCGACGGGTCAGGGGTCACGACAGACGGATCGACTTGCAACGTCGACGCAAGCCTATCCCACGTGTCAATTTCATGATTCCAGAAAGCCAATACGCGCCTCATCTCCTCAGCCAAAAGCATACATTCCTCCTGCCAGCGATGAGCGCGGGCACGAGTCTTGCACCACTCCAATCGAAGCTCTGAAAGACCAAAATAGTCAGCTGATAAGATCCCCAACAAACACTGTTACCCACCGGATTTTATGTGGGCGTCGACAGAATCGCCCACAGCGCCTGTCGTCCAAATCCAAGTCAGCTGCTTATGCCCCTCACCCAGGTCCTGGTCGTCTGAGGTGAGGCCTCTGACATCCTCATCCACAGAGGGGCTTCAAGCTTCCCTCCCAAGACAGGTCCTTGGTCACGACGGCGAGGTTGACGAGGGCCGTTCGGCAGTAGCGATACTTGTCAGTAAGGCGATCCAACTTCTCCTTTATCTTGGCCAACAACGCGCTGCTTTGCGTCAACTGGCGAGTTCCCGAGACATGACGCTTCCGCGACTTCCACAACTGGGTGCGCATCAACAGAAGGACCCTTATGTCATGCAGTGCTGTCTCAGCCTGAGCGACGCGCAAGCGTTGTTCGCACTCGAGAAGCCGAGCCTCCAAAAGCATGGTGCTGCAGACGGAAGAAGGGAGGTGAAGGGGTATGTCGAATGTTGTATCGGCCGGCCCGGTTTCGGATTCGCGCTGACCCGCTACCATAGGCATAAAGATATTTTGCAGAGTCATCCAAGCATCGATTCGCCGTTGTACAGAAGTGGAGCGCTGCGTGACCTTGGCGCGCTGAAGATCCGTGGAATGATCCCCGAGCGCGTTGAATTCGTAACGAAGACGCCGTCTGCATGTCAGGATCAATCAAAGGGGAGGTTTGATGGACGTGAATTGAAGCTCACTGGGCTTCCTCGAGTTCGATTCCCTGCATAATGAACACGCTCGGGGTCACCTCGGCGTGGGCAGACACGAGTCGACCCTCCTTCCTGGCTGATTCATCTTCCTCGGCTAACTCGAGCCTCACTGCACTCGCAGTCATATCTGGAGATGTAATTGTGAGTCAGAACGAGCGTGAAGTGTCTCAGATGGCCCTACGTGTGCTCGACGATTCGTATGGATTGGGCTTCGAGTTGTCGGCCTCCCAGGCCCGCACCATGGCGCCCCAGTCTTTCGTTGACGTCTCCAGAGCGCTAGAGAAATCTCGAAAGGCCTCGACCTTCTCAGTCCGCTTGATCAACGCTTCCTGCGCGCGATCCCAGAGTGTTGTAGCTGTCATGCGGCACCAATCAGGAAAGGAAATTGAGAAGCTGGAAGAGTCCATACATACCCATTGCGACCACCTTTGTCCAGTTACGGTCACCGTAGTGATCGTCCATTCCATCGCGACGAGAGCCAGGTCCCATCTCCTTGAAGCTCGAGGCGAGTTTGTTAATCGCCGCCCAGGTCCTTTCCGGAGCCTCTCCATCAGTTCTCCCCGCCCCTCTAGTGAAGTTAAAGGAGAAACTACTTCGACATTTAGCGACGTGGGCAGGGAGGTGGAACTTGGGAATCAAGAAGACAAAGTCGACGTTTGACACGGCGGAAGTGAGGTAATCAGGATAAACCTGGAGACGAGCCCGCAGATTCTTTGACCACTGACAGGCGATGTCGTACGACACGACCACCCACGGAGGTGTATTGAAAAGCAATGTACAAATGAAGAAATAATCCATGTTAACGTATCTAGAAAAACAGGCAAGAGGAAGAGAAACCCATTAAGCGAGGCACCCAAAGTGGAATAAAGAGCGCACCTTTCCCCTTTTTGTAAATCGCCGACGCCGAGAGGACGACTCATGTCATGACGGCTGCACTGAGCCGTACCCACGCCGCTGGCAGCAGTCCCTCTACCTCCGCGGATGCTAGCGGATTTGATAGCGTCATGATTATTGCACGTACTCTTGTCGTCCTCAATCAAGCTTCCATGCTGGGACAAGAAGGTCTTGAACTGCCTTTCGTCGACAACGTAGGCATACCTGTGATTCAATCCAGGATCGTTCTCGTCACTGGATACGTCCTTGCGCTTAAGTCGAAAGTTGGCATCGAGAGCTAGGAATAACGAGTGAACGTAGCTATTTTTGAAGTCAGCCGAAATCACCTGGAGAGAGTGCATGGCCTACCGTTTGTCAGGGGCAGTATTCTCCCAGTCCATTGGAAGGTTGATACCCGGATATGGACAGGCTGGGCACAGAACAGCGCAAGATCCAGGCCTTGATCCCCAGCTTCCACTCGTGTCGTGCCCCCGACCGGCCCGCTTGAGTTGTCGAACGTGTCGCCAGACGTGAATCATCCTAAGAAACTGGTTGTAGCGATCCTGGGTGAACGGAAATACATGTCAGTGTCATTCGTATATGTAAAGAATTAGAGACTTGCCGGCAATTTCTGTGTGCCTGTATTGTCTGTGCGACGTGCCAAGGCCCTGTAGAACTCGAAAGCCGACGTCTTGGAGGTGAAAGTCAGCATCTGAAATGTCTTGAGCACGTCAAACGTTGCCGCTGTTTTAGGTTCGCTTGTGGTGGCAGGAAAGAGACCAGATCGTAGTAGTTGGACGAAATGGGAAGGCGCCGACAAGCAGCCACAGAAGTCCAAACCCACCGAATGAATACCGTTAGAGGAAATCACGACAAAGTCATCGTTGAAAGCCCTGGCCGGCGTGGGACAAGGGGTGCTGGGAGAATGACCCAGTTGAATGCGTAAACCTAACGACTTGAGAGTCACCCTAGTAAAGAAAGAACCACTCCAGAGCTTCTCGATGTAATCAGAGCAACGTCATAATTAAGACCTCCACACTTACCTCGACGTTATGGAATGGCAGGGGAAGATGACAATGTACAATACAATTTAAGCAATGGAGGTCTCTGCCGAAACAGTCCTGACATCGATAGGCGGGGACGTTGCCGTCCAACTGGCACAGGCAACTCTCACAACGCATGGCGGCGTCGCCTCGACCCTCGAGTCGGAGCAGTTCAGTGATAATCGTGTCCACCTGATCAATGAACCCCAGGAACGGATGGTCAGACTATTGAAAGTGTTAAGTCAGTTGTCCGACTACAACGTAAATAGCATGTACTCACAGCGAAAGTACGTGTTTTCTTATGACGTCCGGAAGATGCGACGTCCACGTATTCCTCGTCCGCATCAGCCGTTGTCCGAAAGAAATCGGCGAGATCGGCGAGCTCTAGGATATCATCGAAAGTAACCGCAGAGCCCGGGGCTCTCTGCTTTCCTGGAGAGACAGGAACCGTGTAGAAAGATTGAGACTCCACCGCCCCGCCGGAGATCGTGGTCTCGTATGCCAAGTGCTCCTCCACCCGTTGACGTTGTTCTTGTCGCGGTATCCAAGTCGGGTGCTCCTCGTGATCGAAGGAGTCGACGACCCGAGATTTGCGTTTTCTCGTCATGGCAGTTAAGGGGTGATCGCAGGGAAGAGGGAGCACAACATAATCTGTTTATAACCACTTTGTTCCCCGAGGTTATGCCCAGAAGGCTACCTCCTAGAAATAGGTATATTTCCTCAGAACCAACAAAAGTCGCGCAATAAGAGGCTCACGAGGTCACCCGTCGCAGAAGGTCCAACCAAGGTTGGGCATCAGAAACCCATCGAAGGTCAGTTCAACCTCCTATCACGACAGACGTGGGTCCCAGAAGCACCGCCTATACATTTTTATTACACCCTAGCCCCGAGGATTCTCGCATAAACACAGTCTCACCTTGTTATCACATTCTGAAATCCCCGAGGTTCTCAGCAAAGTCGTAGATAGGGGCAGCCAGAACTTCAAGCACAAAGGGTCAAGGTAGTGATTTTTGATGTACGGAGCACAAACAAACAACGACAAAAATAGATCGAACAACAAAAATAAAATAAAATAAATGCAAGAGATCAAAGCGCGTCCACCATCTAAAGAGCGAACATTTTCTCGAACTCGTCCTCCCTGTCAGAGTCAGCGACCAGCGCAACATCCGGCTCTTCGTCAGACTCGACCACCACGAAATCGTCGTCATCGGCGAGGAGGTGAACGATTCCGCATCGAGCACAGGGGCCTGCGGTGCTGCAAACGCGCTTCCCACTCGATTTATGGGCTTCCTCGACACGATGTTCGACGAGTCTCTCGATGCATTGGTTGACGACTTTCTCGACCACACCCGTGGCAGCATTGGAGGTGGAGGCAGATGGGCCAGAGGTGGAGGCAGAAGGACCGGCGACAACCTCGACATCACTGGACCCGTCGTCCATGCCGGCGTCTTCCTCCTCGCTGTCGCTGATGACGTAGACGGGGACCTTGATGCCGTTGACGACGCGGGTGGGGACATCGGTGCGCTTGTACTTGGCGGTGGTGGACTTCTTCTGTCCAGTTTCCTTGTTGTCGCTGACGGCGCCGGTGGGGACCTTGGTTCGCTTGTTCTTGACGGTGGTGGCCTCCTCGTTGTCACTGATGACGTGGACGTGGACCTTGGCCAGCTTCTCCTCGGTGGCCGCCTTCTCCTTGGCCTTCCGTTCAGCGGCGTCGCGTTCCTGAGTGGCGCGGGCAGCCAACATGAGGCGGACACGGCGAGCGGCGGCGACAGGTCCCAAGGGGGGGGCGCCAGGCTGTCTCAATCGTTAGTTTTGAGGGAAGATTCTTGCGAGCAATACAGGACCTACGGTGATGCGCTGCTGCTCCATCAAATGCACCATGTGCTCGAACTGTTCGCGGAAGGGTTGCTGGATGCCTGTTATTTAACTGTAACACCCCAAATATATGTCACTTACCATGAAACGTTCCCAACGCTGTCCACCCACAGGCCACGCGAGAACGCGCTGCCAAGGGGTGCTGGGGATGAAGGGGTAGCGCTCGACAGAGCACCGGGTCAGTTCCCGGGAGATCCACTGGTGAAGGGGTACTTGTCAACGCACGTCGCAGGTGTCTCTGGTAAATGATTGGTGCTTACCCCTCGTTCGGCGGCATACCGCTCCTCCATCGTCCGCCCCTTGAAAAAGAAGCGCTCGATCCTGCTGTCAAAGTGATGGACGTAGACCCGGACGACGCAGTCGATGTACTCCTCGACTGTCCCGGCGGCAGTGGCCTGCCCGTACAGGAACGACGAGTCCTGGAAGAACTTGCGCTCGGCGTGCGGCAACGGTGGGGCAGTCATCTTGGAGCCTAAAGGTTGAGTCAATCAGTCACAGGTCTACCCCAGGTGATACAACCATCACGAGCTACTTACTATATCAGTTCGGCTAAGCGGATAGACAGCTTTGAGGGGAGCACAGGGAAACGGTTTTAAAAAAACGATGGTTGTGGAAGTGGGGGAAGAAAGCGAGAGGGTTCAAATAAAAAGCCGTCATTATTATAGCCCGCGGCATTGTTTGGTCTCGGTGTGGAGGTCGAGAAGCCCGAAGGAAGGTTGTACTTCCCCTCCTGGGGAATAAAAACAATCGACAAAATAACGTTCGAAGTACTGCAATAATATTGTTAATAAAATAATAACAATTAGCAGCAAAACTATACCTTTCGTTCCCTGTTTTCCGTTTGTCGATCCGAGCAGTTTGAAAATAAAAGTAAGACAGTGGCCAATTGGTTAGCCATCGTGATGTACTTAACCACTGTAACACTGTGACCTCCACCATGGGACGCCATAGAAAGTACCATACCCTCGAAGAGAAACAGATCGCCAACCGCCTGAAGTCCAAGCGATACTATGAGAAGTAAGTGGCATTCATTTGACCAGGCATTTGCCTGTTATAACGCTCAATCCAGCAACCAAGCTCGAGTATCTCAGCGACGGAAAGAGTTGGCCACGGAACGGTGAGACGGATACACTGATTTGTTCACCAATTTCGCAAACTTACTGCTCAGATCAAATCCACAGGAAGATGGAGAAGAGTCGAGAGAGTTCCTCACGGAAGGCAGAGGTTGTGGCTACCAAAAGGTACATACGAAGCGATCCATGAGCGACGCAGGTGCTCATCACTCTCTTCGGGCGATCAGAGACAAATTCAAGGAAGCTCAATACTGGGTGGATCGGGCGCTGGAACAAAAGGCTCAGGTTGCCGCTTTGTTAGAGGGACAGACGGTCCATGATTTTTTGGCCAACCTCACAACACAACTCACATCCACAAGTCCAGAGTCGGCACGCGATCGCGTACAGGAGTACATCAATGGCCTCAGCGCCATCCGCAAGAGAGTCGACACGAGCCACGGCTACGTTCTCAATCTTAAAGGGGTGGGGCATGAACTCTCACAGGTGTGCACGGCGTACAAGGTGGTGGATGACGTTGTGGGCGAGCTCGAAGACCTCCTAGTCATGCTGCTCGTCGACATGGACGATTTCCGTTTGCGTGTCCACGAGAAGACTTTGCATTACCTAAAATAGCAGCCATTGTGTTAACGTTCATATTTGGGTTGTTCGAACCTCTTCAATACATCCAAGCCGACTTTACGATAGGGGGCGCCGCAAGATAAAGGATGTTCAATTTTTGATGCGCAAGAGTACAATTTCTATATCAGGATACATAACATTTGAGTGTCCGCCACACACACACCAACTACACAACCAGGTCCCTACTCGAACGGAACAGTGGAGGGGAGGGAAAACTATGGCGGTAAGCGAGACGAGGGACACTAGAACAAAAAAATGGAGGGCGTTGGCATCAAGAAAATGTGGACGCGGGTGGCGCAGGGATCCTCAAACGTGGACAGCGGGGACACTTGCAGCGCCGAACTCGCCGGGGTTGTTGTAGTCCACGTCGTCGGGAAAGGCGATGTTTCCAGCCTCGTAAGCGTCGGCCCATGCTTCGAGAGCCTCCTTGCAGTTGGGGTGCTTGCTCAACCCAAACCCGGAGAAGCCGAGGACCCAGTCGCGAACGGCGTGGATTCCTTTGTACACCCCAACACGCCTGCCCTTGGTAACGCAGTACCAGGTTTCAGTGGCGGGACGCACAAGGTTGTAGACCTTGCAGTTAGCGCACACAAACCCGGTGATTTTACCGATGTCCTGGGGAGGGTTGGAAACGAAAACGCTGGTGCCTGCAGCAGCGGCGATGGGCAACCCCTGGAGGTCGGCAGGCTCAGCAGCTTCGGCGTCGGATTCAGCGTCAGCGTTGGAGTCGGCGTCGTCGGCGTCGTCGGCGGTGGTGACGGGAGATGGCGGGGATTGGTTAGCACTGCCCGAGGAGGTAGGGGTGACGTCGGGGTTGTTATTGACGATGGCCGGCCCCGTCGAGGCAGAGGGGGCTGCTAAGCGTCAAGAATCAGTCGGTATTGCGTACGATCACATGGAGACTTACCACCGTTGCCCCCGAGATTGCTCTGCACGGTATTGAGGACGGAGATGATGTGCTCGACAGATGGAGGGGTCGCATTGTTGGGGTTGGCTGCCGAGACAAATCAGTCTGCGGGATTATCTGCGAGAAACGGCGCAAACTCACTGAGGAAGGCATGCAAGAGAGCCGCGAGGGCAGCGACAGAGGGGATGGGGGACGTCTGGGACATGTTGATGGGTTTGATGAGGAAACTGGGGACTTACAGGATCGCTACCTACCCTTTTTAATAATGAAAACTGTTTGGCCTGGATGTTGATTTGCCTTTCTACCAAGCAGTGCCAAACTTGAGGCTTTTGGCTCGATTCGAGCCGGTTTTTTTAGGTGGAGGAGACCCTGTGTCATCAAAAGGTTAACATAGACCTTCGAGGTTAGTGTGCTCATACCGTTTCGGGTCTACCCGCGAGTTAATCTTGGAGCTAATCTTCGTCCTCCCCCAGATGGGTTTGATCAAACCCATAGTCGAGTACGGCAAGAGTCAGTACAAGGAATTCAAGAAGGCCCAGTCGGGCGGTCGACGCGCGTTGAGGGCTTTTTGGCCTGTCATTTATACCCGAGTGGATCTCCTATGGCCGACGCCTGAGGCTGAGGCAATTGCGCAGGCCGCCTGGAAGGCGGCGAGAAGCTCAACAGGCGTGGAAGAGGCTGAGGAGGAGGAGACCGAGGAAACGCCAGGCGAGCCGAGTGAGGAGGACAGGGAGAATCCCTCACTGACGCCGGGAGACCCCGCGTTCAATCTGCAGGCATGGCGAGGGAGGCGCAAAAACGTAAGCTTGAAAACCCTCAGACGTTGGAACGCAAAAAACTCACGATATTCCGTCCTCTAGCAAGTCTATCGTTGGTTCTACAACTACGACAAGGCGTGCCGCTCGCAATGTACGGAAATCAAGGTCGAGCTCCAAAGCACAGCTCCCGATGCCCCGACACGCGCCCTCACGAGGAAACAGCTTTACTCCAAAAAATATTACAAGACTCGAGTGAAGCCCAAAGTCGCCGCTGAACTTGCCAAGCTGAAGCGCAGACCCACCCGTGGTGAACGGATTGATATGATCCGACGGAAGACTGGGGAGGCGTATGATAACGAGACTCCCGAAACCAAGGCGGAGATTGAGAAACTGGAGAAGGACATTGCCGAGGAGCGCGAAAAGCGTAAGGAGATTCTCCAAGACGCGTTCGTCGAGCCCCCCTCGCCAAGCACCCCTGAGGCGTACCTTCGGTGAGTCAGTTTACGTCTCCGCTCTAGCCAGAGTTCTGACATACCTTCCAGACACATTGAGGCTTTGCGCGAGATCTTCCAGGGCCTTCTCTCTGCTCTGTCAAAGAAGACCGGGTGGAGTTTTACCGTCCTTGCTGGCGGTCCTGACCCCTCCAAACCCGATGGTGGTATCCGCACCATGTCGTTTCATGAGGGGCGTAATGAGGCCGGTTTAAGCTTCCTGAGAGCCCATCCCAACTTTAACGAGGCATACATGGTGCCCTTTTCGGGCTTCCTGCACATGGTTTATCGTTAGTAACCACTTGCGTGAACCAGTTCGACATGTACTCACCAACCCTTCACAGCCGAAGACGTCCGACGTTCGCGAGTGGTGACATCTGAGTCGCGTTTGTGTGGGGTGATGGAAATGATGACGGCGACGGAAGAGGATGAGGACAACGAGGACGACGATGACGACGACGCCGACAACGACAATGAGGGCTCTCCCGAGACCCCCCCGCCGAGGACCCCCGTCGCCCCCGCGCCAAACCCCGTCCTCCAGTCTGCTTGCCCGAACCCCCTGCCGCAGCTCCCCGCACCAAACCAGCCCACCTTGCCCACAACGACGGCGCCGTCCCAGCCATCCGAAGCCTCCCAATCCGGTGCTACCCAAACCGTTACACCAGCTTCTGCCGCTATTCCCGTCCCTGCTGCTCCCGTGGCTTCTGCCGCTGGTCTGAACCCTTCGACGCCTTTCAAGGGCTTGCGGGACCTCATGGTGGAGACAGAGGAGATCTTGGCTTTGCGTTCTGAAGACGAGGGTCATCTGGCCATGCGCATGCGCCCTGCCGGGGGTACAATGGCCTCGGAATTATTGCACGCCGGGGGAGCTGATTATGGTGATCTGGCTGGCTTCGAAGATGACGGTGAATTCGCGTTGACTGGGGACGAGGAACCAACTTACCCGCACAATTACATTCTGCCGAGCCCAAACACATCACTCCCCTGCGCTTCATCCGCGATTCAGAAGAGCGGTGTGCCTCCCGTAAATCCCGCTGCTTCTACGGTTGGGTTGAGTCAGGAGGCTCTTGCTACTCCTCCTCCGACTCAGACAGGGGTACCTCGCCAAGGCGGAAGGGGAAGAGGTCGAGGTCGAGGAGGTCGAGGTGGAAGAGGCGGTCCTCGATGCGGGGAAAGAGTCTCTGGGGTCAGGGCCTCGGGGCAGGCCGCTTCGATCGATACTGGCGGTGCTGTGGTGGGATCGAAGAGGACGTCTGGGGAACCGTCCGGGGGAGAGGGCCGTAGCAAACGATCGCGGAAAGGTCAAAAGGAGTTGGACCCGTGGATGGTGCAGATCTTGCGGGTCCTGAGGAATGTGGTTAGCGATCCGCGATGGCAGGGTTGTTTGGATGCTTTGGAAGAGTTTGAGAAGAGCACTACGATTGATCATGGGAGGCTTCCGGCGGGTTCCAAACGACCACCTGAGCTGGCTCGGTGGGTCACCCAGGGAAAAAAGAACGCTACAACGCCCCAGATCGACGATTTGGCCGACTTTGCTCAGCGGTGGAAGGAGTGGTGGAAATCAATCCAGCCTGAGTGGCGAAGGAATGAAGAAGGGGACTTACCGTTGCCTATCGCTGATGCTCCATCTCGGCGTTCACTTGCACAGATTCAGAAGCCAGGTCCCGCCGGTATTGCCATAGCCTTGGCCAGTTTGTCGTGGTGGGCGGGTATCGAGAACCAGGAGGAGTGGTTTGAGGCTGTGAATGACATGCGCACGTGTCTCCTGGCGTTTGTTCAAGGTGGCTAGCCGAGTGGCCTGCCGAGGCTTTGATGGCCATTTCACACGTCGCTGATCCGATGGTTTCTTGGACTTTGCGAGACTTGCGCTCGCCCTCTCGTTGCGTTCATTCGTCTTGACTCTTGGGTTCCCCCCCCCCCACCTGGACTTTGTAGTTTGCCGCTAGTCAATGATTTGTGTTTGCATTTTGTACACCACTTTTGAACAAACAAAAAATTTCTTGGAATGCGGTCCGTGCGTGGAATTGTGACAGTGAAAGTAAGGTGTCTGCCTTGTCAAGCGGTTACCTACAGGTTTCCTTTTCCCAGTGCGGCCGATTCCATGGTTTGGCCGGAACGTACTCGCGAGACCCGATTCACATTCTCTGTGTACTCACGCTTACGCTCTAATTCGATTGGTCGGAATATTGTGTATGCTTGACATGGATATGTTCTGTCTCATTGATATGTTTTTTCCTTCTTCTTTTTTTTCTATATGTTTTCCAAATGTTTTCCTATGTTTTCTCCTATCTTTTGCCCTTCTCGTGCATTTCTGGGGAGTACTGAAGGTGTCTAACTAGGAGACTCCTGTCAGCGGACGAGGTCCCAAACGCGGAGCAGCACGGCCCGATCGGCGGGGTGAATTTGGTCAAGATTTCACTGTTTCTAGGTGTCTGTTTACTGCTCTTTGCCAATGAGCGCCCTGGGTACTGCAATTAAGGATCCCTGGAAGCGCATAAACAAACGCCCGGCGGCAGTTGCCCTCATCTCTGCGCACGGGCCATGAGAATCGTGGCGTCGCCGGCGGGAAACCCAGATTACCATGCGACATGCCAAGCCGCGCCTGCGGTCCCGGAGGCGACCCAGAATATCAAATTACCATGCGACATGCCAAGCCATGCCTGCGGTCCCGGAGGCGATCATGATTAGAGATGCCAAGAGGCCTGCTCACAAAAGGGGATGCTAGAGCGCGTGGGCGGGGCGCGCTCGACCGCCTGCCCGCCCATTTCGTGGGCATCAGGAAGCCTGTCCCCTGCCCGCCCAAACCTCGATTACTAAGTGATGTGGGCTGTCATACCTGTCAACTCGTTGACGCAAGAAGTGGGAAAGAACTTCCCTGAAAGGCACCTGTGTATGATCCAATTCATTATTATAACGTTTCCCTGTTGTTGTATCCATACGTTATTATAATCTACCTCTGTGTATGATCTGTACTTTATAATAATAGAGACAGCATCCACTGAGTGCGCGGTGATGGCAACGGATAGGCTTACCCAAAATGTTCTTTAATAGTTTGCCAACCCAATCGACCAAGGCATCTTTGGTGAAGACGGTCAACAGGGGCGGGTTTGGCACAACCATAGATACACGGTCGTCGAGAATGGTCCTGCATCCAGCCTTGGTAGGGGAAGCGTCGAAAGCAGGAACGGGGTTGGCGGTCGATTTTAAGGGCTGAGGGGTCGAAGGGGTACCGGCGATACCGCTGATGTGCCGACCAGCCACAATGTTACATAGACATATATATATGGTAGTTATGCCACCCAACCGGTCAAAACATATAGTCCACTTATGCTCACCCAACCAGCTGACCAAAGAATGTAACATATTCACCCTAGGTCAGCCCACCTGCCTGAGCAAGCTAACCCACATCAGTCAGCCGACCGGATACCAAACCGGTGATCGAGACAGACCACCCCCTTCCCGTGTCCACCTCACGTCAGCCGACCTATCGCCTCTATCGAATATTCATGTTTTCACCATTGGTCGGCTGAGAGCATCATCTCTGCCCTCTCGTCTTCGGCCGACCCAGCCACCTTACGCCTCCCCCCCCCTGGCAGTCTACCCCTGGTGTTGCTTTCATCTACCCGTAGTTGGCGAAAACCAAACCGGTGATTGGGAAACACCGCCCATTGCCTCTATCCGCCAGGGTAAGCTGACGTTGTCTACTCTTTGCAATCCCCTTACTTTCACCATAGGTCGGCTGAGAACATGATCTCCCCTCTCGGCCTCGGCTGACCCAACCTGTCTATGGCACTGTATGCCGCCTCCCCCCACTCCCCCGCCCACGCACAGCCCAATCTATCCCAGCCGACATAACTCCTCTGTTGACTGTTCGCACCTCTCTCAGGTTCGGCCGACCAAACCACCATATGCTGCTCTCTCTGCTATTCTACCCCCCCACAATCTTCTACGGCAACCTTGACTTCGTCAGCTGAGAAAATGCGACAAACCCCACTCACCCTTTGGCAGTAAAGGTGAGCCGACCTTCTCTAAACGCATTGCCCTCGGTCAGCCGACCCAACCAGTCCATGGCAGTCCCGGCGTTACCCCGACTAGGGTGGCCTGGCTTCTATTCCTGTCCCCCGACCTAATGCGACAAGAGCCGCGCGCCATTGGCAATAAAGGTCAGTTCACCGTCCGACTTCTCTCAATCGCTGTCGGCCGACCTAATGAAGGTATGCCTCACTATGCATTACTCGCGAATGGGGATTCGTGGTTGTGAGCCGATTCCTATCCATTCTATTACTCCCAGTCAACCGACTAACCATTCCTCCCCTGGTTGTTCCTGTCGTCGTAGAACAAGAACGACGTGGTGCCCATCCACCGGCGGATTTCATCTACACAGCCACCTCGCCTATTTGCTCCCGAGCTTCTGCCTCCTTTATCTGGCGTGCCTTCGCCATCCTTCTCTTTCCCCACAGACATACACTTCTCCCAGTCTGTTCTGCTTGTCTCTGAAAAATGTCGTCCAAAGTAACCGAGAACGCCCAAAATCCCACGAGTGCCCACGACAACCCGGCGTCGACAACCCCTCTCAATTCCAAGGTCAATTCATCTCGATGGCGATATGTGGAATTACCAGACACGCCGCCAGAGAAACCATCGCTTGCGCGGACGAAAATTAGGAAAAGGAAGGGTCCCAAAGCGTCAATGAAGCAAAACAGTGAGGCCCGCCGAATAAGATATTGTCTGCGCTTACTGACTGGGTGGTTTTATAGCTGTTGATGATCCAGAGTCAGGCTCTTCAACGGAGTACATTCCAGTCCCTAGGAAGCGCAGGCGACAACTGTCTTGTGAGTCCTACAGTCTTTCAACTCAATGATCGTGGTTTGAACGTCTAATTCCAACCAATTCAGCTACACCACCCACTGACGATGGCCATGGTCCATAAATTCATCTTGTATCCGTACAGACATAATACAATAGGTGGGCGCTTACTCGTCGGCTACTCCGCCTTGAAAAGATCTGACAAACCGTGGAAAATGCGGCTTTACTATTGAGGGTGAACATCACCGGCGGTCGGCGGCCGCACCAAGCGCCGGTGCTATCGAATTTCAGTGTGACGAGCAGGTTAAAGTACGGCTTTACAATCGGGTGAAAGTCCACCGGCGGTGGGTGCGACCGCCGGTGCCTATGAATTTCAATGACTCGACCGGCGCTACACGTTTTAGCCGGTACCGGGAATCTACTTCGACCAGAGTACCATAGCCGCCGGGAGCACCACAAATCGACGAATATAAAGCCCACCAATCTGATTGTGTTGTCCTTTTCAAAAGCCATCACGCCGTGCCCCTGCGCTTGTCCATCCCTTCACAATGGACTTACCAGTGTTCGAATCGGAAATCAACTACGATGAAATCGATCTCGCAATCGTCGACCATGAGGACGCACGGTGGACGGCTTTCTCAATCGCCGGTTTGGTTTTCGCTGACCAGTGGCAGTGGAAAATTGGGGTGGGGGGCATTGCTTGGTTGGGTCGGCTGAAGTCGAGAAAGAGAGACGATGGTCTCAGCCGACCCATGGCGGAAATGGCCACGGTGAATGGGTTAGATAGGTCGGCTCAATCGGGGTGGACGCACCGTGCACGGCTTTCTCAATCGCCGGTTTGGTTTTCGCTGACCAGTGGCAGTGGAAAATTGGGGTGGGGGGCATTGCTTGGTTGGGTCGGCTGAAGTCGAGAAGGAGAGACGATGGTCTCAGCCGACCCATGGTGGAAATGGCCACGGTGAATGGGTTAGATAGGTCGGCTCAATCGGGGTGGACGCACCGTGCACGGCTTTCTGGTTTGGTTTTCGATGACCAGTGGCAGTGGAAAATTGGGGTGGGGGGCATTGCTTGGTTGGGTCGGCTGAAGTCGAGAAGGAGAGACGATGGTCTCAGCCGACCCATGGTGGAAATGGCCACGGTGAATGGGTTAGATAGGTCGGCTCAATCGGGGTGGACGCACCGTGCACGGCTTTCTGGTTTGGTTTTCGATGACCAGTGGCAGTGGAAAATTGGGGTGGGGGGCATTGCTTGGTTGGGTCGGCTGAAGTCGAGAAGGAGAGACGATGGTCTCAGCCGACCCATGGTGGAAATGGCCACAGTGAAAGGGTTAGATAGGTCGGCTTAATAGGGGTGGACACGAGTGGAGGTTGTGCCGTCTCATTCACCGGTTTGGTATATGTTCAGCTGACTCATGCGGATTATCCTCCTCAGGCAGGTGGGCTGACTTAGGATGTGTATGGTTAAATCCATCGGTCAGCTGGTTGGCTGGGCATATCTGAACTATATGTTTGGACAGGTTGGGTGGCATAACCACTATATGATAAGTCTACTGAGTGCCCTGGACCAGCACAGAAAGTGCAAAGAAGGACGGCTAAACACCACCGACGGTTCCAAGACGAGTGAGGACTTGTTGTGAGACAAGTCTAACGAAGTCGAAGACCGACGGCAACGAAACTATCCTGAAGTATTGGTCTCCCTGTACGTGGCACGCAAGTTCGACGGGGTTGCCGGCTAGTGGCTTGGTTTTCTTAGATTTGAGACCCTAAGTAGTCTAAGTAGTTGGTTTTAGTGTATAAACACTGGGTTTTGGTGTTGGGTTTGATTCAAGTATGAAGACGAAGGCAGGCTATAACCCTATAGATTATGCACCACCACTTGCGCTCCGGCGTATGGTCGACGCTCTAGGCACGCAGAAAACACGATCTTTTGATACACAAAGACACACGAGACACTTAGGCGAACACAGGGCCAACGTTTGTTCACGGTGGTACACACACTAAGTCTCCACGGGGACTTTAACTCTGCACGTTCGACTTCAACTAAACTTTCGCTCTAGAGAACCACTGGTATTTGCACGGACACACGCGCCGGCACACTCAAGGTATAATCCGAGTCCAAGGGGTATCTATTGTTTCTTGTGCCCGGCGGGCACTTATATACTGTACAAAATGTTTGGCAACGAGAGGTAAGACAAAGACTATAAAAGACTAGCAAATAGACGTGTATGGAAGCTAGCTAGGACGAAAGACTGAGCGGAGAAATATGGTACAAATCGAGTAGGAACAGAGACAAGAAAGGAAACCGGCGGTTAGCGCCGGGTGGTTGCACATGGGCGTCTAGATGTCGCGCTGTTGAGAACGCGGGTATAAGGCGTACTTATCCCTGATCGGGACCGGTTGCCATCAGTGGTGGGAATCAATCCGCTTCCGTCGGTCGTTTTGCATCCGCGGGAACAAAAGGATATCCCTTTTTGGGTGTCAGCGCCGTATGGCTACTGACCTGCTGACTTCGTTTCTCTGCGCCGACGGATGTCGAGGAGTTCCTTTCTAAGGCGGCCGAGGTCATAGGATCAACTCTGCATATGGTTTGCCTGTGCAGTAGGTCTGCCCGGCGGTGCCGTGGCAAGCCGTGTGAAGGTCTCGCTCCGTGACTTTATCTTATCTTTCTCATCTCCATCACTCTTCTCCGATTTCGGTCCTTCAGCTTCAGCGCTCGGACTTTGCGGCCGAACTTAACCGACGGCGCTTGCACGCCCGTCGTCTGACGTCCGAACTTAGTGATTAAGCGCGCCGTGTTATGACGTAGCCCCGCCGTCCCGGTTCCTACTAAGTATGAGTAGATTAGAGTAGATCTTGGCACCCCCGTTTGGTAGTAGCCCTCTCCTTCAATAGAACCTCAGTGCCAGGCTCATATTGTAGTGGTTCGTACTTTAGAGTTATGTTCGAGTATGTACGGTCACCCGCCGGTTCACGGTATGCCCGATACACAGACTCTACTTAGTGTTTCTAGTGCGACACCTTGAGATTCGACTTAGTTGACGACTTCGGGTAAGGTCTCAACTCGTTGACAGAACAGAACAATCCGCCGGTTATGAAGAACACGGTGCCTGGTTGTGACTTGTCGGATGCTCGTCGAGATGATACGCCAGGTGACTCAGAGAATCTTATCTCCCTTGTATTTGCGATTTTTGAAGGGTCTAACGGCCTTCGGGCGTAACATCTCCCCCCAACTTGGAATGAGGACTGTCCCCAGTCATTGTTCCCTAATGAGGAAACCTCCATCGTTACAAGATCTCTAACTCTGCTTGAAATCTGCTCAAAACTTTTCGTTGCCTCGATCGTGGCCTCGTTTCATTTCCGTCGCGTACCAAGTTCCTGGTACTCAGACTCATTTGTTGTGGCGCCGTTAGGTCGAGTTCTGTCTTGCCTGCAGGCAAAACTGTGGTCGCCGCCGTTACGGCATCGATCACAACCCAAAATTTTTAGACGCTCGCTGAACTTCCTCCTCGTATTTCGTCTGTGGTCTTTGGGATTTCCTTTGTCCCTTGGGTGTATCGAATAGAGGTACCTCACAGCTTTCGAACGATATCCATATGTCTAGGGTTCCGCCGGAAAACCGTTAGATACGACCTCGACCATTAACACCGCTCAGAACCGCCGCGCTCAAGTGCCCGAAGTTTAATGTTGACAGTCTATTTGCCAAAGATTTTTCTCTAAGGATTGTACGGTCAACGATTTAGGCCCATAAAAGACTGGACGGCGGTCTCTGGAAGACCCATCTTTCTTTCTTTCCTCCCACTTTCATCCTCTCTCTCTCACTATGTCTGCGCCTCAAGAGTTTGCTCTCCCCATCGACGAGTTTGATCCCAGGACGTTTGAGCCGATCACGGGTGATACCCGCCATCAAACCTCAGATGTCCGGCAGGTCTTCAACCTCTTCGTCGCTCGTCCGTATTTACGTCTGGCCTGGAATGCCATGGCTTCGACCCTCGACGCCGGTATCCAGTTCGACGCTCCCCGTCACTTTCTCCGTTACCACCCAGTTTGGGACTGGATTTCTCTTGAAACTTTTAACGACTTGGTAAGTCTCTCATTACGGAGGGATCGCGGCGTGATCGCGGTTATCTTATCTTCTTCCTTTTTAGGTCGCCCTTCAGGATTTCGATGGTGCGCATTCGCTCGCCATCCTTCGTATTTTCACTCAGTTTCTTCTTGTCTCGTATTATGCTCGGGGCAACAACACTAGCGGTACCCCCGAGCATCGCCATTATCCCGTCTCCCCTCACTACGGCTTCCAAGCATCCCGTACGGCGTGGGCCGAACCCCTTCCCGACGAGTTCAACATTCGCCGGGCCATGCGCGCCGTGTTTACTCGCGAACAGGCGACTGCCTTAGGGCTTCAAGTTCCACAGGACCGTCCTCAGGTAAGTTACGCGTGCCCTGTCGTTGATGACGAGTTTCTCGCTAACCTTCCCTGTCTTTTATTCTTAGGATTTGCCCGGGCCTACGTTCGTACCCCGCCGTGTCCGCAACGGCACGAACTATAGCTGGAACCGCACCACTACTAACCCTATCATCCTTCGTTACGATGAGTTACTGGCATCGCCCTTGTTCCAGGTGAGTGGATCGAGGTATCTACCTTATTTTTCGACTTCTCTAACCTTCTTTTCATTTTGTTTTTAGGAGGCTCGTTCCTGGTTGGGGCAGGGCCAGCTTTTCAATGCTTCCCACACCATCTACCAGTTGAATCTCGAACTTGGTAGACCTACCGAACGCCCCCATCTCCCTCTCGTCGTCGCCTCAGTTATTGACGTAGGCGATGGCGTCTCGGTCATCGACTACGCGACTAACGGCGCATTGTCTGAGACCCAGCCATTCCCCACCACAGTCTTCTCTCCTGCCCGCCCCGTCATTCGTTCTATCAGCGCCCATCGCCGTGACGCTTCCAAGGCATCCGAAAAGGCTGTCGAGCCTCTTTCTGGCACCCAGGTTACGCCTAGGACGGATACTTCTCAGGCCGATACGGGTCCCAAACAGGGTAAGACTCGTTCTCTTCATCTTTTTCTTTCTGTTACTAACTCAATTCTATTTTCTGTCACTCAGGTGCGTCGTCTTCAGGCGCCCATTCTTCAGGTGCCTCGCCCAAGACTCCCAAGTCTACGATTACGAAGTCGACAAAGGCGCTTATCCTACAACATCCTTCCGAGTCCGTTGGGATCCTGGAGGAACCAGCAAGGGTCGCCTTCTGCCGGCGTACTGCCTTCAACTCCCCTTTTCGAACGGCGACTCGACCCTCTCACCGCAGCGGCGGGCCTTCTCCACGCCAATCTTCCTCTAGAGCCTGCCGAAGGTTCTGTCGTCCCTGCTCCCAACTTCGATCCCACCAAGGTCGCCGCCGAGTTTCCTCGCACCGCCGACCTCAAAACTCACGTTCCAGGCGTTCCCCGTGGCCTTCGTCAAGAAGATGGCGAGTACCGCCCTCCCCCTTCTTCGTCTTTCCAAGCTTTCCCCACGACTGAGGACTTCGCGCGTCAGACAGAGGAGATCGCTCGTGCGCGAGCTGAAACTCCTCTCGAAGACCGCATCGACCTTACAACACAGGCGCCGTACGAATGGCTGCCTGTAAATCTTTCATTGCTTCAGCTTGTTCTTTTCCCCACTTAAATGGCACTTCTTTGCGAGTTAACTCCTGGATTGGTTCTGCCCGGCGGGCATAATCCTTTATGAACATGCGCAAAGTCCCTAGTACACCTAGGAAGGATCTTACGTCGGAGACATCTTTACATGCTCCCCACCTGAGAATCGCATCGGCTCTCTCTGGGTTGACTTTTCTTCCTTTTATAAGTGCAAAGGTGCCCCACTACTGTGAACTCATCTGCTAAAATGATTGATTTCTTGCCTGAGAACGTTCCGCCGCAATATTTCATCCTTTGTATGACTCTGTTCACGTCGTTCAGATACTTCCATACGAACCGGCGGATACCAGGATTTTCGGGAATAGTTTCGAAACCTCCCTTTCCATCCTCATATCTGGTCGCAGGTCCCCTCACAGGAACATCGTCGATGTAAGGCTTTGTCACTTCCGGAATCTCTTCTTGCAAAATATAGGTGACGTCGTCGTGGAATATAGGTACGGAATTTGTCCATCCCATAGGTAAAGTTACCAGACGCATCGCACCATACGGCGTTTGAAACGTCGTCAAGTCTCGATATCTCTCGTCTAGTCTTCTTTCATCGTAGCCCACGAATAAGTCCATGCATCCGCCGCATGCCCTGCCAGCAAAGTGGTTCGCAAGTTCCTCCGTTGCCGGCGGTACGCCTGAGTGAGCTATGGTCACGGCGTTGAGCGGTTCCAAACTATGAACGATTCGTAAACTTTCTCCATCTTTCTTAAGTACACAGAACCATCGAGAGCTATAACTCGAATTCGAAGGTTCGTATACACCTGACTCTATTTTCTCTTTAATGATTTTACATACTTTGTCCATAAGGCCAGGCGGGATCGGTCGGTTCCTAAGTACCCACGGCGTGTGTGGTACCGTTGGTATAGGCACATCAGGGAAAAACTCTTGTAAGAATCTTCCCTTTTCAGCATCTTCCCAAGCAAAAGCTAGGTTGTGTGTGGCGATAAGCCAATGTAGCAACTTTCGCTCTTCCGGCCAAATGAAGTCTCCACTATGTAACTTATCCATCGCTTCATACCTTTCCTGGGTGTACCGTCCTTGAGGTGTAAACTCCGGCGGTCTCGTCGGTAGCTTTGGTAAGTCCTTCAGGGGATCACCAATAATCCGCCTGATGATTCTGAACTCCTCGGCTAAAGTTCCCAAGATTGGTCTCACTTTATCTGCTACTTTCTTATACTTCTTTCCTGTAGAGACCCCTTTTATCTTTGGTTTAGCGTTAGGGTTTCCCGCCGTAGGCTCTGTGTCTCTCTCAGAGGAAGTTGACGATGTTTTCGTTGCTTCTTGAGAGTACTGTTCCTTAAGTTGTTGATAGACCTGTTCATAGTGTTCTACCACCTCGAAAACAGTTGCACGTCTCCTAGTCCAAATTTCCACTAGCATATCCAGGATGTAAAACTTTTCGACTTCTATCTCTCCGGCGGGTGTCTTATTAAAGACTACTGCGATCTCTCCTACGTCTCTTGACGATTCATTGAGTTCTGAAAAGAACGCCGTTGAGCTTCCATCTCTGCTTTTATATTAAGAGGTGGTTTTCCTCTTGCATAGGTGGGCAATGTAACCTGACTTCCGGTTTGAGGGTCCGTTAGAGTGATCGTCTGAGAACCGTCACGTTCGTTTTGTGACTTGGGTCTCAGCAATCATCTCAAATGGCCTTCCAAGTAGTACTTTATAGGCTACGCCTGACAAAATGTGCACCTGCAAGTACACTCTTACATCTCCAAAAATGAAGGGTACATCTCTTGCTAACCCTAACGATCTCTGCATTGATTTATTTGCGGAAGTCATCCACACTGTTACCGCCGGGTCCCAATCGAGGGCTAACTCTCTTGCAGTTTTCTCTTCCATCGAACAGATGGTTGATCCGCCGTCAAGAAGAGACTCTTCTTTGAGTACGCCGTTGATACTAGGATAAATGACTCTTAGTGAAGACGATTCTTCCGCCCTGACAATTACTGGTTTAGCTTCGTCACCTAACTCAATCAAGTATTGCTCGACCGGGTCAGAAATGGTAATGCTACCCTTAGGCTTACTTCCGTCTCCATTCTCCACAACTTTTACTGCCGGAGCCAGAGTAGATGCTTCCATATACTCATTCTCTTCGGCGTCTAACTCTTCTTCCATTCTATCTACACATTGTAATCCAATATGAGCTCGTTTTGACTCTACTGGATCAGCAACAAAGCGATTGAAGAGGTCCATTTCCTTCGGAATAGGCGTGTCTCGAGCCGGTACTCGTTTTCGAGTTAGCATACGGCGGAGATATTCTCGCGCCTCTGTCGAAACTGCGACTAAGTCCTTTACTGAAACTGGAATGGCGATTGCCCACAACTCTTCAATGATAGCTTTAGCGGCGCCGTCTCGTTCGACCGGTGCTCGCTTATTAAAAGCAGGACCCCGCCGGTCAATTTCTGGCAAGGGTTCCTCCCTAACTTCAACTTCTTTACTTACTGCTTTTTCTTTTCCTCGTTTCTCAATAGGCTTGAATCGGCCTAGTGGTCTCGAAGACAAAGGTGGAACATCCACATAAGGTAGGGTACCCGACGGCGTGACTTTGGCAGTACCCATGTGAGGGTCTGACCAACGCACTTGTTTCTTAGGTGGACCTTCTCGAGTCACCCTTTGAGACGACCGTGGCTCCTCTTCTTCTTGGAGTTCGTCGATCTCCTCTTCACTTTCACTATCACTTTCTTCAACGACTCTTGTTTTTGGTTTTTCTATTTTCTTAAACGTCCCGGCGATCTTCCCTGACTTCTCAGACGCAGCCTTGCTGCTTGCTACCGGCTTAGACGAAGCAGCTGCTGCTGCCTTCCTCGTCGTCACGGAAAACCCTGCTGGTTCTGGAACGCTAAGAATTGTTGGAACTGTTCCCACTGTCTGGCATCGACGCCGGCTGGAGGACTTGTTACAGGTGGCTCTTCAGGTGCTGGCTCGGGTAGACGATTTGGTTGAACCACTCCTTGTACCAACATTTCCTTGATCTGAGTTATTTCATGAGCAAGGCGGCTGTTAGTTGGCCTCCCATATTCGTCCTGCCAATGCAATTCCGGCGGCACAGGCCCTTCCTGCACATACTGAACTTCTTGTACTGCTTGTAACACATTTTTGTGCCCAGACTTCTCCAGCGAGCGTTCTATCTTTTTGAGAGTGCCTTCCCCTTGCCCATCGGCAATAGGAATGACTAATTCGTTGTTAGGGATTACTCGATAGTTCCCTCCTTCGATAGCAATAATTTGACGCCGCATTAGATCATCTCGCGTTTCGCACCTTCTAACACTATGACCTGGTTGCTTGCAGAACCAACACTCTAAGTTATTTACTGACCCCCAGGTACCAGTACTATAACCATACTGTCCCGGCGCACGCGCGAAACTAGGGGTTGCGCTAAATCCACCAGGAGGTCCCGAGTTCGTGGCAAACCTCCTTGCAGGAGGCTTATAAGTATTATCGCCGTCACTGCCGGTTACTGCGGCTCGCGCACTCATCTGCTTAAACTGGTTAAACTGGTCCTGGATTTTTCGATCGAGCTTCTGTTCGATCCTTTGCTCCATTTCCATCATCATCGCAGATTGTCCTTTCTTAATCTCCCCTACTTCCGACTTAATATCTTTCGCGAAACTATCCATCTTTCCTAGGATGGCCCCCAACATATTGTCATCTGCCTCAGACTTCACTTTCGCAGGCTTGGAATCCCCCATTCCACTGCCTAGTGGTGTCCACGGTAAGATACCAGGTGGCAGTGATTGCCCTTTTTGGGAAGCGCTGTGGGTTTGCATTCCCGCCGGTTGTTGGGGTACCACTACTCCTAGTGCCTTAAGGGCGGCGGCTAAATCATTAGCAAAGCCTGAAGGCACATTCTTTCCTTTATTCGCGGACGGTACAAATGGCGGGTCACCGCCTGACACCATCACATTCTCGGGTTGTTCTCTTGAGACTAGTTGTGCGACATAGATTACCCGATTAAGATTATACTTGTAAAGAACAGGCACAACCTTCGTGAGGGTGATGGGGTCGTACATCTCGTCCCCTCCCCCTAACCAATCCGCCTCGTCTTCCTCCTGGGGGTTATCTCCTTCACCCCCGGCGGCGCCTGCAGAAGTTCCAGCGGCCGGCGCCTTTCCCTTATCTCTTTTCTTCATTCTCTCCAACTGCTTACTTTGTTCGTACATAGCCGTCAATTTAATCTGGATGGCATTTCTGAAGGAAGTATCCAGACAGTTGAGGAATTCCCCAACTAGTTGCTGCTCCGTAAGAATCGTAGTATCGTTTCTTGCTTCCCAGTCTCTAATTTTTGACACTTCCTCTTGTACGCCTTTGATCAAATTCATCAGCTTTTGATGCTCTCTAGGAAGTATTCCCCTGTACATCGACATTATCCTCTGTAAGTTCTCGACACTTCCTTCTGTTAGAGAACGAATCTCCGGATAAAAAGACATGATAACCGTCTTAAATTGTTCGTAGGTGCCCGATTTATACGCCGGCAACCTTTTCCACTGCTCTTTAAGGCGGGTCGGATGCACGTACTCTGTCACTAGTCGCTTCTTGTACCTATCCTCCGTTACTCCTAGCTGTTCGAACATCGATTCCAGCCGGTCAAAATATGACCATACACTCTCAGGCAAATCATCTTGTAACACTAAATTAGTGTTCTTCCAAAATGGAGGGACTTTCTTCGATGTGAAGAAATTTGCGAGATCCTCCGTAGGGATCTCTGGGTTTAAGTCTCTAGTTGCGCCTGCAGCCGTCATGATCGTTTTCTCGACTTGAGTTATTACTCCTCCTTCTTCTTGGTTTTGACTAAGAAAATTCTCGACGGATGGTCTTCTACTCGGTTGTTTCCTCGACACACTACTCGTAGTACTGTGTTCTGTTTGTACGCCGTCCGATCTGTCGTCGGGATATGGATCGAATTCCTTTCTCCGGCCTTCGACGGGTAAAGTTAAATCTCGTAGACTAAATTCGGTTCGCGGACTCTCAGAAAGCCTAAATGCAGGTTTATACGGCGGATTAACGATTGGCTCGTCTCCTCGTGGTATTAATTCGTCTGCAGTAAGCTCACTGTAGTCGCCAGGTAATATTTGAAGTTGGTCCTGGTCTGTCCTTCCTTCGTATGGCGACTTTAACTCTCCAGAGGGGCCGTTATCTTCTTCTAGCGAAGAAACTGCGTCCTTTAAGCTCCTTAACCGCCGTGAGTCTACGGTACTAGATGTGTGAAATCCGCCGGGGACAAACCCTAGACTGATTCCGAAAGGATGTTCTTGTAGAAAAGACTGATCGTCTTCGTCTACCTCGATTTCTCCTCCTTCGAGGAGATGTGCTGCGACTGCTTCGTCGTCCTCTTCAGGTGTGGTAACTTGCTTCGTTAAATGTGCTTCTCGAAGACGGCGTCTAAGGGCACGTGAGGAATCAAGTTGCTCTACTACTAAAGGGGCTTGATTGGAACGAGTCTGTCGCTTTTGAACGCCGGCTGACTCTGTAGAATCTTTTTCCGGCGGAGATGTCTTTGCTTTTCCTTTGCCTCGATTAGACTTGGGAATTGCTTCGACTTTTTAAACGGCGGACGTTCGATAGAACTTACGACTTGCTGGTTCTTGCTCCAACAAATCAAAGTTCTTAATCTACTCGTCCTAAATGAACGGCTACTTTTGATTTTCTATAAGTCTCGTGTCGGCGGAAACTTAAACCACTAAACTCTTAGTTGAAGCAACCCCTCGCGGTGGGCTCCAAATGATGTGCCGACCAGCACAGAAAGTGCAAAGAAGGACGGCTAAACACCACCGACGGTTCCAAGACGAGTGAGGACTTGTTGTGAGACAAGTCTAACGAAGTCGAAGACCGACGGCAACGAAACTATCCTGAAGTATTGGTCTCCCTGTACGTGGCACGCAAGTTCGACGGGGTTGCCGGCTAGTGGCTTGGTTTTCTTAGATTTGAGACCCTAAGTAGTCTAAGTAGTTGGTTTTAGTGTATAAACACTGGGTTTTGGTGTTGGGTTTGATTCAAGTATGAAGACGAAGGCAGGCTATAACCCTATAGATTATGCACCACCACTTGCGCTCCGGCGTATGGTCGACGCTCTAGGCACGCAGAAAACACGATCTTTTGATACACAAAGACACACGAGACACTTAGGCGAACACAGGGCCAACGTTTGTTCACGGTGGTACACACACTAAGTCTCCACGGGGACTTTAACTCTGCACGTTCGACTTCAACTAAACTTTCGCTCTAGAGAACCACTGGTATTTGCACGGACACACGCGCCGGCACACTCAAGGTATAATCCGAGTCCAAGGGGTATCTATTGTTTCTTGTGCCCGGCGGGCACTTATATACTGTACAAAATGTTTGGCAACGAGAGGTAAGACAAAGACTATAAAAGACTAGCAAATAGACGTGTATGGAAGCTAGCTAGGACGAAAGACTGAGCGGAGAAATATGGTACAAATCGAGTAGGAACAGAGACAAGAAAGGAAACCGGCGGTTAGCGCCGGGTGGTTGCACATGGGCGTCTAGATGTCGCGCTGTTGAGAACGCGGGTATAAGGCGTACTTATCCCTGATCGGGACCGGTTGCCATCAGTGGTGGGAATCAATCCGCTTCCGTCGGTCGTTTTGCATCCGCGGGAACAAAAGGATATCCCTTTTTGGGTGTCAGCGCCGTATGGCTACTGACCTGCTGACTTCGTTTCTCTGCGCCGACGGATGTCGAGGAGTTCCTTCTAAGGCGGCCGAGGTCATAGGATCAACTCTGCATATGGTTTGCCTGTGCAGTAGGTCTGCCCGGCGGTGCCGTGGCAAGCCGTGTGAAGGTCTCGCTCCGTGACTTTATCTTATCTTTCTCATCTCCATCACTCTTCTCCGATTTCGGTCCTTCAGCTTCAGCGCTCGGACTTTGCGGCCGAACTTAACCGACGGCGCTTGCACGCCCGTCGTCTGACGTCCGAACTTAGTGATTAAGCGCGCCGTGTTATGACGTAGCCCCGCCGTCCCGGTTCCTACTAAGTATGAGTAGATTAGAGTAGATCTTGGCACCCCCGTTTGGTAGTAGCCCTCTCCTTCAATAGAACCTCAGTGCCAGGCTCATATTGTAGTGGTTCGTACTTTAGAGTTATGTTCGAGTATGTACGGTCACCCGCCGGTTCACGGTATGCCCGATACACAGACTCTACTTAGTGTTTCTAGTGCGACACCTTGAGATTCGACTTAGTTGACGACTTCGGGTAAGGTCTCAACTCGTTGACAGAACAGAACAATCCGCCGGTTATGAAGAACACGGTGCCTGGTTGTGACTTGTCGGATGCTCGTCGAGATGATACGCCAGGTGACTCAGAGAATCTTATCTCCCTTGTATTTGCGATTTTTGAAGGGTCTAACGGCCTTCGGGCGTAACACCGCTCGAGTCGCGGTAGCCCTGGAGCGGTGGCTGTTTCGCAGGAGATAGGTGTTTGACGGGTGAAGACGCCTTGGATACCTTCGTGTTGCCGAGTGCGGGGTCCGCTGTCTTCATCTGCTTCAATAAATCCTGGGAATTGTTCTGGGAAACCTTCTGAAGCGCGTCGACGGACGGGTGAGTCGAGCTTGAAGATATTCAGTATAACGGCGTTGGGAAGATGAACGTTGGACCTTACCACGACCATGTACGGGCTAACCCAAGGATATCATCAGACGACAGACCTGTCAATTTTTCGAGGAACTGGGGGAGGAGGTGAATATATATGCAGAACCCAAGTAGACGCACTCACCCCCTGTAAACCACTGGATGTGTCGAGGTGTATGAAGTTCTGGTCTTGATGGATCCCTGCACCGACGCACAAGACGATGGCGGCAGCGTTGGCCCTCTCCGCAGTTCTGATCAGGTTCGAGGACGAGTGTTTGAAGCTTTCAAGTAGATTGCGCCGAGCCACGGCGGTCATCTGGGCCGTGTTTGCCGTCGAAAGAGTGTCGCGTAGGGCTTCGAGTTTTTTGTCGAGATCGCCATTGTCCTTCGCCGTGGAATAAGCGTCCGCAGCTAAGTGGAATGGCCGACGTGAGTAACATGATGAATCAAGACGGAGATGCCAACACCCACCTTCTGAAGGCATCAGACCAACGGCGGTGGAATCTCCTGCAGCCTTCCTTGCGTTCGCGATGATGCCGTTGGCGCGGTTGAATTCGTTCCATTCGTTGCCTTGTCGATGGTGGGCATAAGTCTTGAAGTATTTCGCGACAATCGAATCCCTCACAAGGCTCAGTAGACCATGCCCATGTCCCTTGAGTGGGCTGACGGGCAAATATGCCATCAGTTATAGGTCTAGCTGATGAGCCAACAGGGTCTAGACTCCTTACACCCATGTATCAGCTGAGAGTGGTAAGTGGCCATTAGACCTGTATCAGCTAAAGTAACGTAAATTCCTTGTAACATGCCTCAGCTGAATCAACCAAGGTCCAATTAAATATCTTTGGTAAATTCCCAATACCTTCAGCAAATTTCAGACGCCTATAGCGGATTTTCAATGCATGTAGCTGTCTATCAAATAGTGAACACCCTGAGTGAGTTTCTGATATCTCCAACAAATGCCAGATGTCTTCAGCAAATTCACAACGCCATAAGCAAATCCCTGCCCTCTTTTGCGGGTTTTCGACGCCCTAAGTGAGTTCCTGCTGTCTATTGCGGGTTTTTGTTCCCCTGAACGAATTCCCGACACCAACAAATTCCCAACACCTTCAGCAAATCCCCACCGGTTTTTGCGGATTTCCACAGCTTTAAGCTAATTCCCAACGTCTATTGCGGGTTCTTGTCTCTCTGAGCGAATTCCCAATGCCCCTAACAAATTCCCAATGTATTTAGCAAATACACGCTATCTTTTGCGGGTTTCCAACGTCTTAATCAAGGTCCTGCCGTCTGTTGCGGGTTTCCAATGCCCTGAGCAGATTCCCAACGTCCATTGCGTGTTTTCATCTCCCTGAGCAAATTCCCAACACCCTCAACGAGATCCCGACGTCTTTAGCAAATCCCCGCCGTCTTGTGCGGGTTTTCGACTCTGTGAGTGAATTCCCGACACCTTCAGCAAATTCCCGACGTCTATTGTGGGATTTTGTCTCCATGAGCAAATTCCCGATGCCTTCAGCAAATCCCCACCGCCTTGTGCGGGTTTCTGATGCCCTAAGCAATTTCCAGACGTCTACTTCGGGCTTTTGTCTCCCTGAGTGAATTCCCCAGTGCCTTCAGCAAATCCCCACCGCCTTTTGCGGGTTTTTGATTCCCTAAGCCAATTCCCGACGTCTATTTCGGGTTTTCGACTCCCTGAGGGAATTTCCGACGCCCTTAACAAATTTCCGATGTCTTAATCAAAGTCCCGCCATCTATTGCGGGTTTCCGACGCCCTGAGCAGATTGCCAAAGTCTGTCTTGGTGTTTGCAATGCCCTGCATGAATTCCCGACGTCTGTTGGGAGCTTTTGACTCCCTGAATGAATTCCCAATACCTTCAATGAATTCCCAACATCCTTTGTTGGTTTTGGACGCCTTGATCGAATCCCTGACATCTGTCAACGTCTGTTTCGGGTTTCCGGCTCCCTGAACAAATGCCCAATGTCTTCAATGAATTCCTGACTCCTTGAGCGAGTACCCAACGCCTTCAACGAATTCCCGATGTCTCCGACTCCCTGAATGAGTTCCTTACGTCTTTTGGGGGTTTCCAATGCCTTGAGCAAATCTCTGATTTCTTTTGTGCGTTTCCAACGTTTGGAGTACATTACTAACACCTTGAGCAAGTTCCTGACACCTGGATTCCGGACGTCTTCAGCAAACTCCAATTCCTGTAGTGGTTTTCCAACACCCTGTGGAAGTTCCCAATGCCTTCAATGAATTCCCAGCATCTTTAGCAAATCTGCGACACCTTGAACAAGTTCCCAACATCTGTGTTGGGTTTCACCACCTTGAATAAATTGCTGGTGCATTCAACAAATTCCCAATGCTATCAATTATCCCAACATGGTACATTGTTAATAAGCTCCCAATGATTTTAACTTTGGATCCTTTTAGCAAATTTGAAATGCATGTAGTAAGTTCCTATTGTCTTTTTGCCAATCTATACCACTTTTTAGTATATTCCTAAGACCTAATAAATATGATAGACACTTTTTGTTCACAAGAAGGTACAACTGATACATCCGGACGCATTTCTGCAATTTCCGGCCCATTTTTCCGCAATCTCCAATGCATTTCTGCAATCTCCAACACAATTTTTCCACAATTCCCGACACATTTCTGCAATCCCTGACACATTTTTCCGCAATTCCCGGCACATTTCTCGGATTTCCGCAATCTCCGACGCAATTTTCCCGCAATCTCCGACACATTTTCCCGCAATTTCTGACACATTTTTTCCGCAATTTCCGGCGCATTTTTCGGACATTTTCCCGCAATCTCCAACACAAGTTCCTGCAATTTCCGACGCATTTTTGCGCAATTCCCAATCCACTTCCCCGCAATTCCCAACACAATTTCCCGCAATTTTCAGCACATTTTTCGGACTTCCACAATCTCTGACACATTTCCCCGCAATTTCCGATGCATTTTCCCGCAATTTCCGACACATTTCCCAGCAATTCCCAACACATTTTTGTGCAATTTTTGACAATTTTTTTCTGTAATTCCTGGCACATTTTTGCAATCTCCAACAGATTTTGGCAGTTCCAGAATGTCAATTTGAGTACACCAGCACAGACTAAATCTGATCTGCACCATTTGCTAATATACACCAGCACCTTTAACCAATCCCCTCATTGTCTTTCTCCGGGATTCCCCCAGAAAATCCCGGCCACATAGAAATCCAATCAATCCCCGCAAAAGGAAATTCTATAGCAGTGATGTCACATGAATTTGACTAAAGGTTCCCACAGCCAAATTAAGAAGTGTTTAGGGGCCTTCCAGTGCAAAAGGCTGATACAAAGGAACTGCAGGTTCTTCTCTGTTGGTTGGAATAACTTAGATGGGTCAAGTCACTAAAGGGCTGCTACAAAGGTGATGGTAGTACCACTGCATTGGCTGACCCAAGGCTACTGATGGTTTGATCTGATCTCGGCTCGTCAGCTAGCTACATGTCTGATGCCATATCTGCCCGTCAGCCCGCTCAAGGGACATGGGGTATCCTACTGAGTGGTCTGCCTGGAGACGGAAAGTATGTCATGTGCTCGGAGGACAACTCTCAATGTCAAGGGAGGGCGAACAACGGGAGGTGATGAAGTGTTGGCCCTTGATTATGGATCAGCGCCGCGGGCGCCAAGACGACCTTTGAGCAAGCGCGCAACCTCGTCACGGTACCACGGCCCCTTTTAGCAGGGTCTGTAGATAGCAAAACCCTCTGTAAAACATCACATTTCATTGGCTCTTGGGACATTCCTTGGTATGTACATATAGATGAAGAGCCGGTGTTCAGAATTGGAAGCGGCTCCACGCTAGCAAGGCCGCTCAGATACACGCTACGAAGTCTTCGTGCTCTTTTGAGCGCGGTGAGAGAGTGATTTGGAAAGGTTCAGGGTGCCTATTGAGGGAGGTGGAGTCAGCTTCCAACAGAAACAACTGATACTGTTGATGTCCACATACGAGACTCCGCTATCCTGGGGAACGTATCTGATAGTTGGGTTACCTGCGCCGTCTTTCGGCGAATCGACATTGAAGAAAGCGAGAGTAGAGGAGATCATAAGGAATAGGGCATCCATCGTGAAATTGCGACCCGGGCAAACCCTGAGCATGTCCACAACAGTTAGGAGGGCTGACCTAGGAGGTACAGATTCCCTCACCTTCGGCCATATCCAAACACAGCTTCACTTGGGTCGAGAACAGCGTCATTGAACTTTCCGTCCTTGAGGAATCGTTCCGGCCGGAATACCATTGGATCGTCGTAGACCTTGGGATCATGTAAGATGTACCTGCGGAGAAGGGTTTGAGGTCAAATTTTCGGTTATGATCGTAGGCTTCAAGATTACCATGCGTTTCCCAACACGACTGTCCCTTTCGGAATGAAATAACCGTCGTAAATATCATCGCTCGTCGTCGCGTGCGGAACACCTACAAAACGACCATTAGACCTGGTCCGCAAATAAAAACCATCGAAGTTACCCATTGGATTAGTCTGGTGCATCCTCAAAGCTTCGTTGAGGATAGCTTTGATATATACCAGCCTGTCGCGATCTGAGAAATCCGGCATTCTCCCTGGTCCTACGACTTCGTCTAGCTCTGACTGAGCTTTGCTTTGGACTTCAGGGTACATGGCGATCAGATTGAGGAAGGCCAGTGCTACGCCCAGAGTCTCAAGGGACGATCAGAAAGATCGATGTAACATGAAGCATGGAACTCACTGTATCTGACCCAGCTTTAGTTTCCAATACTGTGTGAGTTCCATAGCCCGCAGAGAGCGCCTTCAACTGAACTGACCAGCATGAGTTACAGAAGCCACATTTCGTGCGACCTCCTCGTCCTCGCCGTTCTCCATCATGTTCGTGACCACACAAGTTGGAGGAGCTTCTCCTGATTCTTTCTGAACACGAAGGGAAGCAACTCAGAGGGTCTTAGTAGGCAAAGGAGGGGATGATATTTCTTACCCTTTTTTGCAGGACGTAATCGAAAGGCCTGTCTCGAGACTTCTGTACCACATTGGCGTAGTACTCCGCGAATCTCTTGAATCCAGCTCCCGGGAACCAGCTCGGAACATACTTGAGGACGGGCAGATTGTCTACCATAAACCGTCCGGGAAGACAGGCTTCACCGAATCCTTCAGCCACTTCGTCGGTGTATCTCACTAACTCTTTCGCCACCGCTGAGCCTGCTTTAATGCCATAAGTCACTTCGACAATCAGCCCGCTAAACAACCTGTCGAATGGAGTCAGTGGCCTGAGGGCGTTGGAACTTGGCAGGGCGCATGCATTGAACTCACTGTTTTGTATGAGCCTTCCAATCTCCCGGTTGGATTAATAGTAGCTTTAAGTATGCTTTCGTGTGTTTAATCATCAGGTGGCGACAGTTCGACAGGGCTTTGCCATCTACTAGGTGCTGATGAAAGACTTTCCTATGTTGTTTCCACCTGCTCCCGTATGGCATCATGGTGATATAATGACCATACTTCATCTTGCCGAAAGCCAAAAAGGTGAGCAAACTGCGAACCAGAAGCAGCTTTTCTCTGGACTGACAAATGGAGCATCGGAAAGGGCGGTCTGTCAGAATATACGCTCGAGCGCTTCTCGAACAAATCATTGATTCTCTTCATGGAAGACAAGACGAGAATCGGCTGGCCCATCGCGTCAAAGTAGACCATGTCACCTGGAAGAACGCCCAATTCAGCCTGCCTCGTCAGCATCTCGTTGAGTGAGATAGATACCCACCATATTTTCCTGCCAGTTGACCGAATCCTATCCATTGCTTTTCTGTCGGAATGGACAGCAGGCTACCGATGATTGGATAGCGTTTTGGGCCAGGCGGTGCAGGTAGTCGTGAACTCGTTTTCTTTCTGAATACGAAGAATAGCACCCAAGCGAATGGGATAGCGTACAAGGCGAATAAACCAGAACCATCAAGCATGGTGGAGGGAGGTTGTGAGGAAGCAGTGCTCACGGCCCTCAACTTTCTATTTGATCCTTGTCACGGTCAAAGGCTCCGCTGGGATGGACTTTGATTAGCTGGGCAGACATTGCCATCTCTGTCGGCAGAGCCTGTGGCGTTGAACAAGTGGACGGTCAGCTCTGAAACATGTTCCCTCCGTGCGGTCTGTGGAAGAGGCCAAGAGCAACTTTAGCATCAGTCGAGACTCAAGCTCGCGGGACTTGGCGCCCGAGATGCCCGGTCAAGGCCCCTATTTTAATTTACAGCTACGTCGCCTCGACGTGCAGTTTCTGAACCCGAGCATTGAGACTTGGATGTGACTGTTTTTTTGCTCTAGATTCACGGTATACAAGGTAGACTTAGGTTGTACACAGATGAGAAGCTGGAATAGTATGGCAGCTCAAAGACTCCGCAATAGGCTCTCATGTTCTTTGGAACGCGGTTTAAAGACGACATCGAAAGGTTCCGGGTGCCTGTCGACGAGGAGTCAGCATGCAATGCGCTCAACAGGAGGACAATATGACTCACGAAACACCCTTATCCTCAGGTTCATATCGAATATCTGGCTTCCCTGTTTCGTCCTTCGTCGGCTCAACATCAAAGAATGTTAGGATGTAAGCTATCATTATGAACAGGGAGTCCCTGCTGAAGTTGCTACCAGGACAGATCCTGTCGAAGGTATCCTACGTTAGAGCGCTGGACGACATTTGGAGGCTCATGGCACTTGCCTACGTCCGTACCCAAACACAATGTCGCTTGGATCCAGGATGCTCCCGTCAATCTTCCCATCCTTGATGAATCGTTCTGGCTTGAAAGTCATCGGGTCTTGGTAAATTTCGGGGTCGTGCATGATATGCCTGGTGACAATGTCGTCAGTCAAATACCAAGTTTCATGCGATAGTTGTGCGTCTCGTACCATGGACTTCCTAGAACGAGAGTTCCTTTGGGAATGAAGTAGCCATCATAGATATCGTCACTTGTAGTCGCATGCGGAATTCCTGAAACGAAAAAATAGAATTAGTTGAATGCCAGAAGGTAGACCATGCTACCTGCCCATTGGGAACGTTTGGTGCACTCTCAGAGACTCCCTGAGAATAGCTTCGATGTAGACAAGGTTATCTCGGTCGCTAAACCCCGGCAGTCTTCCTTGGCCAACAACATCGTCCAACTCTCTTTGAGCTTTGCGTTGGACGTCGGGATGCATGGCGATGAAGTTCAGGAAGGCCAGTGCTGTACCCATAGACTGGAGCATGTCAGCGGCCAGAGCATATCCTTCGAGAGGAAGGCGTAGTCTCACAGTGTCCGTTCCAGCTACAAGACAAAGTGCAGTGTCAATGAGCATCTTTGGGGCATGGGGTTCAGAGCTTCGCGTACCAATATGTGCAATTGTCGCTACGTTTCTCGCCAAATCATCGTGTGTCCCTTCTTCAAGCATATTGCTGACCATACAGGTCGGAAGTGTTCCTTCTTTCTGTAAAGGGTGTAAACGACGGTTTATGAACAGAAGCGTCATGACGACCCACAATCTTTTTGAGGACGTGGTTATAAGGTCTATGCTTAGCGCGCTGCGCGACCTCGCCGTGGTAGGCCGCAAACCTCTTGAATCCGGCGCCTGGGAACCAACTGGGAACGTACTTGAGGAGAGGAATGTTGTCGACAAGGAAGCTTCCAGGAAGGGCTGCTGAGCCGAACCCAACTGAAACTTCGTTTGTGTACTTCACAAACTCTTCGGTGGGGCTTTCGGTCTCAACGCCATAGGTCACCTCGATGATCAGCCCACTGAAAAGCCTGAACAATCACCATTAACCGCATAAAGGAAGCTCATAGATGAAGAGCGTACTGCTTTGTATGGGCTCCCCACTTCTCGGGGCATGTCAATAATCGCTTCAAATACGACTTCGTGTTTTTGACCATCAAGTCATGCCATGTTGAGGAAATATGGGCATCTAGTTGCTGATGAAACGTCTTCCTGTGTTGCTTCCATGTGTTCCCATACGGCATAATGGTGATATAGTGACCGTAGTTCATCCTTCCAGTCAGGTTATTAGCCAACAAGCCCAATCTCAATCTCCATCTAATATGATCCACTCACAGGTGGAACATTGGGAACGGGGGTCTATCAGAATAGATCGTCGAACGCTTATCCATCAATTCGGTGATTCGTTTGCGAGACGATAGAATGAGAAGCGACTGTCCCAGAGCTTCGAGATAAAGTACATCGCCTATAGAAGGAGATCAGTCAACGAGGATGAACGAACGCCTCAAATTAAATGGTCTTTCCATATTTCTTGCTCAATTCGCGGAAACCAAGCCATTGTCGACTCGTCGGGATGTCTAATAGATTGCCGATTAGCGGGTAACCTTTCGGTCCTGGCGGTTTCGGTGGCTGAAGAGCCTCCTTGCGGTTCCTAAACATCAGGCCCAGAGCCACGACGATCGATACTGCGTATAGTACGGTTGGGAGGGGTATCTCGGCTAAGAGAGAAGACATTATCGGGGGAAGATGCGGTCAGGCTGACAGCTGTGGTCTTTATGAAGCATTGTTTAACCTAGATAAAAGAAGCCCTAACGTATGTGATACGGCTAGACCCTGCGGGAAGTGGGAGTGAGCGACGATTCCAAAGACGGTTTAACAATGTTTTAGCAACAGACCTGCCTTGTGCTCATCATGATGGCCATGTTAAAGATAGTCAAAGTAGACAGCACTCACGTACTTGTCCGTTCCGCTCGGGTAATTTGTACCAGCTTCTTTCTGTCGATTGTTTCTCTGTTGCCTGTTTCGACAGCGTATTCGCCGATATACGTAGTTATGTTAGCGCATTGCAAAGGTCACATCCCATGTCAGGTGGGGCTGAACAAGCCTAGGGGCACAAAGGAGACGATTAGCACGGAGGTACCTGAAAACGTAGGTCCCATGAGAACGAACGCGCTGGGCATACTGCTGATGGTGGCATTCGTCGATTGGGAGGAGCTTGAACACCGAGAGGAATAGAAACAGCGTCTGGATTCATCCAGTGGAGGTAATGCCTAAAAGCTGGGCGAGAAGCGACAGTTCGCCCTTTAAACCCAATCGCTGACCACCGTTCCCGGATTTCATCATGGAGGTTCCTGTGCTGGGCGCGGCCATCCACTATGACACGTAGTCGAGGGTTCGGGTGACAAGAACATAGGCGAGAGAATATAGGCTGGATGCTGCCATTTCAGTCAAGCACAAGTATAGATCGTCGGTACAGTTTCTGACTAGACGCGAGTCGATGGTGAGCGCAGACTTCCTCCTGGATTCGCTGACTCGGACCACGTTCGGCCTCCAGTCGTCCTGGAGAAACACACGCTGCAGATCATTCCAGTCAGTGACCTGGGTTCTCAAATAATCGACCGAAGTATTGCGTGAAGCGGGGCTGGAATCGGGATTATGAGGTATTGGTTCATGGTCAGGTCCACATGATGTGTCCGTGGCAGAAAGCTGCCATCATGCCTTGCCAGGCTGCCAGGCTGGCACTGCCACCCTGCCGTGCCAATTTTTTCGTCGGGTAGGTGGCAGCTGGTGGCAGCTTTCGTCAAAACCACCTGCGTAAACCGGCGTAGTTGGAGACGTAGACAGTGATTTCTCATTTTTCTCGGTACCAAATCACTGATTTCTGAGGTTCTCGAGGGTGCCATCTACGATTTCCAGCAACTCGACCCTACTGATAAGGGCTTGGCACCTGATCCGGAGGCTGAGGACATGAACATCATTGGGTCTCATCGGGTTTGGGAACGATAATGGGTGGTCTATTGATTCTATCATGGGGGCAATATAAGCTAGCTATTTTTTGTAGTCTCAAGTGAATACATCGTCGATTTTGTGCTTTTGCTGCCCTGCCAGTCTGCCAGCAGCTGCCATGGCGGAAATGGCAGGCCTGCCGGCATGCCGGCAGCTTTTTTCGCAAAATCGAGCTGCCACCCACACTATCCACATCCGATGCAGCAGCTTGAAATCGGCAAAAATTGACCGTGGGAGATTGCCGTCCTTGATCTCTTGCCGAATCCCGGCAGAATGGGCGCTTAAATGTGGAGAAATAGTACATAGAAGTCGAGGAAAAGCATCGTACTGTATGGGACACTGAAAATGATAATAAATAAGCTACTTGATTACTATCATCTCTGTATCGAGGAATGCAGCGCCCGCGGCTGGAGGGTATCGTTCTCCGACTGGAGGAGACGGTGGGACGATGAAAAAATGTTCGGGTGACTTCATCTTTCCCTTCATCTGCGACCGATTTGCGTTGGCAGAGTAATCTTACGTTGTTTCTGTGAGCAAGGACTGAAGTTATTTCCTTGTCGATGAGCGAATGAGTCATCCAGTATGACCTCTAGAAGGTGGAGACCTTATCAGCATTGAACTTACAGCTGAGCGGCATTCTTTGCACCGTCTCCTTGAGCGACCATTTTGCGAGTGCGGGGAAGCAGGACGGAGAGTGAAATGAGAAGGAAAGGGCCGTAGGAGTGGCACTTCCACACACCATTCATCGAAGTTGAATTGGCGGCGACGAAAAGCTACTTTCCCGAGACTTGGGGGACCGACGGAAGTCCGTACAAACCCAACAGAACTCCGTCAGCCGCAGCCGAAAGCGACTCTGCGGACCTCGAGGACGCTGGTGACAGCTCGTGGTCGCCGCGTTCTATGAAGTACAAACATCGAACGACAGAGAAACTGGGGTGCACAGAAGTGATGCAGTACGCATAGATTTTGCGTTTTCAATCCCCGTTGATGAAGAAGCCATTGAAGCATAGTGCCACAGGAGGTACCGCAGAGATAAGGGGAGCGTTAAGTGCCCGGATAATGGGGGAAGATGCTGCAAAGAAGTGACAAAACATATGTCTTCCGAGTTAAGAGGCCAGCTACCAGCATGTTCCCAATGTAGGTCGGCACGAGCTGCACAGCAGACATTCGCAACCCCGCGATGACTGCTGGCCCCGCAGAATGAGAATTCGAACCCAAAGTAGGACTGCCGGAGTTTAAACAGGAGAAGCACCCTTCAGGGCACCGATCCAAGATACAGTCGTCGCAGATCCAGTCCAGGTGTGCTGAATCGAGCCCAAGTAGCCTAATTGAGCGGATTCCTGAGCACATGTGTTGCCCTCGTGCCCTCCGCAGCTCCACTCATGTTGGCGGCAAGTTCTCGCGGACATCGTCCTGGAATTCGCTCCCCGTTTCCATTTCACCTCAGCGGCATCTTTCCCGAGTTATGTGCGTCGAGAACCTTAGGTGTGAAGAGGGTCTACCAGTGGGCGGCGCCAGATCCATTGCGCCCGAGCGAATTAGACGTGCACTGTTACGAGTTACCCCCGCTTCGTTGTCGGGGAAAGTAGGAATAGACGTCTAGACATCATTTAATCTCCGCATCTTGAACCTAGGGGTCTTGGAAAGCTAATCAACCCCACAGGTCAGCAAACCAGAGAAACGATTTCACCTTTACTGTAACCTTGCCCAGGTTTCCGTCTGCAACCCGTCATATTCTCAGTTGTCAGGCAAAGACTTGCATTGAGTATCTGTCCTTCCTCGTAATGCACTGAGGAGCTGGAAGGTGACAGGCAGCTGAGGAACAAGGAAAGACGAGAGAAACGGAAAGGAGGGGGACGGCGCTTTTTTTACATCGGTCGGGGTTTGAATAAAGGGTCCCACAGTGTCCATGCCGGCAGATTGCCGTGAGCAAACGCAGTCTTGAAAGTGATTGAAAACTTGATGCACGTCATTAGTATCTCCAGGCAGGAGGCCTGGAAGCTATGTGGCAGCTTGTTCAAGTCAAACGACGTTCTATACCTGCGTGGGTTGACAGCATGCATGGGGAGTCTCCGTTTTAAATTCAGGCGCCGAGCTACCCTCCAATCTGTGCCAAAGCAAACCCATGAGACCTGTGCATCGTATGAAGGTAGAATAGGGATGTGCGACACTAAATGAGCCAGGAAGTGCCTTCCAGCTCTTGCTTAGAGCGTAGAGGAATTTCCGAGCGCCTGATTGGTGGCTGAGGTGTGAAAGAAACTTGTTCGACTCACTGGACACAGTTTTGGCGCACCCGCGAAACCTGCGTGAGGTAGAGGTGCTGGGGCGGATGCGGTGCATCCTGAACGTCACCGTTAGCCGCACAAATAATTCTCAGAAGGGTTCAGTGCTTTGGGGCGGTAGCCAAATAACGTTTCAGGGCCTCATTTCTGATGGGCGGCGTCATCGACGGAGCAGAACGGTCAGAGAACGTGATATACGCCTAAAACGTGCTACATATGCGCTTATATTGGCTTGAGCGGATATGGACATTTAGCACAACGTAGTGCAACTTGAAGGTCTCGAGATGTCATCTCCTACGCCTCATGGTGCGTTGCATCGCCTGACGTTCCGTTGCCTTCAAACAACTGTCCTAGGTCATGCAGACAGCTCTCACAACGCTACTGCACGCGTCAGTACTGCAACTACGAGATGGAGGCAAGCAGACAAGGTGCATGGTGATAACCACGTATGAACCCAGAGTACTCCCTATCAAGTGCAAGAAGCAACGCTGTTTCGGAGACATCCTGTCAAATTTACTAGCAGGAGCCGAGCTTGGATGGAGGCCGGCAGAAACGGGTCCGTCCAACTTCAAAGTACGTGTAGCTATTCTCTCACCGCACGCACATTACGGCCACGATCCACCTTGGTGTCAAAAAAGCTCGAAGGCAGACATATATTGTCCCGAAAAAGTCGCAACCGCTGCAACGCGGTCAATTTGTGGAGCATAGCCGTATGTTGAGAATGCTGCATGACGGAGATGAATTGTTCTACAGATGGTTTCGGAGATGGTGCGAGGTGAAACCTGCAAGCAGCAGCATCAAGTTGTATTCGTACAGCTCGGTCAGAGCGGAGTTGAAGATATTACGCCGCGAAGTTCCGGGATATGGACTTGCTAAGTGCCATGAGTTGAATGACGATACTTAGCAGTGCATGACAGTGAACCGTTCGGGTTCAGATTATGCAGGATGTGGGCTGAGCGCTAAAGTCGAACAAATCTACTAAGCGCCACCTTATTACTTATCCCCAGCAAAGCATTACGTGATAATACAATTAGGCGCAATGACGCCTTCCTTCGAAAGGGGCCTCCGTGACGTTTGTCGCTACCCTGAGCCCAACATAATACGTAGCTCAACTATTCGGTTGCCAATTCGGGCACCCTGAGTCTCCCTGAGTACGCTAGTAGACGAACTCAGCATGGACCACCCAAGGGATCTCCTTTGGCTTTTGAAACTTCACAAGTCACTGATGACGTCGTTCAAGAGTCATTCAAGGTTCCTGGCAAGAAAGAAACATTGGCATATCCCCATCCCTATATTCAATTCCCCATGGGTCTCACTGACCAATTCCGGCTGTCTCGGTGTCAGAGAATAGTCTACCTGACCTTCGTTGTTGGAGATGATCAAGGCTTCAGGGCTGAAGAACTAGATAAATCTGGATTCTCAATTGTATTCCTTTCACAATTAAGACTGAAACGCGTGTTCAAGTTCACACCGAGCCCTAAAACTGGGGCCCCATGTCCCGTTTTGGGAGATCACCAAGATACCGATCTTGGTAACAACTGGTCCATATTTGGCTTTGCCTCGTGCCCTCCACGATCGGAACGTTCGCCAACGGTGCCATTGACATTCCCACTGACGATCCTCGTTGCACTTTGTCTCCCCTCCTGTACGTGGATTGTCTGAACACACACATAATCCCATCGTACCCGTTATCAACTCGGGACGGAACCCAGAATACACTGAATCCTGATCAAGGCACAAATGTTCAGGGCCATCATAAGTAGTACTAGATCTTCTCGAGTTCCGCAGCGTTTCTAATTCGAGTGCTAAGCTTTTTGTGCCAAGAAAGGCACCCCCAGGGTTGCCGCCACAAAGTCATATTCCATTGCACTACGAGATCTCCGCGAGTCCGCGCTCCAAATCACCTGCTGTAATGCTCGTGTATCGAGAAAAGAAGTTAACCGCATGTTTTCTCACCGCCCTCGATCCTCGCGGTCTATATATGAAAACGGCCTGGTGGAGGTATATTTAAAGCTCAACTGTTTCGAAGTAGGTTTCGCAGTATGTTATGCTTCTCTATCACCTCCTCGTATCTGCGTTTTGCTTTTCTGTGGCCTTGGTGTCCGCGTGGAAGCTGCGGTCCAAGAGGAAGCGCAGCCCGCCAGGGCCTCCGGGGTATCCTTTGGTGGGGAGCCTCTTCAGTATTCCGAAAGAGAAGTCGTGGTCGATTCACGACACCTGGTTGAAAGAATATGGTGCGTTTGGGTCGTCGTCGCGTTACAAGAGCCGCATTCACGCTAACTTGTGGAATGACATTCGACAGGCGACCTAGTCTATTACGAAGTGTTGGGTCAACCTGTCCTCTTGGTTGGTTCCGCAAAGCGAGTCAAGGATCTTTTCGACAAGAAGAACGCTATTTATTCGTCCCGTCCAAGGATGCCTATGGTCAATGAACTGTAAGTGCCATCCGTAGCCTTCCTCCATCGACTCAAGCCAATCCCACCTCCTCACACGACAGTATGAAATTCGACAACACCTTCGGCACGTTGAAGTACGGCCCTCGATGGCGCCAACTACGACGAGCCTTCACCGAAGTCTTCCACCCCAACGTCCTGCCCACCTACCACTCCACAATCACCTCCCAGATGAGCGGGATGCTAACACGAATGGCCTCGACACCGGATCAGTGGGAGGATCACCTCACCCAGTACGTCGATCCCAGCGAACCCGATCGTGGACATCAGGAAAGCTAACTTTGTCCTGTAGCTTCTTCGCTGGCTCGATCATAGAAATGACCTATGGTATCGAGATCGAGAGCGTCAACGACCCACTCGTCAAGAATGTACAATGGGTTGTCGGTGGGGTCACCATGGCCGCCGTCACAGTCAAATACTTTGTCGACATCTTCCCCATCCTCAAATACGTGCCGAGCTGGATGCCTGGCACCGGGTTCAAACAGTTCGCCAAGAAGTTCATTCAGATGAACGACTTGATCAAGGACGAGCCCTTTGAACGAGTTCTGAAAGCAATGGTAAGTGACGCCTGCTCTGCGAAAAACCGTCACACTCACCAGCTTCCAAAGAATGGGGAGGGTCCACCGGTGAAGCCCTGTATTGTCTCTCGTCTCATCGAGAACCTACCCGACGAAGATGATGAGGACAGGGAGGATGAAGAGGAAGTGGCGAGGCTGATAGCTGTCCAGGCATGTCTCGGTAAGTCTCCCAATGCATCCGCGCCTTCTATGGCATCTTCTGACCTAGCCTCCTCCAGCCGGTTTCGAGACTGTAAGAACATCTTCCCTTCGCGACAGCATTCGTTTGCTCACCAGCCTCCAACAGGTCATCAGCGCAGCCAGAGCCTTTGTCTTGGCCATGATTCTCCATCCCGAAATCCAGAAGAAAGCACAGGAAGAGATCGAACGCGTGGTTGAAGAGGGTCGAATGCCTGACTTCAGAGACAGAAGTAAACTGGTATACGTTAACGCCGTGATCGCAGAAGTAATGAGGTGGCATACCATTGCACCATTCGGTTTGTCACGTCTTCCACTTCATGACGCACCCAAACTGACAGAACCCTGACCGACAGCCCTTCCACACGCGACTTCAGAAGACGACATTTACGAGGACTACTTCATCCCCAAGGGTACCGTGGTGATAGGCAATACATGGTGAGTTCGAATTACAGCCCTGGTTTCCGGCGGCGGTCTGAACCTTGCTCTCACACAGGTCGATCATGCACGATCCCGAAGAGTTCCCTGAACCCATGGCCTTCAAACCCGAACGCTGGATCGAGGACGGCAAGGTCAGTCGGGAGTGGCTCGATTCGCCCATCTTCGGCTATGGAAGGAGGTAAGCTTTCAAAACCCCACAACACCCGTCATCACACTCACTTTCCACGACCAGAATATGCCCGGGTCGTCACACAAGTATGGACATGCTTTACATGTTCGTCACAGCCATGCTCGCTGGATTCGAGATGGAAGCACCCAAGGATAGCAATGGTGTTCCCATCCAGATAATACCCGAGTTCACAGACATGATTCTTTCGTGAGTGGCTTCGATAGAGGCGCGGCACATCAACGTGACTCACCTGTTCGGACCCTAGCCAACCTGAACCATTCGACTGCGTCATCAAGCCTCGAGGACTCAAAGCGGAATTCCAATTCGCGGCGTGAAGGACCTGTTACTCGGAAGAAATTACGACAAACTCGGTGTATTTATTCAGTAACTTTAATGGACTGGCTTTGCTGCAGGTCATAACTTAAGTACTTTATGCCTGCAGCAGTCGCTCCAGTTCCAGTCAACCGGATATGCCACTTGACGCAACACATTGTATAACAACAAGAATCATCTGTATTTGTATGCGTTAGTAGGATGTAGAATATTATATGTACAAGTACGACATACCTCTCATGCATTGGTCGAGATCTGGCCAAATTATGGAATATGGTTATGCTATGGAGCCGCTCTGCATTCGTTGGAGTTCTGGCGAAAAGACCGGGCGTGGGGTCGGGTTGCAGTTCCGGGAGACTCAACGGTATGTGTGATTATATCCGGTAGTAGTAAGTACTTTGAAGGGTTCCCGAAGAATAAAGTCTATCAAGGTCTGTGTGGTAGTTAGCTTTGTGAATTGGAGAAACATTGGAACCAGTCAGAGAATGAAGGAGAAACGAGAGCGTTCCCAAGCCGGACATAGATCATCCCACTCTCGGTGCACAGGAAAGAAACAAAATGATCCGCAACGCGCTCCAGAATGTCATCTGGCCCCGGCAAACTGTCATCAAGCGGTCAAAAAAAAAGTTGAAAGCTCACCCATTGTCTAAGATAGCAAAAAGGACAGCAAATCCCAGTCCATCAGTCGTCTAAATCGTCATCGTCACTCTCGTCAGTCAGCTCCTCTCCCGCGCGCAGTCCAAGGTGACGGTCATAGCCGTCCCGGCGAGCCCATGACCGCCCGTCAGTGTAAGGCATTATCCTCAGTGGTATGAATAATGTGTAAAGAGGGCTTTAAGAAGAAATGAGCCACGGGTTCGAGCTTTGGCATGAGATTCAATGGCACGTACTATCCATTTTCCCCGATGTTGAAGAACAATGAGAGATTTTTCCGCCGTCTTTAGAGCACTGTAAGTATCCATGTCCGCCGATGAATTCAGATATACGCACCCCAGATCGTAAGAATTGACGAAGGTCTGAAACTGAGCCTGAGCTAGGAGATGGAGAAACAGGACGTTTAGACAAACCTCATTGCGCGCCTTAGCACGTTTTCGATACTGTTCGTGATCCTGCGATTCGACCGATGTCTCTGCATTCGACACTCCGTACACGTGCCATAAGCCCATCACCGTCACCGCGAAGCACAGGACAACGGCCAGGATGTATATCATGGCGTACATGACTTCTGGCACGTGGTACTTCCAGTCGCCATGAGGGATAAAACATTGTATGGCCTGGCGGTATCCCAGAATGCTGAAGCAAAATGTTGCCAGCGCGAGGTATGCCCTGAATTGGGCAGGTCAGCAAATGAAAGGTGGCATGGGGCGGGACGCACAGGAAAAGAACAAAGTGTCGTTCGTTATGCAGGCCAACGCACTGGTTTATCCCTGGGCATGCGTCAATCGCGACCACGATGCAGTCCCAAACCAGTTAACGTACACTGCAGCACGGGAAGGGTGAGAAATGGAATACTGCAGGGATGGATCGACTTACGGGACAATGGTGGTCATACTTCAATATGCACCGATTACAGATTCGGCAGTGGTGCGCTCTCTCAAACTCGATGAGCCTAAACGACATGCCTCGTGGTCGAAGCGCTCACCTCTGGCCGCTGTTTCCCGCAGCGATTGCAGCGCGTTATTGTCGCGGGTGTAATTCGTGTTGTGGTCCATCGGACGCCTCCCGTCAATGCTCTAGACTTGCTCCAATCCTTCTTCTTGGCCCAGAACCATGAAGAGCCGGGCTGCACTGGAGGATCGTCGATGAAACCGGGCTTCACGGTGCAGACGAAGAAATAATGTGCGTGCATGTTGGTCGCAATCAGGATGCATAGTGGTATTGTAATGAACGGGTAAGACAGGCTTGGGGCAATAACGTCGACTTTAAAGCGTTTATTAGACCATATGGCTTGGTAGAAGTCCAGGAACACTCACAAAAACAAATCGTTCCCGTCCAGAGCAACAACACCGCAAGTCCAACAAAATACGGTCCAGCTGCGCCTGTGATCCTATTTCCCAAACGTTCTAGTGCTTTAAAGCAGCGAAATACCCGTTTCGCGCAGAACATTGTCGACTTCGTCGCTGTGATCAGGTTGCAGAGCGCTAAACGCCAGTCATATCGTCGGTGGTAGAAAGCAAGGCCAACTGTCCCCGGGCCATGCGTGCCGCGGCCGGGATTTTCGAGAGGCGGCGCCTTAACCTTGCTCCCACGAGCCGCTGCCGTGCATCAAGCCCGGGTTCCTTCAATACTCTGGATAGTGATAGCTGACGTTACATTCACCTTATTTCTCAGTGCATGAAGCCAGGTACCATATCTATATCTCAAATTAGATCAATTCTTTTAGCCTTCACCTGTAGTCAGCTGGAACTGGAACTGTCAGTGTAACCGGCACTGCTCGGCACCGTAGTCTTGATGATTTGTAACCATCCACCCTTCCTTGTTGGTAGCACAGCGTATCGAGGTAGAATGTGCGGGCCGCCAAATTGAGCTCAGATTCCGGAATCCAGCGGGAATCCAAATGGAATGTGACCACAACGCTCGTTTTTTACATTCCACTTCATTGTCGGGAATATAGACACCATTTGAACGAAATCTGGCTCTCAGAATGCAGCATAATCCAACGCGCGCTCACATTTCCCTGTTGCGCCCTGTATATTCAGCTCAAATCGATATTATTGGTCTAAATATAGCCCAAGGTACAAATGACACCGTACACGACCCCGCCAAATTGCCCCCTCCTCCTTCAGACCACGCTTTCTCGCCTCAAAACCCAGCAGAAAAGTCACGGAGACCTCTTTTGGCATCGACAGTCGACTACAGAAATGCCGACACTCCGAAAACCACGCTCCGAAAACCACGCTAAGTTACCAGCCCTCTAGCTACGACTCCCATGCCGCATCCCCGCCAGCCAGGCCAACTTCTATGTCCTCCCACACTGCCCACAGTCCTCCAGCTAAGCGCCTTACTCCTGTCCCCATAACCCTGCCTGCTGCCAAAACCACGCCCAATCCAACGCAACTTCCAGGCTCCCGCCAGCGGCCGCTTCCCAACTTCTCGCAGGTACCGAAATTCGAATAGTTCCTAGGCAATTTTCGACACGCTGTACGATAGCGGAGGCCATTCCAGTGATGATATTGTGAAACTAGAACTTGGAAGAGGTGGTGGCGGGTGCAAGCTATCAAGAGTCGTGCTATCGTCGGTGTCGTTGGAAGGGATTGGAGCCTCGCGCATGTTGCAAGCCGCCTTTCGGTAGGAGTTTGAATTGACTTGTATCAAATCAACGCTTTTCGCCTCGCAGAACTTAGAAGCGTGACAACTGTGGAATCTAACAGCGGTCAGATCTCCGCCGAATTCTCGCTGAATGCCAGAATGTCTTGCCTCACATATTCTGGAGGCAGAATTTCGCTCGAATTGCAGTCGTGTGCGAGAATTTAGCATTCATTATATCTTCTTCAATTCTGGCGTGTGTTAGACTCTACGGAACTGCGGAGTCTGCGGAGTCGAAGGGACCTTGGCCTCAACGTATTGCGTTGTGCCCACGCTGGTGGTATATGGTCCAACCCGAAAGGAGAGGGGAGGAGAGGGAGAGAGAGACGCGCCTTGCGGCGGAAGACGAGGAGAGAGAGAAGAGAGCCTTGCGGAGCGGAATCAGGAACACTATGCGGAGGTGTGGAGTATGCGGAAAGCTCTAGCAAGCCGAAAGGCTCAAGACTGGACAGAGGGGGAAGTTCTGTATAAGTCTGATTCGAGATTCCGGATGAGTATCTACTACAGAAATCTAGCTAGCTTATATATCTGTAGATACTCTGGATATACTCTGGGACAAGTCTGGGACAAGAGAAGAAACTGAGTCATAAGAAATGCGGAATACCGCGGAATGCGAAGAGGATGAGTAAGACGATTCCAAAGAACAATAGCAAAGCAAGGAAGGGAGTCATAAAGAAGTATAAGAGGTCACATGCAGAGTCTGGGCGCCTAGAGGGCGGTTACGAGGTTTCTCCGCACGGTCCGCACCGGCCCTCAGTTGCGGGCCGTGTCGTACCGGCGGCGCTCCGCATAAATGCGGAGCGGAGTGGCTAGCGCCCGTAAACTCCGCATGCGGATCAACTGCAGAGCATGCGGGAGTGCGGAGGGAAGGGTGGCGGAGATATGGGGATGTGGGATGCGGAGAGGTGATGGCGAGTGTGGGGATGTGCGGGATCATGCGGGAGATCATGTGAGACTGTGCGGGGAGTGTGGGTCAAGGCTGGTGGGTTGTGGGTAGATGTGGGTGGATGTTCAAGACCCTAACAGTACCTCCCTGTTAAGGCCGAGCCCTCGAGGCTTGTGTTAGGACTCGGTCCCTGCACAGAATCTGATGTCCGCATTTTGCAACTCGGCATCATCAGCATGCTTGTGACTCTGCGGTGTGTTTGCGGAGAAATGAAAAAATAATTTCTTGTCCTCTTGAAGTGGAAATGGAAAGTGCGGACAGGAAATGAAAATGAGGAAAGAGAAGCGGAGGCAAGGGAGAAATTGAAGCGTAATGTGCGGAGTAAGGGAAGGCATAGTGAAGCGGAGGAAAATGAAGGCAAGTGGAATAAGTGGAGTAAATGAGAACATCAAGAAGAGGGAATGCGGAACAGGAGAAAAAAAGGTCAAACAGGTAAGGCATAGAGGAGCGGAGGAAGCATAGAGGGGAAAGGAGTAATGCGGAACCACAAATTGAAGAGAAAGAAGCGGAGGAAACAGGATGCGGAAAATTGCGGAAAGCGGAGAAAAGTAAAGTCGGAACTTGGAAAGTAGAAAGGACACGAAGGTGAAGAAGAAATGCGGAGTCAACTGCGGAATGCGGGGAATCACCAATGAGGACCAGGCTTGTCTGGGTACCTCTTGTGGAACTCTCCAACGATCTCTTGGGCGTGTTCAAGCTCTGTGGCAAGGAGCCAGCTGCGTTCCTCGTCTGTATTCTCGTATCCGCGCCACCGCACTTCGTAGAGGAGCTTGCAATGTTTGCGGCGACGATCCAATTTGGAGTCGAGGATCTCCGCAATCTCGTATTCAAGTTCCCCATCCACCTCGATAGGAGGCGGAGGCGGTTCGTGGCGATGCGGAATCTGAGAGGTGTAATGCGGTTCGAGCATTGAGACGTGGAAGACAGGGTGAACAGCGCGGAGAGAGTCGGGGAGGCGGAGAGTGTAGGAAACCGTTCCAACTTGGGCAATGATCTCGTAAGGGCCAAAGTATCGTTCCGAAAGCTTCTTGGTAGGTCTGGTTGTGCGGAAGAACTGGGCCTTAACGAAAACTCGGTCGCCCACCTTGAAGTCTGGCGGAGGTAAGCGCTTCTGGTCCGCATAGCGGCGTGCGGACTCCTGCGCGCTGGCGATACTAGTGCGGAGGTGTTCGTGGAGCTCCTGCAAGTCGACCGCAAAATCGCGGGCTGCGGAACTCGCAAGATCGCGTTCAGGGTGAACAGAGATGTTCGGATGATAACCCTTATTGGCGAAGAATGGCGAAACACCAGTTGTGGCACTAGGCGCATTGTTGTACGCAAACTCCCGCAAGTGGGAGGAGTTCGTGCCAGTTGTCCTGCTGGGTAGTTGCAGTAGGTCCCGCAAATATTGCTCAAGCGTCTGGTTGACCCGCTCTGTCTGTCCGTCTCCTTCTGGGTGGTAGCCTGATGTGAAGTGGAGCTTCATGTCCAAGGCTTCCCCCAGAATGCGGAAGAAGTGGGAGACGAATTCGGAGCCGCGGTCGGAGGTTACATGGCTAGGAACGCCATGTTTGGAGAAGACGTGGAGCACAAACAGTCGCGCAAGCTCTGCGGAGGTGAGGCGGGAGTCTGTCGGAACAAAAATGGCTTGTTTGGACAGTCTATCCACCACCACCAAGATATCCGTGTATCCGCCGGATGCGGGAAGCTGTTCAATGAGATCCATCGAAATGGAGTCCCAAGGGCGGAGCGGAATGGGCAGGGGCTTCAGCAAACCATAAGGCTTGTGACGCGGAGACTTGTTGCGCTTGCAGACTGTGCAGGAGCGGACGTAGTCCGCAACAAAAGTGCGGAGTTCCGGCCAGACGTAGTCGCGGCGCACCAGCTCAATCGTCTTGTTCTTGCCGTAGTGTCCCGCAAGCGGATGGTCGTGTTTGAGCTGAAGTACGCGGAGGCGGAGTGCGGAGTCGTCCGGAACGTAGATGCGTCCGTCCTGGCGGAGTATACCATCTGCGGAAAAAGTCCAGCGAGGGTTGGAAGGTGTGGGGAGGTGTTTGGAAGCGATTTCATCCGTGGAGTAAGCAGCCTTGATGTCCTTGAGGAGCGCTCCCTCATCAACTACGACCGATGCGCGGAGTGCGGGGAGCATGATCGAAGTTGCGCGGAGCGATGCGGACAGCTGCTCATTTGGTGAAGATGGGTCTGAAGTTGTGGGGATTGACTGACGCGTAGTCACTACCTCCCTGTTTAAGGTAGACGTCCCAACGTCTAGTGAGGGCATCGGGTCTTTGTCCCCAGCTTTCCAGGGCGAAAGCGGATGACAAGGTTGAACTGGGAGAGGTACTCCGACCAGCGCGCTTGCCTGCGGGTGAGGACCTTGGAAGTGGCGAAATATTCCAAGTTCTTGTGGTCCGTCATCACATTCACAGGCTCCGCAGATCCCTCGAGGTAATGCCTCCAAATCTTGAAGGCCTCGAAGATAGCCAGGAGCTCCTTGTCGTGGACGTCGTAGTTGAGCTCCGCAGCTTGGAAAGTGCGGGAATGGAATGCGACGGGGTGGATTTCGCCAGAGTCGAGTTGTTGGGACAGGATGGCGGCAAGGGCGTAGTCAGAGGCGTCAGTTTCCACAATCAGGGGTCGGTCGGGTTGCCAGTGCACCAGGATGGGTGCGGAAGTGAATGCGGACTTGAGGGTTTCAAATGCGGAACGTGCGGAGTCGCCGAACACGAAAGGGGTGTCTTTGCGGGTGAGGCGGGTAAGCGGAACAGTGATGTCGGAGTAGTTATGGATGAAACGTCGATAGAAGTTGGCAAAACCGAGGAAGGACTGTATATCCTTCACAGAGCGCGGTTCAGGCCAGTCCTGGATGGTCTTG